AGTAAGTTGTCTTTATTTATTGATTTATTTCATAGCAACAGATTACATCTTGAACAAAAAGGAAAATTTGAACACCTTTATTTTGATTTTAATTTTGATTTTAATTGATAAATCTTTTTTTTCTAGCTCATTTGACAGCATACCCTGGTCTGCCTGATCCAGCTCCAAAGCTAGAGGGCCTTATTTCATTTGTCAAGTCTATTGCCAAGAGGCCAGATGTTTGGATTGTGACTAACCAGCAGTTGCTGCAGTGGATGAAGAATCCAGTCAAGGCATCTGAGTTAGGAAAGCAGGATTACATGAAGTGCCAACAGCCTGTCATTGTAAAAGAGATCTGCAATGGTCTAGATGATGACAACAACCATGTAATCGATGACAACCTGTTGAACAAGTAAGTCCCCTTTTTCTGCTCTTTTAAGAATATCCAATTTAGCAAATGAGAGAGAGAAAGAGAGAGAGAGAGAGAAAGTAAAGGAAAGTACTTACATACATATATCTATCTTACTTGTGTAGTTGTAATTTCGGAACAACAACTTTCAAGACTTGTTTCAATTGTCCAAGCACTGCGCCTACGCTTGAATCTCCTGCACCAGTATCGTCTTCTCAGAATGGTACCGAAGGATTCCGTTATCCACTTCCCCTGGACTGCGAGTAAGTCATATTTATTTATTTATTTATTTATTTTATATATACATAAACATGTATGTATGTATAGCCTTTAGATAATCTAATGGACAACTTAACTCAAATATCTAACCTATTCTTTGTTTGTTTGTTTTTTGCAATGATATATAAAAACAATAGTACCAAGTGGTGGGATCCTATCAGTAATCTCTGCTTGTGTACTTCAACCGAATGCCAATACAAGGACACAGCAGTACCTGTTAACAAGAACACGACAACCAGCAGTATTAGTGCTAATGGAAAAGATCAAGAAAAGAGTGATGCCTCTAGATCACTTCCTTGGGTTGGTGCTGTGGCAGCTGTGGTCATGAGCACTATGCTGCTCTAAAATAACTACCTATATACCTATATACCTATCTATTTATCTATCTATCTATTTACTCTTTCTTTCTTACCATTTTTTATATCTATATTTATTTATATAAATATACAAGCGTATATACAAGTACACAGTGATATGTATGTATGTATCACTGTGTACTTGTATATGTGTCTGTATGTTTGTATTGGGACTTTGAGTCTCCCAAGAGAACTGACTAGTAATCAAATAAAAATATATACATTTATATTTTGTACTTCAACATATCATTCATTCATTCATTCATCTTGCTCCTGCATATATACAGTATTTTATTATTATGTTGCCCAGATACAAAGTCTGGAACCCTTAAAGGAATGAGAGTTAGGTGCCTGGGGAGAGATTGATAAACACAAAGTGTGAGGTCAAAGTATTAAAGTTAATGCATACAATGCATATATTGTGTTTTTTCAGGACACGCCATTTTGTCCTGAAGGATTAGAGAAAGACGCTGGGCCATGGACAAGTTAGTCACAATTATAGTCCGGTTAGATATAAACGTCGTGCTCGTAAGATTGCTGGACACAACTAATAGAACCAAAAGGTTACAAAGAGAACCCAATTTGCAATGGTGCGCTCATTTCGTAGTGAGTCATTTGTGTCAGTTGCGGTTGAGCATCAAAGATTAATCAATGTGGGAATCTCCATCTGCATGACCACATTCCACAAGAACAAGGAATTATTATCTGGCTTTAGTTCTTATTCAGCAGCTCGTAAGCTATGGTTGAGCGATAAACAAAAGGAAAACAGATTGAAATGGTTGCTTCAGCAAAGTAAATTAAACCGCTAAGCAAAGGAAATTAGCATTGATGGAAGAGTCGGAGTCATCAGAAAGACGGGCGAGAGGTTTGACAAGAACCACGTTGTCCAAACATACAAGTTTGAAAAAGGCTTCCGTCATGGTTTGGGGGTGGTTGTTTCTGGGGGTAGGGGTATTGACCCTTTGGTAACAATAAAAGGAAACATCGACTGTTTGAAGCAGTACTTTCTTCCCTAGTACGAAAAACTGTCCAAAGATAATAATAGACAGTTTCTTGTTTCAAGAGGATGGGGCACCATGTCACACCGGCGCTTATGCCACATGATATAAGAAAGAGAGGTTTCTTGTAGATAGCTTTTGATTTCTGGCTTACCCAATGCCCGGATCTCCGTTCTATTGAGCATATTTAGTCTCATCTTGCAAAGTTTTTTTTGACAAGAATAGAGACAGAGTAGCGAATATGGAAGGATTTGAAGCAGTTATCTACAAGACATGGTTGAAATACCACTTTACTCATTACTAGAGCTTTATACTCTTTCTCTTAAATATAGATATATTAAGCCATGTTCCCTCCTAGTTTTTGGTTTATTCCGAGCACATTTTATTATCAATATGATTGAAAAGAAAATATCGTCCATGATATGCTTGAAGAAGTTCTTTTAGAGAATTTGAAAACCGACCCATGACCTGTTTTACTAGAGTGTGTATATTTATATATATATATACATGATTATTTATGAGTGATCTACATGTACAGCCATTGGGGCATCTGTACTGATGATGTGTACTGGACCGGGATTATCGTTAAATGTGTCGACGGCCTGCTGATAATAGCTTGCCGCAGGATGGGCCCACTCCCGCTCGAGTTCATCCACAACGTCGCCCAGACGGGTTCCACTTGCGACTATTACTCTGCAGAGGGTGATGATTGATTGATCTTTGCTCTCAACCCTAGGACGGATCTCGACCTTGACTCGCTCAGTAGCGTAGTCGCTGACCACAAACGATTTAAAGTAATCGTAATAAGACTGTTCTGCATCGGGCATCTGGAGCAGATCGATCACAATTTCAGTGTGTGTGTGGTAAGTCGTAGGTCTACCCCCGGCAAACACCGCATTCTCAAGTACTATGTCAGGGTGCTGCCGAATCCAGTCTACGATTTCTTTACGAGTGCCATAGAAGATCCAGCGATTTGTATTTGCTGCACTTGAGACGCTTATTTTTTTTCCCAGGAGAGGAGGAGGAATGACATGACCGAGCTGGCCATTAGGAGATGCTGATTATCGTTATTATTATTATTATTTTTTAATAAAGAAATTATTCACAGCAAACAGAAAAAGACAGGGATTTATATTGTGTTAATATAGGAATATGATACTTTTTGGTTCTTGCTGTTAGTTTGATAATGTACCTATTTCGTAGCCATAAGTAAAGGTCATTATGAATGTATGTTATATTTGTATGTAAGCAGGTATGTATATATGAATGAATGTGTGCAAAGAAAAAGAAGAAGAAAAAGAAGGAATTTAATAAATCATTCAATCCATCAATCAATAAAGATTGTCGACTTGGTTTTGTGAGCGGGATAAAAAGTAGAAACACAGGATGCATAGGAAAACTAAGTCTTCTGAGTCACACCATTCCTCTGATACCTCTTAATCTGACTGAGTATTAATTTCTTTTGTATTGTACTGTATTGTATTGTATGTATGTATCGTGTGTTGTTGAATACTTTAAAAGAAGTACAAGAAGTACAAAGGAAAATTTTTCTTGAAACATAATAGATAGTAATACTAATACTAATAATAATCATTTTAATATAAGAAAAAAAAAGATTTGTACTATAATTTTTCTTAAAAATTGAAAAATGACTGTGATTAGATAAATCAGCTCAAATATACATAAACCAAGGTTTTATTTCAAAGAGCTTAAAAAAAAATCAAAAAAGGCATGTGCTATTTTGATATGAGTACGATAGTAACACAACCAAGGAACAAAAGAAGAAGAAGAAGAAGAAGAAGAAGATATATAATATAATCAAACCACCATAAAATATTTCTACCCACCAATATTAGCTTTTTACTATCTCCTTATTATATTGCCTATGAAGATTTCACCCTCTTTTCTTTTCCGTATTTTAAAATCCTAAATTTATTTATATAGTAGTAATATAATTATAATTATAATTATAATTATAATATAATATAATATAATAAAAAAAAAGAAATAAGAAATAAGAAATATTAATGGCAAGGAAAAATAATAAACTTGACCCCCACATTTCATTTATGTGACTTTTCTTTTCACAGTTGTTTACGGATCTCAGTCCCCCACAGGACAGGCGAAGCCCATAGAAAAAAAAGAATTAATAAAAAAAGAGGCGATGAGTACCAATCAAGACACTGTAGATGACTTGTCCAACCCAGAGCTTGTACTTCATCAAGATGGGAATTCGCTGGCGTCTCCCATTAGGTCTCCAAAGCGCATCAAACTAGAACATTCCAATCAAGGTAATCCCTCCTTATTCTTCTTCCTCTTCTTCCTCTTCTTCCTCTCCTACTCCTTCTGCTCCTTCTGCTTCTTTTTTTTTTTATCTATATAACTATACTATAACTACTGCTACTTTTATAATTATCGTTATTGCCACTACTGGGCTCTTTTTACCTATATATATATATATATGTACCTTTATATCTACTTCTACCAGTACTAGTATCATTTGCTATACCTCTTCTATATACACGTATATGCTTTATTTTGCTTTATTAGTGGTATTTTATTTTTTGGAAAAAAAATACACAAAAACATACGCACATACGCACACAAACAATTATGAGTATATATATAAATCTCTATATTTTCTGCTTCACTCTCTCATTGTATGTGTGTGTGTCTGTATGCTTAAAGGAATTTATACTCTTGTAAATAGAAAGCAACATTATATTTTAAATATATATAAATAAAGAAAGAAAGAAAGACACTTTTTTTTGTGCTAAGCATTAATCAATAATAATAGTAGACGCACAGGACACATCACCTCCATCAGTCAGTCCGCTCCGTTTGCCGAAAGAAGACATCCTGTGTGATGAGGCCGCTGCTCCACCGGTCGTGTCACCTCACGCCACTATCAACGACCACGACTTTGATGACAATTACAACGAAGACTCGGACCAGGATTGGGCCGAAGGAACTGATAGTGATAGTAGCAGTAGCGGAGTTCACATGCTCCTAGACCATCCAGCATTCGATGTGGACAATGAAAGCTACGGCGACGTCGATGTCGATGGATTGGAAGAAGAAGGGCTTTATCAACCACTCTGGACAAGTTACACACCTGAAGAAGCCGAAGAAATTCAAGACAAGGCACGCGAAATGGGTCTCACTCGATTTATTGAGCATTATGTGATTGAAGAAAAGGTGTCTGTAGCAAAACTATTGGAGGTATTCAGAGTAGTCATGGTAAGTCAACAACAACTATAATCTAAATATATAAATATCTTCTTCTTCTTCTTCTTTTTTTATAAAAAAAAAAGGGAAAATAAGAGAGATTGAGAGAGAGAGAGAAAATGGGATAATATTTAGAAGAAGTACAAGTTGAACGTGTGCGCGTGTGCGTGTGTGTATCTGTGTTTGGTACACGCACACAAATTGTCTTTGGCTGGTTTGTAAACCGGGTTTGCTTTATAAATTTTTGCAGCATCCTAAAGCCGCGATATTAGCCACAGATTTGGAACTACTTCCCATCTTGCGCAGCGTCGTCAATCGCCACCTCCGCAAACGTAACCGGCTCACCAATGTCAACACACTCCAAGACGTCGTCGACCTTTTGCGCACCAGCTCCAATATCATGATCGTCACTGGCGCAGGTGTGTCTGTGTCCTGTGGCATTCCCGACTTCAGATCCGAAACCGGCATTTATGCCAGACTCCAAGAATACGAACTCGAGGATCCACAGCAGATGTTTGACATTCAATACTTCCGAGATAGTCCAGAGATCTTCTATTCATTTGCCAAGGAACTCTATCCAAGCAACTACGAACCAAGCCCCAGCCATCTGTTTGTCAAGATGGTAGAAGATCGAGGAAAGCTTCTTAGAAACTACACACAAAATATCGACACACTCGAACACAAGGCTGGTATCAAGAATCTTGTCAATTGCCATGGTAGTTTTGCAACTGCTAGCTGTGTCAAGTGTGGACATAAAGTTCAAGGAAAGGAGATTGAGGAATATATCTTTCAACAGGTAAGAAATTATATATATATATCTTCTTCTTCTTTGGAATCAAAAAAGTAAATAGTGTGTTCTAAATGTGACATATATTAGAAAGTTCCTCCATGTCATAAATGTGCCAAGGAAGCCAGTGCAAAACCGAAGCCAAAGCCAAACAATAGTAACAATTCTGACGACGATGACGACGATGGCGAATATACTGGCGAATATCGCGGAATGTCTATCATGAAACCAGTAAGAACCCTAGTATTTTTATTATAATTACTGTGTCATAAAACAAGAAGTATAGATAAAGAAATGGGATTGATTGATTTGTTTGTTTGTTTTCTTTTTTTGTAGGATATTACCTTCTTTGGTGAACGTCTTCCGGCTGAATTCGATCAACTGTTGGCTGTGGATGCTAACAAGGTCGATCTGTTGATTGTCATTGGCTCATCACTCAAGGTGTCTCCGGTGTCAGAGATCATGTCTCAGATACCTCACAGTGTCCCTCAAATTCTTATTAACCGTACACCTATAACCCACATGACATTTGACGTCCAACTCCTGGGAGAGTCAGACGTGATTGTGAACGAACTCTGTCGACTGCTAGACTGGGATCTCAAACACCCCAAATTACCTGGCGGAAGTTCACTCAGCCAAGAGAGTAAGAATCTGGCAGTGGCAGAAAACCCACTAGTCAAGTTCTGGCGGGATGGATTGTACACATTTCCTGGTGCAATTGCCACTGAACAGTATTTGACAGGCGCACCACAAACACCAACACAACCCCAACCACAAACACAATCACAATCACAATCACAACCAACAGAAACAACAACAGCATCAGCATCATCTAAATCATCAGCATCACCACCAGCAACAGAAACAGAGCCAAAGCCAGAGCCAGAGCCAGAGCCAGAGCCAGAACCAGAACCAGAACCAGAACCAGCATCAGTAACAGCAACAGAACCACAGATTGAACAAGAACAAGAACCAGAATTAGCGCCAGTATTGGTAGCAAGGTAAGATTTATAGAATAATATGACTCAATAATTTAACACGTATGCATATATAGAGCAGAGGAAGTGAAGGCTTCTGAAGAAGATAAGGACACCAGTACCTTGGATAAGAAGGATGAACAAGAATCAAAGGTTGAAACAAAGGACGGACTGGAATCTAACCATCAAATCTCTGCCAACTAACAGATCATTATCTCTTCTTCTTATCTTTTTTCTTTATACTTGCTTTTAATAATTATAATAATAATGATAATATTAATTTTAACAACAACAAATATAATCCCAAAAAAAAAAGACTCTCTCTCTCTCATACACTCCTTCCTCACATACAAACCAACCTCGATTAGCCTTTCTTTCTTTCTTTCTCTTTATATTTTCTCTCTCTTCATTCTCTAAAGACATTCAAACGATATACATTACTATGGTGTACGATTTCCAACTTATTTTAATAATACGATATATTTATGCATGCATGAAAGACCTTTTTTTTTTCTTAGTACAGTCTTTCAAGATTTGCAAAGACTTTGGAAATTGATAAAGAAAGGCAATAGTATTGATATTAAAAAGGAGGACTTGTGTGTGTGTGTGTGTGTGAAGTTGGATAGAATTAAGGTATGAGATGAGATAAGTTGAAAAGGAAAGAGGAAAGAAGGGAGTGGAAAGTTGGTTGAGGGTCATTCATCATGTGATGTATTTTAGTTTAAAAGGAACTGACTAATGATCCTCAATGTTCTTTCTCTCTCTCTTTCTTTCTTTCTTTCTTTCTTTTTTTTTTTTTTTTTTATTAAGTCCCTTTATTTTCCTGTCTCATCTTTCCTTACTTACAATTATGCATCCTGACCATGACACATTTCTTTTACCAAGACCAGAATGGGTTAATGACGAAGACGTCCTACACTGTCAGTCATGCAATAGCGCCTTTGGACACATGAAACGAAGAGTGAGTAACAAAAAAAAACAAAAAAACAATAATAATAAAGATAAAAATAATCGTGATCTCGGCCATTTTGAAAGGTTGTAATAACCAGGAATCTCATACTGAATGCCTTTAGCATCACTGCAGAAACTGGTAAATGCACAGCTTTGAAGAAAACAAGAATCCTCCTCTTTATATGCATATAAGATATATATATATATATATATTTCAAATTGGCTGTCTTATCACTATATCAATCTACTGATTTATCTATATACATATTTACCTATTTACCTGTTTCTCTACCTATACATTTTTTATATCTCTTCTTTTTCTTCTTCTTTATGTTGTTTAGTGGAAACATATTCTGTAATGCTTGTTCTACTCGCAAAGTCACTCTGCCACAACTGGGTTATGGTACCAAACCAGCTAGAGTGTGTAACAGTTGTTTCGATGTGGCCTATCTAGTGACATATGCAATTGACGAAGACCATGGAGTGACTACTCAAGTAATAATTATATTGCACTACACTACAATGCGCTACATAAAGCAAAACAAAGAATTTCTTGATAAGCTGACAATTCGCAAATACGTATACATATAACTTATCTTTTTCTGTATGTGTGTATGTGTGTGTGTCTATGTATAGGTTCATGGTGTGAGAGGACTTTTGGAATTGATTGAGAATGATCATGGTACGGACCTCCAGAAGAAATAATGATAACGATAACGATAACGACAATCAAATGGCTTTAACTAATTATAAATTCTGCTCAGAAAACGATCTTCACAATATTGTGGCACATGGTGGAATCGATGCTTTAATCTGGTTATGCAAATCAACCTCTTCAAGAGAACTTCACCACCTAACTACAACCATCTTGGCAATTTTGGCAGAAAAAGGTAGACCATTTTAGATATATATATATATATATATTTGTCTTTACAAAACATATACACATATTCTAATGCTTTCTCTTCTCCTTCTTTTTAAATACATTTAATCATAATAATAATAATAATCACCTAATTAAGAATCAATCCGACCTGTAATCATTACAAAATGTGCACTTCCACCTCTTCTCGACCTCATCAAATACTACACTGACCTCGACAAGCAGGGATTCCAACCACCCAAAAGGTCTTCGGTTTCTATTAGTTCCATCAGCCCTTCAGACAACTCTCTCACCACCCCTACTCCGTCAACAGACACGACCATATACGAAACACCCGACGCACAGCAGAACAAGAATATGGAGATCATCATTAGCTGTGTCCACGTCCTGTATCAGGTTGCACGTGCAGGGATTCTCAGTCTAAAGGAGGTTGTGGGTGATGGCGTGTTCAATTGCCTCATGTCTCTGTCTGCATTTGAAGCCAACCAAACGATATTTGAAGATCGAGGGTCTTTGGCACAAGAGGCAGATGCAGATGCAGGTGCAGATCGAAATCCAAACCCAAATCCAAATGCACCTGCAAATGAAAACACAAACACAAACACAAATGAAAAGGCGTCATCCATATCATCCGAATCTCACAGCCAGATAAATGATAGAGCGTTCCTGATCCAAAGTCTAGCCATCAAGAGCATTGCATATTTGTGTGGATTCCGTAAGCCCAATATATATATACGAAGGAATATTATCATTGTTTTTTGCCTGAATTTAATTGATTTATATATATGTGTGTGTGTGCATGTGATTTCTCTTGAGCAGCTGTCAATCAACCTAGTATTATTGAGCAAGTGCAGGGAACAGATAAGCTGGCTTGTTTATTACGATCACCGCATGACGATGTACAAAGATACATGGCAAAGTCAGTGGCCTATCTGTCCCTAAGAAATGGTAAGAACAAGAATAATAGCAAAAAAAAAAGTAAGATGGTCAATATTAAAGACGTTTATATGATTATGATTATTATTATTATTATTATTTGCTTTAGATAAATACAAGATATCCTTGCTGGGTAATGGAGGTGCTGATGCTCTTGTGTCTATAATTGCACGCTTACCATCAGAAGACTCACTTGAAGTGGAGCCCAAAGAAGAGACGGCTGGGAATATATTACCAAGCCATTCAACAGTATCGCATGTGTGTTGTGCCTTGGTAAGTAAAACATATAAAGAAAAGAGAGATGAATTGATAGGGAGAAGATTATTGATGTCATTCTGATTTTACTTACTTTTATATGTATATATATATATTTGCATAGGCCAATTTTGCAACCAACCGTACGTACCACCCAAATACTAATAGTACTAATGATAATAATTATAAATTATTATTTTTTCTCGAGTCAACAAAAGAAACTAAGTAAATATCTTTCTACTTAACAGAGGAATCTCAAGTCAAATTAATGCAACAGCCAAATATTCTAAAGTACATTTGTAATGTACCCACTGCCTTCCAAGCAAATGTAGAAATCCACCGACATGTTGCCCGTTGTTTAGCAAACTTTTCTTTGTATGGCAAGTAACAATTATATGCTTTAGTGTTTATTTGTTAGAGTTTAATTTTGATTTTCTTGGATAAAACCCATAGAAACACATTCAAAGAAAAAAAAAGGCTCATATTATCTGTCTGCCCTTTTTTTTTGTAGAAGATAACCACGTTCTGATGCTATCAGACGATCAAGAAAAAGGTCATAATGTAATTCCTACATTATTGGCCTTGAGCCAGGCACCTCAGGTTACATCTGATGTTCAACGTCATATTGTACGTGCCATAGATAACTTGAGCTCCAATGGTAAGAATTATATATCTATCAAAAAAATAATAACAATAATTATGTTTTGTAATGTAATGTAATGTCTCGCCAATTTACCCTTTTTTTTTGTATATATATATAAAATAGAAACTGTCGATCATTCAATTATGTCCAAATTTTTTGAAGATGTATATTTATTTATCATGGACATGCTTGAGTTTAACAAGGACAAAGATACCCTGAAGCGAGCCGAGAGCATAAAGAAACGGGTCGAGGAAGAGAAAAACAAGATCAAACCCAAACCCAAAAGCAAGAGTAAAAAAAGCAAACGAAGACAAAAAGGGTCTGCCGCCAAAGGACGGTCAGCTCTTCACACCAGTGACGATAACAAAGAAGAAGGCGAGGAAGAAGACAGACACAATAATGATGAGAAAAAAGACGAGAAATACGACGACGAGGATGAGGATGAAAATGAGAATGAGGACGACGAAGACTAAGACTAAGACTAAGACTAAGACTAAGACTAAGACTAAGGTTTCTGGGTTCTTACACTAGGCAGTCTATTCGAACGCTTCTTGTTGCTCATTACCTGCCTACCTGTCTTGTTTATTTGTTTTTTTTTCATGTGTGTGTGTGTGTGTGTGTGTATATCTGTGTGTAAGGAGGCTTTTTTTATCTGGTTTTTTGTTCACAAAAATCCATCCCAGAAATTGATGAAGGTATCAAAAAAATGAAGACGAAGAAGAAGAAGGGGAAGAGAAGAAGACAGGGTTATATATATATATTGGATATAAATGTATCCATTGTATTAACGATGTACACACACACATACACCTACATATATATATATATACAACCATTTTTGTTTACCCTCAAGATAAATCCAAAAATATGATAATACTATATTTCTAGGCTTGTTTTGTGAGCGAAATAGAGTATTTGATAACAAAATCCAAATAAACAAGTATTTTTTGTACACCTTTTCAAGACCTTTAATTGAAATGTAACTTTTATATACATAATATATATCTCTATGGTAACAGACTTTATGTTTAATTTTTCATTTTTTTTTTCTTGTCGCAATGAAATAAAAAAAAAAGAAGTAAAAATTTTGAAACATATAAAAAATAATTACTATTATTACAGTTATTATTATTGTTATTATTATTTTGCTGTGATACAAATCTCCTCTACTTAACAAAACCCCTCTCTACTATTAACCTAATTTTCAAATTTATCTTACTCTTCTTTAAGAAAAGAAAAGAAAAAAACTTATAACTTTATTAAATTAACTTGATCATCACAATTCAAAATGGGAGAATTAGATTTCTTGAATCAACTTGTCGAAATCCAGTACAATGCTGCAACCTCTAACTCAGAAACCCTCCAGATATTAGCCGTACCTGGTTCCGGAAAGACTCGAGGTTAGAAGAGTAATATTACGGTGACTTTAATTATTTTTTCCCAAAGAAATGTTGACTTCTAATATATCTCTATATCTATACCCATATGTGTGTATACAACAACGATATTGCTATTTATATATATATATATATGTGTGTGCACAAAATGTCAAATACAATAAAATGTAATAGTTTTGACATCTCGGATTGCCTGGTTGATTATTGCCAACGAGTTAGAGCCAAGAAGTATAGTAGCTGTCACATTTACCAACAAGGCGGCCAAGGAGATGAAGGAACGCCTTTGTTCCGAAGCATTATTGGGCTCCAAGAGAACCGAGGAATTGATGATCGGCACTTTCCACTCAGTCTGTTCCCGATTGATTAGAAAATATCCCCACTATTGTGGACTTAAGGGCAACTTTATGATTGCCAACCCCGAAAAAAGGTAAGATTTTCGTGGATTTTTTTTTTGGCTTCTAAGCGGTGTTTACTGATATTACCATTAATTTTGTGGTTTTGTAGTCGTGATATAATCAACAAGATCATTTACACCTTGCGCCTTGCAAAAGTCGAAGGTTCTAACAAGCCAGGTATAATTATACGCCAGCTTATATTAGAGAGACATGGAAATAAAGAATAAGAAACGAATGTGTATATATATATTTTTCTTATAAAAAAATAATCTTTGTAGATGTTTACTTTAACGAAATATCCAAGGCTCGTAACAAGGGTTTAGATGTGAAGAAATATGCAGACCTGCATTCTAGCTCTCCCAACAAGCAGAACACTATAAATGTGTTTAGGTACAAAGGCAACTAAAGTCTGATCATTGTATTCTCACGGGTTTTTATTTGATTAGGGCTTACGAGAAGGAGCTTTTGCGACTCAACTATGTCGTAAGACTTGCTTTCTTTTATTTGTTAGAACATATTGGTAGAAAGTATACAACATAAGCCTATTTACATGTATTGTGTTGTGTCTTATTAGGATTTTGACAGTCTGATGGTTATTGGAAGAGACTTATTAGTCAGACATCCCGAGCTCATGAACGGAACAGAGCACATTCTCGTTGACGAAGTGATATTTTTTTTTCCTTAAGAAAAAAAAACAGCAGCATATTCAGTTAATTTTCTTATCAATAGTTCCAAGACACAAATACCATACAATACCAAATTTTGAAAGCAATGGCATATGGTCGTAAGAAGGTTACTGTAGTTGGAGGTAAACCTTTAAAGATTATTTTTGTGTTAATTATTATTTAAACTGAAAGTCCAAAAAAATATAAAATATAAAATGACATATTATTTGGATATTTGACAATCAATCAATCAATCAATCAACTAATAAATGAAATATATATATATATATATACTATAGATCCAGACCAGAGTGTGTTTGGTTGGAGAGACGGTGACCCGGCCAACTTTGCCAAGATGCATGATGATTTCTCTGGAATAAATGTTATCCATATGAGCATAAGTTTCCGTAGCTCTGGAAGCATTATCGAGGCAGCCGGAAGTGTTGTCCGGATTGATCCTTCCCGTGACAGTCGCTCTTGCCGTACAGACAATCTTGTTGGTATGCCAGTAAAGGTCTTGGTTGCCGATGATGGAGAGGGAGAGGCCGATATGGTTGCCAGACAAATCATTCGTGTTCGGGATGAATCCAAAGGGCTGTTTGACTACAATGACTTTGCCGTCCTGGTCCGTACCAACTATCTAACCCGTAACTTTGAACAAGCATTCATGTTGGCAAATATCCCCTGTGTTGTCGTAAGAACTTTATTTTTATTTTCTGTCTATATAAATATTGTAGTGTAGATGCAACATCAAAAAAAATCCACTCTAAAATATCAATTTATCAATATATATATTTTCTAGGTTGGTGGACCACAATTTGTGGAAAGAGCAGAAGTTAAAGATATCCTTGGTTACTTGATTTTTTGCTTCAATCCAGAGGATTTTTTATCTTTCGAAAAAATCGTTAATGTCCCTAACCGGGGCATTAACGATGCGACTATTCAGTATCTTCGGGGGCGGTGCCTGGAGGATGGCATAAATGTCATCGATGTAATCAAGATGATTACAGGCCGTACTCCAGGCCCGCCCCCAAGATTTTACCTTTCCACAAAGGTCAAGAGCTCGTTGACCGAGCTCTTGTACCTTTTCGAGGATATCAAGCAACAGCTTGACACAAAGGTAATATTCACCAAACTACATAACTATCGTTGTACGAATCTTCCGTAACTTATCGAATATATTTGAATTAGACTCCACTACCAGAGATATTCTCTATAATCCTGGATTTGACGGATTATAGAGAGTATCTCCGCAAGGAATTTGCGGAGTCTTTCGTGTCTCGGTGGGAGAATGTTGGAGAGCTCGTCACATACGCAAGTGTGTATATTTCTGAGCTCTCCACTAGGGCCATGTAAGAACCGAAAATACGTTACATAAATGTGCTAATCTAAATCTAAATCAAACAATAACATACCATACTAAACCGAATCAATGTCTATAATATATATATATTCTAGCTCCCCCGACCAAGACCCCATCATTGGGTTCTTGGAGGCTGTTGCTCTCGGCCCCGAGCAACTCGAGCCCAATGAAGTTATGAAGGGGGTATGATTCTTTACTATAATACACAATCGATAATTAACTATGCAATTGCTTTTAAAATGATAATAATATGTATCAACAGAAGGTCACCATCAGCACCCTTCATAACTCCAAAGGTAATTTATTTGTATTTTTTACAAGGAACTTCTTAATTTATTTGACATATATTTTTCTTTTTTATTATTTCTCTTTTTTTTTTAGGGCTCGAGTGGCCCTGCGTCTTTGTGGCGGCTTGTGAGGAAGGGGTCATCCCACATTCAAGAGTCGACTCAAAGATGGAGGAGAGGTAAATAATAAATATAACTTTAAAATCACCAGAATGTATATTAAATTCATACTACTACAATATACGTGTATATCTTTAGTCGACTATTGTATGTAGGGATGACCCGAGCCAAGTGTAAGCATGATTTTAAAGCGTGGGGTGTGACCAAAGTCTAAATTACACTTTTGACTTTTCATTTATTTTTAAATAAATAATCTCTATAGGCCTTTTATATTGTTCGTACGCTAGGACTCGTATGGGCTGGTCCAACGTAATACGCAAGTATCCCAGTAGTTTCTTGACCGATCTGATCAGGCGCGAGGGCTCAAAAATCATTACACCTATTGATGTGGAGATGCTCGAGGGATATTCGAAGCTACTAAAGAGACCACTACTTGAAAATGATGCCGTTGAAGAATCCCACGCTATTTTGTCTTACCCAGCCACCCAAGAATACTCACAAATGTCACTATGTACCCAATCCTCTCTTTCTTTGTAAGTCTTTCTATAATTTCTTTGTTAAAAGAAAAAAAAACATAAATAACTATTGTATACATCTATTTTATCCAGAAGTACACAACAAAACAAGTCAATCATACAACACACCTCAGCGATGATACCCGAAGACCCATTCTCAACACTGGAGCTATCGTTTCATGAAATCGAAATGATTCTCGATGCTCCAGATAGCCCAATCCCCTCTCCAACACACGATTCCGTAAACACTCTTTTAGAAAAAAGACTGCAAGACGATGCCGAGGAATCACACGAAGAAAACTCTTCGTACAACAACAGCAGCAGCAGAAGTAGCAGCAACAGCAACAACAACGATAATAACAACAATAATAACCAAAAGAGGCTTAAAATCTCGGATGATATCCCCAAGATCTCGCCTGAATTAACCACTATTCTAAAAGAGTGCATAATCAGGTGTGTTAAGGAAGCTGGAAATACACGGCATGTGTTTGTAGTAGGGCATATGGGCTCTATTGTGAAGAATGAGCTCAAGAAGGACGGGATCTATATTCCATATGAAGATATCTGTGTCGAGGTCAAGGAGTTGCTGGAATCTCTGGTAGATTCTGGCGATATGATTTATACTCGCCACAAAAAGAACGAAAAGTATACAATTGCCGAATAATCTCTCTCACACACTCTCACACACTCCCTCACTCTCACTCTCACTCTCACTCTCATACACACATACACGCATACACACATACACGCATACACGCATACACACATACACGCATACACACATACACGCATACACGCATACACGCATACACGCATACACGCATACACGCATACACGCATACACGCATACACGCATACACGCATACACGCATACACGCATACACGCATACACGCATACACGCATACACGCATACACGCATACACGCATACACGCATACACGCATACACGCATACACGCATACACGCATACACGCATACACATACACATACACATACACATACACATACACATACACACGCACACACACACTCACGCACACACACGCACACTCACGCACACTCACTCCCAAGCTCTTTCTCTCTTTTACAGTAAATAATAAACAAATCAAAGTTGTGTATTCCAATCATTTTGCCTTTTATTCTTTTCACAGCCTCCGTTACTTAAATCTAATTTTAATATATCCAGAAACATCTATTAAAGAAGTACAATATACTATGTTAGTGTCCTATACACACACACACACGCGTATGTATATACTATTGAAAGAGAGAGAGAAAATCTAAAACCTTTAGTGGCCCATTTTCTAGATAGATATAAAACATCGTTTATTATTTTTCGGCAATAAGATACCCTTTCTTCAAAATGCATTTATGCATTCTGCTTTGCATTGATGCAATAAGATTCTGGCCCATCTCCTCTGGGATGCTATCCCACTCATTTCGGAAACGGGTCCACAATTCCTTCATTGAGCTGGTTGGCTCCAAAACGTCTACATGTTTTGGGCTGGTCATGGTCTCATTGACCTTAACAAGCTCTCCGTGACCTCTGGGCGAAAAGCATCCCCAAACCATAACGTGTCCCCCAGCACGAACAGGGAAAGTCTTACCCTTATATTTTTAAGTGCCGACTTCTTCAACTTCCACCTCCATCCCTTTCCGTCAGAATCAAAGCGATTCACCTTACACTCGTCTGAGAAGACTACACACTTCCAGTCATCTACGGTGAAGTTTATGTAGTTCCTGGCGAACTCCAAGCGCTGCTTGCGGATAGCGGGGTTTGTTTTTTACCTTCGGAGGTGGTTCCAAGGTACAGGTGAATCCAGATGCTTTCAACAAGGTACGGATTGCTGGAGCCTTCACAGCAAAACCTTCACCACACAGCTGTCTCTCGGATTGGGTGGTCGTTATGAATTCCTCATTTAAGAACGCATAGATAATGCGGTGGGTGAGCCTTTCGTCAATTTGGGCAGGTCTACTTCCCATACTTGCAGTAGGAAGGAATGTACAATGCTTCTTTTTCATTGATGTCTCTTTCTCTTGACACGTAGTAGTTTGTTATTTGAGCTGCCAGCCTTTGGGAATATGGCTCCCCCTTCTTTGCTTGACGGTACTGTCGGTAAGATATTCGCTTCTCTTTTGTGTGAAATACGGAATATTTTATTAGAAAGAAAGAAAGACAGAACAAAGTGCAAAAACAGTGTTGGGTCAATGCGTAAAGAAATAAAATAAAATAAGGATGCCAAAATCAGTCACGAGACCGAGAGAAGGTGACATAAAAAGAAAAAAGAAAGGGTATTACGTACGCACTTTTTTTTTATGACTATGATATACATATATATGTATTTCCTACAATTGAAATAAAGAGCAACATTTGACTCCCCCCCCCCCCCTTTTTTTATTTAATTTTTATTTAATTTTACTTGATTTCAATTATTTATCTTTTGACCGTTTTCCTTGCCTTGCAAAAAAATAAAGAGAGAGAAAGAGAAAGTTGTATTAAAATTATATGCTTATGATTTATACCAAAAGTGCATAGCAACTTATTTAACCAGATGCTCTTGGTTTATACCCAAATTATCTCTTGAAAAGAAATCAAGAGTTATGAGGTATACATTGATTAGAATATTTTGTATATATATATATATTTAATTTTTGCTTCTAGAGACTCATAGGCTTAATATTATTATTAAGTCACCATACAAATATATAGATATATCTTTTAGTTATTGCTACTTGCAAGTGATTTGGGTATTGGGTATTGGGTATATAGTATGGTTTATCATGTGAATTGTTCTTCTTCTTTTCTTTTTCTATTGAATTCTGAACCTTGAACCTTGAACCTTGAAAACCTTTTGTTCTTTATTTCTTCCTGTGCAAGTAGCTTATATTAAATTTTCTAGTCATTCTTCTGTATTTTGCTGGCTACCGCAGTAAAAAATAAATAAAATAATAAATAAAATAATAAAAATAAAGGGACATTGTATTACCCAATAATTTGTAACCTTTGTTAGTCATTATAGATTAGGGACCTGGAGACCAAATCAAAAAAAAAGAAAAGAAAAGAAAAAGCTTAATGGTGGTTTTAGATTAACAAACATTTTATTTACTTTCATTGTACTGTTTAATAGAAATTTTATACCAGCAAATGTACTATTGTGATTGTTTCTTTTATTTTGCGCAGGTTAGTGTTGGAGTGAATCTTTATCATCAAACACCTGCTGTAAAAGCAGCTATTCTATACTACAGTTGTAGTTTAGTTCAATATCATATTAGTTAATAATTCTAAAGGGAATTGTACTGCATTAAACATAGTAAAACTTACCAACACATATATGTATATAAATCGAAAAAAAAAGTTAAGATCACTAAATAGGTTAAAGATCGACTTTTGTTGTTGTTGTTGTTGGAATACAGAATCATATAGCTCTATAGACTTCTCCTTGTGCAGCTTGTCAGTAAAAAGTTTGGTCTGTTGCATAATTTACACCAAATTTGTGGAATTGCTATAGTGTAACCATGCATCCCAATAAAATCACGGGGAGGAGGGTATGGGTTTGGTATTGGTATTGTTGTAACCCGGGGGTGAGGGTGTGTTTATCTGCAAAATAGGGATAATAATTTGGTTAAATGTAACATGGAAAATAAATTATTATATTATAATATATATTTGATTGCTGTGTTGGTCTTACAATCCCCTTTCCCCTCCTCCTCAGGAAGAGAGGGCACTCAAAGAAAAATATTATGGCAAATACTCCTTTAGATACTTAATAATGACTCAAATGCTTTGGTTCTTGTTTTTTTTTGGGTGGTATCAAATATCTGGGCATACAAGACAGACAAATTAGGACCCCTCTAGAGTTGCTGACTTTACACATGACCTCACCGACAGAAAGTAGGGTCAGTTTATTTCACATCTTTGAAAGAAGTGTTCCCGGATTTCTAGTACGTTACCCACGTCAGTGATATGATAAAAAATAAATAAAATAAAAATTGTTTGGTCGGCGCTGATTATGTATTCTCCTTCAAGGCTAAATCCAAAATAATAATAATAATAATAATAATAATAATAATAATAATAATAATGAAGTAGAAAATCAATTTCTTGATGAATCAATAATAATTAATTAACCAAAGAAAAATCCAGACTTTATTTTTTCTTTAATTGAAAGGAGAATAGTTTAATTATACAATTATATATTGAAGTGTGTATTGGCTACACCAGTGATAGATAATTATCTGAATCAAAAATATACTCGAGGTTTATCCATGATCAAGATATCCAGGCTTAATTATAATATTTATTTATACAGAATTATCATCATCATCATCACTATCGTAATGATATCCTTCTTGGTTTACATATAATTGTGATCCGACTGCATATTAAGCTGGTTTTGTTCTTGTTCTCCAATAAGATTTCCCAGAAAATCCTCTATTGTTTTCTCATAAAGAAAAAAAAACATTAGAAATAACAGAGGCAGTTGGTTATTTGATGGTTAATGTTATAGGCCTTTTTTTCTTTCTTCTTTTTAGCTTGTATATTATTATCGAATATTCTGACATTCCTAGGCTGATATGCGATTAGTTTCCATACTTAAATAAGACAATACAATATAAAATAGGCCCAAGATTTGTTCTGATCAGACTTAGTGTGTACCTCCCTGTATATCCAATACAAACGTTTCCACTAATTATCACTATCACTATCATTATCAGATAGCATTATTAATATAAAGGAAGAAAGTAAATCATTAGGATCAAATTAAAACCCGTGGGCACTATGAATAGTATAGCTTACAACTACAAGCAAATAAAGGCCTTTTATATACAAATACAAAAGTTATACTTGTAAACCTATCAGTCTAACCTATTGAGCACAGGGAAGAATTAAAAAAAAAAATTCCTCTCCGCCAAGCGACAAGAGAATTTAAAGATTTTCCATCATTAAAATTATAATTTACAGCTCTGGTCCAAAATTTTAACATGCACTTGGTTAACAAAGACACAACAATAGCAACAGCAACAACAAAATATAAAGATATTATATAGCATGCTATGATATTCTATGAATTGAACTAAATTGAATTTGACTTTCATGTACAAGATCGTGTATTTAACCCAAATCATATTCTAGACAATTCTTACAGCAAAATAATAATAAAAAAAAGGGCAACCTCACAAAAGAGATACAAATTGATATAAAAGTAAACGTGCTGTCAATAAATGACACATCACTTTTGACCATTATCTCGAGTAAGACGGTACAAATAAGAGTAATTATACATGTACAAACCACAATTTATTTTTTAATAATTACCAAATAACAGTAAAATACACTACGCTTATCTTTTCAACACGACTTGATATCAAAGATCCATTCGGATTTGTGTACCTAATTATCTACGCCACATGGATATATCTATTATATATTATATATATGTAAGGCGGGCTGTGCGTAAGAACCCTGGTCTATTGTATTGGTATATAGATTCTTACTATTATTTTGGTTGACTACCCTTACATTTATTTTCTATAAAATAAAAATAAAAATAAAAACTGGGTGCTTGTAATAAAATAAAAAATAAAATAAAAAGTCAAAGGCTATTCTTATTGATCCTGTTTGGCGCAAAACCAAAACCAAAACCAAAAAAAAAAAGGTTATAAATGCCGGTTGCTTCTCAAATAGAAGCTAAACCTCATAAATCATCTCTATTTTCAAACTTTCGGGTTTCAATATTATTTTCTTTTTGAAGAGGTGCAAAAAGAATAAATAAATTCAAAGCTCGAACCAATTTGTATTTGTATTTGTATTTGTATTTTTTTTTATCAATTGTATGTCTCAGTTTTGCGGATATGAAACAACATCAATATAAAGCTATTATTTATTTATTTCGGTGATTTGATTATCCTATTAGTCTCTTAAAATAATAATATTTGTATAGGGTCTTTAACGAACATCTTTAATATATATATATTTTAAGCAAAAAAAAAGAGAGAATCGATTATATACTACATTACACACTATAAAATAAATAAATAAATAAATAAAAATAAATAGGAAAACATTCTAGACGTATATTTCTTCAAGTAAAAGCTTATGTACGACAGCCATTTTGTTGTTTTCATTAAAAATAAATATATAGATAGATATTATACCGATTATAGCAAAGGTCGTCTTCTCCTTTGTTTTTATATGGCTAGAATTCTTGCCGGAGAAAGAAATATGGACTTCTTCTAATCCCTCCCCGTGGGTAGGTTAAGGTCCTTAATTCGGTGCGACAATGATATTTAGTTATTTATATATGCATGTGTGTATATGTTTGAAAGAGAAAGTCTACGGACATACTTGCCTGCATGCACACAAGATCTATCGTTATACATAACTCTTACTATCAAGTAGCTTTATTATAGCCCTTTTTTCTTTAAAAAATAATAATAATATCATATTTAGTAATATGTTTTATAAATAAACCAAATAACTAATGTACTTCTAATTGAGCGGACAAGTACGCAAAAATAAACACTGGATACCATTAATTATTGAGCCACTTTCGATTATATTATATATATTCTTTTTACCCATTTTGAGAACTATAATGATTAGAGTAACATAAGTTTTTCTTTATATAAAAATATATATATAAATAAATAAATAAATAAAAAGCAAGAATAGCTATGTATATATGTGTATGAGATGAATGGTTTTATTCAAACCCATAGGGTGGAATGACAGTTAAATGGGCAAGAAGGAATGGTGAAGAAAAGAAAGAATTCAATGCAAAAATAATATTAAAAAAAAAAGACACCAAAGGGAAGGAAAGGTGTATTATTGTTATTATTTTTTTGTCAATTGTTTGATGTTTTTTTTTTCTACAATTATTTTTTTTTGTTTGTGTATGTGATTTTAGTTCTTGGGCTTGCTGGGCCAGTTCTTGGATGAACCACACTTGACGGCCTTCCAGCTGATGTCGAGGACACCAATGTTAAGGTCACCCTTGGGAGCGAGCTTCTTGAAGGCAGCAGGAGTCAAATCAATGGCCTTGCCTAAAAGTGAGTAAAGAGTACATGTAAAATGGTAACCGATCGTTAGTTAGTAAAGATGCATTTGAACACAAAAGATTATTTATTATTATTAGTATTAGTATTAATAATCATATTAATACTAATAGTAAGATATTTAAATATGCTTAAATATACTAAATACGTACCAACTTTGCAGCCAGCGCACTTGTCAACAATACGAACAGTGACGGTGAGCTTCTTGTTCTTGTTGTTGGTAATCTTCATACACTTGTAGCAGTTCTCGAATTTACGCATGGCCTGTGAAAAAACAAACAAATGCATTAGATTTATGATTGTGATTAATACACAAAATGCAATGCAATATAAATATTTATATTTATGGTTACAAAAATTAATTTGTATCAACGTTACCATGGCACCGATCATGGAGTGGATAGTGGCAGAGTAAGGAGCGAGACCATTACGATCGTAACAAGCAGCGTTCTTCAAGTCGTTTCCAGAGTACCTGAAAAAATATATATAATCAAAACACATTAGTCCAATTGCTTTCTGTACATAAAAATAACAATAGTAATAGTAGTAAAGAAGCAAAAAGAAAAACAACATATTTGGAAGCTAAATGTGTATTTTGTAAAAGCCCTGAAAAAAAATTAAATAAATGTAAAAATACGTTAAAGCGACTTTACCAAGTACCACGACCACCACGCTTCTCGAGACCGACGTCGGTGGCGTTGGAGAAAGACATCATGGTGGCGAAACCGGTCTGTTCCTCATTGAAATCTTGGGCACGAACGCTGGTGAACAATGCGGCGACAAAGGCAACGCAGAAGCTGAGGTAAATGAGAGACTTCATCTTTAGATAATTGGTTGTCTTTGTTTTGGTTGGATAATGAGTGGTGTGGGGGGTTTGTTGTTGGTGGAGGGAGGGTTGAGAGAGGTGGAAGGGGGGAGCAAAGGAAAGAGATGAAGAGAAGAAGAAGAAGAAGAAGAATTAAGAAGAATAATCGGTTGGTTAAAAAATCATTGAGAAAAAACGTAAATTGTAAATGAAACGTGGACTGCCTTGTTACTGGATCTGACCAGTAAAATGGGCAACTAATTTTTTTTTTTTTACTATTGCTGGACATAGCAACATGGGCACACGAACATAAATTAAGTGTTATGAAATCTACGGCTGACAAGAAGATGGAATTTGCCAAAATTTGAGTAGGAGATTCTTAAGGGTACTAAAACTCGTGCGAGAAACTCCAGTAGAGGAGATCTATTATAGGACCCTCAACGTGCTAAAACTATATAGTAGAAAGAAAGAAAAAAAAACCACTATTCTGGCTCTCTATTGTATATATTTATTCGATTCTGTTTCATAATCTAAAACATAGTGGTTCTTCTTGGGTGTGAATCACAGACCAAGGATTCACAACAAATATATATATATAATAAAATAGTAAATACTCTTGTCCTCCCGTACTTCCCACAAAGACGACAATTTTGGGGGTATGTGAGACTCTTGGCTCCCCGCCGAATGCTTGATTTTCATCCGTTTAAAGTAAATATACCAGAAAACAGAGAGAGAAAAAAAAGGAAGACAGAGAAGGAAAGAGAAAGTTTCAAGACAGGTAGATCATGGCGATCGTTTGTAAGCCCACTCAATTGCATAGTTTCTATGTCTTCTTCGCATTCTTTTTTTTTTCGGTCTGTAGAACACATAGGCGGGTTGTTCAAGTACACAAAAGGAACATTTGGCTCCCAAGAAGTCCCATAAACAGAGATAATATCAGCCTAAACTAGAAGTGTACCTTGGACCCTCTTACCATTTTCATTTGGTCTTGACTCAGCTCAGTCTACAGCTAATATATCATTGTGTTTCCCGAGAACAATGAAGAATAGCTCATTCGTTAGTTTTCCTGAAATACACCATATCAAGAAACATATCTTTAGATACACTTTAATATGATTCTATATCACTCTATGTACATATAACCCATGGCTCTTATTTGACCTTACTTTGTTGTTGGGCAAATAGGTTCGTTGCTATACAAGCGTCCTGTTATTAAAAATGTGCCTTTAGGTTTCTTTTTTTGGAAATGGTTAATTTTTTATTATCATTATATAATATATGTCTGTGTATAAGTGGTCTTTTTGTAATATTTGATCTCCGGCATATTCAGTACATCTCCAAATCCCCCTTCCTTATTGCCTGTCTTTTTTTAGACCCGCTTACCCATTTAGAGTTGTCTGTACGAGCTCAAGATCTCATTAAATAAAATAAAATATATTAAAATATTAAAAAAACCAAAAAAAAAAAAAAAGACTATTCTTTTCAAGAAACCTTCCTCGGCTTTGGGATTTTTTGGATCAGAGAATACAAATTGTCTAGAATTCAGAATGCATGGTGGCCCTATATCTGACAGATCGATTGAGCCTGAAAATTTTTCAATAAACCGAGAAATAAATAAAGAAAAGAAACGATATTTTGTTCTCTTTAGAGTCTTTATCCTTGAATCAACTGGCCATTTCAAAATCGAATAAACATAATTATTTTTATATATATATATATATAGGTGCGTGTGTTACATATATATCTGTATACACACAACTAAACACTATCATTAATATGATTACATTCAATAGGGGAAATAGATATATAAATAAATAGTACGCACAAGGTCCTACATACTATATATCTCATGTAATGTAATCTAATAAACGGGATATTTATTGATGCAAGATAACATCAATGCTGTGATGAACGGCTTGAAACCAGACTTTGAGATCAAAATTTTGAATATATTGCCAAGATCCTGAATTCAAGCAAAATAAAAAAAAACTCTAAAATATTGCAAAAAGGGCACAACCTTGCCGCCACATTTGTAAAATCTTTCATTTCACTAAACTTATAGTAGCACATTGATTTATGCATAAAAATTTTATATAAATCTTTTTACCCAAAGACCTATCCCTCTATACACACAATCTTAAAGGCTATAATGAATAATGAATTTGCTTTTTAGTTTTTTTTATTATTATTATTAATATTTCATTATAGCCTTTTGACTCATGAATCGTAGCAGAAATAATGATCGTAAAAATTAAGATATGGTTAAATTTAAGATAAAATATATATATAGATGTGAATATAGATATCTATCTTATATATACATATATGTTTTATGTATGTGTATGTATGTATTTATGCGTGTATAAAGTAAAATAATAATAAAAAAGCCAAATGAGCCGGATAAGTTTAAATTTTCCTAAGTAGGGACGATAGGCATACGCTTGCGACCATTAGTAGTGGGCCCCTTTTTGGCTTTTGTGTCAACTGCTTCGATGCCAAATTCATCGCAACGATTCAATGCCAGGGTCAATCGAACTGACATACGGTACTCAAAATCGTATTTAGTGCATGCCAAGGCAAGTTGCCAAAGCTGACGACTCTTTTGCGCATTACCCAAGCCCCAGCTTGTGATTCCCGATTCTAGAAAGCAAGAAAAAGATAAGAGATATGGATTATCAGTAACCATTATCATTATAATAGGCAAAGAGTACAATTCTTTCTTTTTTCTTTCTTTGAAATTTGTCACAAAATAGAAAGCTTACCCCAGTAGGCAAACGGTGCTACCCAAGTCTCATGCTTAATAGATTCCTTGTGGTCAATAATCCAATTGAGATGGGAAATGCATTCGGTGTATCGTCCCAACGTATTCAGGATCGATGATTTTATCAACAGCAAAACTGCCCGCTGGTCATAATAATTCGGTGGGGTTGTGGTTGGCACAAGCTCCCTCAGGCGAATTGTGTACTCCATCTTCTCACGCTCATAAATCAATTCAAGAGTCTCGTGAACTCTCTTGAGAGCCTTTTCAAGACAACCTTTGTCCATGTGCTCAAACCCATTCAACACCAAAATGAGTTCAAGGCCTGGCAGACTGAAATCCATGTCCTGGTAGCCACTGCGCTGGAAGAACTCAACCTTCTTGTGGACATAGGCATCCATGTACGTTTTCTTGGTCGGGTATTCCTTGGCCAGCTGTGGAACCTCTGCAAAGGCCAGAATGCCGTCTGTACGCTCACCCAGCATGTCCCGGCAGGCGCCAACAACGTATTTTGCGAATGAAGGCGACCAGTACTTTTCTTGGGCAAGATTCTCAAAGCATTCGGCAGCACTTTCCCAGTCAAGTTGGAGCATCAGGTTGACACCAATCTCATAATCCGACAATTGCTTCATCGCATGTTCAGCCCATTCTCCCCTGCTGGATTCAGCAGCAAAGTCGAACGATTGAGTAGACAAGGGAATATTACGGGCCACACGGGATGTGTGGGCCGCAAAGAATAGGAAGAAACAAGAGTTTGGATGGTTTTTTTGAGCATCCAAAAGGCATTCAATCGCAGGGCTCATGAGCTCTTTAGCGTATAACTGAGGAGCGAAAGAAGTAAGAACAGAATAATAGGTAAGCAGACTACAGAACAAACAAACAATATGTTAATGTTAATGTCTTATTTCAATTTCTATTTTTTTGTATGTTTATATTTCTTCTTACGCAAGAGAAGCCAGAGGCGAGCGAAGCCCTCTGCCTTCAAGACAGAGTTTCAGAAGAGCGAATCCAAGCTGCTTGTCACCTTTCCATCCAAAGGTGGAGAAGATTTTGAGAATCTTGGACGGCATAGAAGACATAAGGAGATGCACAGCACCAATTCCAAACTGGATTCCAGATACAGTGTTATGGTCTATATGATTGTTGTATTCTTGGCCCATGCGACGATATTCCTGCCACACAATACTATAGCTGTTGTATGCTATTTGTTTTAATGGTTGTTTGTTAGTCATTGTTTCTCTAAAGAACTCCTTAAACATTGTATCTGTATCTGTATTACCCCGACGAAGATTAAGTCCACATTTAAGGTAACCGATCACACTTTCTTGTGACATCTGAAGGACTCCCATCAATAGACAGCATTCGGCCTTTGCTACATGGGCACGGAGCACACCGTTAGGAATGAATGTCGGCGGGTCGTTGGAGGTGTCCTTGAGTGGGATAATAGGAATAGGCGAAGGAGGAAGACCGGTGCTACCAGAGCCAAAAGTGGCAAAATAATGGAAGACCGAATCCTTTAGAGGCTTTTTGTAAGGAGAATTATCGACTTGAGTTTTTCCAATAGTGTAAGCAGTGGCCAAGGCATTCATAGCAGAAGCCATATCTTTCTCATCAAAGGTCTACACATTTCATAAGAGTTTGATTAAATAAGCATATGTTACTCTTTGAAATACTCAAACTCTGATAGCGTCAATAAACATTTACTTACCATCATAGCTAAAATAATACAAAGTAGTATACATATATATACAAAAAATCCATTAAGTGACATGAACTCTTGTTTATATAAATTATCCTCCTTTTCCAAGCTTTCTTACCTTTAATAAAAGCCATTGCACCCAATCCCAATGCATATACAGGATCACTGGAAGATTTACAATCATTTCATAAGAAAGCCTTCAAAAACCCTCAAAGAAAAAGAATCGTAAGAATATACTTACATGTTTGCTTTTGTCTGGAATATACCCTTTGCTCTCATAAACTGGTTATCAAACAATAAATTGATTCCTTCTTGTACCGGCTCATCTAGAATATGTATTGATTAAAATTGTGTTTTAATAATAATAATAACAGTAGTAGTAGAAGAAGAAAAAAAAAACACCCTCTTTTGCTAGTAGTTCTTACCAGCTTTTTCTTGTTGTCTTGGTGTAAAGTCATTGATAGGAATACTTTTGATATCGATAGCTTGGATTGCGAGCGTGTTGTCTTTGAACACATCCAGATCAACAGGAGGCTCAATGGGAAACTCTAGCTCTCTTTCCTTTCTGGCCTCGATATCATTTTCCATATCATCGGTGGCTTTCTTGATATCTCTTGTGGGCTCTTTGTTGTTGTATTCACGTAAAGAGTCGCTAATAGCAGGTAAGATAGATCCAAGGCAGTCCCTGTCATCATCATCAGAGTCACTCGAAGTACGCTCGCTTGGTGCCTTGGATACTTTCTCAGGATCACTATCTTCGTCAGATGCTGTTTGAGAAATAGCAATTCCACTGTCTCCACCGTGAAACACGAGCTTGTCATTATCACCCTCAGCGCCATCTGTTATAATTAAAGGGGTGACACCTTTGCTGTCGTCATTTTGCGGCTGTTTTAAACTTTGGAGTGGAAGATGGACTACACCAGCTGCAGCAAGTACAGATGCCACAGCTGCAGCAACTGCAGTGCTTTGATCTTGCTTAGTAGCCATGTTCTCTGCAGATGTCTCCAAAGCAGTTGTCTTTTGAACAGTATCTTGCTTGTCGTGTGGGAACTGAGATGCTGTAGAGTCATGTGTTGTCCTAAGCGTTTCTGATCCGAAATTTTTGCTTTTTTTTAAAATGTCATTGTTCGCCACCTCTGCCACACCCAAATCTTGTGAAGAAATATGCACTTTCTCTGGGTCGTTTTCGGATTGGTTCTTTGATACAGGTGTTACACCCACAACAGGCTGGCTTAATAAAGTGTCTGTGACTTTGGGTTTTGCATGCATTTCTTGGCCTGTGATTTCATCCTCTGCAACAAATAGCGTTTCCTTCAAAACCACATCTTTTGGGTCAACGGCCGATGTATTTGTGGGTGTATGTACATCGTCTTCATTGGTTATTTTGGCGACTTTGGTTTCCAAAGGATCTGCTGTTATTTCCTTAATATTTGGGTGCACAACCGATCCAGACATGGACTCGATAGTAAGGCCTTCAATTTCTGTAACAAAATCAGGCAATTGCTCTTTTGCAATAAACATCTCTTTCCTATCCTCTTTTGGGTGCGGAATAGTACTGCTACCACTAGTAGTGACCGGGTATACTTTTGCTGCTGTGCTTTTTAGAGGAGAATCATCATCATCGTAATCATCTTCATCTTCCAAAGAGTCATCATTATCATCATATGCGTCCTCAAAAACTTCACTTGCAGAATCAAGACCATAGAAAGATGAAGCTCTGGACCTGGATGCGCGTGGTGTAGCCACATCGCCGTTTTCTTCCCCTTGAGTTTCTATAGTGGGAAGATTACAAAAAAAATTATAATGAAAATCAAATCTTACTTAATATCAGCAGTGTAACCGATGTTTTGGTAATTACCATTGGTCACTGCTTTTGGAGTGTTTTCTTTGGTTTTGGTTTTGGTTTTGGTCGGAGACACAGGTTCCTGTGATACCTCGCAGCTCTTGCTTTGGTCCAGCTCTTCCTCAACACTGATCAGACTAGGATCAACTTTGGCTAGGTTGGTGGAGGAGTCCTGCTTCTCAGAGTCAGTAGATTTTTGGGAGTCTTGAGATTGGACTGATGCGATAGATTCTGGTCTTCCAGCTGGTCGCTTGATGCTGATACCTCTCCAGGGGGTTTTCTTTGCAGGAGCAGCGACTGGTTTAGCTGGACTTTTTGCCATAGTGTGGTTAAGAGAAGAAGAAAAGAGTGGAAGGGTAATAGAGAAAGAAAGTGAAGAGAAGAAGATTAAGGTGAAAAGAGAGAAATGAAAGGCTAGATGAAGTTGAATTGGAAAGAAAGAGATGTTATGAATCAAGTTTAAGATTATTACTATATTTTATTTTCAAGTCACCATATCTAATATTTATATCACACATGCTGAAACTCCCACTGGATTTACATTAATGGTTTATGCTTTTAGTTCTTGTCTCTTGTAAGCTAATGCCAATTGGCTTATTGATATATTTCCTTCATTTATTTTCAACTACCCAGAAAAAAAGCATGCCTTCTTAGAGGACCGATAGATCTATTTTGTCACACATTCATGTGAAAAATAAATTCAAATAAATTCAAATAAATTCAAGTCAAAGCAATTCCAAAGCTTAATTACAGCCAAAATAATAACATTAATATTATTATTATAAAGCGCACTCTCACGCTTCCTGAACTTCAATATTTCTCAAGTACTTTTATAGATGTATATAAATGTGTATATGTTTGTGTTTATGCAGTCAAATCTATAGCTCTATTGACCTTCTTCTCTCATCCTTCTCTAGGTAATGAAAAGATACAAGAAGCTAATGAATACCATATATGTGTCTGTAGTCTAGGCAAAATAATAATAATAACAACAGCAAACGAATCAAAACCCAAGAAAAAAAAACCAAAAACCAACAAAAAAAAAAAGGAATTGAGTAGAAATATTTACAAAATATAAGAAAGTATAGTGAGGAAGAAAAGAAAAATAAAGTAAAGTAAAGAAAAGATGGCTAGTAAAATTAGTAGAGTATCCAAACCACCTCTTCCTTTTGTCTTTGTCTTTGACTTTGCCTTTGTCTTTGTCTTTTTTTTTGTCTTTGTCCTTGTTCTTTAGATCTCTTTCTCTCTAATTTATCTAAAGGAAAAAAGGAAAGAAAGAAAGAAAGAAAAAGGGCATTAGACCGCCTCCGACCATCTAATCCCATCGTCTCCTATCAAAGTCTTCGTCTGGAGAACCTCGCCGTGAAGAGCTTGCAGAAGATCTATAGTAAGGAGGAGATTGGCGGCCACCGTAGTAACGATGGAAACGGTAAGGCGGTGGGGACGGTGGATGACGGTAGTAAGATGAGTAATAGTAATTTCCTGGGGGACGGAAGGTGGAGGCTGACCGGGGATAGTCAGGGAGGTAACGGTCGCTGCCAAGGTCGTGGGAACGGTATGATCTATCTCTACCATAAGGTGACTCATCTCGGCTGCGACGGTTGTAGTAGTAGTAGTCACTCGCACGATGCGATGCAGGCCGGCTAGCATCATTCCTCGTCGCGGCGACTTCTGAACCGATGTCCAACATATTGAACGCCGGACTTAGCGAGGTCGAAATTATATTCTCTCTACGTTGATCTAATTCTCTATTGGGAACCCAGCTGTCTCTTGGTTCGTTTATGTTGTCTACTTCTTTAACCATTGATTCTGGGGTTATCTGAGCAGGTTCGTCTTCTACTTTCTTTGGGATCTTATCCTCCTCTTCCTCTTCTTCTGGTTCACGCAGGGTATCGAGTGAGACGCTCGTAGCTCGGCTGTCAGACTTGTCATCCACAGAGTGGTTGAGGGGTGAATCCACAAACAATCGTTTTTTCTTTGAGATCCTCGCAGCAAAGCTAGGACCGTGTGTATCAATAAACTTCTCAATCTTTAGGCGACGTGAAAGATCCATTCCTTGAAACTTTTTTGAAGAATTTGACTCTCGATCAACAATATGGTGTGTAATCTAAATTGTTATTATTTTTAAGAAGATAAAAATGATAAAATAAATACACAATGTTCAAACTGCTATTTGATACATCTTCTTCTTCGTCTTTCTCATCATCACAATCATAAGCATAGTAACCACCACTTACTTTGCGTGCCAGCTCCTTGAATAAATGTCTATCTCCATGCCAAAGAGCAGATTGTCTTGTACTTAGATATTTCGTCACAACCTTGCCAACTTCTTTTTTGATTTCTGCCTCATCAAAACCAGCGCTATCTCCAAGAGGTGTTGCATCAGTACTCGTAGAAGGCGTCGTTAGGCGAGGAGACCGATCGGTTCTGCTTGCTGGACTTTCACTACTGGTATTTCCGTTCTTCTTCTTCTGTGCGTCCATAATCGCTCGTTCGACTAGTCCAGTGAGCTGTGCTTGATCTACACCTTCGATAGAGCTGACCCTCTCTTCTGGAAAGTCCCACTGCGATTTTCCAGTTATCTTGCTGTAGTAATACACCGTTCCGTCTTCGCAAGTCGCCATTCGCCAATTCAAGGGTAGTTTGCTGGCAGCAACTGGGCTTGGTGTGCTTACTATGTGCATTTGTGATGGCGTGGTTTGGGAAGGGTTGTCGTAGTAACCTGAGGATTGAAGTGAATTGTTGTTCATCGAGTCAATAAGTCTAGAATCTGATTCTGATAAAGAAAATCCTGTGTCAAAAGCGTCATTTTCTACTCCACTATTTCCATTCATTTCTGAATACAAATAGCGATTAGGTTCCGGCTGGGTTGGCGAGTCGGTCTCTGTTGGGCGGTTGTAATATTTGTGAGATAAACTTGGAGCATAATCTAGCATTGCACGTGGGGCGGTTGGGATGATAGGTACAGGTGGGTACTGCAACTTCCAATGAATCTCTTCGGGTGTTGCATACATCGACAGGTATTCAAAGTAGTCGTCGTCAGGATCAAAGAATTCGCGTGTGGAGCTGTATCTTGCCCGCTTGTTCGTCCGTAGTAAATATGAGCCGTAGTCGCTGTCTTCTTCATCCTGACTTAAGCCCATTCTTTCCTCTAATATAATAAAATCTGGTTAGATTGGATATTTTACTTGCTTTGTGTATGTGTACAGAAAGTCTATTCACTCACCAAACGTCTCTTTGTGTGCAGGTTGTGGCTCCACATACTGTAACCATAATGTATATTAATATATGTTTTAATATAATTTATGGGTTTCCATGCAAACTACCTGTCCTACCATTCTTTTTGGGATTCTGTAGATACTTTTGAGGTTTTCCCATTTTTCGATCAGAGCTTCGGCCATTTCACTAATCTCTTCGTCTTCATGATTCGTGAGTTTCCTGACTACATCAATCATCTTACAATCCTCTAGCCCATTCCTGTTGGCTAGTGGCAATTGATCCAGGACATGTAGTACCTAGTAAACAGGACCAAATATACATACAAACATACACAGTAATTCTATTAGTCATCTGTAATCATATCATTCTTTCTTTCCTTTGATATCCAAGCCTAACCTTCTTTACGATATCTTCGTCATTCTTCCATTCTCCAAGCCAAAATTTGAGCATCTTTAAACCATGTAGCCACAAAAACTGTTTCAAAACCTCTTTTCCTCGGGATGTGTTTGGATTTGTGAGTTCGAGACGACGGAGAAGTTTGTTGACCAGATGCGCTTTTCCAACTGAGTCCAGCATCTTCTTCACAAAGGTCTGTACTTCATCTGGATCTTGGAGGGGTTCAGAATGACGACGGCGATGTCTCTTCAGGTTCTTTTTCTTTGGCCAAGACGACTCTGTGCTATCCGATTCTTCTTCTTCCTCTTCTATTTCTTCTTCACTGGGTGATACCTCACTCTCTTCAAATTCATCACTCTTTTTGTCCGACGCACCAATGAACCCCTTACAGTTTGGCATCCCACAATAGCACTTTTGGGCAACCGCACTAGACATGTCCTTGTCAGTCTTGGCTTTCATGATACTTTGCATTTCGCTTACCCGTAACGCTCAAACTTGTAGTCAAATGTCAGTTCCTCTCCTGCTCTAACCGGACAATCAGTGAAAATGCCAATGCGCATCGTTTTTCCGACTACCCATTTCTGTGTGACACAATTGGGATTGCAAGAATGATTTATAAATCGCGCAAGGCAACCTTTTTTTGTTGCATCGATGATCTAATTATATTATATAATTTTTTTGTTCAAAAAAAAAAGGGTGTCATATTATGTACAAGGTATTATTATTTTAAAGAGAAAAAAAAATTAGAGTCTAAAATGGAACTTGTATATTTTATTATTATTATTATTATTATTATATATGTATGTGAAGAAAATTACCTCGTCTGTTTTAAGAGTCATAAAGTAGTAATGCTCTAGACCTTCCTCTTCATAGTCTTTGGTTCGTCTGATAAATTCAATGTTTGGGATAACCTCCCCAATATACTCCATAATGAATGCATTTCTACAAAAGGACAATACGTCTTAGGGTTACCCAAAATTCAAAATTACATTCCCTTGCATTTTGACAGATTCATCCCCCCCCCCCCCCCCCCCTTCCTCCCCCCCAAAAAAATTCATAACTTACGTTGGTAGATCTGTCAAAGCTCGTAGTCCAAAGCCCTTTTTTTCCGTCTGTATAACATCCACCCTTGCGTATTGACGTAGTTGAAATCTGCGATTACGACAGAACCGGCCACATGGACAATCGTCAACCATGCACTCCATGAACATTAGTCTGTTGATACAGGTGTGATCGTCTCCACATGCTTCACTGGGATCATCGATGTCGGGGTCATATTTGCATTCGCATGGCATCGATTCTGAAGCGATTGATTTGCCAGTTGCCGAACCGAAGTAAATGTTAGCAGGAATGTTTTCGTAGGTCTGCATGGCGTCAGCCGTTGCTGACGGGAGCATATCAAAGGGTAATTCTTTGTCGTCCTGGAACTCATAAGTCTGCGATTCCGTTTCCATGACGATTGAGAGTGTAGTCCAAAGGACTACGCGAACATAGACGGAGAATGCTGCAAAGTTCTTTTATTGGTTGGTTATAGCGAATCAAAATAAAGCAAGGAAAATTTTTTCGATAAAATGTCTAGGATGCGCAATGATTTGGATACTTTCTATGCTGTATTTTGAATGAAGCAATAAAGAATTTTTATCTGTTTCAACAAGACGAAGTATTTCTACTTGTTCAGGTCTCTCCTTGTCATCCAATCTCTTGCTCTGTTGAGAACCCCCTTTTTTCTAAAAAAATAAAAAATAAAATTACCGTAGCCAATCGGACTTGGGAACAATAGAAGCAATCAAACAAGTTAATGATTTATATTAAAGATCTTGTTTGATATAAACATGGTCCAAGAAGTATCCTATATATTTTTCTGAATAAAAAAAGCATATTATCCTGGCGATTATAATCAATATACACCGTTAAATTAAATTAAATTAAATTAAATCGAATTGCATTGAATTGTATTGGATTATCAATATTATTATCATTATCATTATGACTATTTTATGCCTGGAAAGAACGATAGATTTGGTACCACCAAGATATGCAAAAGATAAAATTGATTTCATTTTTTTTTCCTTTTCATCTTATACTTTTTTTTTTAATTTTTTTTTTGCTTGTGTTGCATCGTCTTAAATTCTAGGGCTGACTAACCCTTCAAGACAAGGAAGCTCATATAACCCATAACATTCTTCTTTGTTACAAAAAAGAAAGTACATAGCATACATTACCAAAATAAGATGCTAATTAACCATGAACTGCATTATATATATAATGTAATATTTATTAATACTTGTAAGTATAACATGTTCTCTCTACTGCCAAATATTCGAACAATAATAATAATATCAATAATAATAATAATAAATTCTTTATTTATACTTTGAGCTTTTCTGCCCTAATTCTAATACTGCTCTTATCATATACATATAAAAGTAAAATATAAGGTAAATAATATATCCTAGAAAAAAATTAAAATCAGAGTAGAAAATTTACCCTCAATAGTCATTCTACAAGCATTCTTTCTGAATACAGCAGTATCTATTATGTATACCAAAAAGTGTATAGAAAATAAAATAAAAATAAGGTAGCCTAGCCATTTGTTCGTGAAACCCATTGTTCGGTCTAAGATTTAAAAGGTAGCAAAGCCACCACCTTCCATAAAAGGAACAACAAAGGACCTGATTTGCAGTGAGAGTCCAAGTGTGAATGTAACATTAACAAGATGAGTTCAGAAAATCATGTAAAAGGTCTCCAAGTAAGGTTGTTAAAAATCCAAAATCTAAAAAAAAAGAAAAAGAAAAGAGAGACAGAGAAAGAGAGGCTAAATTTCAAAAATTCATACTTACCCCACGATGCATTGTACTTGACAGTACTTATGAATTGAAGCGACAGGAGAAGATTCTGGAGAACCAACGCATTCTACAAGAGCTTGGCTTGTCAGAAGGAAAACAAAAAATGGCAGTAAGACTATAAGAGCTAAAAGAAAAAATAAGAATACGGCTTGTAGTCCTTCGCATAATATACTGAAGAACTTTTTGACAGAATTTTCCAGTAGTAACCTCGTCTCGTAAAAGGGCAAGATATGTCAAACAAACCTCACAAAATACCAGAAAAACTGTCGAAGTCTCAAGAGTTTCACGGCGACTAAAAGGAGAAGCTCCAGAAGAGATTGTAAGGTGTTATTATTGCTATTATTAATATTATTTAACAAAGAGTATCTGCTTTCTGGCTGAAACATATCAATCATAGATGGAATTAGATGAACTTTTAGACCAAAACGATCGCCTACGCCAGGTAGAAAGTATGGCGGAAACTCGTATACAGCAAGAAAACACGAAAAAAGAAATTGATAAATTAGCTGAGCACATAAGTGTACCTTTGACACTAGGTAAGACGCGTACTCTTTGCTTGACAATATAATCGGATATGTATTAAGACATCAAATTACTCCACAGCTTCTATCGGCACCACTATCTGGGAGCTGGGAGAGTTGTATACAGGGAAAGGGCGGTCAAAGTACTGGAGTGGTAGATCGGTAATTTATTAAAAGAGTTCTAATGATAAGGTTACTGACGTTGTTATTCTTCACGAAATTAGTGCCGTTATAGACATCCTTATCCTATTGGTTTCCGTGCAACAAAGGCACACTTTGGCAACGATTATGCCATGGTAATTGAAAAGGGTCCCGATGGAGAAGGCCCCGTATTTACTGTAAGTCTAGTTTTGTTCTCGCTGGTAGCATGGAAAGGTAGTAGCTACTAAAAATCTAGCTATCTTAATAGGTTCAAGTCAATGGAACTGGAACAGTATTTAAAGGAGCAACACCCACAGGTCCTTGGACAGAAGCATGTAAACGCAGCAAATCACAAGGCACGCGTGTCAGTGGCCCATTGGTAAGAATATACGACAAAATTTATACTTTATTAACCATGCTATGTATAGTTTCATGGCTTTTCTGATCTTATAACAATGTCATTGATTCAGAGCCTGGACGGGTATGATCTGGCATCCGAACCAGAAAATGAAGACGCTTAGGATCAATTTCTTTTGTACACAAAAGAAAAAGGTTCCTTTTTTTTACATATACATATATATGATGTATTCAATTTATTTTGTCCTTTGCATTTCTAAAATTTAAAAGCATGAAGTTATCCACAAGAATAGAGCCTTTACATCGTGCTTTTATCTTAATACCTTGACATTTTATAGCCATGCTTTACCCGTAAACCCGCTGATTAATTTGATAAAAAAAAATTGCAATTGACCAGTCATATGCACACATACATATTACTAAAATACTGTTAATTTCAGGGTCAAATTACAAAGGTAGAAAAGATGGCTTTATTAAGCATGCTAATGTTGGATGAAATTAATTCCACCAACTTTACTAGTACCTGACGAAAATTGTATTGCCATTTTGGGGCACTACACAGCGCCATGAATGAGTATAAAGATGGTCTTTGAGGTTTTAGTAATATTGGTTTTGTAGTGCAACCAGCTATTTTGGCACTAGATTACACAAACTTACCACGAATCCGGAAAATTAATTTTTAACCGGTCAATGCTCTTGTACTTTTTTTTTACTATTATTAATATTAATATTAATATTATTAAAATACAGCTGATAGTGCCAAAACTCATGGTTGATTCATGCTTCTATTATGTACTCAATACCTTTATTCCTTCTTCTCAACTTTGACTGAAATTTTAGCAATACCTTGATTTAATAAAATGATAATTAAAATGCCAAAAATGAGCCGTTTCCTTGCCTTAAATATTTATATTTATGTATATTGCTTGAAGAATTGATCCATAAACGAATGAATGAATGAATGAATGAATAGTTAAATGATATTCAATAAAAGAGAAAGAGAAAACATATCGATATAGTCAATATAATGACTTTGGGCACCAAAACAAAAACAAAACTCCCTTGTAGTGCCCGACCCTATTTCTGTCCAACCTTTCAACTACCCAGACTGACAAATCATCTTCATACAGCCAAAGACAAACCCCTACCCCCTGAAATTAACAATGGGAAAAAAATCAACCTAGGCAAACAATTTTTTTTACATTATTTAGAGGTAAAAATTCACGCAATTCTTCTATCTCACTTAATATGTATGCCCCAAATCTTCTGTAAAAAATAAAAGTTCCCAAGACAAGGTCATCCAAAGATCCGAGACGAGTTCCTTTTTAAGCTATGAAGTATTGGTAAAGCCAATCGATATAAAAATACGTCACAAGCCTATGTCACGTGAATTACTGGTATAACGCATGGATCTTTGGTAAGAGTGTTCCGCACTGTTTTTTTGATTCTATTCTTACAAAATATCATGTCGATCGGTGCTCTACTTAAACGAACAGCAGCTTATACCACATCCGCCCCCTCTACTTCCAATATCGGATCAAAACTACGCTTAAGAAAGGCGGCCCTTACACTGGTATGACTTTTGGCCGTACACGATGGATTAATAATCCAAATGTTATTATTGTTTCACTCACCCTCCATGCGATCTCGACATCTTGCATCGATCCTCTTTTAATAGACACCAGCCGCAGTTAATCGATTAAAAGACCTAACTAAGGGGCCGAAACCACAATATTTGCGTGTAGGCGTCAAGCAAAAAGGCTGTTCTGGTAACTCTTATATGCTCGAGTTCACAGATTCCAAGGGCAAATTTGATGAGACAGTATCTCAGGATGGTAAGTAACACAGGAACCACCCATGCTTTTTTACCAGTCTCATTTATTCATCTTATTTTTCAGGTGTCACTGTTCTGGTTGACTCAAAAGCATTAATCACAGTCCTTGGATCTGAGATGGATTTTGTACAAGACAAGTTATCATCGCATTTTGTATTCAATAATCCTAATGCAAAGGGTGTTTGCGGCTGTGGAGAATCCTTTGCTGTCTAGTCCATTCATATCAATTTCACATTCTTACACTCATCAGTATTCTTTCTTTATTTTCTGTTTTTTTCTTAAAAAAAAACTCTTCTGTCAACTTCATTTACCATAGATCTTTTTTTTTATTGTATTTTTGCTGCCCTTTTTATTTATATTTATATTTATTTATATTAATATTTATATATTAGAAAAAGGACCTTTTCACACTTTAATATGCACAAAATAATACTGTATTATAATATTCTTAATTTTTATTTTGATTAATACTGAATGGAAACAATGGCAAATCATCTATAGACAAAAGCCAAAATTACAACAAGAGGTAGAAATAAATCCATGTAAATATTATCTCGATAGGATGTCGCAGCTGACACAAGGGGAAGATTTGATGTGGCAGTGGCCGAAGGGCGGGGGATGGCTGCTGAGATTGACATTGAACGTATGGCAACTGAACTTGTGGGGAGAATCGAGGCGGTGTTTAACATTGTTCTACTTTCGGAGGTTTCAGTCAAGTCAGTCAAGTCAGTCAACGAAACACTCAGTCCAAGACTATTGACTGGTAGGGATCCTCGGGCAGCATTAGGCATCGGCGTTGGATTTGCCGGTCTGTTTGCTACCGGAGGTAATACAGGCACAATGGGCGAAAGTGGTTGTGGAGGTAAAGTGGGTGGCAACGCAGGAACAGGAGCTGGTACAGGAGCAGGAACAGGAGCAGGTGTAGGGGGGTTTATTTCAAGAATTGGAGCAGGAACCGGAGCTGGTACAGGAGCTGGTACCGGGACTGGATACAAAGCTGGTAAAGGTTCAGCCTTTACCTCTGAGATTGGTGCAGTATTGTCAGTTGTGGTTAAGCTAGGTGGTAAAGGACCTTGTGAAGGGACACTTTCTACATTATCTGTTTCAAATTTGGGTGTAGTAGGTTGCGTTGCGACTGAAGAGATAGTGTCTCCCGTAATTGATCCAGCCAAAGGATCAATTTCCACCCCAGGACCATTAGTTGCAATATCCGTATTTTTTGTACCAGAAAGAGCACCCCCAAGTAAAGCATCTACCGGTGCAGCAATGCCTATAGTACTCAACAGACCATTCAAGGGTGATGCATTGGCTTCAAGTGGTGATCCGGGAGCGACAGCTGTATCTTTTGCTAGCGTAGTATCCCCAACAGGAACAACAGACGAAGGGGTTCCAAACCCAGCTTCTTGAGCAGCTACTGCTGAAATTAAGAAACATAAAATAGCATTATGATGTTTGACCATGTTAAAGACGTAAAGCTAAAACAAAATACTCTACCTTGACAATTTATAGAAATCTAATCGACTAATCAAACTTTGATAAACTGAAGGATCTACACACGATCTCAAAAACCATGCCAAGAAATGCTCCAAAATGATAAACAACAAAATGAACGGGGCAATAGCTAGATCCATCACTTTAGTTTATCACAGACGACGAAAATCTTGATTTGTTATTGATTTGATTATACCAACGTACTACTGCCTGTTACATTAAACACATCTTTATATACAGACATACACATAAAAAAAACTTAATGTTTGAGGTGATAATGATGGCAATTCTGACATTAATAAAAAAAATAATAGACCAGTAGTTCATACATGCTGTACATGTGTATACTATTGGTACACCACCACTTCTTTTCTTTTTTTTTTTTTTAAAAAAAAAGAGTATATATATATATATGTAATTAATAATAATGATAACGACGGTAATAATAATACTAATACTAATAATAAAAGGTATTTCATTTGATGCCTTGTTATTATCGTTTGGACAGGCTTGTAGAAACAAGTCCTTTGATAATATACAAGACTTTGTAGGTACATACAAGTTATGATCTATGTTTATAAGAATATCACGCGGCAAAAATTCCTATCTCTGTAAAGGATCACCATTCTGGTCGTATTCTGGTGTCACCTCTGTAGTTGGCTTTCCTGGGCATCTGCCATTCATCCATTTCGTTGAGTGTTTTTCGTATCAGTCGAAACTTGTTACTTACTTGAGAAATAGTCTGGGAATAGGGGTACATTCAATTTTTGATTCCACCATTTCGCACTGGTACTGAATCAGTTCATACAGCTTGCAATCACTTGAAGATGCAGTCCCAGCAAGTGATCCACCCTTGACTGGTGCAGACTTTGTCATGGGGCTCTCATCGGAGGCGGACATGGAGAGAAGAAGTGTGAAGACGCGTGACTGTGAGTAAGCAGCCCTGTTAAGTTTTGCTTTTCGGGGTATTGTCAAGCATCAATTGCTTGGACCCCGAAGATTCGACATGGCACAATCCTTTCGTGCTCTACTCGACCTTTGTAAGCGAAGAGGTTTCCTCTACCAATCAGCGGAAATCTACGGTGGACTTCGAGGTGCTTACGATTACGGACCGCTGGGCGTAGAACTGAAGAAAAATATCCTTAATTCTTGGTGGCGCCAGAATGTATACTACAGAGACGATGTAGTTGGACTAGATACAAGTATTATCACACCTCATCCCGTTCTCAAGGCATCGGGACATGTTGATGAGTTTACCGATCTACTCGTTGACTGCACATTAACCAAAGAGCGCTTCCGACCCGACAAAGCACCCTCAGTCAAGTTCCTGCCTTTTGCAGAAAAGCCCGAAAGTGGAGAGATTCCCATTGAAGCACCTGACAAAGAAACTGCAAAGGCGTGGCAGAAAACCATTCAAGAACAGCTTGCACCTGGAATCGTGACAAGTGTACATGGCAAAAATATTCACCTTCATGTAAAAACGCTTGTTGAACCCAACGAAAATGGAGAGGGTGGAAGTATCACTTTTAAAGCCAACGGTGTACCAGAGCTTAAGATTTGTTATCATGGCTATGTCGAGCCTACCACAAATTCGCCCTTCTTAACCGACAGCAGACCTTTTAACTTGATGTTCAAAACATTTTTGGATCCTATTGATCCAATCGAGCGTGTGATCCAAACCACCAAAAAACACGATGTGGACAGTAAGCAGTCTACTCGGGAAGCTGTAGATGAAGTTCTCCGTCCATCAACAGTCTATCTTCGCCCAGAGACTGCCCAAGGCGTATTTATCAACTTTGAGCAAGTAACACGCACAATGAAGACAAAGCCTCCATTTGGTATTGCTCAGGTTGGAAAATCATTTAGAAATGAGATCAGACTTGAGCATGGCATCTTCCGCACTCCAGAATTCGAGCAGATGGAACTGGAATATTTTGTTGCACCATGGGAGTCTGGCCATTGGTTCTCTTATTGGCGTCAACGCCGCTACAATTGGTGGTTAGAACATGCATGCTATCCCAAAAATTTCCGTCAGCGCGATCACGGAAAGAATGAGATGGCACATTATGCGACTGGCTGCACAGATGTCGAATATTTATACCCGTGGGGATGGGGCGAGGTTGAAGGAGTGGCCAATCGTGGCAACTTTGACTTGACACAGCACATCAAGAATACGAATGCCAACTTTGAAGTAGTAGAGGATGAAGTTCGTATCTCACCTAATGTGACAACGGATCACTCTTTAATTCCAAAAGAAAAGCCAGCGCGTTATGTACCCCATGTTGTGGAGAGTTCTTGTGGACTGAACCGTGCAATGTTAGCATATCTGTGTGACGCCTTCCACCAAGTTGTGGATGAGACAGGCACCAACAAACAACCTCGTACTATTCTTAAACTTGATCCTCGTCTAGCTCCCATCAAATGTGCCGTCATGCCATTGACTGGCAAAGCCGAGTTTATGCCTATAGTAGAAAAGGTTGCTAAATCTCTCAGACGCCAGGGCTGGTACACTGTCGTAGAATCGCAAAAGTTGAAGATCGGAAAACGTTATTATAGACATGATGAAGTAGGAACTCCTTGGTGTGTGACAGTAGATTTTCAGAGTTTGGAGGATGGCACTGTCACTCTTCGTGATAGAGATACCGGAGCACAACAAAGATTTGCCTGGCAAGACGTGAAGAAGCACATTGGCGAGAAGTTGTCAGATGCTGATGATGATAATTAGTTTTACAATTTTTATACAAATTTATAATCGCTCTATTCTCTCGCTTTTTTTTAAAAAAAATCTTGACAGAGAAACTGCCATCATTTCGCAAGGTGGCTTATTGACTCTTCTTCTTCTTTTCGTATCCAATGGCTGGCCAGAACCCTATTGCCCACTGTCTTGAGCGATTATTCCTTGCTGATGATACTGTACTAGCAGAAAAGGCTGAACACTTCCAAGGATTATGTTCAACACGCGTTCCTAGCAAAGTGTTTGGAAAAGGCCCTAATTCCAAGCCAGTAATTAGCATTCATCTTGCCTATGAAAAGTGAGACATTTCAACAATCTCCTTGGCAAGTGTTAATGTCTGTCAAAGTCTAGGAAGACATGACTGGGATAGCAAGCTTGCAGCTGAACTTGCAGGCTGTAAACCAGCCGTGTATGATACTGCTGTGAGTCTGACTCGAAAGCATCTTGGGATTGTACCCGTTGTTTCCTTTGAATCTTTGACTGTAGCGTTGGGATGCACGACGATGATCAAGCAAGTGGAGAGCTTGTGGGATAGCTTCCAAGAATCATATCTAGGAAACTTGAGTGTAGCCAAGAAACTGAGTGCCAAAGAAGAATTGTCGCAGCCAGTGTGGAAGGGTGCGATTGTGTATGCGTGCGCAAAGGCACTTGGGGTAAACAGCTACATCAGCCACTGTGGGACAATAACAATAACATGATGATCATTCTAGGAAAGTGTCACCAAGGCCCCACTTCAATCTCTGTGTTCATGCAGTCTTCCTGAACTCACAAAATGTATTAAGGTCGTTACTGATGTAGCAAAAAAAGCAATTGAAGAGCTCAAGAGTCAGTCAACCAAGGCTTCTCGAACACCACGTACTACTGGAAAGAGAAGAATCGGAGAAGACGAGGATGTGGTAGAGGAAACGCCAGCTGCAAAGAAAGTAAAAATGCCTGGAACCAAGAAAGCTCTTTTTGGGCGTCTCAAGAGAACAGATAGCAAGCAAGCACCAGCTACTAAAGAGTACAAGCCAATCTCAGGAATTGTTTCTATGATTAACAGACAAGATTATCGACAAACACGTCGCTACAGGGACTACATCCAATGGAAGGATTCACTTATTGCAAGATTGTCAAACTCTACAACAACCATTGAATAAAACTTTTTTTTATTCTGTTTTTTTTTGCTTGCTTATCTTTATTTAGTACATATATATATATATATATATATGTGTGTGTGTGTGTGTACATACACTTTTGTGCTTTTGGTTAAGCTAATCAATAAGAAGTAACATTCACAAGTTTTTCAAGTTTCTCTGTGTAGTTTTCATACGCCTTTGTAAGATTATCCATTACTTCTGTTAATTCTCTCTGTAGACTGTGTGAGTAAACGGTTTGGCAATAGCATTTATTTTGTTGTACCTCTTCAGTGGGCTTGTTTCTTACTAAGTCGAGTGCTTTATGAATTTCCATGTCTTGGGCAACCAATTGAATTGCGTGCGAGAGAGCAGGCCACAGATCATGCATACTAGCCATCATACTAAGATACATACCCTATTTAATAAGATGTACTTACTATCCATGGTCTCGCATACGAGAGTAGTCTTCCAGTAAGATGATCACTTTTTGCAATCGAGTTGCCCTGAAATCTAGTATTTGTGTCTATAAATTTTTATCTTATATTGGATAAAAACATGGCTTACAGGCAGAATTTAATGCCGAGGTCTTTGCTTTTTGGTAAAAGATGATTTTCTGGTCGAGATCTCTAGCCAACTACAATAGCCTGATTACTAGATTTCAAATAGATCAGGTTGGCTTACTTGGATTCGCTCATTCTGAATCTGACATAGTTCTAAAAGAGAAGAAGTTGTGTCTATATTCTGAGAACCAGCTACAGGTATAATGTTCAATTCTTGAGATTTGTTGAGAATGGAGTCCAGCATTGGATAAAATGCAATGAGCCAAAAAAAAAAGAGCAAAGCCAAAAAAAGAAGAAATAATTACATCTCCGCCTTAGGGGTTACTTTATTGTTGAGGGTGACCTTCATGTGGCAAGCTTGATTTTGATTTGAAGATGTTGTGTGACATGTAGTTGGATGCCCAGAGCTGTTTTTGGGACTATGAGTGCAAGTGCGTCATAAGCAGATGGACCGCATCCAATTTAGAGAGTGGATGGCGGTTGTGGAGAAGGTGCGGGCAGTCTGTGATGTGCGTGTATGTGTATGTGGCTGGAAAAGGAAGCAAGAAAAATAACGGCAGGTCACCTGGTTTAACTGAGTATATAACCGCCATTGCCATGGAGACATGATCTCTTTCTCTCACAACTTCCTCATGTATTCACCCACACAACAAGACTTTAATCTCGAATCTGACCACTTTGCTCATCCCCCTTTGGGTACCCTACACACTACTGTGGGTGCTGTTCCTGTGGTCCGCAATAACCGAGTTTTCAACTCTTCTGCCACTGCCCCATATCAAATGCACCAAAGACACAATAGCTTCGGTGCTGTTTCTATTGCCATGAGTCCTCCACATGCAGCAGCAGCCGCAGCAGCCGCAGCCGCAGCTGGCAGAGGAATTTCTTTTGCAGACCCTAATGCTCAACACTGGTTTGGTACCAGTCTTGACTCTACAGGTTCCTCGTTTGGTCAGTCGCCTATCTTTGGCGGCCGCGACCTCATAGTCTCGCCTTCTACTTCAACAGGGCATATAGATGGGTATATGGGTCCAGAAGACGATGAACATCAACAAAGAAAGTAAGTTAAACACAGCCTTCAATTTCTATTCGCACAAACTTACCGGCGGGTATTTATAGCCTCCAAGAGATATTCGAGAAGCGCAGACGGAGACGAGAATCTCACAACGCGGTTGAGCGTAGAAGACGCGACAATATCAATGAACGGATACAAGGTAAGCAGGATCATATGTGTAGAGATAGATAAATCACGGGGAAAGGCGCACTGACCAAGCTGTACCTTCTTAGAGCTGTCCACCCTTCTTCCTGAACACCTTTTAGAATCTGCACCAACAAGTTCGAATGTCATGTCTACGGTTAACTCACAATCTGGCGCCAACGGAAAGGCAATAAACAAGGGTACAATCCTCAAATTGTCTGTTGATCATATCAAGGATCTCCGTGATGAAGTTTCCATGTACAAATCCCGCATTCAAGAACTTGAACAGCTCATAGAGGCTGCTAAACACGGTGATTTTGGCCAGGATTCCCAGTCAGCTATGCACAAAAGTCAGTCTTCTGCAAGTCATGTTTCTTATCCAGACAACCAAGACTTCTACTCCCAGGCACGGAGGAACAATCAAGTCAAGGAAGAGGTAAACCCGGATGGTTTTGGACAGCAAAATAGCCAAAACCCTCAACCAGTTCGGTTGGTAGAGTCGAACAACCGCTCACGCCATGAACGTATGGGATCCTTACAATTTCAACAGAAATTTGGTAATATGAACATTGGAAATCCCAAAGACATCAACCATTTATGAGCTCTCGCAAACAAGGCTACCTATTCATATATTTAACTACCAGAACTATCTATATATCTATCTATCTATTTATCTAACTGTCTACCTAACTATCTAACTATCACCATTTATTACATTTTTGCTATTGTTTTTGTCCTTATTCACATTTTTTCTTCCCTTTGATCTATATCTATACACACACATACACCTTTTATATCCATGTCCCTTTTTTATAGTACGTCTTGCAATGTCTAGTTTGTATCAAATTTGTACTCGTAAATTTTTTGTATAAAAATAGATGCTATGATTTGCAATTGCCGTGTACTCTTATCAGATAGTTGACAACATCTTCTTGTACAATGGAGTGCTTTTAAATTAGAAGCACAGCATCTGTTTTTATGACATCTTTTAGGATATATGAAAACAACTGTACGACGTTGCCCATCTTCAGTTAGTGATGATCAACTTTGATATATTAGGAAAGTTAGATAAAAACATAATGGTATATAAGCAAATAGAATATTCTGGCTTCCTACATTTTATCAAGGAATCAGATCATTTGGCTTGGATCGTTCTTGTGATCTGACAATCCCATTCAATCCAAATATTTAAACAAGCTATAGTTTGAGACTTTTTGGCTCGAAAACCAGGCACGGACTGTATGTTCTATTAATGGAAACATGCTGTTTTGGCTTAAATCAGCTTAAGTGCTGCAGTTGTACTTATAGATCATGAGCTACAAAAAAAATAAGGAAGATCTTTATATTAAATAGATAAATGATTGGGTTTCTATGCAAAGTGTCTAGGCCAACTAAATATTAAACAAATGTTAATATATGGATAATGTATCATAGGCATCACACCTTGTTCCTCCTTTTTCTCTAATGCCGTTTTGTCTATTACATCATGAGATCATTCGGTCTACTCCATGTTCCCAAGTGGACATTATAAATAAACCTGCCCTGGAACAGTAAGTTCTATACTTATTATGACCCCATGTTGATGTTGTAATCCATAAATAACCATGGTTTATACAACGATAACCGTCCAAGGATAGGTCTTCGTACCAGCATATGACTTGCCGGAGAAAAAAAAGGAGACTCTGCGCCTTGTTGCTGATTAATGAATAGTCAAAGACACATAAAAGCTACCAGCAAAAAAAAACAAAAACGCCGGAAACCACAGCCATTTATTAAACACTTTGTTGTATAATAGAGAGCATTAGTGAAATTCGATAAAATGAATTTTATTATCGGCAAATATTTAGTACGTTTAGCCCTTTACTTTGAATATATCTTGGGACCAGTGGATCGTAGAATACTTGTTTTTTTAATACTATTTTTAAGCATGGTCATTAGGTGTACACTTTCAACTCTAGTATCTGTAATAAGAGATTTTTAACCGTTTACACCATTTTTTTATATACATTTATATCAATTATGTAGTATATATATATAATTATATAAATAGCTTCTTCTGCCATTAAGATCTTATTTTTCAAAAGGTACACATCAAATAAATAACGAATTACGACCTAGCATGTGGTTTGTGACAAAATATTGAATATCCTAGCTCGAATCTATGATCAATAGTCAATATTGCTCATGTCAATATTAAATAAAATTAATATAAATTAATTGCATCTTTTGTGTTTGTCTTTTATCCTTCAAAGTCAATAAACAGGACTAAACCAGGTTCCACTGATGCTTGTATAATAGTAGATAAATATTTATATGTAAAAAGGAGCAGGATCTCTTGCTCTTTGAAATTCATAAATCCCTCGACTATAATAATTTTGTGTAAGTATTGGAAACGAAGAAAAACTTTTAATAGTTTACCCGATATCTTCGTCTTCAGAGTTTGCGACAAATAGAGATTGGCCATCTGGAGTCAATGCTAGCCGAAAAGTAGAGTTAATATAAGTGATCCCAACTATTTATTAGTGTACTCACAAACACCGGCTATAGAACCAAATAAGTTAATGACTTGGCTACTGCGATAATCATTTTTTGCATCATAAACATGAATATAATCAATGTGTTCTATCGAGAACATATCAGCATGCAAATTATGATACATTATGTACGCTTCTGTTTTCATACCAGCTGCTACCATATATTTTCCATCACTAGAATATTGTAGTGACCGAATAGCTCCAATATTTCCACCCAAAAGATGGAGTGTTCGTGATGTATTTCGAATGTCGTATACTCTATCTGGGAGTGTAAGTAAAAAATAATAATTCAACATTCAATGAGGAATGGTGTATATTTACCTAGTTGTTTTGTCTTGATTTCCTGTAGCAAATGTTCTGCCATCAGGACTCCAGCAACATGAGAATGAGAAGTCGTGGTGTTCATCAATTGAAAAGATCTCTAAAATACAAGATTAAGATATCACAAAACGTATATCCACACTGCTTAAGTACCTGATCCAGTGTTTATATCGGCTACTACAGTCTTTGTAGAATCGCCCACTGCACAAAGCATTTCTTTATCCGGAGATATCGCAGCATGCTAAATTACGGGCGTTAATGTAAAATAATAATCATGGACTCTCTTTCTTGTATATTTCTTCTTCTTAAATTGATGCAAAGCACTCTTACATTTACAGGAAAAGGGAATTGTATTATCTGCTTCGTTTGCATAGTCTTAAGATCAATGAAATGCGTTGTTTCATCGTTGCCCGAGATAAGAGCTGTTAACCCTAAAGAACACAACAGCGCACATTCACTACTTAACATTATTCAGCAATACAGAGTGTGTGTGTGTGTGTATCTTACCGCCTTGCTTCAAATCAGCAACATCAAGATGATTTGTGGTTCCATTAGGATTCCGAGTTGGTTTCCCAAAGTAATACATATCATCCTTTGAATCTAATCGTCGGCATGCATATTCGCCCTTTGCTCCACCAACAAGTAGCATATTGTGCGAACATGTCATACTAATTACTTTCATTGGAAAGCTTGATACCAATCTGCTAGAGGACCTTTGGGGCGACCAATGCCGTACAGAATCATCAACTTTGTTTCTGACTTTAGCCAGCGATTCTTCTAATTGGCAGCTAGATCCATTTCCATCACTTACGCAGATAATATACATCGTTTTTACTTGTAGCCCACAGTAGACTACGTAGTTGGAAGTGTCCAACACTGCAGCGTTCACTAAGCTTACCATGTTTAAAAGTGAAAAATCTATCTTCTTTTATCATTTCTTTTGGCTCCTGTAAAGATGAATATACTGTAAGACAAAGATAAGCCCACCCAAGTTTTATGTAGGTTATATAAGCTTGCCTCCATAATTCGATCAGCTGGAGGATGCTCCAAGCTCTGATAGTTTGAAAAACTTTCTAATCTAGATTTATATACAAAATGTAAAAAGATGGGCATCAATGATTTTCAAGATCATGGGTAATTCGCTAATGTCCCTTATACCTATCCAATTCATAAGTTTTTCGATCACGTCGAAAGGCTTTCCAATTTATGGCTTGCTAAAGATAGAAGTAAGTAATGAATATTTATTTAGAATGATTCAAAGAAAGATTTCTTGAGGCTAAAGTGCATCTGACTGTACCATGTCCATGCCATCAAGGACCATTTCCTCGGTTACAACATCAACCTATTAATAGATTAAGCTGATTACAGGTTTATCTTTAAACAAAGAGAGAGAAAAAAGAAAGCATTTGATTTGGGAGTATTAAAGAATACCTCATCAAAGTGAATAGCTAAATTAGAATCGAATCTATCCATTGCATTACAACCAAAAACAGCTTTATTTGACACATTAATGTGAGCTTAATATCCCAACTTTTTTTTACAGTTCCGCACAAAATGCTTGCATTTTGCAGTGATTGGCAAAGACTGTCTGATAATGTTTTTAAACGATTAGTGGGATAAGCAAGGCCAAATTACTCAAGACATATCTCATACCCGCATTTAGTTGTTGTAGACCTTTTTAAAAGCATACAATTAAAACCCACAATTAAAGCTACTAGGTTTAAGTATATGAAGTTCTGAGTGCTTAAAAGATAACAAGTGTTGTATCGATATAATATTAACATATTAGTGGTTTCTATATCCACTACCGGAAAACAGAACGATTTCATAGGAACTTCTTAGGAAGTTTTTCAGATAAACCCTTGTTTTGAACTTTTAATGTTATAGAAATTCATTCAACTTCACTCTGTTATGGATGCAATGTTTTATGCACGCACCGGTATATATATATATATATATATTCTATATTCTATAATTGTATTTGTATTCGATGATATATCATAAGCTACATCTGTACAATTAAAACGCATTGGCTTCGATAATGCTTAGATTATCTATATCTTTTAAAGATTCTTTATTATTATTTATTTCGTTAATTATGTACTATATTATCATGTACTAAAGCCACATATAATATATATATATATATAAGATATATAAAAGACAGCACCACTAAATAACAAGAAGTCCAAACTACAAACATTTAGCTTTTACTCTTGCTAGTACTTTATTGACCGACTTACAGTATATATATATACTTACGAAATCTCCTATTATATTATCTCCACAAATTAACACATTCGAAAGCACGGTTTAAGCAACAATCATATCTCTAGTCCTTTGTAAACTGGAAGATAATGGGCAGAACTATCTCATTAGAAGACCTTACTGTCAAGGCATCAATAAAACCAACATGGCGGATCATAGGACTCTTTGAACCACTACAATACTTCGTTTATAAAGCCAGACTTTTTTATCGTAGTGCGCATAAAAAGCTCTTTAAAGTGCTGGTACATTCTTTATTTACGTAGTTATCATTAACTTATTATAAGAAGTACTAGGTTCAATAGACTCTCTTTAGTAACCCACGGCTTTCACATAACGAATAAATTAAAATGGAAAAATTCATTACCATGCACAAAATTACTTTGTTCATAATGTCAGATAAAAGTGAACATTATGTATTTCAATCATCTTACTCTGGTAAGTTATCCCTCAAATTTCAATAAATATTAATTGTAAGACAAACGCATGAACAATAAGTATTATTATACAACAAAAAGAATAGTAAATGTGCAAGTGTTATGTAGATGAATAGGGTTGAGTAGATTTGTGCAAAGAGGTTATGAGGGTAGATATTTAGCAGCCTGAATCAAATAGGGTTGTCTTGGATTAGTTTTGCATCGTTCCAGCGAATAACTTCTTCATAAATGGCCCAAGAAATTGCAGAATTAAGAGGTTTACGGATTAAGCGAACACTGATGCCATCAAAGAATCCTACCAATCCTTCCTCCTACAATGATACACGTATTTAATAATTGGCTATTTATGGTTTCAGTCACATTTACTTTAAAGACTTTTCGTGCAGCCTGAACCAGGTGTTTATAAAGTGCGGGTTTGAGTTGCATCCGAGTCTTTAGCATATCAAACGGCTGTGTTGTACATGTGGCTGCTACACCCGCCACAACACCAGATCCTAAGTTAATGGCCATATTTGGGATCTCGATATTCTTTTTTTTTGCAAAGGCTATTTGATAAGGATAAATGATGTTAGTTTTCAAATAGTATAGATTGAAATACTCTTTTTTTAAGAAAATAAACAGACAAATAAAACATACTTTTACTCCACGCCTTGCTTTGCTCATAGAAGAAGAGGTAGATACCAGCAAATGGGGCATCTCTAATAAAGGTTGCTCCGTATCCAGCGAATAATCCTAAAGTTGAACTTTTTTTTTTAGCTCTATTGTTTACAGCTCATAAACTCGCCAAATAGCTCAAATTTTTGTTTACCTCTAAACCCATCATTCTTGATAATTGAACCAAACGCATCCGAAATATTCCTGTAATTATAAAAGTTACTCTAAAAATACAATCTACATCAGTACAAGTTTTCTCTTTTTTTTTTAAAATAATAATAATAATAATATCAATGTATCAGATATTACCTCATAGCGAACTTTTACTACAGTAATAGGCATCATAATATAGCCAACTGCTCCACGGGCTGTTGCACCAGACACCAAATTCTCCCATTGTGTTTGGTTTTTAGTACTGGATTGTTTTGGATAAACATACTTTTGCCATGAAGGGCGTCTCTTTTCAAGCAGTTGTCGGATTTCGGAAAGAGCTAAGAAATATAGGGCCGAACCAGGAACATTTCTTTGATGATCCATTTATTTGTTTTTTTTTAGTCTTGGATCCTCACAGTTATCTAGGAAATGTTACCTTATGATAGTCGGAATCGTACCACGCCAAAGACCGCCGAAACCATTGGAAGAGACGATATCTCGTACTGTGGAGTAAATCGTACTACAGAATCCAAAATTCAGTCTTATATTTGGTTTTATACTCAATTTCATGTACTGTACCTGTTTTGTGGGGCGATTAAGAGGCCTTTCTTTTTCGCTTCTCTGAGGAATGCAAGGTGATCTTGTCGTTGCTGCTGCAATCGCGTCTTTATGAGATCTAGAGGCTGTAACATAACACATGCAGTCATTCCTGACAATGCACCACCAATGGCATGTACAGACGGATTTCTAAATTCTTTTGTTGTAGTCATTGTGTATAAGGAAAAGAAAGAAATCGATCGAGCTTCTATAACATTTATGTTTTTGTTGTTTGACTCATTTGAACCCGATATAGCTTAATAACTCCGCGACCAGGACTTTTGATTGATAACGTTTAATATGATGGTGCCTTATATTTTTATTTTGTTTATTTATAAAGTATTTTTGATAGTTATTTCCATCGTCTCGTCAGAAAGAGCCTTCACATCAACGTCTGTGAGAAACTCGACGATATAGGTTGCTCCGGCCTCTCTCAATTCTTCTACGGAATGAGTTGTCGTACAGGCTATACACTTCATTCCTCCTGCAATGGCTGCTTTGACACCTGCAGGGGCATCTTCAAAAACAACACAGTCTTTAGGATCGGTACCAAGGCCCTTTGCAGCAATCAAGTAGCCTTCAGGGAAAGGCTTGCCTTGAATAATCTATTAAAAAATTACGTCAGTATAATACGCATTAACAATAAGCAGATCTTCTTACTTTGTCCCCAGTGCACATCACTTCTGGTATCACCATATGACATTGTTTGAGACGAGATTCGGCCATGAATTGAGTTCCAGATGTATATATTCCGTAACGACCAGCCGGGATATTTTTAATTAATTCTTCGACACCGGGTAAGATGCTTACACCCTCTGTCTCCATTGCCAGCTTTCTTTCGTAATAGTCCACCATTTCATTTGTCGCCTTCTCAGGTACCCAGGCAGATATTGTCTCGATTGTACGACGGCCATGCGACATGGCCAAGATCTGTAAAAAAAGGGGGATTAGAAGGGGTGGTTTATGAAAATTAAAAATGTAGTTTGGTAAGAATGACGACTGATAGATTATACCTTTTCACCATCCAAATTGTGCTCAGCAGCAAAGTCCAACCAATGTTTGATAACAACTGGGGTGGTATCAATAAGGGTACCATCGAGATCAAAGATAATTGCTTTAGCGGTCAATTGGTGGGCCATTGTATTGTAAGAAAAACTGAATTGAAAGGATTGTTAAATGAAAAGAAAGAAAACTTGGAATAAGGAGAGCTGAACCCTTTTTGTATAATTCAAACAAAACCCTTCTCTTCCCGCCCATTTATTCCGCGGAACTTATATATTTTGTTTTTGGACTTTCAGTACGGGAAAACGTTTACAATAAAATACACATTTGTATTTAATTTTATTTTGATTTGTTGCTAGTGATAGATAGCTGAAGCTAAAGGTAAAGGTAAAGGTAAAGATAAAAGTGAAGGTGAATGTAGGAGGAGGAATGGGTAAAATGGATTAAAAAGAAAAAGTAATTAAATTTACAACTTGCTCTCGCGGGCAGTGTCTTTAAGCTCAACAGCAGCATTGGAGATAGCAATCACGTCACGCTCAACCACACGGGTCTGGAAGATGATTTTGTTGTTCTCCTTCCACATCTGAGTTTCCAGGGTCTCTCCTGGGAAGACGTGTTTGGCGAAGCGTGCTTTGATGTTAACAAAGTTTTCTGGGCTGTTGTTTCCAAAGGTCTTGAGGACGTGCTTTCCAGAGATACCGAACGAGCACAAGCCATGGAGAATTGGTACATCAAATCCACCCTAGAAAGAAACTTAAGTTAGAATAGCCAAATAACATATTGTTTTAAAATCTGAGATACTTACAATTGCAGACATTGAGGGGTCAATATGGAGAGGGTTGTAGTCACCGCTGAGACGGTAGAGTGCGGCCTGGTCCTCGGTGGTCTTCTCGGTGACAACAGCATCGGGTTTGCGGTTAGGAGGGATGTTTGATGCAGTGGCAGCACCACGGTCTTCTCCCTTCTTGGGTCCACCAAAGCCTCCGCTACCACGAACGAAGAGAGTAAACTCGTTTTCGAACAAAACCTCGCCGGATTCGTCGGTAGTGGTGACGCCAACAGTGACAGCAGCACCCTTGCCCTTATCGAGGATATCGACAATACGAGCTTGGGACTTGAGGGTTCCGCTTGTAGGAATGGGCTTCTTGAGAGACAAGAACTGCTCACCGTGCAACAACATCATCTAAAAATATATGCAATGTGATTAGTCCTTGTTGTTGTAAGTTTTGGTTTGAATCATGTATCTTACGGGGTTGAAGTCGGGAAGGAAGTCTCCAAAGGGAACCGAGTTCATGGCAACAAAGGAAGGAATAACGCCGAAAGTTGGAAGAACAGAGAATTCTTCGTCATTTTCGTAGATGTACTTGAGGTCGGTGCGTTTGCAACCTACACCAAGGGCGTAAAGAATAGCTTCACGTTCAGAATAGTCAAAGGTAAACACTTCGAAACGCTCCTTCTTGACAGCAGCAATATCAAGACCGCCTTCTTCGATGTTTCCAAAGTTCTCCATGAATCCTTGGAAGGAATCCTGGGTAGAGTTGGGGTTGGTGGCACGACCGTCATCAAAGTTGGTAATCTTATCCCATGCCTGGGCAACTTGCTCAGGTTCAAGGGTGCGGTTGGCGGGGAATCCAACACCACCACTGCGCTGCCAGCGGACCTTGGCGACCCAACCACTTCCGACCTCAAAGATACCACCAGTCTCTTCGTTGCTAGAGTGGCCAAGGAAGGCGACCAGGGGAGCAACATACTCGGGCTTGAAGGCCTCAACCATCTCAGGGGGCATAACAGTTGCGGTCATGCGGGTACCTGCATTGGGAGCGATGACGTTGACAAGAATGTTTTTGCGCTGACCCTCAATGGCAAGAGTCTTGGTGAGGCCGACAATGCCGAGCTTTGCAGCACTGTAGTTGGTCTGACCAAAGTTTCCGTAGAGACCAACAGCAGAAGCAGTGTTGATGATACGACCATAGCTCTGCTTTACAAAGTGAGGCCATGCAGCCTTGATTACTGTGGAAGTATTGAATGAGTATCAAATTTGAACTAAACGCTTAATACAAAAGACTTACCTTTGTAGGAACCACGGAGATGGACACGATGAACAAGATCCCAGTCAGCATCAGTCATGCGAGCGAAAGACTTGTCGCGGAGGATACCAGCATTGTTAACAATGATATCAATGCGACCAAAGGCCTTGAGGGCAGTCTCGACAACCTTATCACCTTCCTCGACAGAGTCATAGTTAGCAACAGCCTGACCACCAGCTTTACGGATTTCTTCCACAACAACATCGGCGGCACGACTGTCAGAACCTTGACCGGTAGCAGAACCACCAAGATCGTTCACAACTACAACACATAATATCCTATTTTGTCAAACACAATATCCAATTTGATTTGCATTAAACAGCCAAAAAAGTATTACTTACCGACAGAGGCACCCAATTTACCCAAGAGGATAGCATAGGCCTTGCCGAGCCCACCACCAGCACCTGTGACAACGGCAACCTGACCAGCAAAAGACAAAGGTTCACCGGTTGGGTTGGCATCAGCAGCCTTGGCACGCTCGAGGAGAGCCATAAAATCGGTGTCCATAACAGATGTAGGGTATTCAGCCTGGTCAAAGTCATTGATGGCATCCCACTTGGCAGCAACGGCAGTAGGGGTAAAGGTCTCGTCAGCCTTAAAGACAACACCAGAAGAACGCTCCCATCTCAGCTTGGAAACGAAACCACCTCCAACTTCGTAAACACCACCGTTGTCTTCGGTGTTCTCATGGCAGAGATAACCAACAACAGGAGTGACAAACTCGGGCTTGAGAGAAGCAAGAATATCTGGGGGAAGGACTGTTTCGGTCATGCGAGAAGCAGCCATAGGAGCAATAGTGTTGCAATGAATATTATCCTTAGCACCCTCCTTGGCTAGAGAGTTACTGAAACTGGCAAGGGCGAGCTTGGCTATAGCAATAATCCATTAGCCTAAGTACACACTGAGAGAATTGAAATAAATTTTACTTACCAGCACTGTAGTTTGCCTGTCCAAAGTTACCGTAAATACCGGCTGCAGAGGCAGTCATAATAATACGACCGAACTTCTGCTTCTTCATAATGGGCCATGCAGCATGTGTGACTGCATAAGAACCCTTGACGTGGACAGCTTGAATGATGTCCCAATCAGCATCAGTCATGCGAGCAAAGGTCTTGTCACGAAGAATTCCGGCATTGTTGATGATTATGTCAATGCGACCAAATGCCTTCATGGCAGTTTCGACAATCTTGGCACCGTCTTCAACAGAGTTGTAGTTGGCTACGGCCTGACCACCAGCCTTCTGGATTTCAGCTACGACAATATCGGCAGCCTTGACACTCTCACCATCATCCTTCTTAATAGTACCAAGATCATTGATAATGACCGAGGCACCACGAGAAGAGAAAAAGAGGGCATAAGCCTTACCGAGACCTGTGGAGACGCGTTAATAAGATAAAGATAATTTTAATTGCAAATATACACACCTCCACCAGCACCGGTGATGATGGCGACCTTTCCATCAAAGCGAATATCGTTGCTCATTTTGTCTTTTTTTGTTTTGTGGAGAAATGAATCAAGAAAAGTGGGGAAGGCATGCAAAAGATCCAATGTCTTTATAGGTGCCTTACTTGTGCAACCATTTCCCCGCTCATTGAATTTTCACATGGAGGCGGAGTCATCATGTGATTCTCCTTGGTCATCTTGAACATCCTTGTTTGAACAAGTTTAGCCTTTTTATTTTATTTATTTATTTAAAAAAGAAAATCCAAAGATCAATAAGTGTAACTGTTATAAAGATGCTCTTTTTTTTTATATAGAAAATAAAAGAATAATATTAAAAGTATTACAGATTACAATTTAAAATATTTTTCAATAAATAATTGTAAATTACACCTTTTTAATATTTCATAGAGATCAGTTGTAATATTTTGATATATTGTTAATATTCTATATACATCACTGATTTATTCCTTATAAAGTAGAGAAGTAAAAAGAAAATACTTATAGCTAGCTAGATAATCAATACCCTGTTAAGACCTAAGACTATATGTCTTAGCTAGAACACTGCCTGTAAATAGATGGTGTGCATGCATGTGTGTATGGCAGTTACAGTGGTTAATAAACTAAGCATATTCTGGATGTTCTGTTACAAATAAACGCTTTTTATTGGTTGCATAAAAGTCAGAGAGAGAGAAAGAATCAAAAAAATGTACCAACTATTCAAAAAAAAAACTCAGGCGTTTACGTGGATATATCGAGCCACAAAACCGTATTACATGAAAGGGTTCAAGGGGTAGATGTTGATGATTGGAGGTGATACCAACATGTTAACTTGAAGTTTGACATCAAGGTTGGTAAATACATGAACGCGCTGCATACAGCGACTCTCATCTAGTTCGCTTGAATCTGATTTGGCAACCATTGGTTTTGGAGGTTCCTTGAGTGTCATGTCAGAGAATGCTTTTTCAACTGCTGCTTGGTCCTTGGCCGCTTCATCCTCTTCATCCTCTTCTTCCGAAGTATCTGAATAATCATCTCCCTGCCTGGGTTGCTCATACAATTTCTCCTCTAAATCTCTAGAAGGCATAACCCCGCGCTTCCAGAACATTGTCAAAGAACCTTTTGTATACTCAAATCCAGTAAGAGGCAACGAATCCATATAGACACGCTTCTCTAAGCCATATTCTGGTATATATACATTATATGACGTCTTGTTTACCGAAACTACAATAGCCAAACGAACAATATCTTTTTTGTCGGCCTCAAGATTGTGGAGATACTTTGCCAAATACAGTTGAATATTGTTGTCTTGTGCAAGTTTAGCACCGTCTTTTTTTCGGTTGCAGTTTTTAGCAATCTTGTGAATATCTTTTTTGTTCATTTCATCTAAAAGTATGGGAAAGAGATATAAATTAAAGTTTTGCTTATAAATTGATGTTTGTACAAGATAAAGTATTACCTTTACCCTCGAGGGCGTTTTGCAATTGTCGATGAACCATAACATCTGCGTAACGACGGATAGGCGACGTAAAGTGAGAATAAAGAGGCACGTTCAATGCATAATGCAAGTATTTTTCTTCGCTTATGGTACCCGAGCAAAAGTATTTTGCACGTTGCATTGGCTTGATTGCTAGCAACAATACTACCATTTTGACCAATGGATCTTTGATTGCCTCAAACGATTCCTGAAGGCTACCTGCAGTTGAACCATCAATTTCACACCCAAGTTCTTCAGCGGTCTGGATAAATGCATCCTATTTTCAACTGGCTATTCAATACCACATACACATACACATATTAATATTAATATTCATATTGATATTACCAATCGTCGTGGAATTGGTGGATCGTGTCTTCGCAATAATGCAGAGTCAGGGAGAGACTCTGAAATCTTTTCTGCAACACTGATGTTGGCTTGTAGCATAAACTCTTCGATTAAACGGTTGGCTTCTTTTATATCATACTGTTCAGCTGTCTCTGGATCACCATTTTTGTTTAAAGTAAAACAAAGTTTGACAGAAAACATCGATAGAGCACCATTTTCATAGCGACGCTTTCGCATCTTTTGAGAAAGTCGAAAGAAGTCGAAAATAGCATCTTGTACTTTGGTAGGTGAATGAGATGTTATCTGAACATCACTTGGTAATCCATCGCCGTCAATTACGCTTTGGGCATCTCCATAGCTTAATTTTGCACATGAGCTATTTTTAGTTATTAAACCCAAACCATTTTGATTAGATTAGATGTTTTGCATATCAATCATTACCATCTTACCGAATCACAGTGCGTCCAAACCAGGTATCTGATATATTTCCTTTAGGATCCATCTTCCAAATAACTGAGAATGCCAACCTACACCACCACCCAACTGGTTAAAATCATATATATATATACATATTCTAGTAATTTTAGGTTCAAAGCTTACCTGTCTGAATCAGGGTTTAAACTACATAATTTCTCACTGAGTAGAGAAGGCAACATAGGTATAACCCGGTCAACAAGATATGTACTTGTTCCGCGTGATTGTGCTTCTGTATCCAAGGGTGTATTGGGCCTAAGGAAATAAGTAACATCTGCAATATGTACACCGACTTCAAAATTGCCATCATCAAGTGTTTTGATATGAACTGCGTCGTCAAGATCTAATCGATTTTGGAATTTAATTTTAAATGAATTTTTCTGTCACCAAAAAAACGTATTTAGCTTAATTTACCTCTAGCAGTAGGGGGGTCAATGGTGAATATCATCTCTTTTCGAAGATCTCTTCTCTTGTCTATTTCAGACTGAGGAATGGCCCAAGTTGGTGGTGGGAGACCACGAAGTGCAACATCGGTAAATGGGATATCTGAAACATTGCTGTCGGCCAAAATAGCATCTGTTTCCACTTTAATGTCGCCTACTGGACCCAATTCTCGTTCAATAACACCAAAAGGATGTTTAGAGGTAATTGGCCAGTGCGTAATTCTTGCCTATTCGATAAGAAAATGAATTAATAATATTATCATTTTTAAAATATATTCAATATCACTTACCAGCATGACCACCTTATCATAATATTCCTCGTTTAAGAAGATATCGTGTGGTGCACGATCAATTGGAATAGCGATAAAAGGCGTTCTTTTATCAGAGGGTCTAAACCAGACTATTCGCGGGTCCTGTGGGGTCGATACCTTACGTTCTTTGCTGTCTTTGTTATTAGTTCCTGTAGATATATTGATCGACAGTTTTCTAGGTTAAAGGTGTGCAAGCTTTTAATAAAGAAAAAATTAAATTTATACGTTTTACTATTCACTAACCCAGGATGAACCATGTTTTCGACACGCGTGACGATGCTCATTACTTCACCTGCATATTTGGGTTTCCCAGAATCTTCATTCACTTCATCAGGAGCAGTGTCATCCCCATTGTTTCTTAATATCCGTCTTGCTTGCTCCCTATCCTTTTTTGTTTGCCATACTCTGTCAACATCCTTTAGTCGAACAGCAACAATATCTCCTTCCAGTGCTCGATTGCGATCTCGAGTGTCCGAGATAAATATATCACTATCAAGTTCATCAGATGTTACATATGCTTCTCCACGGTTAACACGATTGATCCTTATAACACCACGGTAAAGTTGACTCTTTTCCAATAGATTCTCGACAGTTTGTGGATTGAGAAATTGGTTGAACATGGTCTTCCAATTATTGTGATTTACGTCGTCTGGATGTAGATTTTGTGAATGGTAATTATTACCGTTATTTCTATTGCTATTATAGTTATTACGACTACGGCTATTATCATAACGCTGTTGTTTAGTCCTTGGTACCACTATAGATATGTAAGTAACTTGGGGTTTTTTATACACGCTCCTCCAAACGTACATATTTGCCACCTATTTTGTTCTGTTGGCTTGGGGTCTTCACTCGAAAAAGATCGCGTGTGCTGATCAAGAGTATCCAAAGTAAGTCTTGGTGATTGAGTATCTTTTACAACGGGTACCGTTGTAACTGCAAAATTTGGGCATACATCATCGATAGACAGCTGAGGTCCTTTAAATGATCGATGCAGAATAAAGGGTGGACTTTGCAGAACATAGCAGTTTGAAGTCTCTCTAGACTTCTATACAATAAGTAAAATCTAACTCGTAGTTCAAGAATACATAACTTACACTTTCTTCAAGGTTGATGCTAGTTTGATTCCTCTCTGATGATTCTGATCCTGTGGATCTCCAAGATCTCCAATTGGAATTAGAGGCTGTTTCATTGTAATCACTTGTCCTGTTCATTCCTCTGGATCTGTTACTTGATGACATTGTTTGTCTTTTATGGGTCTCAGACGTTCTCCTCCATTCTAATGGCTCTTCTTTTTTCAATGTGGTAGTAGCCATTTCTTGTGGGTGATCCAGAAGTTGTTTCCAATGAGAGCCTGCCTGATCGGCCTTTTTTGATGTTTTAGACATTAGCTTTGTAATTTAAAGAGATAAAGAAAAAGAGAGTTGTTCCTCATTTTATTTTCTACCTGCATATCGTCATTCATTTTTTTATCCATGTATTTTATCAAATTTATTTAATAGAAACAAAATATAAATTTAGAACAAAAACAAAAAAGAAAGCAATAAGTGTTTTATAGATTAGAGGGAGAAAGGGGAAAGGAAAATGGAAAAATGCCCAAGACTGGTTGCGGATTATGTAGTCCCACCTTTCTGAAAGTTCAATACATTTTAAGTCTCTAGCCAATATATTGTATTTTAGCATAATTTTGTTATGCGACTGTAAGCTTCCCTAGACGGTTGAATGGACTGTACATCAAGTCTATTTTTGGATTTAGAAGAAAATGCTGGTTTGACAAAAAGCAATTTGATTGAATTTCCTGTTAATGATAGTATGAAATGAACAAAAAATATTTGTATAGCCATGGTTTAGTCCCATTGGTTTTTTTTAGTCATCATCATCAGGTTTGATGATCTTTGATATATATATTTCTTTGGACGATGGGACATTCCGATAAACGGCTAGATTCCACAGGCACCTTTCCTGTGTATGTTCAATTGTTTTTGTTTTTAACTTAGAAGGGGGGATGGCCAAAAAATCCTTTTCACAAGGATGAGGTAGACTGGACAGCATATTGTCAAGTGCGTCTGCAATCAATCGACGAGACTCTTCAACTGTGAGAATATTCGATGAATTATGATCATATTCAGTAGGTCGGCCTTTCTTCTTAACAATAGATGGTTTCATGGACAGGGAAAGGGCAAGAGCAGTCTGAAGAGATTCGTCTTTCTTATCATCCTTGGTTGATTTTTTAAATAGAGGATGAGGTTTGCGATACATCAAAACAGTTTCTTTAAAGTCCTCTGAACCATCTTCTACCACTGCGAAATTTATAGTTCGTTTTAAAGATGTTTTAGCAGTACACGGTGGTGAAGGTGGAGGTGGTTGAGCCACAGGGACAGGGGTATGCCCCCACCCTAGCCACCGACATTGTTGTAAGAGCTGAGGTAAAGTCATAGATCGACGTTTGGCACATTGCTTGACATGAGCTATTTTACGTTTGATGTTATAATTCCGAAATAAATCAGTCTCGTAGCAACAAGGACAAAGATCAAGGCGAGAAAGATAAGGAGCTTCTTTGGCAGCAATAGCTAAATTAGCAGCATCATTAGACTCCTTTTCTTCTCGCGCAATGTCATCCAGGCAACGATTAAAGTGTGCGTCTTTACGAGCCGAGTTTAATGCGGAAATGTGTTTCCCACAAAATATACAATAATCAAATGGAGATTGATCTTTGGTGATGGGTAAATTGGTTGGTGAATCTAAGCATTTGTTGACATGTTGCTGCCGTAGATAACTCGATCGTGTACAGCTCAAGTCTTTATCACATATAGGACACGAGTAGGATTCTTCATTTGTAGGTAATTGAACAGGGGGGTGTGGTTCTATCGCTGGCTCTAGCGGTGGTAATTTCTGTGGTTGAGGTTGTAATTGTGATTGTGATTGTGATTGTGATTGCGATTGCGATTGCGGTTGCGGTTGCGGTTGCGGTTGCGATTGTGATTGTGATTGTGGTGGTGTTGGTGGTGGGGATGTTTTTCCAGGTATTTCTTGTGTTGACTTTATGGGTTCTAATGTAAGTACAGACTGTGTGCGATCGCGACGCAAAGAAAGGATACGTTTCTTTCGAGGTAATAAGGAGGACATTATGAAAGGTATTAATCTGGTCTGTGGTTACAGAGAAACTCGGCCAAGAGAACAAAGGAGGGCGGACGGGAATTGAGTTTGAGTAGTGTGATTGGCGGTGATTGGCTAGATAATATTTGGAGGGAGGCGGTGGCGGAGGGTGATTACCATGGCTATCGAGGTGAACCGAAACTCCTCCTCTTTTCTCCATATACAACCATGGTCAAGTTCATCAAAGCTGGAAAGGTAATATAGTTGATTCAAAGGAGACCCGTTGACTATGAGGATGGATGCGTGTGGATATCAAACAACAAACAACTTCAACGGATGGATTCTTCGTCACAAAATCCTACCATCAATATCTTCATTTTTAATAATTTTTTTTTCTTGAAAATTACATTAGGTTGTCGTTATCTTGCAGGGTCGCTTCGCCGGCAAGAAGGCCGTCGTTGTCCGCAGTACATAATCGTTTCATTCATTTTCTTATCATTTTCTCGGTGCTTGGTTAGGTTGGGTTGAATTGCAACAGAGTACCATAATGAATTACAATGATCATGACGCGCTTCGAGTCAACTGTTGAATTCGTGATTTACTTGTTTATGGAAACAATATTTATACATCAACTACATACTTTTCAACCCAATCTATCCAGCATGAGACGATGTTTATATATTCATTTCAAGACAATGCTGACTATTTTTTATTAAAAAAATAGACCACGATGAGGGTACCAAGGACAGACCCTACGGCTATGCCGTCGTTGCTGGTGTTGAGCGTTCCCCTTTGAAGGTTACCAAGGGCATGGGCAAGAAGAAGGTTGCCAAGCGCTCCAAGGTCAAGCCTTTCGTCAAGATTGTCAACTACAACCACATGTTGCCCACCCGTTACGCTCTCGAGTTGGAGCAGATCAAGGGTACCGTCTCTGCTGATTCCTTCAAGGAGCCCTCCCAGCGCGAGGAGTCCAAGAAGGTCATCAAGAAGCTCTTTGAGGAGCGTTATCAGACCGGCAAGAACAAGTGGTTCTTCAGCAAGCTTAGATTCTAAGCTACTTTCCCCCTATTTTTTGCTGCTGTAGCTTTGATGTGAATAAAATCAAATCAAACAATATTCAACAAAATTAAGAAACCAAAGAGGAAGACTTATTTAAATTTACTTGTGTGTGTTTGTGTTAGTGTATGTGCTTGTGTTTGTGTGTTGCTTTCTCTTTCTTTTGGTTTTTTTTTGCTCATATTTTTTTTTATTGCATACACTTCTTTGACTTGTTCGTCTTTACATATGTGTTACAGTGCACAGGAACGTGGAACGTTAAAATATAAGTTGGTTTCCTTGAGGTTTCAGTCAAAGATGACAGACCAAAAGCGTGTCACGTATGTATCGGGCCGGAACAAGGGCAAGGTTAGAGACCCAAGGTGATTTTTTTTTAGTGTCCGTCGAGTTAAAAAATGGCAGGGCATCCATAGGCAAAAACCTCCTCTTTCCCTGCACATTCAGTACGTATCCAACCCTACAGTAATGGAATATGCTTGTGTTTAAGCATGTGGGAGTGTGTGGCCATCTATTTCTGGCAATGGGATTACAAGATGCTAGTGTTCAGAAAATGGATGGACGGATTGGCACTTAAACTTTAAGATCTGGCTTCTGACCTCTCTTCACAGCAATGTCCAACCTTCCCGCCGTTCTCAGCCCCACCGAGGAGGATATCCAGCTCTTGTTGAGTGCCCAGTGCCACATTGGTGCTAAGAACGTCAACACCCGTATGACTCCTTATGTCTACAAGCGTCGTGCTGATGGTAACGCATTGTTTATATAAACTACTACATTTGTGGTGCATAAAATAGCGTAAACCTTAACTTTATCCAAACTTAGGTATCAACCTGATCAACATTGGTAAGACCTGGGAGAAGCTCATCTTTGCTGCCCGTATCATCGCTGCCATCGAGAACGTATGTATTTTGGAATAGTTACGGAATATTTTGGTGGAGTTTTGGCTCAAAATTGTGTGCATATACAAATAGCCCCAGGATATCGTTGTTGTCTCTGCCCGTCCCTACGGTCACCGTGCTGCCTTGAAGTTCGCCAAGTACATTGGTGCTGAGGCCATCGTCGGTCGTTTCACCCCCGGTACCTTCACTAACTACAACACACGTTCTTTCCGTGAGCCCCGTTTGATCATCTGCACTGATCCCCGTTCCGACTTCCAGGCCATCAAGGAAGCTTCCTACGTCAACATCCCCGTCATCTCCCTTGCTGACACCGACGCTTTCCTCCAGTACGTCGATGTTGTTATCCCCACCAACAACAAGGGTAAGCACGCTCTCGGTTTGATCTACTACCTCCTTGCTCGCGCTGTCCTCCGTCTCCGTGGTACTCTTGACTACGGTGTCGCTTGGGAGGTTATGGTTGATATGTTCTTCTTCCGTGATCCCGAAGAGGCCGAGAAGGAGCAGGCTGCTGCTGCCCTTGCCGCTGAGTTGGAGAACACTGACTTCTCTGCCACCGCTGAGGCTGCCACTGGTGAGTGGGCCGTTGAGGGTGAGGCTGCCGAAGGTGTTGCTGGTATTGCTGCCGCTGCCGACTGGAGCGCTTCCCGCACCACTGACTGGGCTGATGAGGCTGTTGCCCCTGCCACCTCTTCCTGGGAGGCATAAGTAATGTAGTTGTAACCTTTTTGTTGCTTCTATCTTCTATTTATTAAAAATCAAAAAAAGGAAAAAAAGGATACATGTAAAGCAATGTTATCTTTCTTCTTTTCTTCCCTAGAGATACCAATCTGACATTTAAAATATTTGTATGAGTTGATATGGATAACTTTGTCGTTGTTTTTTTTATATGTGTGGAAAAGCTAAGGCTGCTCCACGTTGCTTATGTGTAAATCTTTAATTAATTTGTTTCTTTTTTGTTATTTAATTGAAAAGACGATGTGTATATATTTCTAAAGAAAATGAGTAAGCGATCATAGAATGAATGTAACTTTTTTAGGTTCGAGAAAAAAAAAGCTTTGGGTTACAGAATAACTTCAGATGTGTAATGTAGTTTTACCTTTATTTTTCTTTTACACATGGTAAATCAAATTAGTTTTAGGTCAATTTATATTTTATTTCTTAATTTTTTGGACTCTGGTAAATCTTGTAAGCTTTATTCGTCTACCCATAGAATAAGGTGAATATTGACCAACTACTCTTTTTTTTTTGTAAAAAAAAACGAAGAACAAAGACTTCTTCCTTGCCGCTATTCGGTAGACTTTATCTAGTGTTTTTCTCTATTAGTATTGCCACTCATCACTTCAATCATGAGACTAGTTAATTCTTGATACTATGTTGGCTTATAGCTTCTTTTCTTTATATTTTGGTGTACTTATTTTACTACCTTATTAGCTTGCTTTCTCTTCTTCTTTTCTTTTCTTTTTAACGCCTTTTCTGCGGCAGATAATTTCTTCTTCTGATTCATCTCGGTTTGTTTATGCTTTATCTGGGACTTTTTCTGATTTGTCATGATTTTCTTGATCTTCAGTGCGCCCTGTTTTTGGTTTTTCCTTTGTTCCTTGTAGTAAGCTTTTGTATTTTGTTCGTCGGAAGTGTCTTTTACAGCCTCTGAATCCTTTTCACTTTCGTCTTTCTTCGTATTGTTTTTATCTTCTACAACTGCAGGTGCTTTTGTAGGTGTAACTTTCGTCGTATTGTCATCTTTCTTTGTAACTGAAGTTTCTTTAGTTAATCCGTCTTTCTTCGCATTCTTTTCCTTTTCAACAGCTGCAGGTGCTTTGGTAGGTGTAACTTTCGTCGTATTGTCATCTTTCTTAGTGACTGAAGTTTCTTTATTTAATCCGTCTTTCTTCGTATTCTTTTCCTTTTCAACAATTGGAGGTGCTTTGGCAGGCTCACCTTTCGTCGTACTTTTATCTTGTTTAGTGGCCGGAGTTTCTTTAGTTGATCCGTCTTTCTTCTTATTCTTTCCCTTTTCAACAACTGCAGGTGCTTTGGCGGCCGAATCTTTCGCCGTACTTTTATCTTTTTTAGCAAGTGGGGCTTCTTTAGTTGGTCCGTATTTCTCAGCAAGTACACCATTGTTGTTGGTAGAAGATTTTGGGTCTTGCGTTTTGGTTTTGAGGTTTTTCTTATCTGTCAAATCATCCGGGGTAGTATGAAGTAATGAACCCTTGACTTTTTTGCTTCCCAATCCACTATAAGTTTTACAATTAAATTTAATTATATATATACATATATATACTTATTGACTCCCTGAACATTTCTTCTTTACTTACCTTTTCTTTTCCAGAGTTTGTAATTTCATTTCTCCCACTTGTTTGGATTCACTCTTGATCTCCGTGAGCTTGGGTAATGTATTTTCAGCTTGGTTAGACTCCTTCAAGTTCTTTTTTTGGTTTATATTAATTGGCGCAATGTTTTTGTCCAAAGTTGATTGATTTTGCAGAGCTTGGACTTCTGTTCTTTGCAACGATGGCTGAGAAAGAGGTTGTATGTTGGATTCTTGGATATGGGAGCTTTGTAGCTGTGTTTTTGGAGAAGCATCTCCTGATTGCTTTGATAGATTTGAAACTACATTTGTATGTACCATAGATTTTGTATGATTAACTACATGTCCAGGGACTGGATTGTGTAAAGAGTCCGAATTATACTAGGCTTACAATTAACATTGAAGAAAACATACCTTGGCTACTTTCTAAAGTTGGAGGCTGGGTTAATGTGCTTAATGGTTGAATCTTCGTTTTTTTCTGTGGTGAAGTTATATCTGTTTCAATTTTTCGCTTTCTGGTATAAACATTTTGGTTATCAGTCAAGTCGCTTTCGTATCCGTTTATTTCATTTGTTGCGTCAGAATCGGTATCAGTTTCTTCATCGGAATCGGTCATGCTGCTTTCATCACTGAGTTCATCTTCTGCTGATTCATCGTTTATAAGCCTATTGAGATAATTCTGGTATTTGCTTGGCACTTCATAAATAGCTTTCTTGGTTTGAGATGATTTTCCTTCTACTTTGTTATCTTTGACATTGACTATCTTAGCAAGCTTAGCTAGCTTATTGTCCTCTTTTATATCAATGGATTCAGAATCATATCTATCAGTATCTTCTGCAGACATAATCTCGTTATTTTCTTCTGTCATCTCAACCTCATCGCCAGTAAGATAATCGTGCTCTGAATCGCTTGTAGCTAACGCGGCCCTTACTACTTCAAGGTCTATCCCATTGAATGTGGGCCGTTTATCTTTACGTTTTATACCCTTGTTCACTCCGTCTTCATTTGATTCGTAGTCATCTTCACTTGATTCGGGTCTATAATCTTCATCTTCGCTTGAATTGTATTCACTTGATTCATTTTCGCCCTCTTCGCCTTTGCTTGCTTCATCTTTTCTCGGTGGGTTTTCAATTGTTTCTTTCTTTATATCATTATCCAAACTGCTATTACGAGCACTTTGTTCTTTTTTTTGTATATGAGTTTTCTGTTTTTTCATTTGATAAATCATCACTCTTACCATATGACAGTGATTGTTTTTGGATATCTTCATTCATCACAATATCCTTGTCAGTATATTCGTTTTTTCTGACTCTCTTATTAGAAGCTAGTTGAACAGGCGTCATAGAATTACAATTAGTATATACATTGTACTCTCTCTTTCCTTTAATTCTGATCTTACTTTCTTCTTTTTTATCCTCTGGAATTTCCTTATTTCCTAATTCTACGTCTAATTTTGACTCATCCATATAACATCTATTATATTTAGGAATCAACATTTAGCATTTGTAATTGTGTTTGTTTCCCGTAAAAGTCATATACACCCACAAATGTATATGTACATTAGGCTTTTTTTTTTTAAGAAAAAAAAAGAAATTTAATGACTTACGTGTCGATAAACGGACTAGGGGATCTCTCATTAACTGCATCTTCTTCAAATATGTAATTTCCAGTCAAATGCATTGTACTAAAATAATATGGGAAATAAAAATTATATGTATATATATATATCAGGTACATTTCTAGTTGTGGTTTCTCTCTATATTATCAACAAACCTTGGTCCTTTTACAGATATCGAAATAAGTTCTCCTTCACAGAATCCAATATTAACGTATTGTTGTTCTTTCTTAATTGTATAAAAAATCCAGTGAGCTGTCAAAGTAATAATAATATACATTTACAAAAGCTTCCGGATGATCCGTGTACCTGTCCAACACTCAGTGAGCATAAAATGAGTTCTCTTTCGTCTACTTTGACGACAAGGCTAGATCGTGTTGTAAATGCATTATCATGATCAAGGGCGACCTGTATAAATAATATTTAAGTCTACAATATTTTTGCAGAATAGACAAAGGCTGTGTGTGTGTGTGTGCTTATATTATTATCTCATGTCATTTACCATAATCAATTGAAAAGGAGATGGAACAACTTGTTTATAAACTTTGTTGGGCTTAATTTCTAAGCCTGTAATGATTAATGTACTTTGTTAATATTTAATCATCACGAGTAAAGATTCAAATATTCGATGCTGAATCTTACCCCAGAAGCCTTGTACCGTCATCTCTTGTTAAAGATTAATGTAATGTGAAATGAATAAAGAAAGCGAGAAAGATATCTAACGTGACTTACTTGTATTACATGTGTTTTTTCTTTCTTTAGAAAAAAAAATATTTACTGTCTTTTTTTTTATATTTAGATAAATGATATACTATTTTACCTTATTCATTTTATCAGTGTTAGTATTAATTCATCGATTTTTTTTATATTTGAACAAATGAACATATTTTTTGTGCATTTAAAGAGAATATTTGATTACGAGACTGTGGTCTCGATAGACAATTTCTTTATTGAAAAGTTCTCTTTTTTGGACAGGATTTATATTATATGGGTATCTTATATTATAAAAATATATTAATCTTAAAAATGAATACATGTTGTGTAATAATATAGTATTTGATAGCTTGGGTGAATATATTATGTGTGTTTGAACACTAAATTCCACAACATTTTAAAAGGACTCTTTAAGAATAGGTTACATTGCAAATTTCTGAATAAATAACAACAGCTTTATTTTTTATTTTTATTATCTTATTTATGATTTTAGAAAGTATCCAATAAATTCCATTTTGTTAGCCAGCGTCTACCGGCATAGCTTGAAATAGGACCCATCATACCATATGCAAAAGGTGCAAAGTAAATAAATGTACCAATTACAGCAGTAAATACAGCTCCAAAAACAAGATTCTGGGTGCGAGCACTGGCTTTGGCGGTTAAATGGTCAAGAAGGAATGGTGCCATAAATATGCTGAAGTAAAGTGAAGGGAAGTAATGATGAAGATATGTCACACGTCCCATAATAAAAAATGGAGCATAGTGAAGAAACCATCCTAAGAAGAGTGTTTTTCCGACGTAGAAGAAATTTTCAGATTTTTCTATAAATGACCAAAAACAGATTCACATTCACACAAAAATAAAATGTTAAAACAATGAACCAAAAAGTAGTATATCCAGTGTTTCCTACCTGGTTTCATATCATTAATTTGTCTCTGTGCCCGAATAGAATAAAAAGAGTATAGCAGAGAGAATGCTACAAGTGATCCAGAAGAGAGCCACCATACAATGGGGTTTCCGAGTAGGTAGAACTTAAACTGTTTGTCTCCCCATCCACACATACGTAGTCCAATGCTTACAAAAGGCCACTGTAAAGGTGTTGAGGCCAGTATATCTTCCTTGTCAGGGTCTGGAATCAATGCATTATTACTTGTCCACATAGCAACATTGAGTTGGATAAAGTCATCAAGGAATTTAGACTTGTAGGTATTCTTTGGTGGTTTAGGAACTGATCAAGACATGTTAAGATTTTATACATCAAAATTATATGCCTATTCAAAATCATCACTCACGTTTTTCGTTCTTGTGCTCTTCTATATTCCACAAAGTCTTGTCATTGTCTGTCTGATTTCTCTTGTCACAGTACACTTCATATTGCTTATATCCCCACTGTGGAAGGATGGTGTTGTGTGAGCCCAAAAGACATCCAAGCTGTACATTGCGTAAACGAAAACGTGTCGACAGGGAACGCAAATGATTTTTGTCATTGTGGGTCAGATCCTTGACAATCTCAATCTTCCAGTTGTCTTGAATATCTCCCATCGATGCATTTCCGTAACCACTGACTTCCCAATGGCTACTAGTTATAGGCGCTGCGATTGGATGGGTGTGCAAGTTTCGGCCGGTTGCGAGATGAACCAGCCTAACAACATCGCCGTCTTTGAGATAACGAATACCATCAACCTCGGGTACATCCTGATTTTCTTCATAACGGGGCTCAGCAATACCCCACTCGTTGTTAGGGTCTTTGTGGTGGTAACAAGTAATTTGCTGCTGTGTGGATCCACTTGGATAAAGGTGAGGATGGGAATGAAGAAGCCCACCTCCGTAAGCAACATTCTTGATTGTTACATTTGATCCAAAGGCCACCTCTAAAATAGTGTGAGCAAAGTAAGAATATATTTTCAATGTGTATATGTGTATATGTGTATGTGTATCGTATTATACATAAGATACACAGGATATTTTTTTGTAAAGCTTACCAAGTGGATTTTTTGATAACGAGTTTCCTTCAAGTTGTGCCTGAAATAGCGAACTCATTTGTCCATCACCAGGACCCGATTTTCTTAGGATAGCAAAATGAACTTTGAAGCTAGCCAAGTAAACGATAGCAGGTATAACAATCAAGCAAATAATGCGTGCAATCCAGTGTCCCATATATTTCTTCTTGGGCATTTGTACATCTCCAAGCTTCTCCCAAAGGTCTTCTGCAGTGTATAGTCCGACAAGTGCAACAGCAAATAGCCCAACCCATTTCACACTAGATAGAGTTAAGTATAATCAATTACCTGAAGACAAATTTAAATAAAGGTAGGAAGTTCAAAATATACCTCAACACACATCCCAAAGAAAGCCCCGTGAGAACTAGCCAGAGCCACCAAGATTTCGAGAAAGATCTATTGGATAGTGTGAGTATTCAATGACTAGCAAATCAGTCTGCTGGACAAGAAACACTCACTGATCCTGAAGATTGTGAAATACTGAGAGAGTGAAAAGAGACAAGCAGGTAAAGAACAAAAGCATTGAATCCAACAAGATGAATCGACTGATACAAAGATATGCTGTATCTGCTAGTACCATGGTTGCAGCTAGTAAACTTGCTTTTTGCGACATTTTAAATTGAGTGGCTGTGAGGTAAGCAAGAGGAACCAAAAGAGCTCCCCATGTTGCATTGAAAAGACGCATAAACTTAAAGTTAACCTCAGGTGGATAATGTTTTCCTGAATCAAATCCGAATGAGCCATTGTAACCAGCCAGATAGCCAGATAGCCCAACTAGCATTTTTCCAAGTGGTGGGTGGACATCGAAGTAAAATTCATTCTTGAGATAAAATGATCCAAACTATTGAAAGGTTGTTGTTGGCGTATTATCAATAACTATTATTTTTGTTCTTCTTCTTCTTCTTCTTATATATATATATATTGAAATTAGTTGGCGTTTGTTACCTTTCCAAAATGAGCCTAAGAAAGACAGAAAGAATTAAAAGAATCCTGCTTAGTCTGTGGCCTGTTAGGATCTAATACAAGCAACTTACTTCATCCCAAACAACAATATCAGATACATCAATTTTACGGAAGCGCGTCCAGAGAGATATAGCAGTTAGAGTAATAGCAATTATAGTGTGTTTGTATTCTCTGAGAAAATAGAGTGCCTAGATGAACATATTTTAGAGTTGTATATGGTCTTGTAATATGTACTGCCTTACTCTGCTTGAAAATTGAGAGTCTTTGTAGATTCTATGGCTCTTCTCCTTTGTAGAGTATGTTCCTGAGCAATTGTCTCCATTCAGTGAAACTGACTCATATATATCTGAGTAGGGCGGAGGTGGAGAATATGAAGATATCTTCTGTTGTGGGGGATGCCTTCTTTTTAGGTTCTCCATAACAACTGTGAAAGAAAGTGAAAAGAAAAGGCTTCAGAGCCAATTGAAAGTTGAAGACTTGTTTCAAAAAATAAAATAAAAAAAAACTTGTCAAATAGATGGTGCCTCCCCCTGACTATTATTGTCATTATTATTCAGATTAATAAATAGATACACATTGATAGATATGTGCATAGTTGTACATTCTTGACTTGACATTAATGAAAAATACTTCTTTATTTTAGGTAATTCTTTTTCCAACTCTTCAAATCATATCCTGTCGTTTTGCTATCCCTTTCCCCCTTTTTTTTTCTAATGTTCTTTTGGATGTCCTTCCTGACTTGATGTCCCGCTTGGCTTCAAGACGACCGTGACTTTTTATTTATTTATTGTATAGGAAAACAATATCCAAATAATAATAACATTAACAATAATAAACTACAAACAATTATGTTTGTGCCATTGAGAAGAGCATTGCCTAGACAATCAGTCAGGCTCATTACAAATGCTGCATTTAATCAGCGTACGAGGTTAGATAGACCTATTAGTGTGGCACCCATGGTAGACATCAGCACTCCTGCAAGTATTTTTTTCTCTCTGCTTTTATATATATATATTATGTATATATATAAAAAGTGTCACTTTGTCCTTTGTTTGTGACAAGTTACTCAGACATTCGACAAAAATAGCATTTTATAGAGTTACTACGTATTATATCTGGAAGTTCCCGTTACGCATATTATACTGAGATGCACCATGGTCAAGCTATTCTTCATCACACATCTCATTTGGATTGGTTTGTTGGACCACCACAACCCAATGTTGTTGTTCAGCTAGGTGGTGCTGAACCACATATGATGGCCCAGGCAGCAAAGGCCCTTGAGAAACATGGATACCGGGAAGTAAACATCAATGTTGGTTGCCCGAGTGCAAATGTTCAGTCCGGGAAATTTGGTGCAGTATTGATGAAGACACCTGAAATAGTGGCAGACATCTTGTCAGCCATGGAGACTTGTGACGTTTCCATTCCAGTAACAGTAAAATGTAGAATTGGTGTGGATAAGCAGGAGTCTTTTGAGTTTCTTGAGAAATTTGTGAGTGGTTGTCTGTGTGTGAGAGTTGAGAGATCCTTTTTTTTCACTTTTAAAATTAACTGACACATAATCTTTTGAGGGGGGCGCAGGTGGACACCTTACTTCAAAGTAAACGACCACCTCCTCATCTGATCGTCCATGCACGCAAATGCATTCTCAAGGGCCTGACTCCAAAAAAGAACCGGACCATACCACCGTTAAACTACGATCGTGTGTATCAACTAAGAGATAGATTTCCAGAATTGCCAATATCCATCAATGGTGGATTTACAACTGTTGATATGGTCAATAGGGCATTAGAACAAGTGGATGGTTGTATGATCGGAAGACAAGGTATTAAGCACTTGTAAATAAATAAGCATCTTCTTCCTTTTTATTGATATTTCCCCTACACAGTCATGAACCATCCCATGTTTCTCCAAGAATTGGATAGAGGTAGGATAATGATAACAATCATGCCAAATTGTACATTCTTTGTAACTCCACATCCAATAAATAAGGAGTGTACAATACCCCAGAAGAAATGATCAAGACCTCTGGCACAATCATCAACGAATATATAGGCAAGTGATGTGTGTATATGTGATATCCACAATTCCTGCGTATTCTCACACACGTACATACATACATGTTTTCCAGATTACGGAGAAAAACTTCTTTCTGAGAAACATCTTTTGGAAGGAACACGTCTGCCACCCTTAACTATTCTCATCAAACCTCTGATGATGTTGTTTGAGGGACGTCACGGCCGTAACTTCCGCAGAGAACTCTTTGTTGAACTCGACAAAAAACCATCTCTCTCTGATTTCCGCTCTGTTGTTCTTCAAGCTATTTCCAGTGCTGAGGTCCCTATTAATTTTTCCCACTCCAACTGATATCGATAATAATGATAATAGTAATTCTTTGTATTCATCTAGATTTTCTTCTTTTCTTCTTCTTCTATTATATATATGCATGTATTTATATAAAATTAACAAAAATATTTTTCTTCTTCTTCTTCCTCTTTTTCCTCTTTTGCTTTTTTTGGCATGACAGAATTTACAGAACTAATTGAGAAAGATAAAGGAGGTAAAGTATATTTTAATGGGTCAAGAACTTTCTTCCCTTCAATCTGCGTCTGGCCAAAACTCGACGTCCGTTCTTTGTTGCTACACGGGACAAGAATCCATGGCGTCTTTTGCGAACGAGGTTTGAGGGCTGATAGGTGTTTCCGTAAGTTACAAAACGCATTTGTGTTGCTGCAAAAGGACTGGCGGCGAAAGGAGAGCGAGGGAGACCGAAGCTTAGGTGTGATAGGTAATATATGTCAGTGGTATTGTTGCAAATGGTGTTGTTTATATAAATAAATAAGTACATATAAAAGTCCATTTGCGGGTGAACTCTTATGTGTTTTAATTGTTTATTGAGCCTACCTTGAGCTCAAGAAACTACCAGTGTTAGCACCGAGCATGCTAGGGCGGGCTGCGGTGAAACGGCTAATGGTTGTGTTCTGTGTGATGTTTGTGGTTGAAGGAACCAGCCGGGATACTGCCGACGACCACAATTGTCTGAGCATGGACATGGTGGACCTGAGTGTACTGACCTAAAAGGTAGAATGCTAGTGCCTTGCTTGTTTGTTGTTTGCCGTGCGGATTGTAAATCAGTGTAGAAAACATCAACGTCACAAAGGACTGTTTCCCTGTCAAGGAATTCCGGTCTTTTAACTTTTTTTTTTCCTTCTTGCACCGTTGAACGTTTCTCCAGAGCGCTTTGATCTATTCTCGTCATTACTAGACTGTGTTAATAGCTCATATAAATCCCCGCTAAAAATCTGGCTGTGAATGATCCACACCATTAGTCTTTCAATGGAAATACGGATCGAAGTATTTAGAATAAGTCAGAGTTCTTTTAGGGTTCTCCTGTCATTTCTAGGGTGAGTAAAAGGCAGAAAAAAATCAATTGCCGCTAAAAAAAAAGAAATAAAGAGTATTCCAAGGGGTTCTTTTTTTTTGTTGCTGTAATATGAGCCCACTATTGTATACATAATGATTACTTGAAAAATATGCCTAGAACCTACTCAATTGATTAGACTTATTAATTTCCTCTGTCAAAATAACGAAGATTTGGCTTTTAATTGATCAAGATTAACTAAACCGAGAGATCTCTTATCTACAGCTAGACAGTTAAAAAAGAATAGGCTTGGAATCAGTTTACAGATTAGGGGAAGTACTTTAAACTAGATTTGCATATTTCGCTTTTTGGTACTATCACAAAAAGCGTATTCGGTAAGTTGCTGTCAATGTGATGTAAGTCGTCTTTATTTTACGGTCGGGGCAATATTTTGTCCAAGAACTGGGCTTTTTCTCCTCCGAAAGTGATGGCAACAAATCCAAGACCACGGCAATCTGATCAATGCTTGCTAATAGTTCTTCCCAGTTAGCCAAGGATAATATTAGTCTCTTGGCTAACTTGGAAAACACATTATTTTTTCTTGTTTTATTTTTGTTTTATTTTTTTACTTTATTTTTTTACTTTATTTTTTACCTCTCAGAAACCCCCAAGCGGAGCCTCACAAGGGAGTCATGAAAAGAACTGATTTGTTGGTTGTGATTGGTAGCCTATTAGCATCGATTGAAAGCGCTTCTTCCTAGTACTTGGTGTGTCATGACGTTACATGCAGTTAACCCTACATTATTTTGTAGGGATTGTCTTTTGATCTAAGGATGCAAAGAATAACTTTTTTTTATAGTAGAAGCCAAGCTTTAATTTATTTGTTATACTATTATTATTTTACAATTAGAATGATCAATGTACATCAAGTGTCGATGTGGGTTTCTTTTCTGTTTTTGGCTGTTTCAGAAACCAGCATATTGAATTGAAATTAGCCTAGCCCCCAATGATAATAATAAGGAATTCAATTGTATATATATATGCGTCATCACAAATTTAGAAAGTCGTATTATCGATAGATAGAAAAGAAGAGAAGAAAATAGAGATAGTAAATGTATAACATGTGTGTGTATGACCCAAGGTTAATAAGACATACAAATTAATATATAAGAATTTACTTTTATTAAAGGGGTAGTATTATTTGTTTCTAGGCAACCATCTAGCTTAATTATTTTGCGCCTTTTATTTGTTTATTTTTTTTTTAAAAAAAAAGAATTGGATTTGATAGTACAATCTAAGCTTACTTTGGCCACCTTTTTTTGTTTAAAAATAAAATAAAGGTGCAGATCTTCCCTTTTGATTGTACATAAGGCTTCTTATAATTTCTCGAAATCCAAGTACACTTTCTATGTGTCTAAATTCTCTTTTGCTTCTTTGTTTGCCTTTGTCTTCTACCTTTATTTCCCTCTTTATAATGCGGGGATTATCTTATGATTCTGCACCAATCGTAAAACATGGTGTAAGCCGAAACTGAGCGTAGACCCAATTCTGACATGCTCATGTGAATCATCTTGGTTTCAAGCTTTGTACTACCTTGCAGTTGCTATGGGGAATTAGAAAAAGTAAGTGAAAAAAAAATTGAAAATTAAAAATTAAAAAAATTAAAAAAAAAAACTATAAATACCCTGCATCTCAATTCTGGATTCTGTTAAAAATATTGCCTTTTTCTTTTTGTTTCTTTTTTTTTTACTTTTTTTTCTTATTTAATAACAATAATACAAATCTACCATGCCTAAATTCATTGGAGCCATTGACCAAGGAACTACCTCTACACGATTCGTCGTCTTTGATGAACAAGGAGCTATAGTCACATACCATCAAATGGAATTCGAACAACACTATTCAGCTCCAGGGTAAATAACCAAACCATTACTATCATAATTCTCGTTTATTGCATACGTTTAACTTTTATATATATCTTTTTGTAGATGGGTTGAACATGATCCATACGAACTTCTAGATTCAGCTAGGGCTTGTGTCGAACACACCATCAGAAAAATGTCCATTATGGGTTACGATGCATCAGATATCCAATGTATTGGAATAACCAACCAGCGTGAAACTACCATTGCCTGGGATACTCTCACTGGCCAGCCTCTATATCCAGCCATTGTTTGGAGTGACAATCGTACAACAGACACAGTCAAAGAATTGGCTGCTAAATCTGAAAAAGGACTAAATGCCCTCCAATCTATCTGCGGGCTCCCCCTGGCAACATACTTTTCGGCCGTTAAAATGAAGTGGATGATCGACAACGTTTCGGCTGTTGCCGAGGCATTGGACCAAAGCCGACTCCAGTTTAGTACAGTTGATACATGGTTAATTTATGTAAGTAAACCCCTCCCCAACTTCCCCGCTTCCTCCTTGTTGCACCATTACAAAATTTGTGTATCAATATTCTAAACATCGAAACTTATCTTTTTTTTCCCTATCTTTATTTTTTTATAGCATCTCACAGGTGGTCTCGATGGCGGTGTAATCGTTACAGACCCAACAAATGCAAGTCGGACAATGTTAATGGATATTCACACCCTACAGTGGAGCGACGAAGCACTAAGGTAAATAATAGTATTAACCATAAAATATTTTTACAAACAATGCATCTAACACGTATTTTATTATTTCTTTTAAATCAATAGCTTTTTTGGACTACAGGGCATGCAACTCCCCAAGATCTCGTCCTCTTCACAAGAACTCGGTCTCATCAGCGATGGTTCTCTCAAAGGAATCCCAATATCTGGTTGCTTAGGAGACCAGCAAAGTGCTCTTGTCGGTCAGAAATGTTTCCAGGTCGGCGATGCTAAAAACACTTATGGCACAGGCTGCTTTATGCTCTTCAACAATGGTGACTCTCCTGTATTCTCTAAAAACGGTCTTCTTCCTACGGTTGCGTACCAGTTTGGAAGCAGCAAACCCCAATACGCACTCGAAGGATCAGTTGCGGTCGCTGGCTCTTCTATAAACTGGCTACGTGACAATCTTGGCATCGTGTCAGGTGCCAAAGAAGTAAACGAGCTTGCAGCTGCAGTAAATGATACTAGTGGTGTATACTTTGTCACTGCATTTGCTGGATTGTTTGCCCCCTACTGGCGCTCCGATGCACGCGGAACCATATGCGGCCTGACGCAGTACACAAAGAGAGAACACCTTGCGCGCGCCACTCTAGAGTCTGTCTGTTATCAATCTCGTGCTATCCTTGAAGCTATGGACAAGGAATCCGGAAAACCTCTGCGGTCGCTCAAGGTAGACGGAGGCATGTCCAACTCAGACCTTTGTATGCAGATCCAAGCAAATGTTCTCGGTATCGAAGTAGACCGTCCAAAGATGTGTGAAACAACTGCCCTTGGAGCTGCAATCGCTGCAGGGTTTGCAGCAGGAGTTTGGAAATCCATCGAAGATCTTGACAAAGTCAATGCCGAAAATCATACTTTGTTTACCTCCCAAGTCACTGATAAGAAGCGTCAAAGCATGTACGGAGGATGGCAAGAAGCTATCAAGCGATCTTTCGGATGGGCTGCGACACCTACCGCCTAAGATCAAAACCGGGAGTTTTCATATAAACACAAACAAACATACAAACATACATACATACATACATACATATATATATATATATTACTATTATTATTCCCTTGTAAATACAACCCTTGTGTACATAACATAACAGAACAGCCTTATTATTACATAGTAAATAAAAACATATTCAACTTGCACAAAAGTCTATATATTCAATTATTACTTTTTTTCTTTTATTCCTTATTCTTCACTTTTAATATTATCCATTTTTCTGTTTCAACAAATATTTGTTTGATAAGAAATACATATTATTATTATTGTTACCATAGTGTAATTTTCACCAAATATTACTGAATCGATAAGATTTATAAACATTTGGACACTTTCAGAGATTAGTTTTGTTATACAATTCAAAAATTGAACCACAAAGAAGCGTTTTCTTTATCAAACTGGAATAATGATATATATTTTTCATGGTGTAAAGTGTGTATTCCAAAACCTTTAAAGTAAGATAAAGAAACATCAATAATAATACAACTTGAACGTAATTGAAAGAAATTTACTTTAAATGTATATCTGGATAGAAATACAAAAAGGAACATATGTCCAAAATAGATCAAATGAATTATGTTGTACTTGAGTCTTATACTAAAAGTCTAGCCATAGTCAAAATATCTAAATTTAGTGATTTTTATATTCTTTAAAAGCTTTCTTCTTTGGCTGGTTTTTCTGTAATAGCTGTCGGTGGATAGATAGTCCCGGTGAAGTATGCTCACGCACTTACACGGCCACTGTCATTGACAAGTTGCTTTAGCAGTGTGATATATTAGGATAAAATATAAATAATGTGGTTATTATTCTGATTAAAGCAGTAAAAAAATAAACAAAATAATCAATCTGCATAATGCTAGCTACCTTAAGACTAGATTACAGAAGTCTAACATACTTCTGGGGACTTTGATCAAATCTATAATACTCAAGGCTATCTTAATCAGTTTACACTGCTTTATCGAAATTTTAGGCATATAGGACTGTGTAAACCCCCCTATTATATAGTTGACTATTTTTTGTCTTTCATAATTGCACCTATAGGTGATGCTCAAACACTGGCAACTGGCTTTACAAAGCAGCTTATAATTCTGGGGTTTGAGTTTTGATCAATTTATCCTATCCAGTCCTTATTTATCTACTGTATTAAATATTCGATATGTGATATAAAATATTTTCTATTGGATAAATCAACACACACAAACTCGATTCACCTTTTTGATATTACAGCTCTTTAAATCAATCAATAAATATATATATATATATATTATTCTATAAATAATAAATTTAAATAACTGAGGAGCTTTAATAGAAAACATCGTGGGTTTTTTAGCAGTTTGTCAAATGTTCTCTCTTTGGGTTCCTCTTTAAAAGATCGAATTTGGCTCGATCGCCGTTGTCTGAATCGATCGGAACAGTCACGAGAATATTGGCATAAAGCACAGGGAAAAAAAGAGAGTGAAATGGAATGAACTCTTTTACATCATGACTACCAAAGTTGGATACGAATGGCTATTGAATAATGTTGACTCTCTTCATCGCTTTAGTTGGGATCACGTACAGTCAATCTTGCTAAGCAATGCTCAATCTGCCATTAATGCTTTTCACCGTGGAACTATTTGTGAGACAGTCAAGAGTTGCTTGGAAAACCCCGATTTATTACTCGAGTATTACCGAACTACAGATCCACTTGTTATCTTACTAGTGGTATCGGGGGTATTTGCATATATTCATTATATTGTGTCAGAACTGACAAAGAATTATAGTCAAGTTGGTGAGTGATTTTGTCTGGTAAACGATAATAATACATTTCATACTCATCGTTGTGCATTATAGACAAATCATGGTCCATCTTACCAGCTCTATATGCCTGGCACTTTGCCTTGCATGATTACCTAAACAGAGGTTCATTTCATCCGCGACTTTTAGTCGCTTCTTTGCTTATTACCATATGGGGAGCACGTCTTACATATAATTTTGCAAGGTAGATTACAATACAAACTATTTTAACACGCTCCCACAAGAAAATGCTGACGAAAATAAATATCGGATATGTAGAAAGGGAGGGTATGAGTGGAAGGGTCAGGACTACCGTTACCCTTACATCGCTGAAAAGATTGGTCCTTTGGCTATGGCTATTCTCAACCTTACCGTGATTGCCCCCTTTCAGGATCTCTTGTTGGCTTTGATAGTCACTCCTCTTTACCTCACCAACTTATCTGGTCTATCAAAAGATAACATTGGGCTGACAAATATTGATTTTGCTGCTATTACTCTTCACCTGTCTCTATTGTTGTTTGAAGTGATCGCGGATGACCAACAATTTCTCTTCCAGACACGAAAGCACGCTGTCCTTGATTACGTAGATAAATCAAAGTTGTCTGGTGACTACAAGCGTGGATTTTTGTCAGAATCTGGTCTGTGGAAGTACAGCAGACATCCCAATTTTTTTGCAGAGATGAGCATGTGGTGGACTATCTATCTTTTCTCTGTTGCAACCATTCGACAGGCGGGTTTGACTGAAGTGGTTGGGTCCTATCTAAATTGGACAGTAGTCGGTGCATTTACTTTGACGTTGCTCTTCCAAGGAAGTACTTTTCTTACAGAGGTAGTGTGATGTTCAATAGTAAACAGTAGTAGTACTTTTGTGGGTGGAACTAATACCTTATTTATTGAATCACAGTATATATCTGCTGAAAAGTACCCGGATTACAAAGAGTATCAGCAATCTGTAAACCGATTTATTCCTTGGTTCCCAAATAGATCTATTACTGCCGATGATTCAAAGAAGAATAACTAGAAATTATTCAAGAACACACCTTGTTGCAAGAGACTTTGGTGGAAAGGGATAAGCTAATTTCTCATAGTTGCTTTTATGAATATATCAATAGTATTCAATATATCTTATTTTTGATAGCTGTAAATAGCTTTTTTTTTAAAAAAAAATGAATGAATCCCAATAAAAAGACATTTGGTGTATTTCTTTAATATACTTGTTAGCCCACATAATATTTGTTTGTAGCTTATATTTGTTTGTGTAATTCCAACATGTCTTTAATCCAGCAAGTCTTTTAGATTCTTGATATTTGAAACACCTGTATAGCTTTAAAAATAATGACAAGAAATACCATCCTTTTTTTTTAACAAAAAAAGAAAGAATTAGTTTTTATTTTTTTTGCGAGGAATAAGTTTTTTTTTGTTAGTCAAATATTGCACTGAAAAAGAAGAAATGACTCTCGGCGAATGATATACTTGACTGTCAAAGTAGTTTATCTTTTCTAATAACTATGACAAGGGTAAAACATTTAAACCTCTTGAACAACAACAATAAAATAAGAGTGTATGTGCGGATGTAAGGATGTATTTAGGGCTCTACTAGACAATTATCCCGATAAGTTACAAGATTTACATTTGTTTGTAGCAAACCACATATCTTTTTTTTCAATATGTAAGCAATGAATTATTCACATACGTTCTTTCGGCAGTATTTTAAAATACAAAGTTAATTTCACACACATTGTTTAATCCCCTTGTTGATTTATTTATTTATTTTTCTATTAATCGAATGCAAAAGCCTTGACTTAATAGATCCAGTAAAAGTGCTTGTAATAAACTAGTTAATTGAAATTGGTCTTTTGTACAAAGTACATAACCCAAAGGGAAAGGATATATAAAGGTAATTGGGAGTATATTCTTCGTAAAAAATAAATAAATATTCATTTTGAGGGTTACAATATATAAAGACATATAGGCATCTTGGCTTTTTTTCTGTGAAAGGTGTACAAATAGCCACTCGTTTCAGGGACAAACATGGTCTTCTTTTTTCTTTTCCACCTTCACTTTTACGAATATATCTCTTGTTCTTCAATTTATTAATCCATATCCAAAATAAAATTTCTATAGTATATTTCTCTATTTCACCAATAGAAATCAAGGAAGTTATAGCAACAATTTATTTAAGCTTATTCAAGGGTGAATATCATCTAAAAGAAACAAGATAGAATATTATAATATATTGGAGTTTTTTTTTATGAATCTCATGTTTTGATATGTTTTGAATTGCTGTGAGTTTATTATATGCTGTGTTTTCCCGATTTATTGGTAGTTATATAGGCTTAATGCAGACAACGGTTTAGTGCATAATATCTAAAGTGCACATACACACTCTATGTATATTTAGAAAGAGATATAGATATTAGATTCTACACATATTCTCCTAACCGAATTTACTTGCCCGAGTCTTCATTGATCTTCAATGTCTCCGATCACTTTGTAGGTAAACATTTGTATGTGGATCAATGTGGAGAAAAAAGAAATGTGTAAATATCAAATCCTGCTACCAAGTTTGAGAAAACTATATTGTAAAACACATTTTTCCCATGCCTCCTCTTCTGATTTGTTCTTGACTTATTGGTTAATAAGAGCTGTTTTTTATAGATACATATATACAAATACAAATACACGGACACATATATATGTATATATGTATAGGCAGCAATATGCATGTGCATATATATATATATATTTGTAGAAATATACTGATACTATCGAATTATATAAATGAAGTTGGGAGTATCAAGCCCGCTCATAGGAGATAATCATAGACCTATCGCCAATTTTTCTTTAAAAAGAAGAGAAAAAAAAATTAAGCCTGTGTGAGGGCGATTACTATGGTCATGAATACAATAACTCGGGTGGGATAGCATCACGGAAGATAAATCAGGAATATACGCAGAGGCGGGATGTCTCTGGCATATTTTAAAACAGTCATTATGATGAATATTTCTGGACATCGAGATAAAAAGCCAATTTACTATTAAAGAAACTTTGAGCTTGCCTGACTTTAGCTTCTTTTTCTTTCGAGCCTCATATTTATACAAGATGACCCTAGTTGAAACTGCCTGTATATCAAGGTAATAAAAAGAAAACACAAAAATCAAATGCATATACACCACGATATCTTTATCTGACTTTATCATTGATTTTCTTTTTACTAGTGACGGAACAGAGTATATCATACCAGAACCATGCGTACATGAACAGAAAGTTACGATTCATCACTGGTACAGCACAACATAGCACAACATAGCACAACATAGCACAATAAAGCACAATAAAAAGGCAAAATTTATGCTTTCCTAACAGACATTAAATTGTATATTATGCAGGCAATTACGTGATCTTATTATAGCACGTCAGGACAAAAAAGATGAGTTGATTGTACCAACTGGGCGGGATATTTTTCGAGTAAGAGAGTTTATTGGATGCAAATGATCAACACGGCACCAAACAAAATGTGAATGACCCTACTCTTTAGTACAACTTCCGAACACGAAGTTCCAGCTACCTTGTTAAAGATGTTGGATACGCTCCCACTTGTATGACTATCGGGTAAGATATATCTTTATTTGATTTTTGGAACCAAAAAGCAAAGACTCTTATATATATATGCCCACGCGTGTGTTTTTGTATAATAATACTTTCATATATTTAGTAATGGATACTGGGCATCTGGAGGACAACGAGGAGAATTGACACTCAGGGATATCAATACTGAAAACGAAGTGTAATTATTTTTTGGGTATATTTGTTGTGAAATTAGACATTTTAATTGTTTACTTTCTGATCAACCTCTAGCACCATCACAACAACTCCAAGCAAAACAATCAATAATGGTTTAGCATTTTCCAATCTCAATGGACAACTGCGTCTATTGGTGTCCAATAACGATGCGTCTGTGCGTGTATTTTCCGTACCCGAACTCCAACTATTGCAAACTATTGACTTTAGGACAGCCGTTAATCACAGTAAAACGACAAGGTTGTTTTTTTGACAATGTAGAATGCTAATATTGTTATTCAATGTGTGTAGCCTCCATAAGTCCAGATGAAACTAAGATGATTGTAGTGGGAGACGACAACAAGGTCCACTTGTTTTCAATAACTGCAGCCGGTACATTTGAACCGGTGTCGACTATGGCGGGTAAAGTCTTTATTTATCTTATTTTCTTCATTTATTATATTTTTATCCTTTTGATCTTAAACAAACTGTCCTACTTCTTCTTCTTTGCTTTTTCTTTTTCTTTTTCTTATTTTCATTCTTGTTTCCGTTTATCCGTTCCCTTTCCGTCTTTTTACTGTACTCTTTGTGTGTGTGTGTGTGTGTGTGTGTGTGTGTGTGTGTGTAGCTGCTAGAGATGCAAACTTCTCGGTTGCGTGGAATCACTCGTCAGAAAAGTTTGCAGTAGCAAGTCAGGATGGTACAGTTCATGTGTGGGATATAAGGAGTAGGGATCCTCTTTATAGGTTCGGAGGCGGTAATGTAAGACAGAACCCATTGAAGGTAGCCCACAAAAAAAGACAATAAAAAAGCTAATATCAGAATAATCATACTCAGAGTTCTATCACAAAGGGAGCTGCTCGCTGTGTCAAGTTTACTCAATCGGGTGCAATTGATCTACTGGCATTTACCGAGGTATGTATACCAAAAGCAACGTCAAAAACAACAGCAATAACCACCCTTTACACAATAACATAATATGCAATTCTTTTTCTGACTTGTATATCCATTTGAGTGATAATTAACCAACCTATTATCATTATTATCATTTTGTTTTAGCATGTATCGCACATCAACATTATCGACGCGAGGACATTTAATGCTCAGGAAACAATCCGAGTAGGAAGCTCTGGAGTAGATACGCCCATCACTGGCCTCGCTTTTTCACCAAATAGTCACAGCATGTTTGTTGGTAAAAGTCAACAAGGAACATTTTTTTATTGCATTTTAGGTTATTCTAAACAGCCTTCTTTAGGGATGGAAAACGTAATATTGGAGTATCCGGTTGATACTTCTGCACGTCGTCGATTCCCAAAAGGTGCATTACTATAGACAATAAACATATTTGTCGGCAGCTACAAAGCGTTTGCCGACATACCAATATCAAAAAGCAGTAATTTAAAGAAAACAATAGTATTATTATTATTACTATTACTATTACTATTATCATTATACAGTGAATGTAAGAGTGTGAAATACTCAACTTGAGATTTGCAATAAACAATTATTATTATTATTATTATTATTTTGGAGAAAAAGTAAATGAATAAATAAATGAAAGCCAAAATACGTATATACATCATGACCCTCAATGGACCATGACAGTTCACCACCCTAGTAGTCTAAAATACTATTTGGAACGCGCAAACATATATACATGCGCAAGTACACATACACGTACACGCACGCGCGCACACACGCACACACGCACACACGCACACACGCACACACGCACACACGCACACATGCACACACGCACACACGCACACACGCACACACGCACACACGCACACACGCACACACGCACATGCACACAGAGCTAATAAAAAAAGGAGGAGGGGGAGGGATCTTGGATTCTAAATGACCCTTTGTTTTACAAAGAGTTTGTATTTACACGTACTTTCTTCTTCTGCTTCTGCCTCTTCTTCTTTTTTTTGTCTTGTTGGCGATGGGGAATGCTATTATTTCCGTGGGTTTATCCCATTTGTTTATAATGCCCTTATGCTTGTAACCTTTTTCATCACCTCTCGTTCTCTTTCTGTCAGCAAGTAGCCCTTTTCTCCGCTCCAACGTATCGTACCTCCAATAGGTCGATCATCGACCACTTCTCCCAAGACTAAAAGCTGATACTGCCTGTTTTTAGCAATCGTCTTGGAGTCCACTCGAACTGGCCGCAGTAAGCCATCAGGAATAACAGGCGAATAGTTCGACAAGACTCTGGTGTTATTGCCGGCACTGCAATTATTATTACTACCGGCGTTTGATGTGATATTTTCTAAGTCTGTCCGAGGATCTACATCTGACTGTGAACCTGATTCGTTGCTAGACCCTCCGCAGCTTGGCTCTGGCGACCCAGATTCAAGAGAATCTCTGGTGAGATCTTCTATAGGCATACTAGAATGAATCTGTCCTTTCCGGTTTGAGCGTAACATACGCCGTCCAGGATCAAACATAATCAGGTTGCGGTGACCGTCTTTGAGCATCTCAATTCCAATTACGGTTCTACTATGTCCTGAATGTTGGAGGTAAAGAGGTGGCTGGTCGGTCAGATAAAAGATAGTCGAGGAAGATGTAGAAGATGTAGCATCCTGTACTGGTTTGCTGCTTTCTGGTTTTTTAATTGCGTTTTCAAAATATCCCTGAATCCAGTCAAAAAGTGCATCATGAGCATTGTTGAGGCCAGAGGGTCTGTGGAAATCAATAATAGTGCAGCGGATACCAAGATAAACCAACATTGTGTAGACATCGGTTGCACCGATCCATTTTTCTGTTCCGTATACATGATGATCCAACTGCGATGCTCCTGGAAGATCAAAGCCTTCCAATTAATTCAAACACAAGAAAATAAGCACGATGTTCGATATTTAAATCTATTTAGATAATACACAAATAAATTCACCTTGTCGCCATGCTTCTTCTAATAATATCTGTAATCCAGAGATGTGGATAACATGTTTAATTACAGGTTCATTATCCTCTTGCTGTCGTTCAAGGAAGCTCATCAACATCTGGCAATTTCTGTATCCACACCCCCAGCCAAGATCCATAGACCCAGTAGAGATGTGATCAGTGTATTTACTGGAAAGATACACTGCCGTTGTACTTATTTTCTTGTTTACGCTTACAAACTGTGGTTTCAGACGTGGAATGACACCTAATATACCAATGCACACACACACAATAACCATTGAAATCAGCTCTTTTATCCACGCTCAAAAAAAAAGTAGATAACTTACCTGGAGTTCTGACAGACTTTGGTAAAGCATTGAGTTTGTTCCACAAGTCTAAATCTTTATTGATTCGATTACGGGCCTTGGAAATGGGGTTGATGCTACCGTGTTTTTTATCCACGTGCATATCCACAGATCCTTCTTTTTCCTCGTCTTCTCTGGCAGTTTCCCAAGGCTTCTCTCTCTACGAACTACTATGAGTGCAAATGACACGTGTGGGTGTTTGCTCGCTTATGTATTTATTTATTCTTTTGTTTATTTTCGAGAAATAAAGGAGTTTCTTTGGGTATGTATAGTATGGATCTCTGAATACCTTTTTCGGACTTAGCCCGGCGTTGTTTAATGTCTCAGGCCGCTCAGATAGAATTTGGTTTCGATCAGCCTGATGATTAACCATGTGCGATTGAAAGTCATTTCTTGGAACTATATTCTCAACAAAGCAATATGAGTATTTACCAAAGAGAAGGGGAGAAGAAGAAAAGGACATGGGGTTTCCTTATCATCGTTTGTATTTGATCGTTTAATAACAAAGCCTTCATACTTTGCTGTTTGCAGGATTCAACTGTGCATTGTACATGAGTGTTGTCTAACTCAGCCATTGGATAATAGATTCAAAAAAAAAGGAATAAGAAAAAAAAAGAAGAAGAAAAAGAAGAAAAGTTAAAAACAAGTACTGCGTATTCAGTAAAAAAAAAATTAATAATAAATATATACGTGTGCGTAAGTTTTTTTGAGGGAAAAATTAGTGCAGCTTGTTTGTAAAGAATAATTGATATTTTTTTTTTAAAGAAAAAGACTATCTTATATGTATGTTTATGTTTATTTTTATGAAACATTACCCAATATAACATTTAGCTTGCGTAAATGCTATTTTTGTTAGTAGAGTGACAATGATTAAGTGATTAGGGCAAAAGATTACTAATAATACTAATAAAGAATTGCATTTCAAGTACACCAAGCCCCAAAAGGCTCTTTATAAAACGCATGAATTTAGACTGTTATGGATACTAATTCTTATCTACAAGCCCATGACAACAGCAAATTCGTTCAAAGCAAAGGCATTAAGTTATGTGGTCTCTTCATAAACAATACCTTAAGCCCATTTGAAGACTTTTTTTTCTTTTAAAGAAAACGCACAAGACATGCTGAGTGTTATGTGAATATTAGGAGCCTTTAACAATCCTTTTAATTCTAAAACGTATGCTTAGGTCACTCAAAAACTAACAGAAAGGAGTAATCTAGAATATCACTTTAAGTTTGCTATTGAATACTGCAGTGTATGCAGAAATGAATTTTGTGGTAACGGGTGGCAACAGAATGCGCTTGTTTTTTATTTAGATGGGTTTAATGTTTATGTTTCTCTACTTGAACTGGTCGTTTAAAGTTCATTAATGAGTAATTGAATATACTTCACTCATTTTATTTTTGGCTGTTTTATATTCATATAGATACATTAGTAGGCTGTAATTGCTTAGCGATGATAGTTACTTTACAATGGTTTAACTTATAGTTGGACAATCTTTGAATATCGAATGTGTTTGGGATTGAATTCCAGACAAGTGTATATAAAAATGTTTTGTACCTTTTTAATGTTCAATCTACAGGTGTGCACCCAAACATGCCCTGGTTTCTGATATTTTTAAAGAAATGTTAAAGAGCGTCTCTTCTCCTCTTCCAAGGCTTCACATGTATAAGCTAACCAAAGATTCCCATCTAAAGTTACGTCACTCTACTTCACATACTATTTATTTTATTATTATTATTTTAAAAATAATAATTCCAACACACACACACGATCTCCAAACGATTTACACGAATGGCCATGTAGAACTAATCTTACATCATCTACAGAGTAGCCTAAATTTTAACATTTATTGCTGATCATTCTTAGCATCTGTGCGAAGAGCCGCATTCTTTTTGTTGGTCATTTATATCTCCAATTTCTTTAGAGAAATTTAAAAGATACTGAGAGTGCAAGATTATAATTTGTTATGCAAGCGCGTGGTTCAATCATAAAGCCTTGTTCAAACAACAACAACCTTCGTTACTAGTTACTATCACAGAATAAAACTACAGTATATCCAAAAAATGGAGAATATATACGCTGTCGCTCAATATGATGATATTATTATATGAGAGAACAGGTGTCAATTGATAACTAATATTGTGGTTGAAGACGAAATGAAATAATTGGTAGATTCTTTTTGTCTATGTTCTGGGCCTCTGTTAAATTCTATGGTAATAAATTGAATTTGTATAGTTTGCAAAAGAAGTATCCTACTACAGACGAGTTAAACAAAAATGAAGCTGCATGAAGTTAGTTTTTTTTTTCTGTTGTTGTTGAAAACTTTACAAGAAACAAAAGTAGCTTGATACACATGAGACAAAGTAGATACTAGAGGGCTGGCTGTGAATATTCAGAAACTCGAAATCATATTTACTTTGACTGAATTTTACTACAAGAGGTGATCTCGTAAACTTGATTGGAGTTTCTGAGCTTGGAGAAAACAAAAGTGTCGTTGTGGCCTTTGTAAAAAAAGAAATCCTGCTAATATCTTGAGATTTACGCAAAAGGAAAAGACAACAGAAAGCAAAATAGATCCGCTATCTTACAATGGAAAATAACGAACTTTGGCTATGTAAGACTAAAAACGATAAGGTTACCGTTTCTGACAGCACATGTATAGATACTAGACTGATATAACTGATCAGGAGATCAAGAATATTACTTTCTACATATAGTTGTAAGAGCCCACAACAAATCGATATTTTTTCACAAACGGAATTCTTATTACAAGACTGAGCATAGAGTTGTAAGAGCCGATATTCTTAAAGAGAATGTAATGGCGATAACTCAAGAAATACGAATGTTTAATATCCTTTTGGGTCCTAACGAAACCTGCCTTGCTGTTTCATAGGATTAATGGCAATAAAAATAACTGGTACGTGTAGTATTTAGTTATAACTTTTATTAATTTATCTAATTTTAAGGCCTATATATATCCTATATATTAAGTTTTATACTGCTGGTAATATATGCCCTTTGAAGTTTATACAAATATATTTAAATCGATATCTGACTCCCTCCCTTTGTCATTTATGAGTAATTTACTCAAAAAGCTTATTTTATAATAGAATTAATTTATCACAATTGGTCAGTTTTATGAAGTATATTCTTAATTAAAACACTGCACTTAAAATACTTGCACGTTTGCAGTTTGTAATCCTAACGAAGGGTCTTGTGCTTTTCACTTTTAGAAAGCTATTATTTATTTTTATTCAATGTACTTTGTAATAATAATGGTAAACTTACTTATTTATTATACTAACATATTAGTAATATCAAAGTGAATAATGAGAGCCGCCTCATTTCCAAGTCAAAAACCAAAAATCAAAATAGTGTGTACTGATTAATAATAAATCGCTTATTAATCCTTTGTAATTTGAGTATAACACATATAAATAAATAAAGGTACATTATAATCGGGTAAGGAACAAGCCGTTGTGTATAGTCCTAACGGATAGAGCTATCTGTCGATATTACAAATCAGCCTTTACTTTTTGTTTCTAGCAAATACTCAATAAGATATGGTATTCATATACTTGCTATGCCTCAGATCTTGTGTATTGTTGATGGTATATGAGGGATTTGCTTTGGGTTATGCAGTTAATGGATTTGCTTGGTGGCTAAACTTTTTAAAGACCCGAAGTTGACGGCGGGCGAGCCTGTCTTTAACACTATTGACAAGCCAATTCAAGGTCCTTCTCTTTCTTCCGTACTTTGTTATTGGTAAGTTCATGCCATATCTTTATTATTTTGGTGTCCAGGAATATATAAAAAGGGGATGGATGGCAAGAAATGGAAGATGGATGGGTTGGATGGATGGATGTATCGTCTATTAGCCACCTTCCACCAAAATACACGCAACAGGGAAAATATTGCTATCAGCACCACAACCACAACCAACACCAATCAACCAACAAGTCAACACACCGAAAATAAGAGATAAAGAAAATCAAAGAACAGGAGAAAAGAAAGAGAGATCTCGCATATACTTGATATATATTCTTTAAGATGTTTTTCTTTCTGTGCAAATATCTCTTCTTTCATATTTCTTCAAGTTCTTTGATTTGCTTATCAATACAAATACCTTTCTGGTTAAACTGCGAAAAAAATGAAGACATTTTGAGCTCCTGCATACATTTTAGCCGGCTACATACACTAAAAATTTTATAAAAAAATGACCCTGTTGATGACTAAGATGGCAGCGTTCCATCTCGAATTTTCTGCTTTTCTGCTTCGAGCGGAGCCTTTTCCATCCTCCTTTTTATTGCGACATATTTTTTCCATATTTCCTTCTTGCTTTTACTGCGAGTTTCTTTTTACTTATCCTCTTTTCACTTTAACTCTATCAGGAATATCAAAATGGGTCGCCGTCCCGCTCGCTGCTACAGATACTGTAAGAACAAGCCTTACCCCAAGAGCAGATACTGCCGTGGTGTCCCCGATGCCAAGCTCAGAATCTACGACTTGGGTCGCAAGAAGGCACACGTCGACGACTTCCCCCTCTGCATTCACTTGGTTTCCAACGAGTACGAGCAGTTGTCTGCTGAAGCTCTCGAAGCTGGTCGTATTTGCTGCAACAAGTACATGGCCAAGACCTCCGGAAAGGATTCCTTCCACATGCGCATTCGTGTCCACCCTTACCACGTAACCCGTATCAACAAGATGTTGTCCTGTGCCGGTGCCGATAGATTGCAAACCGGTATGCGTGGTGCTTTCGGTAAGCCCAACGGTCTCGTTGCCCGTGTCAACATTGGCCAGATCATTTTCTCTGTCCGCTCCAAGGACAGCATGAAGCCCGTTGTCATCGAGGCCTTGAGACGTTGCAAGTACAAGTTCCCTGGTCAGCAGAAGATCATCATCTCCAAGAAGTGGGGTTTCACTCCTCTCTCCCGCGCTGACTACGTCGAGGCCCGTGCCGCTGGCAAGTTCAGACCTGATGGTTGCTACGTCAAGTTCTTGCCCAACAAGGGTACTCTCGAGAACTACTTCCGTGAAGTCAGCAGATCTTAAATGCTCTCTTCATTAACATAAAAGTAGTGGACAGAACAATAAAATAAGCAAATCTTCCTTTGGTTGTAATTTCATGTATATTTCTTTTTATTTTATTTTATTTGATGAACAAAATGGACAAGAATATTTTGATGAAGTCAAAAGTTGATATTTAAATATGGATATATATATAGATATATATATATATATGTGTGTGTGTTGTGCTGTGTATGTATAAGAGGGTATACTTTTTGTTTCTTTCTCTTTTTCTCTTAATTTTCTAGCTTTCTTCACCCATACTAGCTAATTGAGAATGTAGAGACAGACCAGGGAAAATTGAGTTTTGGCGGATATTCGTGATCTGATTTGACAGGGTAGGCGTTAGACACTGTCCATCATAGTTAACAGAATGTTCATATGAATTGTGCGGTACAAGAGGCGTTTGTTCATTACAGGGTACATTAATAGCTTCTGAAGAAAAACTCATTTTGCCCACTGGTTCAAAATCGTGCTTAATATCAGGCGACTTCCACTCCTGGACTCCTGGACTGGGCCGGTTTCGATTAGATGTAATGAGATACACACCCATAAATTCAGTGAAACAACCCACTAGGAACCTGTGTAAAATTTCAAATGAAAAAATTATTATTGTGATGAGTCACACAATTGTATCATTGCTATGATACTACAGATCAATGTCTATTATATATTTTTTCTTTTAAAAATATATATATAGAATCTTACCAGCTTATATGCATACAATCTTCATCATCAAAATCGTGATAAATAACAGCACTGCCAACAATAGCAGATATAGTGAACAGAACAAATTGGGTTGGGATAACTGCTGTAGAATCAAAACGTTGGAGTGCTTTACTAAGATACTTAATTTGCATGATGGCTGATGATACCAGAACAATGATCAGGACATAAGATATGGTGTAACTACTCAATTTTCAGAGTTAGTTTTTGAAATGTCACAATTTTTTAAAAAGAAAAAGAAAACATACGTAAATAGACGATAAAGTGTAAGATTAAGGAGAGAAGAAAGACTTTTGGTGGCAAGGACAGTGTAAGCGCCATAGACTGCTACAAGTCCAAGATCGATTAAAATATTCTTCTGGCCATGGCGTGGGGACAGAAGACTGAGTACGAGAATTAAAAGGATTGTAAGGAGATAAAAAACTAACGATCGCGTCTGAAACAAGGCTTCAGTCACCAGTTCAGGTGTAAGCTTTTTTTTTGTTGGTGTATGTTCCAAATGATATAAAGTAAAAAAAAATAGAAAAGAATCCCCAAAAATGTAAGTAAAATATACAGCATATAAACCATGACAGTTTAAATATATCCTTTCTTTACCTTGGTTTCTTTGCTTCTTGAACTAAAGACTACAGCTGCTGCACCTGCCATGGCAAGTAGAATACCCATAAAATCTCGTTTTCTGAATGCCTCGTTGAGCAAAAAAGGTGCCAACATCGCATTGGAAATCAGGGTAGTAGTACCCAAGGGTGCAATAATTGATGCTGGCGCAAACCCGTATGCTAATTAAAATTAAAAAATATTAATAAATAAATAAACAATCAGTATACATATATACAAATTGCCTGAATATTTATTACCAGTAAAGTTGCCAATCTCGCCGCAGATCATTAATAATATTCCTATCCACCATGTCTTGGAATACAAGTAATGCATGTCGTCTTTGATTACTGCTGTATGAATTTCAGGGGAATGATGTCTATTGGCTTGTTCGAGCGTATTAGGGGTTATCTCAGATATTGAAGAGGATGTGCATGAAGAACATGGTGATGTATTATCGAGTTTTTCGACCGACAACTGATTGTGCTATTGATGAAAAAGATGAGTTTTGATCGAGAAATAAGGTGGACGGCTTACAGCTAACTTTTGGACATTGAGTGCAAAGGAGATGAGGATCTATTAAGAACAAGAAATAATAAAAGTTTATAAGTATAATAAAACAATATAATAATGACATGAATCACGAGAAACAAAAATAATAAAAGGATTGTTTGTTTACATTGCCAACGATGGCCAGTCCGATTCCAACCAAGGAATCAACTTCGGTAATTCCTCTTTCAAATGCTTGGGAGGAGGCCATTAGGGTCTTTGTAGAGACAGGTTTTTATGGAATGCCAATAAGCAAAGTGGCTCGTAGCCGGTTGAAAGTAGACAGATGTCTACTGTTAAATATGAAGAAGAATGCATGCAAACCTCCAAGTCCAAAACGTGGATGTTGGTATGGATATGTGTGTATGTGTTACAATGAAAGCCTCTCGTTCTTCATCTACCAACCTATTACACTATTTCTGGAAAGTGAAGTCGTACCTGCTGCAAATTGATGTCGCACTTGTTCAAAAGTGAATGCCGCCAGTCCTAAAAATAAATGTCACCATCTTGGCAAATCAGATGTCGTATTTCAAGGATGCCTTGTTGCACCAGGGCTGGCGTTTTTTGGATTATGTAAAGCATACTAATGTTTACGCCCAAGATTTACTTCTTTAATTACCTATATCATAAAGAGTGTACAACTTTGTATGAAGATAGAAAAGAAACTATTTTTAAATATTTCTGTAGCCAGAAAAGAAAACTCAAATAACAGTGTATAAAGAAAAGTATAGCTTTGGAACATTAGGATCTTATAAATATCATTTGTTCAAATTATCTCAAGGAAACAACAAAATAAAAGGCATTTATATTGGAGAAAAGATAAAGGCTAATGATAATTCTAAAGTTGATTCTAATGTTGGAATTAGAGAGCGAAAACCCGGGAAAGCAAAACATGATTGTGTACCACGCACAGATCAAAATAAAGTGAAATGTGTCCAGCTATTGTTTGAAAATTATCTGATCGACTCTGCATTGTGAATCAATTTAGAATTCATGTTCATGCGACACAGAAATGAATTAGATACTGCAAAAAAGATATAGAAAGAAAAAAATATATTGTTAGCATCTTTGAGGAACACAAAAAGGCCAATTTCACACATAATTTTAAGTAGCCTTTAAAGAAAACCATTTTAGATTTAATTGTTAAAACTTGGCAGTAACCTTGGTAAAAAGATGTTACATAAACCCTTGGCATGTATGTTACATAAACCCTTGGCATATATGTTACAGCAACTGTAATAGTCATTTACAGGATTTAAAGTATCCAAAACCACTCTATATGTCTTTGTGAGAAATCATTACAATATCTCTCTTAAAAAAAGAAGTTCGGTATCTCTAAATAAACATAGAAAAAAAATGAATGAACGCATATACAAAAACAATTCAATTAAACTTAAAAGTGAGGAAAACTCGGTATAGGTGATGCTAAGCATATAATTTGAGATTACTCCTGTACTCACACAGTACTCCACAATTTGGGTTCCAAATTTGGAAAGCTGAAAATCGAAAGTAATAAGCTCGCGTCTTTGATGACTAAACTGTAAGCTACACATTGATACTCTAATTCAAAGATTTTACCCTTTTTTTTTATAAAAAAACTTATAGGAACTTTGAGAATTCATTGAACCTGAAGATAATAAACTCTTAAGTATTGGATAAAAAGTCTATCGAACAAAACATAGATACTTTGAATCTTCTAAGCTTCATCCCCATATCCAAGGTGCGTGTACTTTTTTATACATAGAGTTGCACAAGGCTGGATAAACTACAACGGTTACGCCATTTGTCATATCATTAAATCTTGGCTTTTGAAGGTATGTAGTACTATCTGGACGGATATTTACCATTTTAATATGCTTCAATTTCTTATAGATTGCTACTGCTTAATATTACGCTGTCTAAGTACAAAAAAATATTAGGAAACATAAAAATGTCAATATAGTGAGCCAATTCAAAGAATTCGTTTTTAATTGTTATGTATAAATATGTATGCATCATTATTGTCATATTCAACACTGTAATAAACTGACATAGCCAAGTTATGTAGTTGATAGAGGTGCGACATTAGTGCACGGAAAGAGAAAAAAGCTACACGTTCTATTGTTTAAGGGTACCGCCAGTCAACTACATCCTCCCCTGATTCATTGCTTTGATAAAGGCAATATAACATTAAAGTCTAAAGGCTGAAGGTGCCAAGGAGTTTTGTGGTATGTCAGTCCATTATAGCGTAACTAGTAATGCTAAGCAATTACTTTTACCCTTAAATGTAAATATTTTAAGTATATATCCATTGTACGTATGTTCGTTGTATGTATACTCGTAGTATGTATATTACCCTAAAGAAGAAGAAAAAATAGGCGATTTTAGTGAATTGTTGCAAGTTTTACGGTGTTTAAAGTGTCTTGTAGTTGAATTCTAATTAAGCATCAATTTCTACTCCACCATGTTTTTTGCAGTCAAAGCAAAACATATCTTTCTTGGATTTTTCAACCCATTACAAAACTAAATAGTAAATTTTTCAAATATAATGGCTTACCAGTGGTAGCTTGAGTGGGTCCTAAGCGGTAACCTGGACGGAATGTTTTTTATCTTCTTTGAATTCTATTCAGTCTGTCTCAAACGACGACCCTCCTGGAGATCTTCTTCTGCTTGTCTTCTAGCACTTACAACTTTAATGGTACGGGTAAATCTATTAGGAAAAGTACCATGTTTAAGTCGGTTAATTATATACCAGAAGTTCAGTGCAGCAGCAAGATCTCTATTTCACAAATTATTCTCAAACTCTAACGAAGACATGTCCTCGAAACAATTTTGATTTGGTAAATCTGTATGGATTTATAAAAAGTATCAGTAATAGAAAAAATGATGGCTAGTTGTAATATTCACCTTAGAAGACTATGACAGGTTACAGTTGGCCATTTGGTGGGGCTATATTAGCGAGAGTTTTCGACTTGTTTGAAGGTTCGAAGGGAAAGGTGGGAGCACGAAAAATAGTGCTTGGAGGTACTAAATGTATCAAACAAACAAAGATCAAATTCATGCTTACGAAGTAGATATCTAAATACTACACCATTGGTTGGTTCATGACTATGGCTATACGATACAGACCAGTTTTTTACCATTAATACAGAAGGTCAACTAAATCCAGAACTGACGTTGCTTCCTAGACATTCTTTAGCTTTGGATTGGTTAATATAGAAGGAAAGGCGAAACTTGGGGACTAAATATTGATGGCTGGTTTGAATTTTGGTATTTGCGTAAAATAAGCAGAGTATAGATATAATTACAGTAATATAGGCATAGTCGTGACAATAAATAAGCTCACAATTTTACCTTGTCATTTCTGTTATATAGAAGGCAGTGCTATGATCAAACAGCAACAAAAAGACATTAGCAAAAATATCTTGTGTAATATATTTGTCAAGATCGAAGAATGGATCGCGTGATAACTTGGTAAGAAATATGTATCTCATAAGTGTGAAAGTGTGGGTGACAATTGTGTGGACTTTAGCGACAAGGACTTGTAGAGGTCTAAGGAGGTCTGGATTCCACCCTGTTGTCTTTATTGATGCCTTGACAGTAAGGACTTGGAATGGTGTAGCTTCGTTCATTGTCTTCTAATCCACAATGGACCAGAGATATGAGGTTTGGGCAGTACTTTTGAAAGTGCCAATTTGTAGTGATATACTAAGATATTGAATAAGTATATATGCTGCAGGTCAGTTAATAGATTACTTACAAGAGTAAAGAACAAAGGTATCTAGAGTTTAAAATTCTTGCCTGTCAATTGTGCTGTCTTTTATAGACTTTTTCTTTTATATATCATCTGTGACCTTGACACATGAGAATATAGTACGTAATCAGCCAGATAAATGTAATGATTGATTGATATAAAGGAGAGCTGCCTAAAGGTATTAATCATTTCGGTAGTATTCTGCAAATACATCAAAATAAAATTTAGCTCCTTTTATCTGTATTGGCGTTTTATATTCATTGTTCTGAATTTTGTGTACATATCACTAAAAACTTACTCAGAATATGTGTGGGTGTGTATACTTTATCTTGAAGAATAGTGCATAGCCATTGTATTGCTTGCAAACCTTCTTCAAGCCTTTTATCATAAGAATTGAATAATAATAATAATAAGATGGCAAAGGTAATAAAATTAATATGATTTATTTGAAGGACTAACAACTTTGATACTTCTAGCAGTTAGGCTTAGGGGGATATTCAATTATCATTATCTTGGTTTTTAATTTAAGAAGCCATCACCATACAATAATAACCGTTATTAAAAAAAGATATTGAGTACTATTAATGATCCTTGGCTGATATGTTTTCTTTCATAACTTCAAAATTCATATGTACAATATGCTTGATTAGAGTACCCATAAATACAGTGCCTATCCCCAAATTCTCCACAAGTAAGTTATACTTTTCTAATTTGATATTAAGGTAGCTACTCTTACATAAATTAATTATGCTCTATTTTTGACTTTGCTTTTATATGGAGTTTCCCATCAACTTTACATAAAGTACAAAATTTCTGTAAATTTTGGCCAAGTCAAGACATCAGAAAATCTAGCCTTTCTTTTTTTCTTAGATGCTTGGATGCTTAGTTTTTATTTTTTGTAAATTCGTCACAGCCAATAATTCTTCGAGTTAAAATATCGCTATATCCAACAGTTAGGCATCCTGAACTGGTGAAACCGCCTAATGTCTTTTATCCAAGCTTAAAAATTAAACATTTCAAGTATTCCTAAAAAATATGTCTCCATTTCCTTTTCAGAGTATAGTAAACATGGTGGATATTAGACCAGCTGTACCTACCCAACCCCGTTATCTTGCCCAAGTAGTCTCGAATGTGCTTAATCGGGTTAATATCAGGAAATTGAAAAGATCAGGCAGACAGAAACTACACCTTGTAGTCTTTCTCGTTTTTAATCGCCATACTTGTATGGCATCTGGAGTAGTATTCCGGATGTTTAAAAGGCATTTGGTTGACTTTTTAAGTAAAAAAAAAATCGCTAATGATAATAATAGGTTGGCTTATATCAAAGCCTATGTGTACTCTTTTTCATATTTCCAGCCTTATTTCTATGGCCTTGGCACCCCTACCAGAACATTTCAAACTTTCATTGTCTGAGACAAAAGTAGAGCATATCCGTGTGTTTCTAAGCTTAATAAATATGCGAGATTCACTAATCCCACCGAGCTTAATATGATACTTATCCGATTATAATATGTATCCTCAATCTGAAATGCATCATTTGAATGTGCTTTATTCAATTTTGAGAGTTTCATCTAATTAGCTTTCAAGATCGAAGCCTTTTTCTATCTCTTTTATATATTTATTCGAGAGTGTACTCGTCAGTCGTGAAAAAAGAAACTACTGGATGTCGTGAGTATTGTGAGAATGGTATTCTTTTTTAGCCCAAATCTACCATGTTTGATCTCCTGTTGTATTGCAAAATATATCTATTACTTTTATTTCATTAAATTTAAACATCTCCCTAACTTTTTTTGCTATATTGCGTGAAACATTTTCTTTGTACTGCTAGAGTGTTCTGACTACAACGAATATTTTGGATTGAGTTGCTCAGCAATGAGGCATTGGTCAATACAATGTACAAATTTCTCATATATGTTGAATGCGCGAGTTACATTTTACAATTTTGCATTTTCGTTGGGTAAAAAATAAAAAATATTTTGGTACAATTAGTCTTGTGATCAGTTATGAATAGTGTTGTGTAATTTTGAAAAAAGGTTTGGTTTTTTGAAAAGTTATCCTTATTTTCATTCAAATATATATATCCAAATATGAGCTTGCATTTGTCTTTTATAGATATGCTGGATATATATACAATATATACTTTTCTAAGAGCCCTAGGCTTGACTTATAGCCTTCTCAAACCCAATGATCGTCCCATAAAACCTAATGTGCATCAAAATTCTCTCTCGAGAAAGGTGTTTTTGGTAGTACAGTATCTTCGGTTGAGTTTGGGACAATAAGAAAAATTATGAGACAATCGTTAAGTTTATTGAGACGAGTTTCATTAGATTTTTTTTATTCCCATATTTCTAGACCAAGATAACACTGTAGTTTATTCAGCATTAATTTTATGGGTAATTGTTAAATATACTCCGTATCCGTTTTAGATACATCAATTTCAGCACGAAGTATGTCACTGCCAAAGTTTGTTTGATTACAAGCCTCAAGAAATACCTCGGTAGTTGATTTCTCCACAGGAACTTTATTTGCTGTCTGCTCTTTAGCAATTGAGTACAATGTTTGTAAAGTGGTGTTGTCCCGGTATTCAATTGATAGCAAAGAGCGTTTTTGAGAGAGAGAGAAAAAGTACGCGATTGCCATCATGGGGGTGGGGAGCAGTTTCTGTAGCCTATGCGATTATGTTCTGGTCAAGGATGCAATATTTTTCAGCCCAGTATTTACTGGGAATTTGTTTTGCAAATGGGAAAGAGGCTTCCTCAAACTCCAAGCTGATACCATTACGAGTCGCGTGAGTACAATATCGCTAACTCTAGTGGGGCGATATTTTCAGGATGGAAGACAAGCGTTTTCTGATGGAAGACGACATTTTGATTATCCCAGACCATAAATTATAGCTGGTCCCTAAGGATACATAATGCTCGTATCAAGATTTTTTTGTGCTTTGAAAGAAATAAGAGGGTGAGTGGGAATTACTTACTAGCCGATGCTTCCAAACAGATTTTGGCTTTTTTCAATGATGAGCATTGAGTAATTTACCGGTTATATATACAATAGGTGAAATAAAGAGAAAGTCATCGCATGCATAATAAGACCAATAAATAGTAAAATATCCAGCAATATTCCATCACGAAGTGTGTAATGACAACAAATTCGTATACTCTTCTGTCTAACTGGCTATTGATATAATATATTTGTGACTAATTATTATTATTTTATGGCCATGTCTAAATTTAGGATTACTAATTGAATATCTTGTATGAATTTCAGGACACACCACTTTACCCTGAAGGATTAGAGAAAGACACTGGGTCCATAGGATCGCTGCTTTTCTATCCATTTCTCTGTTAAATTGATTTTTCTTGGTTCATTTGGTGCATTCCGTTTTTGCACCAAATTGATTTTTGCTGGTGCACCAATAATTTCTGGAAAGGGTGTACTGTAGAATGGATTGGACTCCGCATGGAGATCAAGTCCCTCGTTTATGACTATTGTCTCTCCGCTTAATTTCGTTATAAACGTGGGCCTGGGCACGCTATTACCTTCCTTCTTCTCCCGAGAAAAACTTGTTTGTCTTTTATTGATTTGGCGTCATGGCAACCGCCGAGAGCAGTCCCGACTCACGGCGACAGAGTGCAGCTACAACAAGCTGGCTCAAACAACGACCTCAGAATACAGGAAATCCAGCTGAAAAACAACGCACAGTTGATAGAGAGCTAGAACGTATCAAAAGCTTAGCAATGGTATCATCCGTGTGGCAAAAGACAGGACCAGAAGATATTCCCGTTGGACATTTTGTACCAACACCCTCTCCCTCGACGTCCGCCTCTTCACAAAATACATCCTTAAGTCGAACAATATCTTGTCCCAATACGAACGACGGACAACCCCGAGTAAGACGCAACAGCAGCTTAGGGAGCCTTAATGGACCTCTTTACAGTGCACTCGACAAAGCCTATAGGTCATACGGTATAGAACCCCCGGAAAGAGTACGAGAGCGACGAATAAGTCTCCAGAACACAAAACTCCTGACCATGCATCCAGGGTTGGTGCCGGCCACGGTGTCTGAGGGTATCGAAAGTGAATTCGGTAACCACACACCACAAAGGGTGTTACCAAACCAACGAGAAAGTCTAGCTGGAACGTGCGAACTAATTCGGTCTACGACGCATGAGACAATCAATGTTGAATCAGGATCGGACAGAGTGCTGCTCCGGCAGACCCTGTCGTCCATTATCCAACAAACTGGTAGTGACATTGCTCAACAAACCGCAGCCTTGGAAGCATTTTGGTTGGACAGTGTTTCTGCCTCCAACAAAGAAGTGCTGCATTACCGCCAGCAGCTGGCAGCACAGGACAAAACAATGCAAAACACGTTAGAGCAATTCCTTGCAGAAAAAGAAAAAGAATCCCATCGCGTTCGTCAATTAACTGAGTTGGTTCTCAAACAAGATCGTCTTATTCAAGGACTCGAACAAAGTCTGGAATTGCAGCCTACTTTGCCACTCCAAGTCTCTCCTGAGGCATGGGGCCCGGCAGCTATTAGCGAGTCGCGGGCCGAACTACGTGTACTACAGTCGGAGATGGCTACAATGAAGAAGACAAAGATGAGCTTAGAGCGTGCTATGGGAGCTTTGGAGGGGGAAGTTGAGATGAGCCAAGGCCAGGTGCGTATGATGATGCTTGTCTCGACTGAAATCCAGAACGACTTTGATGCCCAGACACGCATAATACAAGATCGCGTGCTTTCTCTCGAGAACCAATTGAAGTCAAAGGATGCTCTTATATTTGAGCTTTCGATGAACAATAGCACTAAACGCAATGTCACAGAATCTACACCCCGAGAGATGCGTCGTCGTACTAACAGTAATTCTACTTTCGGTTCTTCGGTTATATCAATGCATCCCTATGATCAAAGACAAACAGATGACGATCGTACGGTTGATACATCACACTTCTCTATAACATCATCACGGAGTCAATCAACAAAGGCTGTGCATACAAAACGTCGTAGTAGTGCCAATACTTTAAGTACTTCATCTCATATATCGTATGTTGCTCGCTGGGCGGACATCAACCTCCCACCTGCCACTCCCCCGCCATCTGAGCCCCTCCCTCCTCTGCCCAACACCGAACCATTAGCGCGACCTCAGCGCTCCTTCTCCGCAACTCGTCCCTATTCTCCTCCAACTCCCACTACTACTGACCCAAAGCATTCATCTGTGGACACGATAGCTCCTTTCATTACCCAAGATATCGATCAAGATGAGTTTGATATTGATAGTGTTCTTGAGCCACCGCCTGTCTCTGTGACAAAGGAAATTGATGAAGTTTATGCCTGGCAAGCCAGCACATCAGAGCACCTCCCAGGTACAACAAAATGGATGGACGATCCCGAAAGCGGTGGGCGTAGACCTCCACCAAGCCGACCCTCCTCTTCTGAGAAAACACATTCTGCGTTCTGGAAAGGCATGAAGAAGAAGTGGATGGTCAGAGAGAAATAAGTTAGAATTAGTGTATCACTTGGCATAAACCCAAACAAAGAAACCGCGTAGCAAAAAAAAGTGTAGCAGCACAAATCCACCAGGCTCTTCTGTTCTCAGCACTGCCTTCATCAACTCCATCCATCAATCATCTTGTTTTTTTTCTATTTAAAACCTTCTATCTCATTTCAGCATTGTCTTTTTTTTGCCCTTTTACCCCCCCCCCCCCCACCTTAGAACACTTGTTTACATATTTAAAAAAAACTTGTACTTTATATATATATATATATAAATAGAAAACAAATACCCAAAAACAAAGAAATACATTTTAAAGAGCCAAAAGAGACATTTCTTCTAGACGTCTCTTTCGTTCGCAGCCACATACTCCATCAGTACCACGAATACCGTTTCCACAATCATCACAGCAATATGCAATGTGTCCCTTTTCGAGGCAATCAGTGCAATACAATACCAACAGATGACAATTTACAGAAGCACACTTGAGATATGTATCCCACGGCACTTGGCAAATGCTGCAATGGCTAACTTTTGCCTCTTCCGCTGTTGCTACTGGCACACCCAAACCTTGTCGTGCATCAAAAACATAGTTTTTGCCTTGCCAAAGTGGTTTTTTTTCTTTGGACTGTTTTCCCCACCATTCTAGATAGTTATGAATTCCACCGTCTAGCATCATAATATCAGTCTCATCAGAAAGTGCTTGTCGCATGTAGGCAGTCGCCTTTTCGCATCGAATACCACTATGTAAAGTTAGAATATAGTGATAATAATATACATACAATTGTGCGAATGTAATATTATGTCTTGTAAAGTTGTTTCAACATACCCAGTACAATAAGTAAGTATAGTCTTTCCTTCCAAGCTCTCTTTGTTTCTATCCACATAGTCGGGGAATCGACTAAATTTGCGGATGGCAGGTTTAATGGCTCCTTCAAAATGACCAATTCGACTCTCATAATAGTTACGCGTATCCAACAACACCACATCTTCTCTTTTTAGCTGTTCGTGGAATGATTCTGGGCTCAGTTTAGCTTTTGCGTGTCTTGGTTGGCTAAGTTGCTCTAATGTCACTTGTTCAGGCCGTCCTAAGGGGCAGATTTCTTCTACAAGTTTGACAGACAGGTCGACAAACACATGTCGACAACCTCGCGAAGGCTTAAAAAAGTCCTTTTGATCTTTGTTTCGATGTGTTTCCATGCACGGCATAGTGAGGAGCCAGTCAATGTAAGCTTGGATGGAGTCTCGATTGCCTGCCAATGTACCATTGATACCCTCTGAAGCTATTCTTACTTTGCCCGTCAATCCTTCCTTTTCCCAGGCTAAATGCTCCTTTGCCAACGAAGCGGGATCAGGTACAGCACCATAAGAATAAAACAAAATCACCATGGATGACTCCATATCACAGGAACATTCTAGCCTAATAGGGTCCGAATCTCCCTTCATTTTGTGTGTATATTTTGATAAATAAATTTATAGACGTGCAAACATATGTATGTATGTATGTATGTATTTATGTATATGTATGGGGAATTCAAGTATTTTTCTGTTATTTTTATTTTTATTATTTATAATTTTTATTTAATATTTTATTATTTACTTGCTAATATACAGTAATAATGGTAATAACAACTAACCAGAAGCAACAAAGAGCAGTGGTCTTACCTTTGCTACTCTTCTTTGCTTCAGGGTGTCCTGGCCAATTTCAGCTTTTGGACTGTTCATTAAAAGCCGTTGAGCATCTTCCTTTGCTTGGATGACTTCACTGTGACAGGCATTGAGATGTCTACCAATGGCATCAGGGGTACTGAATCGAGTTTCACAACATGACCATTCATCTTCTCCATTCTTGTGCCGATGTAAAAGGCTATGAATGGCCTGTCTTCTTAGTTTACGACTAATCTGCTTGTCTGTCATTCTATTGATTCGTCCTTTCTTTTTCTTCTTTTATCTTCTATTCACTTTTTTTTTTGGGATTTTTGGTCCCGGTAAATTTCATTGGGGACAAACCGAAATTGTAGAAAAAAAAGTTAGTCACGAACAGTCCGGCATTCACCCAGAAGTAGTTGCTCAAATGACTATTTCTTAAGCTGATAACTTGGAATATAGAGTTGTGCACAGTGCTACTAAAGTAGTTCCTGGAGGTTTTCTTTCCAAGAGCAACAAAAATAAAATAAGACATCTTTAATAATAAAATTATATAGTTTTAAAAAAAAAGACGGTTTAAACCTCGAATAATAAATAGATCTTTAAGAGAACTAAAAAAAATATAGATATATATATACATACACACAAGCCATGAATATATCTACAAGTCAGTATATCTACATTATATTAGCTTATGGATATATATCCTAAAATATCTACCAAATTCAACTTATATCCCAACATTTTCTATACTTGTTGAAGAGTAAAGAGGTGAAAGAGGGTTCCCAAAATGTGGTTTGAGCAGGGGAGGACTGATTGGCGGAGGTTGAGTAGGCGAGTTTCCAAAAATGGCAACCAGCACTTGCCCGGCGGGTTGCTGATGAAAAGGGTCCTTGGCTTCAAAGTCCAATCCTCCTCTTTCCCCGCATCGGTACGTAGCCCATACGCATCAATCCATCCCCATCTCCATCCAACGGCACCATACTGGACATGATGCTCTAAAAAGATAGACAGATTCAAAATAGCAATCAGCCAAACGATAGATATGGGGATGTGGATTGATGGATGTATATATTTGACGGACAAGCAAGAATCGAGACTTGGCTGACACTTACATTCCTTAAACAGAACCACCATGCTTATTTCCAAGGAAAACAGAAAGACCATCTACGAGGCTCTCTTCAAGGGTAACTATCACAAGCTAGTCGTCTAAAGAGAATATTCTTACTCATCTTTTGCTCCAATGTTTTGCTGTTTGTTTTTCCAGACGGTGCTTTGGTCGCTGCCAAGGACTTCAACGCCCCCAAGCACTCCGAGCTTGAGGTCCCCAACCTTGAGGTCATCAAGGCCATGCAGTCCTTGACCTCCAAGGGTCTCGTCAAGACCCAGTTCTCGTGGCAGTTCTACTACTACACTCTCACCGATGAGGGTATCAACTACCTCCGTGAGTACCTCCACTTGCCCCAGGAGATCGTCCCCGCCACCATGAAGAAGGCTGCTCGCCCCGCTGCTCCCCGCCGTGCTTTCGGTGAGGGTCGTGAGGGTCCCCGTGGTCCCCGTGGTGACCGTGATGACTACAGACGCAAGGAGGGCGCCTCTGGTGACTTCAAGCCTGAGTTCCGTGGTGGTATGGGTAAGTTATTTGTAGCTTTTAGAAATTACGCGTATGCATACGTTATCCATAGCACAACATAATGTACCCTTTTTGAGAGTTTCTTATTTATTAACATACTCTTTTAATTTTTTCTTTAAAAATATTTAGGCCGTGGTCGTCGCGAGTAAGCTATATATGCTTTATTCTTCATCCAACCCATGTCTCTTTTTTAAAGAAAAAAAATCACATCAAAGATTGTAAAAGAAAAAAAAGGAAACCGATGCTTTCTAAATATTCGCCTGCTCTTGTTTTTATTATTTGTCTTGACTTTGTTGTTTGTTGATTAAGGGGAGAAAGGGGAAGAGAGGAATGTAAAGAGATAAAAGAGGAGGTTAAGGGAAGGGATATATAAAGTTTTGAAGGTTTCCATTATAGTTATTATTTTTAACAGAAAATAGAGTAAGAGATATGTTTGTAAAACAGACAACAATATGGATAGAGTCGAGTAAGCTGAGGCTGTAAATATACATGGATACGTACATAAGAGCTTGGATGAGAAGGGAAGAAGATATTTGTCGAAGTGAGACAACATTTTCATAAGTTTTGTTGACGCTTTTAAGAACTTGCAGCCATAAGTTGCTCAAGTGCTGTCATTGCTCTGTCACGAACGTCTCGGCAGGAATCACTTTCCATTACACGCAATTTTTGCTCTGCACCTAAATCACGCAAATAACGAACACGTTCTTTCAAACCTTCTTGTTGTCCTTCACGATCTTTCCATGTCCAGTTTATCATACACCAGGTTGCAGCAGCACGAATAGCTGGGTTATCATGTGACTATTTTGATATTCAAATACCAACTTAATTAGACCATGACTTGACGAAATAAAGGCAACTTACTAAATGACGGAACACACTATTGGTAATGTTGGGTCTACTCATGAGGGCCATCTTGGGACCCTCTGGTCCACTTGACATATTTACTACAATAAAGAGGGCTGGCTCGAGTGTCTTTTTTTTCAAAAAAAAAAAAAGTCAATAAAATCTTGATGTTTCAATCTTGATGCATTCTTTACTTACTCTGGCCACAGCTGCATCATCTTCATCATCGACATCCATATCAAACGTGTCCTCCAATTTGCTCTCAATAACATCCAATAAGTCGTCTTTACCGATTCCCTCAATCACATCCTCAATAGCCTATTAATGAAAGATATCAGTATATTATGCATATTTTTAGTGTTTTTCTTTGTATATCATACCTCTTGATTACCGCACACCAAGTTCCGCACGATCTCTAGAGCTTGCTCTTGAATAGCTGGTGCGGGCTGATGAAGCAAATCAATCAAGGCATTGTATGTCAATACTTTCATAACTGCCTTTTTCACTGGCAGATCTGATTTGAACAACAAGCTCTTAAGAGCCCAGACACCATTAAGTTGCAACTTGGGGTCGCTAGAGCGCGAAAATTCAACAAAATGTTCAATTCCTCCACCATCAATCACGCTCTTGCGCATAGGAGAGAACTCAAGAACGAGGTTACAGATTGCACCACAAGCAGCAGCCTGTATAACGATCGAGCTATCGTTCAACAACTATCGATAGTTTGTTTTTATTTTAAAGAAATGATATCAATATCAATATATTAAGCATTAATTCAAAATTAATGGACTTATATGTTATGCTTTTACCTTTATCAGAGGGACTGCAATGCCAGCATCCACTAGGCTGGTTCGCAAGTTGCTCACACTACGTGAAAGAGATTTCGCGCATTGACATGCAGCCAAACGTACATTGGGATATTCACTCTGGAGAGCCTGTACAACATAAGGAAGAACTTTTTGATCAATAGCTTGAGTTCTGCATTCTTCTTTTGCAAGTGTAGCAGCAGCGATTGCAATTAAACAATTCTACATGAACATCATATATATATATATATATATCAGCGATATGTTGACAGTATTTGAAAGTTCAAGTCATTAGATGTACCTCTCTGATTTTTTGCTTACGCTTGGCCAGACTACCGACGCCAGGAACACCCAACATTAAATCAGCAGAGTTTGAATCTTTGGTGGACAAAGTGGCTAATAATTCAACAAGACGAGGAATGGCATATGCTTCAAATGCAGCCTTTTGCATATCTTCACTATCCTTTATAAGATCAGCCAAAACAAGTGGGGCTTTTTCTTGAACATCTCCAGTTGGCTCTGACAATAACTTCACGAGTGCAGGGAGAACGACGAGCACAATTGAATCGGTAGATTCAGAAAAGGCGCCAGTTCGATACAAGTTTGTTAAGCTGCAAAAAGTACAAACCAGACACATACACACACACACACACACACACACACATATATATATATATATATAAATACGTGTTCATGTACATTACGTTTAGAATTAAACGGTACTTCTTTTTGTTGTTTTTGTCTACAATGAATATCTATTTCCTTTTATTTTATTTTAGATGTACTCACCAAGTGGCTGCAATCAATCTCATCTTTGGGCATTTTTCTTTTACAAATTCCAGAATAGTTTCAATACAGGATTGTTGTTTATCTTGGGTCACTGATACATTAATAATAATAAAAAATAAAATTGAATTCTTAGTTTCTTCTCTATAAACGTCATTTTTTTATGACAAAATATAAGCAATATACTTACGGCTGCCACCAACAACCATCTTGCCGATCTCTGTATTCTCTCTACACAAAGTAGCCAGGGCATCCAATGCTGCCTCTTGTGCCTACAATACATATATGGATAACTATTATTATTATTGTGTGGGAGTGGGGGTACCAAGGAAATAGACAGTTATTATTTATATACACTTATTACCTTTATACAGTTTGAATAGAGCAAATTGATTAATGGCTTCAAAACTCCAGCAGATGCTAGCTCCATTTGTTGTTCTGGTGTATCACAGCATTTTGCTACAATCGCAGCTGTGAATTCTGCAATCATTGCAAAAGATAGACTATCAGACGATACATTGTTCTGAGTTTCAAGTAAGATTACAGGCGATGTTCCTTCCAAAAGAGCCACGATGTCTTCAATATGACCATCCTATAATATTATAGTGAATATATATATATAAAGATGTATATGTATATATAAGATAGAGGTGACATTACCATAAATACTTGTTCTTTTGATACTTTCGAAGATGAAAATATGGATTTAAGTGCGCGAGTAGAGGCTTCCAATAATTTACGACGTTGGTGAATTGCTTCTGTGAGATTGTTATGTGGGGGTAATCGAAGTGAATTTAAGAGAGGATTCAAAGCACCAAATGCAACGACTGAAATTGCATTCTCATCTTTTCCTGTGATTTATGTGTATGTTTAAAGAATAATAACATATATATTAGTATTTTTGACAGAATGTAATATAAATTATAATACTTTACCATATGCAATGCTCCCAAGGATAGTTGCTGCCTGAATCTTTAATCCATATGCTTCTGGGTCTGACAATGATAAGTATTCTACAAGTCTGTTTCAATGCAGGTATGTTTAGATGGCGAATGCACAACATTTACACAACCTCTCAACTACACCGAGTTTAATGTAGAGATCCTTTTTGGTCTTGTTGCCGATGACAGAGTTCTTGATGAACCGAAGGGCTTTGAGCCGTTTGGCATCGTCAGTAGACACGAGTTCTTTAATGGATTCTTCGTATTTTGATGTTGTCATTAGATGTCCGTGCACTGAAGGAAATATATTTTAAATTATTATTATTATTAAAAAAAGAGAGATCTGTGTGTATGAGTGCGTGTGTGTGTGAGGGTGGGTGGATGGGGTGTACGTGCGTGTGCTTATATGTCTGATTTGACCACTTATTTTATTTTATATATATATATATATATCTTTTGGGTTGAGTAATGGTCGGAATATTCATCAATGCTTTTGGACGTCACAAAACAGAAAGATTGTATATATAGATATGTATATATTTTATCAATAGTTTGATCGTTAGGTATTCGTCTTTTTCTCTTTCTTTCTTTCTGACTCTCTCCTTACGCGCACACGCACACACACACAAATACGTATATATCTTTATTAATATGGTTTAATCAAAAGTTTGATAGCATTATCAGTGGTCGTCTTTATCTATTAAAGTAAAGATTAAAACAAGGCATTAGCAATCAAAAGAAAGAAAGGCCTTTTTGGCATTTGGCCTGATCTTCCTTTATTTTCCTTTAATCTCTTTCTGAGCCTTTGAAGGAAGGGAAAATAAGAGTGCTTTTGTTTCTGACTTTACCACTTGTTCCACATCCACTTTTTTGATGCGCGCAATTTCCATGGCCGCCAGGAGAATGTTGGCTGGAGTGTTGTCAACATTCTTTTGAGGGCCCAGTGCAGGAGAATCAGATTCTAACAAGAGGTGTGATAGAGGCAAGGCAGCCACTAGATTCTGCTTCTCTGGTGAGCGTACAATTGATGGCGGAACAGAGAAATAATATCTTTTTTTTTAAAAAAAAAATAAAGAAAAACAATTGTACGGATATTGGTTCTTTATGTTAAAAATTCATTTGAACCAAATCAAATCAAAGTATCATAACCTCACCCTGCTTCGACTGCCTTTTTCGCATATGAAACCCTATTTATTTATTTATTAAGCAAAATATTAATTTTAAATAGCTGGAATGAATTACCGAACTTACTTTCCATCAAAAGCATGCATTATAACTCGCTTTGCATTGCACTCGTACAAGATTGCTAGTGCATGATGACCTGCTGATCTGTGCGATCGAAATGAAATAAGATTTTCTTTTACTTTGTATAATATATACTTTTTTGTTGAATGCATGTCAAAATAAACGATTCTCACCTTGAATGGACATTCACAGTTAGATCAGCGTCAATGGCCATTTCCACTTGTCTTTTAAACACTTGACGCTGGATATTCTTGAGTTCATCTTCAGAAAGAGTACTTGGGTTGTGGGTATTCTTGGCCAATATATGTAGTGAAAAATCCAGGCCAACTATTTATTTATTGATTGATTGATTAATTGGTTTTAGTATATACTACAAATACACACCCAAATGTAAATATATATATGAATAATTTATGTTGCTTACTTTCACCAATGCAACAAATCTCTTTGGCAGAAATACTCTGCTGGAGAATAGGCTCGAATTCTTCAAGGTCTTTTAGAGTAACTGATCTTGGTTGATTGTCTTCTTTGGATAGGGGTTGTACAGGATGTAGACCCAGTCCAGGCCAGATCAAGCCATTCGATGTACGTGCAACGTTCAAGACATCCAGAGCATCAAAGACAGATTCAGATACACTTACAATTTGTGTCACGCCTGCTTCTCGAGCAAGATCAACCATCTTGCTCAAACTTTCTTCGGGAAAGTTTATAGACTGGATATGGGCATGGACATCAATCATATTAATATCTATTGATACAAATGTTTCAATTGTTTCTTGTATTCTTATATATTTATATATATATAAATCAAGTGAAAGAGGTTGAATTCACAGTACAAGAATATACATTTTTTTTTAACTTCAAAAAAAAAGAAATCCAACAATTCCTGATTAGGATTCTTCCAAATTTGGATTTTTATTTCAACTCCACACACTTACACATATATATATATGTATATATATATATTTATAATAAAAGTATACTGTTACTAAGTTAGAGAGAGACAGAGTTTATACTAATTTTTTTTTATTTAATTTTTTTTTCTATTGAAAAATACAATTGTTTTTCAAGTTCCTCGCAAGACACCTCTTTCTCTTAAACACCGCTTATTTTGATGTCCATTCCATCTACAAGGGAAAAGTCAGTAGAGACTGTGTCAGAGAAGGATGAAGATCTCCTTACTCCACCAGACGGAGGCCGTGGATGGCTTATTGTCTTTGGTTCTTTCCTGGTAAAAATAAATAAAAATAAATACAAAAAACAAACAATAATAATAAATTCATGGTCACTCACATCGCATCACACATCTTCTTTAGGGCCTTTTTTCGATGTAACTAATTTTTTCTAGATCTATGAATAAATGTGTATATTAGAATTTAATGCTATTAATTGGATTCACTAACATATCATCTATTCTATAGCTTTGGTTACAACTATTCATGGGGTATCTACCTCAACTATTACAACAAAAATGTTTATGTAGGGAACATGAGCCAGCTGTCCTGGATTGGTTCCATCTGTGTATCGCTCTTCTTTGTCCTCGGGCCTATCAACCAGCTTGTCATTAGTCGTATGGGATATAAATACATGCTTGTCACAGGCACCGTTCTCTGCACTGCTGCCCTTATTTTGGCTTCATTTGCCCAGCAGGTCTGGCATATATTCTTGACTCAGGGCGTCCTCTTTGGCTTTGGTGCTTCCTTTGTATGGTTCCCCTGTATTGGTGCCCCTCAGCAGTGGTTCTCGGAAAGACGTGGCCTGGCAGTCGGTCTGGCCATGTCTGGTTCGGGTATCGGTGGTCTTTGTATCTCGAACATTAGCCAGGCAGTAATCAATAACCTGGGTTACAGATGGGCACTGCGAATCAACGGTATCATCGTCTTTGTTCTGCTTTCGATTGCATCTCTCCTTGTCCGTCCTTTGGGTACCAGTAAACAAACAGGTGGAAATGGACAATTGATCAGCTGGTACCTATTCAAGAACCCTATGTTCTCTATTATGTTTGTCCACGGTCTCATTACAACCTTTGGTTACATGGTAAGAAGAATTGGATATATATATAAGAGGTTCCGCCCCTAGATCTATTGAACAACCGCTCATCTTTACACCTATTTCTACTCTTTTTGACTCATCTATTACAGACCCCATTTTTCTTGCTCTCTTGTAAGTCGATTTCTTCTTTAATTTGAATATACATTTAAAGCAATAGTCAATGCCAATGACAATTCCAATGACAATTAGAATTACAGCTCGAATAACAATAACAATATAAATGTACCAATCTAATCAATATTCTTTATTTAAGCCCATGCAAATTTCCTTGGACTTGACCCATGGGTTGGTACTAATCTGTCGGCGATTATGTCGGCTGTCAACGCAGCATCCCGTATCTGTACTGGTTACATGGGTGACAGAATCGGCCGATTCAATAGTTTGTTCCTGTGCACCTTTATGGCCGGCGTGTGCTGTCTAGCGATCTGGATTAACGTCCATGACCAGGCAACAATCTGGGTATTTGCAGTACTCTATGGATTCTTTGGTGGTGGATACATTGCCCTATTCCCGACCGTCCAGCCCCAGGTCGTTGGCCTTGAACACATCTCTCCTGCAGTCGGTCTACTATACTTTACAAATCTTTTTGGCTACATGTTCGGCACCCCAATTGCGTCTGCCCTCATTAATCGTAGTAGTCCCCCTCGGTACGAAGATGGCGCAATCTGGGCTGGCGTCACAGTCATTGTCGGTTCCCTGTTTGCCGGATGGCTGCGTGTACAAAAGGCAGGCTGGAAGTTTGTAAAGGTCTAACTTTATTCGTTTCACACATTGTACACACTTTATCAATCCCGGAGATTCAATGTCTTTTTTTTTTTACTTTATTTCCTATTATTTGTATTACACCCTTTTCCACTAATTTAGATATTAACTTGACACAAATACGTACATTATGTATTATATAATTCCAAAAGAATATAGCTAAATAATTTTTATTATATATATTAAAAAAAGCCATTACTAATACAAGCGCAAGACAAAGCCATAAATTCAAATCCAAATCCAAATATTAAAAACTGAAAACTGAAAGGCAAATAAGAGTGCAATTTTAATTGTAATAAAGATATGTTTTATCCAAGTGACGTAAAAGAAACAAAAAGCAAAAAGCAAAAAGCAAAGTAAGATTAATTCACTATACGGACGATTCTCTGAAACAAATATATTTATGCTTGCATTATAAAATAAGCATTTTCCCCACGTATATCGATTATTTTCATGTAAAAGTTTATCTTATTTTATAATTCCATTTTATTTTACAAGACGTACTAAGGAAGACTATTTCTCTGATGTCGTCTTGACATCATTGATTTTTGTAATATAAAATCATACACACATAGAGAGAACGAAACAAGTGTGTACATAAGAAATCATTATATAAACCAAGTCTAAATCCAAGATTATTATTATTTTTTACCTTTCTCTAAATCAATTCAATCAATCACTTTGTTAACATAACACTTACTTGTACATTATGGATATCGGACAACTCAAAAACCCTTTCGGCTCAAACGATCCCAAGAAAGCTACTGGCAGCAGTGGCCCATTCAAGATTGGCGACTATGATAATGCAGCTGAACAGAACAACAGCACTCAGTCTTCAGCCCCAACAAACCAATCCAATACTCAAGCACAGCAAAACAGTCAAGCCAAGCGAGAAAGTACTGCGACATCTCTTAAGGAAGGAGTCCAATCCACTCTTGATAAATTGTCTGGACAGTCAAATTAATGCATACACCCATGTACAAATGAGGAAATAAAGAATTTTTTTCCATGTATATAAAATAAACAGATAAATATTTATTTATTTAATAAATGTTCTTTCCTATAAAATATTTCAAGTAGTCCTTTTTTTTTGTATGGGGCTACAAGTAGTCTCGATCAACTTTGGGTTTATGTTAGCAGAGTACAAAAGACATGTATATATAACGATGATGAAGATGACGATAATTGAAAAGATTTCAAAGATTCGACGTTTATGCTCGAATACACCGTAGGAGGATTGACATGCTTTAAAAAAAAATTCCTGCTTTGGACTAGAAGAGTTGTCATTATTGGTGCGGTGGATTTCGACCAACTCCACATTGAATACAAGCGTGGATCTCACCTTGAATAGCGCTTCTCATCCCGTTTCTTCCGTAACCTAAATATATATTTTTTAAAGAAAATAAGAATTTAGCTAAAATTGATAAATTATTATAGGCTTACCCAAATAGGGGAGAGATTATCAATCGACACTCTACCAAGACATATACACTAAGCGTTTATAAGGTAGATTAAATAAATATAATAACAACATTTTTGTATAGATCTTTCTCGCTAATTTTCCGGGTATTAACTTGGCATGAATACACACATACATATGTTTGAATAATTTATAGAAAAATGAAGTGTACATGAAAATTGTTTCTCTTCCTTTAACAGGGTTTCCTACCCACAAGACCCAATGCGCAAATTAGGTAGACCGTTTTTTATTGTATGCGATTCAACTCGTGACTTGGGCCGTGTTTTAGTTCACAGTATACATGGATTATGTGAGCATATAATTAATAGATGAACACATATGAATAGATATATTATTTTCTGTATAAAAAAGGGTGAATTTAGATAGTACTATTTTATGTATTTACTCATATATATATATATCCTTGGACTTAGTATTACATTTATATAATTGTCTATCGAAATAAAGGAGGTACTATTTTTTTCAGAATATAAATATACCTACGTCGTAGTATGTAGAGTATAATAATCTGATGGTTACATTAACAAACAAATAATCTGTACGACTTTAAAGATATAATCTATCTATCTATATATATACTTTCATTTGTCCGATGTTACGTGTGTGCTCATATAAGTATCTCTAGTGGTCTTTGTGTACTGTAGCTTATTTATGTGAATAAAATCTATAGAACAACATTCACGGACATGAATAGTTCTTTGTTAACTCTTCTAATACGTACATATATATATATTCGAATTATAATCAAAGTAAGGTTATCTTTCAGTGTTTTCATCAGGGTCACTTCAAAAACCATGTAAGAAAATGAAAGGGTCCTGTCAAACCGAGTACAAGTGTTAAACATAATACACAATAAAAGTTCTCGTATCTCCTATGTCCGATCGTTTCAAGATGTATGTTTCTATTCTATTTTCCAAAACATCAATAGTAAAATATAAACGATGTATTTTCAATATTAAAGATATATATTCTGGATAGTAGTTCAAGTACAGAGAACTATCTATATATCGACATAAGCCATCAATACTACCAGCCGAATCAGAGTAAAGATAACAAAAAAAAACGTCCAGCTTAACATTCATTAGTTTTTATTTAATCCATTATGTTTCACATCTTTTCTGAATCAAGATCACAAACCCGATTTTCGGGTAATTGAGCTCAGCCAAGCAAGGTCAGCTCAAAAGAAAGAAGTACTAGTTACTTTCAGACCGAAGAGGAACAAGAAGAGAACTGCTAGGCTGTTATCTTATAGAGAGGAGAATATCAGTGAATGAGTTTGATCTTGTTAAAAGGAGCCACTGTAGAGTCATCTTCATAATCATCTGCCAGGTTGGATTTGGTGCGTTTAGAGCTATACTATTATTATTATTTTTTAGGTCAGGGAGCTTGGATGCATTCAGGTACCCAACAACTCTAATATACGCAAGCTTTGACCTTGGAACAGTCAAAGAAGCGGTATATAATCTCGCGGCAAAAGGTGCAATACAAGTATAACTTATAACAAGTGACAATGGCAATATAATAACCTTCCTAAAGTGGATAACATGGGACAGCGTAAGAATACATCCCTGAATCAGACGACTAAGGGAACAAATAAGAGGGTATGCCTAGCCACTGAACTATTCTTACGATAATCGAATGTTCACTTTTAGGTAAATAATGTGTATGTCGATGTATTCACATAAGTTCTACCCAAAAGCTTGGACCTATTTTGTATAACAGTTTTGGAAAGGAAGACCTAGATAAGATTGGTATTAGCCCCAAGAGATAGGAAGCCACAGACATTTCTTATAGCAACCTTGAAATCTTCATTGGAATATTTTAAGATATCGTATTTTTTTATCGTCATTATGATCTCCACAATTGTAAACTTCCTAATTACACGGGGCTACAAATCCCGCAGTAATTATACCCAAGAGACTGGATCTAGCAGCAACATTAAATTCTTTGAGGGAGACATTATCAGCAGTGATGTCATACAAAATGGTATATGTCCTTACACCCCAAGGTCAATTATTATCGACAAGGATGACATGCTTATTTTAATATCATCTATAAATACGTGTGTTTCTTCTAACAGTGGTCGGCACAAAACACGCTGGCTTAAGGTGAACGGAGGTCAGTAAACGGAATTTTTGGTCCATAAATATTGGAGAAACTAGATTTTCAGGAGAGCATGTGTACATTCTGGTTCGGGACAGGCATCAAAACTCTATTAAAGTATGTTATAAAAGGACAAGCCAAAAAAAGTGGCTGTTTTAATGTTAAACGCAAGGTGAGAAAGGAATATATTTACAGAAATTATAATGCTCTCCCAAATCGCTTGCCAAGTAATGAAATTCTTTTCCGAGCCCTTGAAATACGTTAGGTCATTTATATTACATTCTTAATATAATAAAAATACTCTAATTCCTCCAAAACACAATGTGGTATTAATCTCCTTGTACCTTTGGATGAAAAAAAAAAGTCAAAATGGTACTTTTCTGACGCTTTCACACCAAATCTGCTTACAACTAGTATTTATATATTCTCTTATACCGTGCAATTTTTCAACAATTAATACCGAATTGAGATGATTTATAAAATTTAAACACTTTTAGTAATTACTTTTATTAACTAATTCAAACGTGGAAGTACGAACAGGAGTTTTCTTTATCAAACTAAATTAATAGCTTATATTTTTCATGGTGCTATATAATCCAGGGTCTTTAAAGTGGGATGGAACAATAGGGGGTTTCAACAGTCCTTTAAGCTTTTAAACTTAAGCTTAGTTTAAATTTCAAAATATGACTGGCTGAAATTAATTTGTAGCCATTAAAAAAATATTAAAACTTGAAAGAAAACCTTCGAGAGTTTTAAACTTTTAATACATCCTTGCTTAAATTTGATTTTTCTTGGAAATTTAACAGAAAATTGGTGCAAATATCTTTTTCTCTTTCAATACCACTCCACACTTATATCATATTATCACAATGCCTAATAGAACTGAAGAGGCATTTTGGGTACTCAAAAACACTTAGTAACTCTTACGTATTATTGGTTACTACTTTAAAACTCAAAGCTCAAAGGACTGTTGAAACCCCCTATTATGTTCTTTTTCTCTCTTTAATAATAATGGGTTTCATTATCTCTTCAAATAAAACTCATATTAGGATTCCTAACGCGAGTGTTAAACTTGTGGCCAATGACAGTGAATATAAAGTGAGAATTATTGAATCCCCCTTTTTAATTAATCATCTTATTCTTGTACCTGATATTTTATTATAAACAATTAAGTTAATATCTATCACTTATATTGGACATTTTGCTTATAAAAGTTGGTATATAAAGTGGAAATATTTAGGAGGGGCAAAAAAATTGATAAAATTTTGCTCTAAGTATTTCAAGACGTAAAAATGAGCAAACCTAAATTTCAATCCGAAAGCCTTTTCCTTCGGATTAAATCTACACATTTTAATTCTATTCAGACTTTTCTCAGCCAATAGTTTCATTGTTTAAATACCCGCTTTCAGAAACCTAATCCGAATCCTAATCCGAAGAGATAATGAAACCCCCTATTATGAACTTGCAATATAGGGAAATTTTTGGCTTTGACACTTCTATAACTTTTCATTTGATTTGTTACTAATAATTTTCCAACTTGTATATGAAGCAAAAATGTTTGCCAATTTGGTTTTTTTATTTAACATATAGGCTTTTTTTTAAAGAAAATAAAAGAGAGTTAAGAGGTACAGAGATATATGTTATTTTTGTGCAGTTTTCTACTAAGGGTTTTTCTGCTCACTGACTTTCCAGTCTCTTTCTTGATTGAACGTGCCATCCCTTCCAAAGTTTGATGGTGATCTCGCTTAGCTTCCAAAACAAGATGTCTTATCTCTCTAGGTGTAAGCTTTTCGGGCCTTCCAGAAGGTTTTTTGTTCGCAACAGAGCCAGTTTCTTTGTATTTTTTCAAAATATTATTGATTGTAGACCTTGGTATATTCTCTTCGGCTGAAATGTCACAAATTCTCATCCCTTTTTTATAGTAGCCGATTATGATTCCCTTTCTAAAATCTGAAAGTCTTTGAAGGGTTCTACGGTGTTGAGTGTTTTTTAATTTGGACATGATGTTTTCCTTTTTTTAAAAAAAATAAAATTAAATTTAAGAGATTGATCAAAGTAAAGTGCAAAAAATTGCTGGTATTATTATTTTCAAAAAAAAATATATGGGTAGTTGAGATAAAATCATTAGTATTTTAGTATAAATCCTACATCATAGCATGCATTAATTATTATTAGTATTAATAATAATAGTGTAAAGAGTCGTGGTTATGCAAAGAGTTATAAAGTAAGATTTTTTTTAACAAAAAAAATTTCAAAGCATAATAGAGGGTTTTATTTTTATTTTTCTTTAGCCAATCATTTTAATCGTAAATCTCAGAAATTAAAATTAAAATATTTATAGCATGAAACCCCCCTCTTTTCCCTTTTGTATCTCCAGAAATACCACACCAGCAAGTAACGCGGCACAAACAGATGTATAACTTGGAACCCACTTGATAGAAAATATCATAATCGGAAGATTATATAAGCGTGTGGAGCATATCTTTTGTTTCAGTCACCATTGTAATCTACTTGAGGCACAAAAATAAATAAGGTATATATATATTCTGTGCAAAACAAACTATTGTGTAAATAGAGTTACTATATAATCTGATTTCTACAAGCTTTATTTGTTAGGACTCGAATACAACAAAAATTGATGCATATTTAAACATAAGAACTATGACCATTCTATAGTTAAAGCCAGGTGCTTTGCCCGGATAATCAAAGAGTTTTATTAGACCGAACAAAATATATTCCGGCCCGGTAAATGCTTGTTATGTTATAGGCTATATATGAACCCTCTTTATTTTATTTTTATTATTTATGTATCGAATAATAATGCGTAATTCTGGGAGCATTATAATATTCTATATACACACACGCATACGCACGTACATAATATCAAAAAAATAAGAAAAAAAGTCAGCTTATTGTTTCTAACATTGCTGTGTATTATTTTCTTCTTGTTCATCATTCTCATGACGCCTAAAATCTTGCTTACTCGCTTGCGTAAAGAACTAAGTAAATTCCTCAAATATAAAACTTTTTTTTTTACATCCTTTGTTGCCAAACAACTAAATCCACTCACTAACATTATATACATTCTTTTTTTAAAAAAAAATCTCTTTTCTTCTCCCCTTTCACCCCCTCCTTTTTTTATATATATGTGTAGCTGATTTGGAAAGAGATCCACCTCCTGGGATTGTGTGCTATCCTATTGACGATGATATTACGCAATTAGAATCATGTAAGTAACAGCCACATTTTACGATTGGTTCCTTCAAGAAAATTACATTTACACACGTAATATTTATTTATGCCCATATATATACAGTCATTAAAGGACCACCGGAATCTCCTTATGAGAAAGGTTTATTTCAACTCGACATTACAATTCCTCTACAATACCCCTTTTCTCCACCGCAGATCCGTTTCAAGACACCAATCTACCACCCCAACATTGATGACTGTGGACGCATTTGTGCCGATATTCTCAAAAAAGGTGTCTCTGGAGGCTGGAAACCATCGCTCAATCTTTCTACAACTCTAATGTCGCTTTCAACTCTAATGGCACATCCTAATCCAGACGATCCGCTTGATGCAGATATTGTAAGTACACACATACGCATATATATGATATTGTTATAGTATACTTGTACCGGGACGCTTTATTTATTATACCAATTAAATTAACAATATTCTTGTCATGTCATGTCATGTCATGTTATGTCATATGTCTTTTCTTCTTCTTCGGTTTTTGTGTTTGTGTTTGTGTGTATCTTATTGATAAATCATGCCATATCTTATTTTATTTTATTTTAATGCTGAACACACACACATACACATGTATATATATTCTTGATATTCTGTTTTATTTGGGGTTATGTAGGCCAAACAGTTCAAGCTGGATAATGCACTATTTGTAAAGACAGCAATAGAACACACTTTTAAGTACGCAGTTAATTCGCAGACAGCTGACAAGGTTCCCGATACGCCTGATCATGCAATAGAACCAAATCAAGACAAATCTGACAAGAATCCGGTTTTTCAAGGAGAGGAAGAAAATTATCAGCAACTACAACAGCAGAAACAACAACAGCAGCAGCAGCAGCAGGAAAAGGAGAAAGAAAAGGAAAAAGAAAAAGAAGAGGCTAAACCAGAATCTGTTCTTTCTGGTGGTACTGGGCTTGAGACTGGTTCTGGACGCAAAAAGGTGCTTTCACTCTCGCAGAGAAAGAAGGACATGCAGAATTTTTCACAAAAATCCATCCCAAGCACAGATAGCAGCATTTTAACCACTGCAACACCAACATATCCAACAGCTCCAGCTCCAGCTCCAGCTCCAACAGATCTAGCTCCAACAGCTCCAACAGATCCAACTCCAGCTCCAACAGATCCAACTCCAGCTCCAACAGCTCCAACTCAAACCCAAACTCAAAATCAAACCACATATTTAGCATCTAATATCCCAATTCCACGTAAAAGATCAATTGCCCAGGATGATGTTCCTGAAAAGCCAGAGTCTGGCGCAAAAAAGAGCAAGTTAAGTTTGAAGAAGAAGATGAAGATGAATAACAACTAGCGCTCTATCATATTCTTTACATAGCCGATCATCATAATTTGAATAGTAGTAACAATAACAATAATAATCACAATAATATTAGCATCAACACCAGCATCAATATTAATAAATACATGTATAAAGAACACTCAAATGATGTTGACTATTCAAATAAACCTTTCATTCGCGAAACATTTGTATATATATAAAAATGTGTATTTGTGTGCGTGTATGTTAAAAAAGTCAGAAATAAAATATATTACTTTTTATTATCATCATCATCACTATCACTACTATTACAATACTACTACCATGGTTACCATGGCTACCATGGCTACTATGGCTACTATGGCTACCACGACTATCACTATATTTCCCTGGTTTTGAAACCCAATGCAAAGAGTTTTATATCTTTCATTTTTGTACACACGTTTAGATAAATCCCCGTACATAATCACATGCAATAAACTTGCTAAATCAATGGTAACAAGAAGACAGTTTTTTTTTTAGGCCCCAGTGTTTGTCATCTTATTTTACACATAAATAATAATTAAGTCACAGATCTCTTATTAAATACACTCAAATAAATCCGTTTAGGATTCACAGTGATACCAGCACAACTTCTTTCACGTTCTTTTTTTTTTTGTCTTTACTTCATTTTGCAATGACTGACATTCCTCAACTCAAAACCTTTGATGTCAGCTTGTCTCCTACAGGTGTAGCAGAAATTGCCTTTAACCGGCCTGAACGATACAATTCGCTTTCTCCTTTGGTTTATGAGGTACGATAATATATATAAGAAAAAAATAAAATAAAATAAAATAGAGGGACTTTTGATTTACATATATGTATATACGTATGTATATACATGCTTGTGTGCGTGCATGCGTATTTATGTACGTGCTTACTTGTGCGTGCGGGTGCGTACGTATGTGAATATGGGTACGGATATGGATGTGTGTGTGTGTACATTTTATTTTGCGGGGTAAAAAAAAAATAAGACAACTAAATAAATCAAGGAGATCAGAATAACATATGTGTATATTTTCTTTTCTATTTATTTTTATGGGTTGCTCTGTGTAGGAATGGAGAACTGCTATTCGTTGGGCAGCAAGCAGTGAAGATGTCAAGGTTACTGTCTTGACTGGCAGGGGAAAATACTATACTTCCGGACAAGAACTTGCTATTCCTGAAATGACACCTGAAGCTTTGGATAATTATATGAAGCGTAGTGAGGTCACAAAGTAAATATACTGCAGCTTGTGTGTGTGTGTGTGTGTGTGTGTATTTTTTTTTGCCTAACACAAAAGGAGATTCTAATGGTTTTTATTTTTTATCTTCTTGATCTGACCAATCCTATATATTACTATCAACATATTATTAACACACACGCACATAAAAGGACTCTTACTGATGAACTTATCAATTTCCCAAAGATGCTAATTGCTGCTGTTAATGGTATGTAAAATTATTTTTTATAATTATAATATATATGTTCAAAACTATATATGATATAGTTCCTTTGTGTAGTGTAAAAAGAAAATTAAGGAGAAAAAGTAGAATGAATACTAACAACTCTTGGCTCGACTTGTTTTGTATATAAAAATTAAGGACATGCAATTGGATACGGTGTTACCACGCTTGCACTGTGTGATGTAGTTTATTCGGTACCTGACGCTACATTTACAACACCTTTTATGAAATTAAGTACGTTGAAAATAAAGAGGAAAATCTCAAAGAAAATATAGAACGCCAAAAAAATAGATAAACAGATAATTAGAACAAGGGCAATTGAAGATCCACAATATATATATATATATATATGTGTGTGTGTGTGCATGTAAAGATGCTTGCATATATTTACTTAATCATACATAAAACATCAAAAAAAAAACAAAAAAATACTTTGTTTATATTCATTAGGTTTCTGTGCCGAAGCATGTTCTTCTGTCACATTCCCTCGAATCTTGGGTACTTCAAGAGCCAATGAGATGTTGCTGATGGGACGCACCTTTACTGCAAAGGAGCTTGAACAAGCTGGACTTATCAGCCGTACCTTCCCCACCGAGTCTTTCCACGAGCAGGTTATGGCGTTGGCCGAGAAGGCTGCTGAATTCTCTGTCAATGCAATGAAGATCACAAAGGAGCTTGTGCGCAGTGTTGACCGTGAATTGCTTCTCAGTACCAATGTGATTGAAATGGAGAGACTCGGAGAGTGTATGACGAGCTCTGATTCGTTGGAGAGCATGCTTCGTTTCTTTGGTGAGTATAAAGCCATAAGTTTATATAAATATCCTCTCAAAAGAAAAAAAGAAAAAAAAAGGAAAACATAAAACATAAATAAACCTTCCTCTCCAAATAACAGTTTACTGATTCTATTCACCGATTGACTGACTTTAGAGGAATCACAGAAGAAAAAGAAGGCCAAGGCAGCTGCAGGCAAGAACAAGGCCAGCAAACTCTAAGAGAAACAGATCTTCTTACTTGGAATGTAGTCATATGAGAGAGACATAAAGAGACATAGCATATGTATGTAGTATTTAGTATGTAGTATGTGTGTACTAATGTATGTACAGCATATTTTATAAAGTAATAATAATAATAAAAAATAAGAGAAAGAGAGATAGGCAGACAGGCGGCCAAAATTATAGTGAATTGATCTGTAATATGTGTAAAGGTGTGCTTTTTGTAATACAAGTCAAAAAGTAAAAGCAAAATAAAATTACGTTGTGTTCTAGTGTTTGTTTCTCGATCTATATCTCTTATAATGGATAGCAATGTCAGTTTAAATGAAAATTGAACATGATATTATTACTATTCCTATTATTTCTTGGTCTTATTTTTATTTTTACTTATAGGTAAGGGCTTGGGTTATTCAACTGACAGCCAAAAACTCAATTCTGTTTGATAAAGAAGTTTAATGAACAAAATACCTCTTGAGAGATTTAATACCGTTACCGTTACTACTGTCAACACTTCTTTTATTTGAGTATGTAGATAAACAACATGGACTACTTTAAATAACCACCCTCTTTGTTTTCTCTTTTATTGGCCCCCACCCCACCTCGCCCCACCCTACCCCTTGTTTTCCCTTTCCTTTTCCCTCTTTCGCTTCCTCTTCCTCTTCCTCTTCCTCCTTGTATATACTATATATGCTTATTGTATAATATTTCTAATACTCAATCTGACCAACATCCCTTGCTTCAACTCTTAAAGCTAGCCGACCCACTTTTTTTTTCTTTCTTTCTTTGTACCCCTTTTTTATTATTCTTATTCTTATTCTTATAATTTTTTATTGAGTTTTGCTTATAAAGGAACCTCTTTTTTTTTAAATTTGTTTTTAATTTTTTTTTTGCTTGCCGTCCTTCTCTTGAACATACTTTACTCTTACCAATACTTTTTTTTTCTCTATCATTCAATTCGTTACCATACCAACTACTTTTTTAAGAAAAAAAAGTCTATTATTTCTAGAGTTTTTATTGTTATTATTTTGTCTTGAATATCTTGTTTATTTATTTGACACTTTATATATATATATATACTTTAAATTACTTTATTTTCTATCACATCGCATGAAGCTCACCGCTGTCTCCCTGTTGGTTCCCATTCTGGCATACCTAGAAACTGCCTCTGCTCAGACTGATGCAGGCTGTGCAGCCTCAGTCATGTAAGCCTCCCCCCCTCCTCCTACTATTCCTCCTATTTTCCTCTCTTCTCTTTTGTCCTCCTTTATTACAATATACTATATTGTACTGCATTATACCATACTCTATTATGTTATATTATAGTGTATTGTATAAATACAGAATATACAGATGTATATATTTGTACTGGTCTCCTATTTAGTCAACCTGACACCCCCCATCATATCCCTCCGAAAAAAAAATGAAGATGAAGTATAGAGTCCCTTGTAATCAAAAAAAAAATTCAAATTCAAAATCTGTTCTTTATTTATTTATATGTATTTTCTGGTGTTGTGCATTGTGAATACAATATGTTTATTTATTTAGTTTCAATCAATGTCTTCGAAACCAAGACATTTATATCAAGACATGTTCTGGTCAAGGTAAATCTCTTTTACGTATATTGATATTACTATTCTTTCCATTTCTCACGCCACACATATTTTAGACTACACGTGCCTGTGCAAGGTAAAGTATAAAGAGCCCAAAGAAGAATAGATTTTTAAAGAAATCATTATATTCAGGGCTTTGCTACCAAAGACCAAAACCAAAAAAAAAAAAAAAAAAAAAAAAAAAAAGATAGGAAGGCTTTGAATCCTAAAATATAAATTATAAAAATTAATTAATATTCTGTTTTTAATCTAGTGGCACACAACAAAGTTATCTTGTTGGGACAATTGTCAAAATGATGTTTCAAGAGGTTCACAAGAAGGTCTAAAAACCACCTTTTGTTCTATTGCAGCCCCGATTAACGCGTAAGGAAAATAAATAAATAAAAACTGTTTATTTATTACTCTCTTTTTTTTGTATCTAAAATATTGTGTGTATAGAACTGTATCATCTATCGGATCTGCATTACCAACAGCTTCACAAGCACCAAGTAGTAGCAGCAATGGTAGCGGAAGTAAGAGTGGCAATGTTGCTAGCCTGTCGCCTTCAGCAGCCGGACCTATCAAAATTCCCAGTGCAGCCACAGCAGCCGGATCTCTGCCTTCTCTTGGTAGCACAAAGAACAGCAATGGCACTACTGGGACTAACGGTGGAGGTGGCAATGTCAATAAGACCAGCCATTCGGGCGCAATGAGCCTTGAGTCCGGTCCGGTGTTTGGTGTGATAGTTGCTGTCACTTGCTATTGGTTTCTCTTGTAAGAAAGCTTCCCTAGTTTTAATGAATCTCTCTCTCTATATATATATATATATATATTTCAGTTTCTATTTTTTACTTTATTTCCTTTGTCACTTGCAAAAATATATTTATATTTACATTCAGACACATATTCACACTCATTCACGTACAAACTACTATTACAATCGGTTCTTAGTACTCTTCTTTAAAGAAAGAATGAGCGAAACAGTTGAGATTTATGTGCACAATATATATATATCTAGAATGTAGTCATGGTGATGGGATGAGTTTATACAAAAAGTGATAATAATTGTGGGCTTATCCTTCTGGATTCTTAAATATATATATATATATATATCTTGTCGTACCTTTATCTATTTCTTTGTGTCTTGGTGTAAAATAAATAAATCTAAATATATTTATTTAAAATAAAAAGAGCTAATTTTTTTATTTATTTCTTAAAAAAAAAAGAAAGATGTTCTTGTCTACAGTACAGAAGAGCAATAATTCAACACCGATAAAAAGGGCGGTTCACCAATGGATAAGTGGACTTGTATAAAATAATAATACTAAAAAGACATTACCATCATCATCACTATCACCATCATTATCTTAATAATCATAGCAAATTCAGTTCCGTCTGATTGATACGGCTCTATAAATACTTGGATACTACTATTACTATTACTATTAATAATATATACATACAATCATTAAACAAAAATTCTGCAAGAGTACTTCTTCTAAGTTCATCTTATTTTGTAATAAAGAGATTAAGAAGCGATAATGGAGGCTTATTATATATATATAACATATTCTTTTTGTTTAAAGTGGCAAGATGGATTTACCGACCACGGAAGATTGTAGATAAAGTTTGTCTTTCTCTCTTTTTATTATACATTTTTTTTCACAAACCGCCTTACGCACTAAAAAAGGAAAAGAGGTCTTTGATTTAAGTGTATTGTATTATAGTATAAAATATAGCATAGTGTGATATAGCTTGGTATAGTGCAGTGTAATGTAATGTAATGTAGTGTAGTGTAGTGTGGTGTAATGTGGTGTGGTGTGGTGTGGTGTACTGAAAATGTGTACCTGGAGTATGTATTCATGTATTCATGGCTCTATATATTTATGTATGTAATAAATATGCGTGGGATTCAAGATTCTTATTTCTCTTAGACTATGATATTTGTACACATCTTTTCTATCGTTTTTTTTTTCGATCCAAAATAGCTACACATTGACGGCGACTCAAATGTGTTAAAATAGAGAGAAATGGATCTTTGTTTGACAAGAGAAGCGAAATATGACGATGTGTATATATATATATGTGTGTGTGTAAGAGAGAGAAAACAGGTTTGGCAGTCTAGAAAACAAAGAAGCCTTCAAAGGACTCTATTTATTTATTATTTTTGTTATTATTGTTATTGCTTGGCGTAAGAAACAGCTCGATATTCATGAAACTCTTTGTTATATATAGAAAAATGGACAAACAGACAAAGACAAACAGACAAACAGACAAACAGACAAACAGACAAAATACACGACTATATATACTAATCAAACCGGTTTCTTCAAAAAGGGGTTATCTATTTTCTTTATTAAACAGATAAACTCTAACAGCATTCAAAAGGGCCCATGGCAGCTATGAATGGACTACAGGATATTAAAAAGAGAAATCAAATCAGCATTTGAATTGATTTGAATTGAAATATACATATAATTTTAAAGAAGATGGGGGTCAATTTTCTCGGTAGATTAAAGATTCTTTTTTCTTAAAAGAAAAAGAGGAAGAAAGGGCGGAAAGACGAACAAACATACAAACCTACAAACGAACGAACGAACGAACGAACGAGTGGGCGGGTGGTCAGACGGAAGGACGGAAGAAAGAAAGGAATAAAGAAAGAAAGAAAGGAATAAAGAAAGAAAAGACATAAAGAAATGAAAGAAAGGATGAAAGGGGATTGTAGTGAAAAGACCTCTCTGGGTTGAATTGGGGGTCTTTTCTATAGTGAAAATATCATTAGAGGAGTTTTTGTTTGTTTTTGCCTTTTTGCCTTTTTTTCTTCTTCTTCTTGGGGGTGAGAGGCTGTGTGTTCAAGTATAATTCTAAGCGAAAGTACAAAATACAAGTATAACTGCAACTGCAACTGCAACTGCAACTGCAACTGCAACTGCAACTACAACTACAACTTCGACTGCAACTGCAACTGCAACTGCAACTGCAACTGCAACTGCAACTGCGACCGCGACCAGGAGTGTAAGTGCGAGTGCGAGTGCGAGTGCAATGATGAGTAGAAGCACAAACGCGAGTGTGTTCGACTGTAATATGTAAATGTGTACATGTGTGTGTGTGAGGAGAGGGAGGGGCGGGGGAGAGGAGGGAGGGGAAAGAAAGGGGTGGTGGGAGGGGAGGTTACACGTAGTTCGCATTGGCTCCGCCTGATCAAGCCCCCCCTCTCTACTCTACTCTGCTATAATCTACTCTCTCTCTCTCTCTCTGTGTGTGTGTATGTGTCTTTTTAAACTGCAAAAAAAAAGAAACTCCTTTGTCTGGTTATCTGTCTGTTTAGCTGTCTGCTTAGTTGTGGATTTTTAATTTTAATTTTTAATTTTTTTTTAGATCCCCTTTGCTATAAAATCTTACTTCATTATTTTCCCTTTTATTTCCTTCTCTTCTCTTTTCATCCATTAGATCCATTTCCCTTTAGACCAGACGCAACCCTCCCATGCGCTGCCTCAGTCTTATCCTCTCTGCAGCAATCACTGTGGCCTCTGCAGCCGAACTCCAGCGAATTCCCCTCTATCGACGATGGGATGACTCTCCCGGCCTCAAAAAAGAGGCCATGATCAATGATAATGGCTTGGTAATATATTTTATATATTCTATATAAAATTACAATGAGCCAATATATCTACATACACAGCAACAGCAGCAACAGCAACAACACTATATATATATATATATATTCGTACGCACGCACACATACACACCAATCCATACAAAGACCCACCACACACACACACACACACACAATATATATATATATACAATGTGCATATTGTATATAGATAGATAGATAACTAATTTGCCTTTTATTTATTCTAGTTGGTAGCCAAGATGCAAGTCGGTATGTTCAAAACAACATAAGAATAGAAATTGCCATTTATTTGTACTTATTTTTACTTTATTTTACATTACATATAAATACAAATTTATATATATATATATATATATATATATATATTTTTACTCCCTCACAGGTACTCCCGCCCAAGAATTCACCGTCCTATTTGACACAAGTTCGTCCCTGACTTGGGTTCCTTCTACAAAGGTACGCGCCTGCATTCTTTCCCGGCTGTTCCTCAATTCCTTTTTGGCTTATAATTATTATTATTCTATGTATTCTATATATTCTCTATATTCATTCTCCTTAGTGTCACAGCACAGAGTGTACAACATTTTCGAGCGATCCTTACGACACAAACAAGTCAACCACTGCCGTCGATCTCCACAAAAAGCAATCGATCAAATACGGCGGTGGAAAGTGCATTGACGTTGAACTCTACAGGGTAAATATATGTATATAATTATAATTATATATATATATATATAGTCTTTGATATACTAACAAAATTATAATAATACTCATATTGTATTATGTACATCTTTGATTAGGATACTGTGTCTGTGGCTGGTCTCCCGGTCACAAACCAGCTCATCGGTTCAGCATACAGTGTATCGAACATCGGAGATGACAAATATAGTATGAATACCTTTATTTATTTATTCTTTTTAATTGTTTCCCCTTTTTTGTTATTTGTTTATAATAATCATTTTAACTTGCTTGCATCTTCAATTGTAGTTGGCTATCTCGGTCTCGGTGGATTTAATGAAGACGGCTCGACTGACTATCTCAACTCAACTACCAAGAAGATTACCGGTGGTTCCCATGGTAATTTCACATTATCTTATCCATCTTTGTGTTGTATATTTCTGACTTGAAATACATACAACCACAAAGAGATATTTTGAAACTAATATACAAGTACCATTTACCTAACTAATTAATTTTATTATTGTTATTAAAACATTTTAGAAATTTCATCTCGGCAGTGTAAGTTCCAGACTCTTTATATATATATATATAATTATTTTTATTTTTATTTTTTTTACCCCCGATAACCACTTACTTTCATTTGACGTCGAATGTGCATAAAACCAATTTAACCCTTTCTGGTGTCTTGATCTTTTAATAGACTATGGATCTGGCGGTTACGCACAAAACTCCTTCCAACTGGGCTACGGTCAGCAATCACAGCAGTTTGGCATGGTGGCCACAGACTCGAGCGGTTTCTATGGCAAGCGAGGCGACACCCCCCAGGCCGAGTTTATTATCGGCGGTGTGGACCACACAGTCTACAAGGGCCAGATTGCCTACCTTCCTCTACCGACCTGCGACTATGGAGACTCACCATACTGGAAGACAGCCCTAACCTGCGTCAAGATCGGCAACAATGTCGATATCAAACTCGCACCAAAATCCCTGGCCACCCTCAGCTCGGGAACTAACTTTATGAGCGCCCCAACGAAGCAGGCCAACTTGCTGCACAAGGCGATTGGGGCTCAATACGATGACGCCACATTCACGTACAAGCTCAAGTGCTCGACCATCAAGGATTTGCCCGACCTGAGCTTCTCGTTCACAAATTACAAGGTCACCTTACCCTCGTCGCTCTACACCGCCAAGACCGATGATGGTGAATGCTACTCCCTCATCCGTCAGAACACCAATGAAAAAGACTGGATCCTTGGCGGTTCCTTCCTCAACAACTTTTACCATATCTACGATCTTGGCAACAAGCGAATCGGTCTCGCTACCCCCAAGGGAGGCTGTACTGCAAAGATTCACAAAACTGGCAGTCGAAGCACCAAGAGCAACTAGACAGAATGAGAAATAAAGTAGATATATAATATAGTATAATATATATCTATATCTATATATATATATATATATATAAAAGAAAAAAATTATTATTATTATCATTATCATTATTATCATTATTATTTTATATATATTAAGAAATTTCAAAAAAAAAATTCAAAAAAGCAAAAAAAAAGAGGGGTTTTTTTTTGGCTTTTTTTTTATATTCAAATATATATATATATAAGAAGAAGAATAACAATAATACTAGTAATAATAATATTAATAGTGATAATGACAATAATTCCAAAAAATCAAAGAGGTAAGAAAAACAATAAAGAGAAATATAGAGATCAAGATAGACAGATAGACCATTCAAAGGATCTAGATATTATTATTTTTTGAAAAAAAAAATATACAAATTGAAACAGTCAGAACTACATTACATATCTCTCTATTTCTTTCTTTCTTTCTTTCTTTCTTTCTTACAAACCAACCAATCAACACAGATACAAAAACAACAAACAACAAACAACAACCAACAATGAAAACCGATTGAACCGAATGAATGAACGAATGAACGAACGAATCGAATATCTATTTTCTTTGTCTCCAAATCCTTTCCCCTTCTTCCTACTCCTCCTCCTCTCACCCCCTCTCTTCTTCTTATTCTTCGTTCTTTTTTTTTCGCACCCCAATACAAACACAGTATATTTATATATCTATATATCTATCTACCTATTTATCCAAACGCATCTTTTATAAACCAACACATTGTTTGTCTTTATATATCCACTTCTTCCACTTCTTTTTCTTACTCTTTTTTTTTTGCATGTATATTCAATTAAAATATCAACCAAATTTCTACTTGATTTGTATTTCCAAAAAAAGAAAAAGAAAAAAGACAGAATAATCAATCTTTATTTTAGATATATATTTGAGATCGTATTTGTATTTGTATTTCATATTCCAGAATTACAATGACGGTGGTCTACGCCAAATGGCTGGCTTTTCTTTGACTTTACATGGATAGATATTTCTTTGTTCCTCTGAGTTACTGTGAGAATAAGATAAGATGAAGGTGCGTCTGCCTTGAGATCTCATATAAAAAAAACGCAAACAAACAAACAGAAACAATAAAATGTATTACTTTTTTTTTTAAAAAAAAAAAGAGGCTCAATGTACGCATATATATATAAAAAAAAACCCCTCCACTCCAACTACATTGCACTACATTGCACTACACTATACTGCACTATACTACATTACATTACACTTCCTCTCCCCTTTTCGTGTCGCACAAGGTTTATATATAAACCATTATTAAGGCCACACTTGGCTCATCTGTATCTATTCTCAAGACTCTTTTTTTTTTTTTGGTTTACAAGATCGATAATAGTTATAATAGTAGAAATAGAAATAAGAATAATAATAGAATATATATATATATAAATTCTTTAACAAGGTACAAGGGAAAAAGTTAACCATAAAAATAAAAGTAGAAACAAAGGGCACAACACAACACAACACAGCACAGCCCACAGCCCACGGCCCACAGTCCATACTTCACAGCCCACATCCCACAGAAAAAAAAAAAAAAAGAAAAGCTGAGATAGAGTTAGACAGGGCATGGAAGTACAAAAAATAAAATATAAAGACATAGAAATAGACATAAAGAGCACAATGTATTTTTATCAAGTAAAATATTCTTTTTATCTTTTTTTTTTTTTTTTTACTTTATATACAAAAGGGATAAAAAAAACTACCGACGTTTAAAATAAATAGAACATTTTTCAAATAAGGAAAATGTATTGTTTCAACATCCAATAGAATCGTAGATATAGATAAATATATAATCGGTCTTTTGGTAATGTCGGCGATTAAATATATTTCTTTATTTGTTTGCTTTTACGATTCTATTGGCTTACAGTAAAACACACTATAAAAGTCGCACAATTTTAAGAGTTCCTGACCGTTATGATTGGATCTTTTTTTTTTTTTTTTTTTTTAAAAAAAAAAACTGCAAAGAAAAGCGTTATTAGGCTATTAACCCATTAAACATTCTGATACTATTTCTTTTAAAAGATGTATACTCAACTTTTTGTTTAATGTTGTTCACCAGCGTAGGAGGGAATCATCGAGGGAATTGTATTGCGTCTATAAAATCTCGATTGTCATTCAGGATCTGTTCCTTAATTCTTTACTAAAATACCTTTTTCATTTTTATTTTATTTTTGTTAATAATTTGTTTCATATTGGCTATAGAAAACTAGCTTTATAAAGTATGTCTGTTTAGTACATTTTTTTTTGTAATTATAGCCGCTAAAGGTGCTCTTAATTGAATCTGAGTACTTGTGCAGAAATAAAAATACAAAATTCAAACTTCTAACCGCTTTCTAAAGATCTGTTAAGGCCAAGCAAACAAGCAGTGATAACCACTATCATTACCACATCAAGAACTACAGCAATAACAATCCTGTCACTAACATAAGCAGTTTGTCTCTTTGAGACATCTAGACATATTGGTAAAATTGAATAAATACCTACTTTGTCTGAAAACTAATTACTTTTTGTCCAAATTTCATTTTGATTCCTCTCTTGATCTCTCTCCTAACAACGATGGCTTTTGCCGACACTTCCATGACATTTGGCGAGATCAGTGGGCCTCTGTCATGGACGAACAGCCCTTCATTCCTGGTACGATAGCAGCCAAGGCACTTGTGGTGATAAGGCACTTCTTGGAGTAGTTTTTCCCTCTCATATAAATATTGCAATACAAAACTTCAGGCATATTAAGCCAATCGCTCAGTACTTTGGACTGTAGCCAACCAATACCAAAGAATAATCTTAAAAGTGCGCCTTATTTTTTTTTCTTTTGTTATTCTTATTATTATTTATATATCAATTATAATCATTATTGTTACAAGCTATGGATCTGTATATAAAAGAGGGGTCTGTGAAATCCAAGACGGTAATAATAATCAAATATATATATAAAAAAAGAACGTAAGGAGATAAATAAGCATACAAATATTTTCTGATCCTCACTTTCATATTCTTTAGAAGCAAACTCTCTTTTTTTCTATATTTATATTTATATTTATCTATCGTTGTAGGGGAACAATTGATCCGTACCAAAAAATAAAAATAAAGGGATCGTCCTTTGTTTGAAGGGGGTAGGAGAGGAAGAAAGAAAGGCAAAAAAAAAGGTTAATTTTTCGTTCTCGATACATTCAAAAGAGAGCTTCGAGCCTATTTGCATTCCTTTTTTTTAACCCTTTGATCCTATTTTACTGTTGCTGTTGTTATCATCGTTTTGTCTCTTTTTATTTTCGAAAGTATATTCGATTCCAAAAACAGATACAGGCATTATATACATATATTGTGTGTGTGTGTGTTTAGATCTATGTATCTTAATTACTATAGTCTTTGAAAAATATTATTAACAAGGTCATGTTCGTAATACTTTATCTCTTATTTAAGCGCTCATATACATGGCTATTTAAATATTTATTTTTATTATTCATAATAAGCACACTTTAAGAGAAAAAAGATTCAAAAAGAATCTCAAGTTAAAAGCAGTAATGAACAACAACAACAATAATGATTGTAACACCTCCCAATAAACTTCTGAAAATTATGACCACATATTCTAACCCATAAACACATTAGTATTGGATAATAGCTGTATCCAGAAAGGAAAAAAAAAAAGTCATTCGAGCTATCTTGACAAAAGAATAGTAATACCACATATTAAACACAGACACTCTAAATTATATATAATTAAAACAAAAAGGCAATGCGGTAAAAATATCTTGGTGCAGCTAATGTCAGAATACACACAAATATCCTTTTATTTTAGTATCCACAAGCTTGTTATTTGAAAGATACTATATTCATACATTTTGGTCTTTATTCTAGAAACAGTCTTTTATTACTATTATCTTGAAAGACAATCTTATCCTTTTATATATATGCATATGCATATGCCTCTAACTAACTTTATGGCTTAGATTTTTTATTATTATTTATGTTTGTTTGTTTGTCTTTGCATTGATTTGAGGAGGTAAGAAAGGTTTGTAATTTTATATAATCAAGACAAATCAATTTAGTTCACCGAGACTTTAATTGGTGCCATATTAACATGTATAGATTCTCCCGGTTCTATCCCAAAGAAAGGGGAAGGAGAGAAAGATAAAGAAGTAGACAAAGATAGAGATAGAGAGAGAGAGAAAAGACAAGTGGGGGTTTGGGGCTATTGTAAGAGGAGTAGTGGACCAATTCACAAAAAGCCAAAATAGAATAAAATATATAAAAATGAAATGAAATTAAAAATCATAATTGATGCATATGCATGTATTTCTTTTTTAAATAAATAAATATGTATAAGAACAAAACAAAGAAAGAAAGAAAAAAGACGTTTGAAACAAGTACCTACCTTGGTCTAGGTCGCGATTGATTTATGAATTAAATATAGCATTTGCTGTACGCCACTGATAATCCACTTGTATTTCCAATACTACTATTACTGCTATTGTTACTGCTACTACTACTACTATTTCTTCTTCTTTTTTTTCAACTTGATAATATCTGTATGCATATACAAATGGGTTTGTCCCCAAAAAATAATAAAATAAGTGAATAAAGATCTGTCACCAGATAAATGACAAACGAACAAACCAAAAACCAAATACTTAATTAATTAGTAAAGGGATTATAAATTATCATGGTTTACTATTATTCATATTCATTTTATATTGATATGTATTTAAATAAAGAAATAAATTAAAGGATAGAAAAGAATCTCAACCCCAAAAAGAAGTGTCTTTTAAGTTGACTAAGCCCCTAATATATATATATATATAATTTGATATAAAATAGCAATCAAGGTAACCCAATCCCAAAAAAATAATAATTATGATTCGTTAAATTATTATTATTATTTGTGATCCCAAGTTTTTTTTTTACGTAAAACTAAACGCAATTAATTTTTCAATCATATAGAAAAACAAACTCAATTTTTTTCTAATTTTTTTTTTTTTCAGATGACACAAAAAAATTTGATAAATTATATAATATAATCTATATACATATAAATAAAATCATTCATTCATTCATTTTCTTTTGTAATTTCCTTCCCTCCCTCCCTCTCTCTCTTTCTTTTTTTTTCTTCTTATTTATTTTTCCTTTTTTAGAATTGGACATCCTTTCTGTTCAAGAAAATAAAAAAAGGAAGAAAAAGGACTCGAGATAACATAGACATAGGACAAAGAAGTAGACGTCAGCAATCATGTTCTTCATAACAGAGGCATTATCCTGGGCCACTGGGGTGCCTGAACCCACATTACGCCTCCTGACAACGTTGATGCTGGCCTATCCTGTCGCTAATTTTTACAACAAGCTCTATATCCGACCTCTCCTGAATAATCAGCCTATCAAGACAACCGAGAGTGACCGAAACAGCTTTATCCTCTTGTCTGGTCTTGCTCTTGCCTTCTACTACAACGGCAGAGCAATCTACCACTCGCTTGTCACCGTCGCCGTGTCTTATGCTATCTGCTATCTCGGCGACCATTTCCAGGACCGTCGACTTGCCACCGCTGGTGTCTGGGTGTTCAACACTGCCTATCTGTTGCTTGGCTACTACTTCACCAGCTCAGACGACTATGATATCTCCTGGACCATGACCCAGTGCATTCTCTGTCTGCGTCTGATGGGCTTCAGTTTTGATTTCCAAGACGGAGCCGATGCCGAAGCACTTGCTGCTTCAGAAGCCCCAAAAACCGGAAACCCCTTGCCCTTGTCATTTGCCAATGACACGCCTCTGAAGGAGCTCCCAGAGTTTGCCCAGGTTCTTGCATACACCTTCTTCCCTTCCGCATTTTTGGTCGGTCCCCAATTCTCGTTCTCGCTCTACAAGCGCTGGTTGAAGGCTCCTTATGGTGGAAAGCCAGTTTCTGAGTGGGAGGAGACCCAGAAGGCTCAGCTGATGTATATGTACCGCTGCGTGGGATTGGCAATCTTATACCTTGCCGTCCAGCAAGTCATTGGATCCCAGTATCCTACCTCATACCTCTTGACAGACGATTACGCGGCCTTACCCCTTTTCAAGCGTTTGTTTATCTTCTGGATGGCCGGTCGTTTCACATTTAACAAGTACATTGGTGTCTGGATGTTGACTGAAGGTATGTTATAATGAGTTACATTATTGTATAATGGGGTAGTGTGGAGTAGTGTGGAGTAGTGTAAACTCGTGTGGTATGGCATGGTTGGCTAGTGGTATGCTGAAAACCAAAAAAAAAAAAATCAAAACAAATCTTGACCTTCAACACATGTTGAACAAGGATGTTTGTATAGCTGATTTTTAAAAATGAAACAACAGAATCCCAATTGTTGAGCTAAAAAAAAACCAACAACAACATCTCTCTTGTCTTGTTGTATCACAACTTTCTTTTTCATTCTCTTGTGTATGTGCTGCAGGTGCGTCTACTCTGTTTGGAATTTCGTACGACGGTGAAGATAAGGATGGACAAGCACGTTTTGATGGCCTGGCCAATGCTCTTCCTAATGTATACGAATTAACTACCACCATCGACAATGTGATTGCATCGTTCAATATCAATACCAACCTGTGGGCAAAGTACTACGTGTTCAAGCGTCTTCGTTTCCTCGGTAACAAGAACATCTCCCAGTTCGCAACCCTCGGCTTCTTGGCTATCTGGCACGGCTTCCACATCATGTACTTTGTTACCTTTGCACTCGAGTTCCTCTACATCCAATGCGAACTCGTGCTCCGCCGCCGCATTGTGCCCAGTGTCAAGCCTTTGACCAGCCGTAACGACATCTACAAGGCCGTATGGAAGGTCGTTGCCTGGTTGACCTGTACCTCAACCACCAGCTATGCCGTAGTTGGATTTGATCTTCTCAAGGTAGGAAAGGCATGGACTGCATACAAGAACGTGTACTTTATTGGACACCTTGCTATCGTGATCATCCTCGGTGTAAATGCTCTGTTGGGCAAGCCTTCTCGTCCATTGAAGAAGAAGATCATGTAAATTATAGACCAAACCTAAAAACAAACAAACAAACAAAAGCAACAAAATATTGTCTTTACTATTACTATTATTACTGTCACTGTTAATATTGTTTTATTCATTATTACTACCATCACATTATAAATTTCCATCTTTCCTCTTCCTCTTTCATACTCTCCCACTCCAAACCACCCCTTACTCTCCCTTATATATATATATATATTTCTCTGTTTTTCATATATAAAATAATTATATAAATGAGTACATCCGCCCGCATGAATGTTTCTCCCTTGCAGATCAAATTTTCTTATTTATTACTCATTGAGCTTTTGTCCCCTGTAGTGGGGTTTCTTTTTCTCTTTCTATTTTTGGATTTTATGTATGATTTTTTTTGCTCAGCCTGGAGAGACAGTCACAGACAGTCTTGCCGTACTCTTCTTGTCATTTATTAAAAAAAAAAGGCGCTTTTATTTTATATTTTTTTTAACACATCTTGTTTCTCTGTTCTTAATTGTTCAAGCGCTTAAAGGCAGTCAGACAGAGGTCACTTTTTATCCTTTTATCTTTTCTCTCTTTCTCTCTCTCTTTCTGCCTTTTCCTTTTCGAGGGTGCGATAATGTTGGCCCACTCAACAGCGCCTACAACGGTTACAACAACGAAAAGACAACAGTTATCTATGAGCAAACACACCACACCTTCGCAAACAACAGCACCACCACCACCACTAGCAGCAGCACCACAGCCGTTCTGGTTTGGTGGAGCAGCCTCTTGTGTGGCAACCTTTGTTTCCCATCCCTTTGACCTCACCAAAGTCCGTCTCCAGACCATCAAACGAATCGATACGCCATGGAGTAATAATAGCAATAACAGTAATAACATTAAGAGTAGTAGCACTAGCTCAGAATACGCCACCAGATCCTTGAGACCTACTCGAATGGTGAAGACGATGTGGACTATTTACCACACCGAGGGAGTTCGTGCATTGTACAGCGGTTTATCAGCTAGTCTATTGCGTCAGGGTACTTATTCTACTATCCGCTTTGGTCTCTACGATCGATTCAAATGGATGGTAGCCGGAGACAAGAGTAAGATCCCTTTGTCTATCTCTCTTTATTATATAAATAGATAGATAGATATACTTTAAAACAACATCATCTAATAATTATGGTCCAAATATTTCAATTATAACAAATCTGTATTGAACCTCTTTATGTTAACTCTGTTATTGATATAGAACCCACCTTCTCTCAACTGTTGATTTGCTCTACTGCTGCTGGAATTCTCGGAGGCGCATTTGGTAATCCAAGTGATGTAGTCAACGTTCGAATGCAGAACGACGGTCAACTGCCCCCAGCCGAGCGGCGCAATTATCGAAATGCAATTGACGGCATGATACGGATCTGCCGGGAAGAAAGCCCTCGTGTATTATTGAGAGGCCTTGGGTCAAGTACCAACCGCGCTGTTCTGATGACAGTCTCGCAGATGGCAAGCTACGATGTCTTTAAAGATCTATTCCTTGGTAAACTGGGTTGGAAAGAAGGACTTCCAACTCATTTTGCCACCAGTCTATTAGCAGTAAGTTAAACAGAATTGAGTTTGAGTTGAATTTGATTATCTAATTACAACCCTTGTGTGTTTTATTAATTAAACTCTATGTTTTCTTTTCTTTTCTTTTCTTTTCTTTTCTTTTCTTTAGGGTCTGGTAGCCACTACTGTATGTGCTCCTCTTGATGTGGTGAAAACTAGAATAATGAGTGCCCACGCTCATGATGGAAAACATCCTCTCAGAATCATGCTTCACATGGTAAAAACAGAAGGCTTTGGATCCCTATTCCGCGGTTGGATGCCAGCGTTCGTGCGACTTGGACCCCACACAATTGTGACTTTTATGGTTCTTGAAAGGATGAGAGAATGGCACACTCAATGGATAAGACCAGCAAATCAGACCCTTGAGACCCTTTAAAATTTTCTATTTTATTATTGTTCTTACTATTCCTATTCCTATTCCTATTCCTATTCCTATTCCTATTCCTATTGCCATTGCCATTGCCATTGCCATTACCATTACTATCACTATCACTATCATTCTTTGTGCACTGTCCATTATCCCCTCTTTTCCTTCTTTCCATATCACCCTTTCCCTCTCTTCATTTTGTTCTCTCTCTATACATGCACACACCCACACCCACCCACACACCTTGTAGTATATCATTATCTTTAGACACATCATTAGATTTCTTCTTTATATATTTATATTTTATTTATATGTATGTACGTACGTACGTACGTATATATATATGTGTATTCTGATGTTAACTCCCAGTTTCGTTTGCATCCACACCTCCCGCACCGAGTTTGAACCGCCTTGTGACCGCACGCGGAATCTCTTCTTCATGATGAGTGACCATAATAAGCGTTTGTTCTGGCTTCATATGGTTCTCCAACCAAGTGTTCACATTATGAATCATTCCAAGATCCAATCCTTGGAATGGTTCATCCCAAATAATAAGTTCCGGCCTTTTAACCTGCATTTATTTTATATCATCAGTGTTTCATATGTCTCTTTTTTTCCTATCACTTCTTCTTTTCCATGTTCTTCTTTATATATGCATGCACATACACAGATATATATATATATATATATATATAGTAATAATAATAATAACATACCAGAGATCGAACCAAGAGTACCAGCCGCTGTTCACCAGTTGACATCTCTTGAAGTTTTCTGTTCTCCACGCCACTCATGCCGAATTCACCAAATAGCCGTTCGATTGTCGAGGTCTGTTCGGCAGACAGAGACCGGGGAACGACCCCGTCAAAGAATCCGGTTCCGGCCGCCTCCAGCGCAGACATTCGCTGGTTGAAATAGAGATGGATCTCTGGACTAACCAGCCCTACCCGAGCCTTGATATCCCAAATCGACTCTCCGGTACCTCTTCGGCGCCCAAACAACGATAGTTCATTCGAGTAGGCCTGCGGGTGGTCTCCGGTCAGGAACGACAGTAAGGTCGTCTTTCCGGACCCATTAGGACCCAGAAGTGCCCAGCGATCACCCTGACGCACGGTCCAGGATATATCGTCCAGGATCTTGCGCTTGTTGTAAATTACATTCACACTCTTGAGCTCCACAACAGGCGCACGCAAGTCGCGCGTTCCTTCTTCTTTCGAAAGAGCCTCTTGGCGATACTTTTGCCGTTCGGCAGCTTCCTTTGTGGTCTGTGGAAGAATGCGCTGCAGGTAATCGGTAGGTGTTCCATCCCAGACGATATTCATGCCATCCAAGCAAATCACCCGTGTGGCCCACTCGGGCATTTCGTCCTGCGGGCGCTGCACAAGCACAACTGGGGTACCTCCAGGTTTTGTAGCCAGATTTTCCAAAGTATCCAGCAGTTTTTTACGGTGCTCGATATCCAATCCCACTTGATGATACCAAAACCAAGTCCAAAAAAATTAGAAAAAAAATGATACTATTGGCTTGAAACTAAAAGAAAAAAAAATCTCCCCGAATCTTACTGAGTGGTTCATCCAGAATCAACACCGCAGGATTTCCTAGCAATGCCCGAGCAATTCGGGCTCGCCGAGTCTGTCCATTCGACAGTTTGACAAATGATAATGGTAAGAGGTGAGTCAAGTCAAGTGTCTCGGCTACTTTTGCAATCTTTGAATCAGATTTCTCTCTGCTCTTGAGATAGTCTGACAATGTCAGATCATTATCAGGATCACTGAAATACAATATAAGGTAATTAACTGCATGTACACAAATAAACGCATCTGCATATACAAAGTTGGTCTATTTTCTTTTTGACGCAGCTGGAAAATATTCTTTTTACCTGAAATTGAATCGTTCTTGGTAGTAGTGCTGACCATATGAGAACATTGCCGAGTTCTCTTGGAAAGACACAAGGTGGATCTGGTCTGACAAGGTACCTGGGAGGGATTCTAACAATGGCCATTTAGCGGCCCCGGTAGGTTTGACTGAGTGTTGCCCTGCGAGTGCCTATTGTTTTTGTCATTATTGTTATTATTATTATTAATAAAATAAATAAATAAACAGTGAGAGTGATTTACTATTATTATTATTATTCTTTAAAAAATAATAATAAGATAAGATAAATTAAACAAAGTTTATCGCGATTCGAGGCCATCTCTGTACTCATCTACCTAAAGCAAAAAAAAAAAAAAAAAAACAACTAACCTCTGCCAGAGTAGTCTTTCCAGCATTGATTGGTCCAGTGATGACCAAGTGCTGATTCTCCGGAATTGTCAATGAAAGATTCTTAAACACGGGATCCTTGATTCCAAAGCGATGAACATCAGCATTGTCAAATTTCACCAAAGTCTTTGTGCTTTGATGACGAAGAAATTGACTCAAAGTCAAGTTTCTTGGTCCAAATGTACGCGATAGTATAGGGCGAAACATAACCTAGAAAATAAAATATACAGTCTATATATTTCAATCTATTTTCAAAGGTTCAAAATGAAGTAGAGAAGAGAACGGTAGTTATTGTAGAGAAGAATCCAGATATTTGGAATAAAACTTATATATATATATATATATACTATTTGTGTGTATCTGCCAACACTAGGAAAAAAGTAACAATGCATTTACAAATTTCGAATTATTGCTCACATTTCTATAGATTTGTACTACAATATTTCTGCCTATCTGTACACTGCATCTTTACTTCTTTGACTTTTTCAGGACACATCTTACTTCAAGACAAAAGGCATATGTAGCTTCTACTGGAGGATATGATAAAGTTTAATTGTGAAAATAACGGGAAATGTATATGATTAAGTAGAGATAAATGTTTATTAGTCATATATTATTTATAAACATATCAATATGCTACTAGATGATTACATACGATTGGACAAGTCATTATTGTATATTATTTTACTTGTTTTTATTGGACAGAGCTTATTTGCTTTTTGCTTTTTGCTTTTTTAGTGTTTAGTTTTATGGTAGATAAATGCAATTCTAGGTGGATTCTATAAAGATGAAATAGAGAATAGATAAAACCAGGACGATAGTTCTAGGAATCGATCATGGTCTGTACGATATGAAGAGCAAGATCCCTGTGTAAAGTATATAGATATATAGATATATATATATATATATATAGATAGATAGATAGATAAACAGAACAATAAGTAAATGTTATCCTATAAAGAAAAAGGTATGACCAAGATCAAAAGCATACCTATTTGCCCAGTATCTAAAATGACTCTTCATTGCAATGAGCCACTCGGAAGCATAGGCATCAATTACATTTTCAGATAGTACGTAATCTGTCCGAGCATAATGATTCCCGTCTCTGCCGGTGATGTGCGTTGATAATTCTGGAAGGTCTTTTTCTTTTAGGCCGATAGCTGGATCACAATCAATAGCTGATCCCTCACTATCACTACCACTCTCTTCACCCACAGTACTGGTACTATAGCTCATATCTGGGGAAGGCTGCTCTACTAGCCATATATCGATTGGTAGTACAATGTTTCTGCTACTGTTACTGTCACTGTTATTGTTGCTGGTGCCACTACGGCTGTTTGTGCTACTATTGCTACTTGTACTGCTATCAAGGCTAGTAGAGCTGTGTGGTATAGGATGCTTAATATTATTTTCATCATCGAGCGTTGGTTCCCATGTGGATTTCGATACATCTAGAGCCTGGGATTCGACTGGTTGTGTTTCTGCGTTTAGATAGCGCCAAAATGTCTTTCCTGCTCTTGTTATCATGGGCCCTGCACCTGCAAACGAAGACCGGATTCCAAGGTTGGGAATCTTTGGGATATTTACAGACAAGAGTGCTTTGCGTTGGGCACGCTGGATCTTGACCGGGTCTATAGTGGTGTAACTGTCGTTGATCATTGGCTCCAGACGATAGCCTAATGGATCGAATGGATGAAAGATGTTGAATACTCGAGTACGAGGTGGAGGACGGAAATGCATGTAATCCAACCCACGGAATATTAGACCAGCCGCTACATAATCAGAAGAATATCTGTTGAATATACGCATATATAAAGTTTACGGATATTAAGATAAGCTTACCGATGGGACTTCCGCAGGTAAATAGTGATTTGACATTAAAATCTAACTTTGGGACATTTACATCTGGGCGTGCACACACATATTGCTTGTCTTGAACCCCATCCCAGGGAGGTAACCCATCCTCAGGAAGCCATTGGGATGATGCAATATCATAACCTGCTACACCCCCGAGAGAACATCCAACCATATGCACTTGACCCTGATTTTCTTCAAAGTCGGGGTAGTCTATTAAATGCTTCTGGTAGATTTTGTTGGATTGCTCACAGATTGTATCGATGATGCATTGATTATGAGGCTTTGTAAAATCTAATTATTATTCATTTGTGTGTGTGTGTGTGTTTATATATGAATGTGTATTTGTCAGTAAAGCCGAGTTTGATGGTCTCTAGTCAACAGGTATACTTTACAATACATGCAGTCCAACAACCAATGATTTGTTGCCAGTCGTACTTTGGGTATTGTACCGAGCGAAGACTGATCCATCTTGGTATCGACCAGTAAATGAACTACACTGTGCCACTCTTTATAATTCATCACAATTATTGTAATCAATAAATTGACTGCGGTATATATATATATTTGATATTCTTACCTACTGGGACATATTTGACTCGCAGTTGATGACTTGGAAATTGGGTTTGTAGCACTTCTTTGGTATGTTTTTGCATAGTTGCAACTAAGAAAAATGAAATATAAGCCGACAAATCCAATGTTTATTCAAATATATTCACAAGCATAGTATGAAACATAAAATAGTAATATTAATCTGAATATATTACCATGGTGCTCTATATTTCCACTGTCTTCATATTGCTTTCCCATTCCATGGATGAAGATGACAAGATGATCTGAATGGCAGTCGTGAATGAGCATTTTTTTTTTCAAAATGAGCGAACAGACAAAAGTACCTGATATAGCTCCGAGAGGTAGCTCAGTAACAATAGGAGATGTAGACATAATGTATAAGAGGATAAGACCAAAATAATATTTTAGAAAATAATTAAAAAAAAATAGTTGTAATCAAGAAGTAGCAAGTTATATAAATAGGAAGAAAAGGAAGAGGAGAAAGAGAAGAGAAGGGTCGACAAGTTTGAGTATCTTGTATTCCATCAAAGGCCTTTACATCAACGTCACCAGTTCTCCCGCATTCATCTCAAAAAGACATAAAAAGGCAATTCAGCTCGGCTTGGAGCATTATTATTACTTTTATTTTTTGACATACTTTACAGACATTATATCAATTAGGCTCTTACTACTACTATTGTTATTTTTATTATTTTTTTTAAAAAAAAGAGGACAGATCAGTATTACAAATCAATACATACATAAAAACCGTATTAAATTTCATATATGGAATGGCAAACATCAAACAGACCTTCCTATCCTTTATTTATTTTCTTGAAGAAAAAAACATGTATCGAGATTGATATTGATATCAAGTATAGAAGAAAAGGAGGTTGAGCTAAATAAACATCAAAAACGTGCTACCATGTGTCCTGGTCCGACATGATGCGTATATTACTCTGTTTTGATCGCACAACGTAACGTTTGAAGGTAACAATGGAGACAAAGAATATAGGTTGAACAAAGTGTCACCAATGTACTGCCAAAAAAGAAGAAGAAGAGAAACAAGATAAAGAGAGAGAGAGAAAAGATATGTCTATACATAGATATTTCAGACCAGGGAACAATTAGCCACAATTCAAACATTTCTGTTCTGCTTTTGTTTCTCTTTCTCTTTCTCTCCTTTCAAATAATCATTTAATACTCACAAATTTGGAGCCGGTTATTGGATATATATATACCAATTGATCCTTTTCGTACAATACTTGATTTGAACTCTTTGTATTTTATACCATAGCCAGCATTGTACATTGGGATTTACTCTATTTTTTTTTTATTCTTTAAAAATAGAATCATCTTTTTGCTCATCTGTAACCAGCACTCAGCGGGCTTAGCCAACAGGAAGAAGATGAGGAAGAAAAGCATATGAAATTAAAACATGCTACAAGATATATCTATAAACAGACACATAGATAAAATATTTGTTATGACATGAAACGTATTTAGTAAAAACATAATCGACAAAATTTAATTCATTAGATAAATACACTAAACATATATATATATATACACAAATATCACAACAGCAATAATATATTAAAAGGGCTGTTTAAATATCACTCAACAATTCTAGAAAAATAATATTATTATTTGAAAAAATAAATAAAAAATCTCTCGTTAATTTGAGTGTGTAAAGAGAGGAAAAACGGCAAACATATTGAAGTCCAGGTTAAATAAGAAGGGATCTAAAGACAAACGGTCTAACATCATACTTTTTATTCTTATTTTTGCTATACATCATTGAAATAGCCACTGTATATTTTTATTGACTTTCACTTCTGTTTAGTGATTTCTATTCTCAATTTTTTTTTAGTATTACGAAAATTATAAAAAGCTATATCTAATGCATAAACTTATTTCCTTATTAAAACATTGTTACAGTATTTGATCTAACTATGTGGCCTTGGTTTAAATGCAATATATATATATATATATATAGCTTTTATTAATATACTACAAGACAATTTTCGAAAGACAAAAATATCAGCAATAGCGTCAGAAGCATCAGCACCAGAATCAGCACCAGAATCAGCACCAGAGGCAGCACCAGAGGCAGCACCAGAGGCAGCACCAGAGGCAGCACCAGAGGCAGCATCAAGATGTATTATGCAATTAAAGCCCTCATTTTATCAAGAACGTAAGATGTGATAATCTTTGTATTAAGTCAACTGTCTTTTATTCTAGTAATGGTATTAGCTTTTTCATATTTATAAATACAGGTTCGCAACAAAACAAATTGATTTAACCAGCCTGAGGCTTGGTTAGCGGTAGATATTTGACACGGATATATGGAACACCCCAGTCTTGTAGAAGAGTATACATACATATATATATTCTTTATAAAAGACACTCCTTTTATTTGATATAATGATATACCATTACAGGAAAAATGCGTGTTTAGGAGTGTATTTTTTTAATGTACTCCGGGGTGTGCTTATAGGTTGCTGTATTCGAGACTCTATTATTAGTATCTCAATAATAGAAAAAGTAAATACTCTGAGATTTGGGTTTTTAATCAAAGAGAACCAAATAATATATATATCCATTACCATTCAAATCTCTGATGTGTAATATTTACCTTACGCTATATAAGCTTATATACCACAGTAAAATTTCAAATAAAGATGAAATTATAACTCTCGATTACTCCTTCAATTCTAGAGTCTAAAATGTCAGCATTTGGATATTAATTTGCTGATTTTTCAGTGATTTGAACGAAAATTAGACTACTTGAGTCATATTTTCTTTGCAATGTACGCAATGCCCAAGTGCACATGGTCTTGAATAGTCCACCTTGAAACATTTTCACTTGAGTACCCTTTAGTGATCCAATTGGTAACCGTACTTGCTTACAGTGATATGTTTTGTTGATCAAACCATCTCATCCTAAAAACTTCCGGAAGAAAAAGCTCATGGTCAAATTCTTCTTGACCTTATAGCAAACCTTTGCTGATTATTCTTTTTAATTCTGTGCCCAATACTTTTTACCTTTCTTTCCTTAAATATTTTTACATTGTTCTTCTATCCCATATATATACAAGTGAATATGAACAGAAGTTTATTTTTAGCGCAAATACTTAAATGATTACCAATAATATAGTTTTATAATGAGTAGGCATTTGCTTTATTGGTGTTTTATTATTAGAGGATAGACCTTTGTGTGTGTATGTATGGATAGATAAATGATTAGGATTAGATGAGGTTGATAATATATACTAATATAATAATGGTAGGATAAACTAGTAGACAGAATATAGCTATATAAGCTAATATCTCTTTCGGAAAGATATTTCCAATTTTTTGGCAGTCAAAGTGCCTATTGCATTGGTGTGTAGATCATCTTTATATATTGAATCTTCTGGAAGCGTCCATGTATACTTTCTCACTACATATAATCAAATTAGTGTCGGGAAAAAGTGGTATTTTGACATGAACTTACATAGCATAGACAGTACAACACGCTGTTGTGTTAAGCTAAAATTCATGCCAATGCAGAGACGAGTACCACCTCCAAATGGAGCCCAGGGCATTCCGTTATTGGTCAAAATATCGGCTTCCCCTCCAGATCGGAACCGCTCAGGATTAAACGTTTCAGGGTTTTCCCAGATATCCGGATTATGATGAAGGTCATAGATATCAGGAGCTATAAATGCTCCCTTGGGAATAAAAACACCAGCAACTACGGTATCTGCGGCACAGGTACGAGTAAGGACAGAAGGAGCAGGGGGGCGCAACCGAAGTGTTTCCTTGATTACCATGGTGATATATTCCATATGTTTGGTTTGCTCTACAGTAGGAAATATCTCTTTTGGATCATCCCCTAAAATTCTCAGAGCTTCATCTCTTGCTTTGTGTTGAAGTTCTGGATTTACAGCCAAATAGTATAGGACAAAGGACAAAACATTTGATGTTGTTTCATGTCCAGCTAAGAAAAAGACACAAATATTGCTCTACGAAGATAGTTAGTACATCATTAACAAGCAAAACGTCATGTTATTATTTACCTGCAACTCTTTATACGATAAAATACCGTTTCCTTCGGCTGCTCCTTCAATCATAAGAGTCAAAATATCCTTTTCATTGTTTTCCAATTGCAAATCCTTCATTTCTTTCATATCTTTATGCTTTTTGTCAATTATGATGTCCAGCATAGATAAAAATTTGTTCAGGTCTTGGTGAACCTTTTGTCTCTCCGGGAACATCCATAGGAATTTTCTTTCGAGGATAGGAACAAGAAACCATAATGGCCTATACAAGCCGCGTGTAATGTTATTATAGATTCGAACCCATTCATTTCCTGGATTATCTATGGCATGAAAGTCGAACCCTAAAACAAATATATTACGTGTATATATATATATATATATGTAAGCAAACCGTGAATACAAACACAAAGAGAAAATAATAGTATTACCGAAACCAGTTTTTCCGATGACATCCAACGTAAGTCTTCCCATAAGTTCTGTTACATTAACTTGATCATTACTCTTATCCACAACCTGGATCAATCTCTGGGTGGATAAAGCAAAGAAATTGACTGGCATCGATTGTCGAAAAGCTGGATTGATTAACTTTCTTTGGGTTTTCCACGCGGCTCCACTTAAGAATGCAAGGTTTGGGCCAGCAATAAAGCCGCCAAATAGTGTACCATCAGAGTCAGACAAAGGTTCTGACTTGGGAAATATATCAATATTATTGAATATTTGCTTTACGGCTTCTGGGTTAGCGACGAACACCTCCCATCCTCGAATATTAGGTCGCTAAGAAGAAGTGTTAGGTTTGTTAAAGACCTGAATTTATATAATCTTCAGATGTACATACCACAAAGAAGCCATTGTGATTCTTGCCAGAAAGAAGAGGAATTGCTACTTGTTTACTATGTATTGCAGCTGTATCACCTTTGAGCATAGACCGCATAAATTTAAAGTACGGGATGCTTGGAATATGACGGAGGGAAGGAGGAGGTCTGCAAACTTTTTCATAAGTAATATATGCCAAGGTTGTGACAATAGCTAGGCTAATATATGGTAAGTTTCCCTTGACAAGATTTTGGACATCCTGATTGGTACAGAAATTTTGGATAATATCCAAAGCATAATTTGTGTGTGCAGTTAAAGAACTAATAGACATCTTTGTGAATTAATACCAGAAGTTCTTAAGGATAAAGAAGACAGAAATATACAAGGATCCTTTTATATGTTTGAATAATTCGCACATGGTCAGTTGATTCTTCATGCTTGAATACTTGCATTTTAACCGAAACTTCCTAAAGAACGAAAATATTCGCGTTCATTCCCTTTATTTAGATTCAAAAAGAGTTAGGTTTGCACAAAATACAACACCCATGCGTTATACTACATGGAGCCTGAACTGTCCCTCACGCATATTAACTCATCACTTGTGAATCAGTTGGTTACGTGTTTCAAAATATTATCTATAAATATTTAAATCTTTATATAGTATAACCTTGTAACCCTTGGAAATTAAATCTAGCTTTTTTTTTGCCACCTAACCTCTTTAATTAATTTTACTTGTCGATATTTACTATTAGAATTAAGAACATGTAGTTGCTAACACGAGTATCTGGAGAAACAGCAAAAAATTTCTGGCACAGACTGAAGTCAAGTGAATGGTAGTTTGTATTAAATAATTTTGAATAATTTATACACCCACGATCTTATTGTAATTCAAATTTACCTTCTTTTTTAAGGATTTGTATGTGTGTGCCAGGATTTGAAGGAATGTTTCGAGATTATTGGCACGATATTTCCTAAAACGTGTTTGTGAACAGAAGATAAATAAATTCGATTTAGAAACCAATTGACACAAGGAAGAGGGTGTTTTCGCATCTATTTTTGTCAAATTATCCTGAGCAAGTTTAGCATAGATATTCATTTAAAGAAAAAACACAGAAATTTTTTAAAAAAAAAAAGATCATCACGGCAAAGCTGTATATATTTACATCTTTTTTTAAAATAAAAAGTGAAAATATCCAAGGTATCACAGTCGTCATTTTGTCTTTGTTTTTCAAGAACACGCTGGTAACTGAAAGTAATATATAAGGCGTTGTTTAAAGATTTTTACCTGATCTTAACTTTAAGCAGCAGAATTATAATATTAACTAAACCTATGATATCAATATCCAAAATGCTACGCACATTGATAACAGGCCCAATTGAACAGACTTATATCTGCAAACAAATTTAAGCAGTGTTTTTTTTTGTTTGTTTCCAATATATCGATGCCCAAGAGACTTCTCAAGCGCCGGCCAAGGCTCTACATTTTTTCCAGGATTTTCATATACGGACTGGACAGAGTTTCCAAAATTAATAATCTTGGATAAAGTTTTGTCCAATCTCCAACAGAACAAAAAAAAACAGCGAAATTAGAAAACTCTTGCCAATACGAATATGGAAATTCTGAACAAAGTTCAAGGGCTTGGCTGGTACTTGAGAAGTCCCTTGGCCGATTTTTTGGCGATTCGCCAAAACTTTGACAAAGGTTGCTAATTTAGGAAACATTTGCTAATCCGTATTTGGAACTCATCACTAACATTTAGGACCCTGGCGGATGCTTGAGAAACCCCTTAGATATCTAGAAACTTCCGGGTGGTGGCAAGCATCTAATGATGAGTCCTTTCATATGTGTGTTGCACAGACTTTTCGCCACATTAGTTTTAAAATAAACTAGGGTTAACTCAGAGAGACGAAGCCAATGATTGGCTGAAAGAGTACAAGAGAATAGAGAACTTTTGAAGGAAACGAAAGTTAATGTTTATTGATAAAAAGATGTTGAATATTTATATGTTTTCTAATTGTGTTACTAATATTATATTACCAAGGTTTGTTAGTAAGATATTGCTTATAAACATCTTCATTGTTATTCTCTAGCTGCTAGTCATTACTTTTTAATATCCCTATCAGCAAGTTGTTTTTCATTGGATCATGACAGCGCTGAAAGTTAAGTTCAATTCGATTACGAGGTTGATGACTCAGGACTCACAGCAGTTTCAGACACTCTGGCGTAACGACAAGGTTTGGATTGGGTTATTATGATGGTACAAGAATACAATGATTAGTGTGATTTCATGCAAAAATAATAGTCATAAGTTTTCAGCTTAAAAGTATAATTTAATAAATAAGATAGCATAGAAGACAAATATTTTCACAACGGGTTGTATCGCATGTAAAATAGTTAAATATTTCCGCCAAAAATAATAATTACGGAAAGCAAGAGTGATTCTCCAGGTGCTTAGGAGTGGCTCATCGGTGAGAATAATTCTCGTCGATGAAACCTTATATATCTTTTTGGTTAACTTTTAAAATACATATTAGGTGCTGTATACATAATAGTGGGTTTGCTATCTGATTTTAGATACTTTTTACCAAAAGTAGCAGTCTTCTAGTACCTGTGTTTAGATTGCTCATCGACTTAAAATATGGAGACGGTCGTTGTGATGAGAGAGAGAGAAAGAATAACCATAATGACCTTGGCAACATACATTTTAACGAATAGTTGGGCAATACAATACCTATAGTAATATCGTTTATATAAATTCTGTTTTGTTTCCAAAATTTTACTGTTATGAAAGAAGATTTACGTTATATTTACTTGTATTTGAGCTCATTTTATTAAAAAAAAGCATACCCAAAGAACAACCTACAGTCAAAGCTCGATATAGTAATATACGATGGATCCATTTCTTATGACTATTACTATATCGAAAAATAGTGATAATAAGGAGGAACAATTCTACAAGTTCTGCAAGTTCAAAAAATCATCACTATATCACGAGTATCACTATATCGAGCTTTGACTGTAATTGATATCATGTCCTATATAATGAGTTTTGCAAAGAACTAGTTTATATTTATGATTGACAATGTGAAACATGTTAACCAAACCCCTCCTTATATAGTTTATGCTGTAGCAGTAATTTAATTCCAAAAATGATTGACTGTGATGAATCTTCAAAAAATGAAAACTGAGCATCCAGACATCTAAAAAATAATAATTTCGGTACTCTATATGTCGTGACTTTATGTACAATTTATGGCCAAGTTCATATAAAAGCAAAGTCAAAAATAAAACATACTAAATCTATGCAAGAGTAAGCTACCTTAATACTAAATTATAGAAGCCTAACTTACTTGTGGGGAATTTGGGCAGGGACAATATATGAATGAGTGCTCTAATCAAGCGTATTGTACATATCCATTTTGACGTATACGAGAGAAAAAATATCAACCAAGGAACATTAATGGTGTTCAATGTTTTTTTTTTGATATTGGTTATTATTGAATGATGCTTAAACTACCACTAAATTCAACAGTCAAGCATCCAGAGCTGGTGAAACCCCCCTAATATATAATATGAAAGACGATATTCTATACAGGACGTACAAACAAAGGAAAATTTATGCATTATTCTTTTTATCATAATATTTGAAATAGTACGTATGTTGTAGTGGATGAACAAGATAATAACAGAAAACAATCAGACTATAATATTGATGTATACGAATATTATGAATTTGTTTATACAGCTGCTTAAGAAATTAAGGCAAGCAAATTAGACATCATCATCATCATCTTCTTCTTCTTCTTCATCAGCTGCATTCTCGGGTTTTCCTAAATCCTTTGAGTAAAGTTTCTTTCCAGCCATCTCCAAAAACTCCATATCCTCCGCTCTATCTAAAGCACTTCCTTTAGCTTCCTCATCTTCTTGTGGAAGTGGTCTAACAAGCCAAACTATTCAAATATTTTTTTCTTGTTAGCAATTTTTTTTGGTTGTTTGTTTAATTATAATTTACCTTCAGCTTCCTCTAGTAAGAATGTATCTTTTGATGCAAGCGGGGGACTCATATACGTTGTACATAAAGGCCCACCACGCGTGTGCCCATTTAAGAAATCAGAGTTTAGCCATAAGCCCGCATAGTCGAACTGTCCACCCATTCCAATACCTATTATACCCAGTATTAATTCATCATTGGTACGTACAAGAAACATCATATAAATAGCAGACCAGAGCGGAAACTTTACCATTTGGAAGACTTTTTGTGCCCCAACACAAGTACTGGAAATGATCGTTAACACCATTGTGACCTTCCCAAACTCCCATTGCAGTATCATCGTTAGATGCTGATCTTAATCGGAAGAGGAAGTTATTTGCTAGTCCAGTCCAATCTGTTGTCTGTTCCCATGCAGCGTCAGCGTAGCCACCAAACAACGATCCGTCCTTTGCCTTAAACACTACAATAGTAGCCCCCTGTGATACAATTCTATTCACAAACACCTGCCAGCTAGTACCATCGCGTTGTGAAGAGAAAATCAGTCGATGAGAAAGGTCTTCGATTGCTCTATTCTCGGTCTTTTCATAGTCAGACCACGAAAGGGCATTCGAGGGCAAGTATTGTGACAGTAAGAAGTAGTCATAAGGAGTCAAGAGTCGAGAAAATTTCTTTTTTCCAACCAGTTTTGTCAATGGACGTTGAATTAGTGGAGCAAGTTTGTGCTTTGTCCGTCTCTGGTGAGATGTTACAGAATTGTCGTCTTTCTTGGACCCCATAAAGAATTCCTCAAAGATCAACTCAAGAAGAAGTGTCCAGGTCGGAGTGCTTTGAGCCCAGTTGATAAATTCGGCTTTAGATACTTGACTAGGGGATGACTTGACCTTATCGATCCAAGTATTTGTTTCTTTGTCGGCCTTTTTTGTGGTATCACTTTTATCTGTTGTATCAAAGTCGAACATATCCTCTTGCTGTTGTTGTCTTTTGCGCTCTTTCTCTAGATATGATGCATAAAGCACATATTGCGTCAGTTGTTGAGCTGCAACTTGCTGATCATCATCCAAGGATTGCCATATGCTGTCGTTTGCTTTAATAACGCCTGTGCCTTCAAACCAAATTGGAATTCCAGAATTTATTGTGTGGTGAACAAATGTCTCTAATGAGTTATGAGAGCCCTCGAAAATGGTATACAATGCATCCAGACTTGTTTGGTCGTCTGTTCCTAGTAATTTATTTGCTGCCTCCAAGAAGTCTTTCCAAGTTATTTTCTTATTTTTCATTCCGTCCAATATTCCAATATATTCGGAAATACTAGTTGCGATATTACGATCGATGCATGGCAGCAATGAGGCATTGACCGCTTTTATAAACTCCTCTGTTGTAATTGAAGAATCCTTGTTCTGAATTCTGTCAAAGGTATCTTTGAGGCATGTTTGGTCCTGTGTCGACCAAGCTTTCAAAAGTGTGGATTCGGATTTTTCATTTTGATGATTGCTTTGTTGATTTCCCATATTGAAAGAATAATAAATGCAGAAAACGTTTGGACCGAGATTTAGACAGCTTATGCCAGGATCATTAGTGGGTTTTGAATAAAAATATTTGCGTCATTTCAAAATGAATCCGTGTAACTGCACAAAATGTCTATGTTGATAAAATATAATGTGTTTTTTGTTATAACAGTTGCGTTGAAGGAGGCTTTAATTCCTTGACAAGACCCACATTCAGGGTAAGGTATATTCAAAGTGCGATTTACAAGTTAAACTGAAATAAAATTGATTTGTTTTTTTTTAGGTAATCTTCTTAACATCAGAATTTGTTAATCTTTAACATTATAACAGTAAAAGTTGTATCTACAATTCTTGCCTTGAATAAACAATATAAAAAATATAGGACACCAAAAAAATAATACGACAGAGACTCCGCACATGCTTTTTTCTTAAACATGAATCAGCCAACTGTGTCTATACTTCTGGATCAGATTGTAAATGACATTAAGCTAACCAATCAATGTACGCGTCCATTAAACATCAATGTGTTGTTTGTCTAATAAGATATTTTAGTGTCAAAAGACAATATGCGAGCTCTTTACCACATGGCAGGGAGCCTCTTGATTGAGGCTCTTTATTTGATAGACCATAAAGCTGGTAAGACGTCCCTTATGCGGTTGGGATGTCTGTACTCTGAACTTTTATTGTTTTACACAAAGTGACGCAGTACACTAGCGAATCTGGGCGTTCATTTTACAAGGTCACTGATATGCCGATTATATCTCATGAGAGAGATAAAGATAAAGAGATGTCAGATGAAGATAGAGATAGAGAGCAGCAATTATCAGATGAAGACACGAGCGCTTATACTTGCTTTATAAATCCACGGTATTGCAACTGCCAAGCTTTTTTAAGAGATGTTATCTGTTGTGGTAAGATGATAATGGTAAGTTATTTATTTTAATTTTAGAAAATAAGAAACTTTTCATATTTATTATGCTGATTTGGGGGGGGGGGGGAGTATTCGAGGAAATTAAATAACTTCACAAGGAAATAGTGTCGGCATGTATTGGCTTCTCTTTTGTCAGATTGTATGGGTGTATCGGAAATTCAGGAAATGGAAGATATGGAACTTGCCAAGTGTCTTTACATGTCTAAAAACCTCGAGTAGATGAGCCAAGATGCAGTCTGAGTTGGGGTGTTCTGTCACGGAGTTTTAAAAATAAAATCATAGAAATTTTGACTCTCAAAAAGGGGGATTTTTTTGTATTTATTGGTCGGCTACAGTGTAAAGCATTGAGCGATTGGCTTAGTATACCTGAAGTTCTGTATTAGAATAGTTATAGGAGAGGGGGGGAAGTAAAGAAAGAGAGACTAGAAATTTTCTCTAAGAAACGCCTTGGCTGGTATCGCACCAGGAAAGAAGGGCTGTTCGTCCATGACAAAGGCCCAGTGAGCTAGCTAAATGATATGAATTGTGGAGGCCATGACCAAGGCTCTACAGCAGCTACAGCAGCCAAAGCAACATACCAAGAAATCAACTCATGAAAATATATATCTTCCTTTAATTTTTTCTTTTGATTTGTTAAATGAAGGATTTGAAACAAGATTGGTGGCGGTTTGGCGAAAGAATGTCAATTTACAATGTTCGCTCGTTAAACGCTTGCTTGAGCATTAATTAACTCTTTTATAGGCGGAAAAGATTGGTCTTCGTGACAGCTTTGAAGCATCTGATCCAGTTCATTCTGCCGACGAGGTTCTGTCTCTATCTAATGGCAAATGCTAAGTCATCACTCTGATTTTCATCAATGGCTGATTAGATAGGAGTAACGTCGCTGTCACACCTGTCATCGTTGTGTAGGCGTCGCATTTTTTTTTCGAAAACTGCATACTAGCCTCTGCGTATTTGATGGCCTGTTTTATTGAAGATTGTGTGATAATTTTTGTTGATTTAATGATTGTTCCAAATTGAAGGTTAATGTCATCACAAAAATCTTTTATCGCTTTAACTTGATCAGATACTTGTGCATAATATTTCGAAATAATGCGTATGCTGAGCTAAGATTTGTTGCAATGGCTTGACATTTGCTTAGCAATTGAATCAGCGTTGTAGCTATAGACGGACTTGGCCCACGGGCGAGAGTGTAGGATGTAGGAACATTGATTGTCTGCTATCTTGAAAAACCTTTTACGTTGAACATAACCAAGTTTGGTACAATATGCGTTTTCTCAAAGACATCAAGGCAGTAGCGAATGCCACAGATAATAAATGGATGGTCGAAATTTTGCCGAGTCTCGACAATCACTGGTGGAAGGTCGTCTGTCAGTGTACAGTGAGGAAGGTATAGGACGTCCGTTTTTTGACCGTTGTGTCCGTCACATGAGCCAACGTAATATGCATCACCGTGTATTCCCTTTCCAACCGCTTCTATTACGATTGTGTGCTTCATTTTTGAATTTTGCCATAGAAGTTTGCTTGCCAAATTCGTGCCAGGTCGATCAGGTTAAGCAGTTAGTAACATATCGATTGCTCCAGGTTCTTTGTTATTTATTTTTTCATTAATTTTTTAGGTGTATTTGATCTGTCGTCATTATAGGTTTCTTTTGCGCTTGTATTCACAAAAATTAAAACTTGTGTCAACGCTGCAAAGAAGAAGAAGAAGAAAGCAAAAAAAAAGAGGAGAGTTGCGGCCAAAAGGAGAAAGAAGACAGCCTTTTTTTTGTAAACGACAAATAAAAATGAACGGAGTTTATGACATGTGAACACGACTTCTTTGCTGAATTAACTGATATCCTTCAAGTGCACGATTTTTTTCTGCACGACATTAAACTCAAAACCAGCGACTTTACTTTTTGAAATGACTGCACACTCTTTCCAGAAATTATTGGTGCAAAAATAAAATTCAATCTGGTTCAAAAGTGAAATGCACCAAATGGACCAAGAAAAAAAAAATCAATTAAGCAGAGAAATAAATAAAAAATCTCACTAATTTTATTTTTATCTTTGCACCAAACTGATTTTTTATTTGTGCATCAAATCGATTTTTATTTTCGAACCAAATGTATTTTTTTTCACCAATAATTTCCGGAAAGAGTGTATAGGTGGACATCTATAGGTAGTTTGTGAATGCCTTGTATCACTCTCTCAGCCACCATTTTCAATCGAAAAAGAAACACAGAATGAAGAGAAAATAACGCTTATCTAGAAGAATTCGACGGATCAGCTTTCTTACAAAATGTCCACCATTTCTTCTAAACAAAGCTCAAATATCGCCTCCGAAAATTCAGTAGACTCACTATGGTCATATCCTGACACACAAGGAGATACCCCTTCTCACCCATATCGTGCCCACACATCTACCCTTGTGGGAAATTTATTGTATGTTTTTGGTGGTGGAAACATACCTAGCAACTCCAATGAACTTCATATTCTCAATATGGGTAAGTGTATTGATTTCTTTTGCCTTGAATTAGTCTACATTAAACTAATATTGTTGCCCCAAAGACACAATGATTTGGTCAAATCCACCCACCTCTGGCCACATCCCTCCTCCCATGCGTGCTCACACAAGCACTCTGGTCGAGCACTCTATTGGACCCCCTTCAATCTATATATTTGGTGGTGGATATAACGATACCTATTATAATGATGTCTACATATTGAACACAGGTATGAATTAATTTACATCAATGTTCGTATGAAAGAATCGTGCATTCAATATGGCCTGTAGAGACTCTTTGTTGGCTAAAGCCAGCAATGGAAGGTACAATTCCATCTGGCCGACGCTCACATTCGGCCGTTCTATGGCGAAACTCTATTGTAATTGTTGGTGGAGGGAATGGTGTGAGTGCTCTCGGAGATGTGTATATGCTGGATTTGTCAAGGCCAATTTTGAGATGGTCCCAATTAGAGATAGGTGGATCACATCCAAGTCCTCGTGGTTATGCCGCCAGTATACTTGTCAAAAACAAAATATTGTTTTATGGCGGTACAAACGGGCACAAGTGTCTTTCTGATTTACCTCTTCTAGACCTTGGTACGATGCGAATGATATTTGACACTGGGTGATATATTGCTAGACTAAATCTATTTATTTATTTTCTCACTTTATTTGTACATAAGAGACAAAAGAATGGAGTTCATTAGGCCTAGTTACATCTGATGCCCCTCCCCGAATGGCACACACTGCAACTCGAGTAGGACCTTATGTATTATTTTTTGGTGGCTATGACGGACATGCGTATTCCAACATGGTCCAAGTCATGAACCTTGGTAATCAGACTTATTTATGTTTACATGGCTTTTAATCAAAGATTTTCTTTAGCTACAGCAACTGAAGGGCCGCCTTTTGCTTGTCCTGGAGGACCTAGTGCCCGTGCTTACCACACGACCGTATTTTATAACAAGAAGCTCTATATTCTTGGAGGGTTTGACGGACAGCAGGCTTTTGATGATATATATTGTCTCGATCTGAGCGAAAGTCCATATTTGGCTTGTCCGGCTCAAGCAGCAGGAAAGAAATCATTTGTTCATAAATTATGGGCGCGCATCTCCCATCCCCATCACTGAGCGGGTCTCCCTAGCACAAAGTACTAACTCGAGCATGTGTCTCAAATATCACCCTATTTATTTCAAGCGGATTCTTATATTCCTATATTTATACACTTCTTGAAAGAATACAAGAAAGCGTATAAATATATAAAAAGATCAGTATATATGATCTATTCACAAAGGGGTCTATTGAAATAAAGAAAAAGGAAAATAAAAATAAAAATGCAGATCAAAGCACTGTCTTTTGTCTCTTGGTGGTTTGTTCCTCCACCTTTTCTTCATTCTGCTCTTCTTCTTCTTCAGGTTCTTCTTCCTCGTCCTCCACGACATCATCCGCAGTTGCGGGCATATTACCGGCAGCCAGTCGTTGTGTAAGATATTGGTTGATATCTTTCTGGACAGCAATGATGGCTGCTGTCAGACCAGCCATCGAATCACTAGATTCTTGCGTGATTGTGGCTTCAAATTTCTTGGTGTCCGTTCCAGAGGTGGTGATTGCTGTAACCGAACTCATGATGACATGCTTCTAAATCTTTATTTTTTTTTTAAAAAAAAAGGCTCATTTATACTTCGTCATACAATGACAGTCACGCGATATTGATTCTTCTTTATAGTCAAAAGGTATAATTAGTATATATAAATATGTATATGTTTGATTGTAGATATTAGCGACTAGTGTGTCTGTAAAAAAAGATAATCGGCTGGACCAAGCTAAAGAAGAAGAATAAAAAAAAAAGAAGGTACAGATTATAGGGTAAGAGTAAATATGGTGTGAGATTTGTAGTATAATAGAGTGGGCAGGTTTGTGGGGATTTGGTATTCGACTCAGCTTTGTACTGCACTTTTCATATTGTATTGTATTTTTTTACACTATTTTTAAGTTAATTTGGCGTCCAATAAAAAAAAAATACTCTCTAAAGAAAGGAGTCAATGAGCTTAAGTACTTGACAGCCCCACTTGAAGATACACAACAGCTACCACGTATATTGATTACGGAATAAGGAGTAGCTTAATCAACTCAAATTGAAACAAAGAATAAAACTAATAGTAATCTTGAGACCATATTTGAATCTACACCAATAACAAAGCTAATTCGGTGCTCTTCTTTTGTAATACAAATTATCTTAAAATAAAAGCAATAAACTATAGTCATTGGTAATATTAAAATATAAATTGAGTCGTCTATTGTTAATTACATAGACAGGACATCCAAAAGTCTACAAGTAACAAGTTATGCGCCTCACTATATAGACAAACGGCTTTCTGTTTGCTCCTTTATTGTCCCTGAAAACATATTTGTACGTACATGCCTTTTTAGCGTAATTCACTTTGTCAAGCGCAAATGAATGCTTGACTGGTCGCAGATTCTATTTTTACTAGACGCAACAGATTTTGAACTGCGCAGGACATTGAAAAACACTGATAGAGATTTAGACTTCCTCTTTCTTTCCTGGCTTTGTCTTTCTTGTTTCTCGTCTACTCATCTTGTCTTGGCAACCCAATAAAAAAGTAAAAGTAAGCTTAAACCGCAAACATACATAAATGAACATTTTTCTCATATTGGCCACAGTATACCATGTCTCGTTTCGTCCGTGCCTCAAAATATCGTCACGTCTATGGCAGTGCAGCCAAGAGAGACGGCTGTTATGATAATATTCGTGTCAGTGCTAACGCGTGGGACACCAACATGGTCAAGCTGAACCCTGTAAGCAGACAAATCTACACAACAAAATACACAATTATTCATAAACACAACCTAGCTCTTCTTGTCTGTTAACTGGAATGCCTCGGGCGGTGGAGCCTTCGCTGTAATCCCCTTATCTACCGTGGGTAAGTAAATCGAACAATATTGCACAAATATACATTGCAGTGGTTTAACGTTAATTTTGTTCATTTATAGGCAAGTTGCCGGATAACTATCCGTTGTACAGAGGCCACACCGGTCCTGTATTGGACACTGACTTTAACCCCTTCAACGATTATGTAATCGCTTCTGGTGCTGAAGATGGCAAGGTGATGATCTGGGCAATTCCAGAGGTATATGAGGAAGATCTTGAGGAAGTTGCTCCTGTATCAAAACTCTCTGGACATGGCCGGTAAGAACATTAAAGAAACAAAATGGGTAGAGTGGGAAAGAGAGAGAGAGAGTGTGTGTGTGTGTGTGGTGCCCTAAATCAGCTGATGTAAACACAGAAAACAAACTCATCTCGTTTGTTCCGCATTTTTTTTAGCAAAGTTGGTCAGGTCCTATTCCACCCTGTGGCTGATAATGTTCTGGCTTCTGCCAGTACAGATCTGACCATTAAGCTGTGGGATATTGAGAAGGGTATTGAGAGACAACAAATCACCGGACACACCGAGATTATCCAGTCACTTGCATGGAACTATAACGGTTCTCTCCTTGCTACCACATGCAGAGACAAAAAGCTTCGTGTATTTGATGTTCGCAGTAATAAGATCGTCCAGGAAGGTCCTGGCCATCAAGGTGTCAAGGGCTCACGTGTGGTCTGGTTGGGTGAGACTGATCGCTTAGCCACCACAGGGTTTTCCCGTATGAGCGATCGTCAGCTCAACCTGTGGGACACCACTGACCTCTCCAAGCCTATCAAGACAGAATTCCTCGATACTTCTTCTGGTGTCCTGATGCCTTTCTATGATGCTGACACAAAGATGCTCTACCTTGCTGGCAAAGGGTAAGGTTGCACTGTGAGGCTAGTGTGTTTGTTTATTAATTGGTTGCTATTATAAGTGATGGTAACATTCGCTACTACGAGTACGAGAATGATGAGCTCTTCCCCTTGTCTGAGTTCAAGTCTGGAGATCCTCAACGCGGCATGGGATTCTTGCCCAAGCGTGGTGTGAATGTGGCTGATTGTGAGATTGCCAGGGCTTACAAGGTCGGAACCACTCTTATTGAACCTATCTCTTTTACTGTTCCCCGAAAGGTAAGAATATATACATATATAGACTTTAGACAATTCCTTTTTTTGTTTTTTTTATATTCTTTGTTACTGTTACTACTTTTACTTTTATTTGAGTGTGTATGTATTTGTGGGTGTGTCTATATTCTTTGGTTTCATATACGTATATGTACATATTTATTAACTTCAATTCTCCTCAAGTCCGATGCATTCCAGTCCGATATCTTCCCTCCCACAATTGGTGACGAGCCCGCTCTTACTGCTGACGAATGGTTTGGCGGCAAGAACGCCAACCCTAAGCTCATTGACCTTGAGGCTGGTTTCTCTGTAAAGGAAAAGAAGGAGTTTGTTCCATCCGCTCCTGTCGAAGAACAGCAGGCCAAGAGCCCAACCACAACTATGCACGAAAAAGACGTAATATATATTTTCCAAAAAAAAGTGGGTGTTTTCTAAAACTTTATCCTTCATTAGTACCAAGAAGCCTACCATGAGCTGCGCAAAGAAAACGAAGACTTAAAGAACAGCTTGTCTCAAAGAGAGGTGAAGATCCGCATCCTTGAGATTGAATTGGAGAAGATGAAAGAGCAAATGGCCCAATTAAAGACAGAGGTCTCTTCTGAAGAAGGTCAATCACAGGAAAAAGTGGTAGAGAATATTGAGAGTGAGGCTAAGAAGGATGAGTCTGATTAAAGAAATTACAATGCCGTTTGAAGAAGGACCCTACTTTACACCATACACAAACGAGGAAACAAACATACAACCACACAAACACACACACATATATATATATACTCTTGAGAATACTCTAGTACAAGGAAATAAACCAGTCGGTTGTGCGATATTTGATATACCAAAACCTCATTACTACTTATTATGACATTCATTATACATTTATCAATAGTCTAAAATCAAAAAGAAAAAAAAAAGAGCATGCATTAGAGCCTCAATATTATTTGTTTTATTTTACTTATTTTCTTACCTGCCGCCCACCCATTTTCCTTGAGAAAGTCTTCGATAGCTTCTCGAAGTGAAAGGTTAGGTACAAGCTGGTTTTCTGTGCAAGAACGACGAGTTATAGGATCAAAATGACCATTTCTCTCAAAGTGATCCAAAAGTGACTGACGCTCATAGGTGATACCATCTAAAAGCAACAGAAATATCCATAAGCATGAAATGGTATACATAAAGTTTGAATAATAGAACTTTTATCAGATATTAGTATTATTATTATTTACTTACCAGGTGTAAATACTGGGTCATGCATTATATTAAATGAAATCTTGTCGAGATAGGCATCAGGTATTTCTCTTCTCTGTATTTTTGAAATGTTAAAGGTGTAATCTTTGACTGTAGTTTAATATTACCATTGTATTTTCCTTCGAATGTTCAAAGACTATTTGAATCTTGCTGAGTCGTTCATCCTAATCATGATTTAAGTATCGTGGTTTTGCAACATGGGGAATCTTACCGTGTAGTAATCCGCTTCTTCCTTTGCTTCTTCATTATCCCCAGCCTCTTTAAGCAATCTTTGTCGATCTGCTTCAATAAGGCCCTTAACATATCGGAGCAGCTCAGACTCGCGCTCGAGACGAACCGCCTCTTCATCATCCCATTTCTACCAATCGATATTTAATCTCTGATATTCACAAATACAGAATACTTACTCTTTTCCGTGCCATCAATAATGCCTGAAGAATGTCATTTACGTATTTCACTTTTTGCTGGATGGCTAGTGTGTAAGCTGCAAGACAAAAATTAAAGGTAGAACCATTAGAGATTTACTAGGAAGATATTATACCTCAAAGAAATGGGTTTATACAAATTATGTATTACCTGTTTTAAGTTTGTTCAATGCTATGTTTCACCACAAATTAGTTCGGTTATTCCGTATTGCCACTAAACGCAAAGGACAAGGACTAACCTTCTGTATGCTGCTTCTTTTCAATCAGAGCTTGACCCAACTAAATTTGTATTCAGAAATTTCAGAATACCTTTTCTGTATATATATAGTAGTTTATTACGTACCAAATAATATGCCTTGACTAACAGTAATAATATTAATATATACATATATATGGAGTGAATAATAAAATAAGTGTTTTTTTATAGTAATCCAACTTGTGAGTTTGCTTGATACTTGTGGTCCAAGTTTTATTTACTTATTTATTTATTTACTATTTACCTGTTGTGTCATCTAATTCAATGGCTTTTCGGCAATCTCTTGTCACTTCATCATATTTTCCGAGCTGTCATTGCAAATAGATGAGCATCTTAAATTTTCAGTTAGCTAAGCCTTACCTTTGAATAGCAAAGTGCTCGGTTGGTATAATAAACACGTTCGGTTGAGTCTTTAATCTGATATTTTATAAGTATACGATTTATGGTTACATTGTCTTTCTTACAATGGCAGTTGAATATTCTTTGATAGCATCCTCATATCTATGCTCTGAAAAAAGCTTGTTTCCTGCACAATTTGACCATTAGTCTAAAGCAATTTGATGAGGTTTCACCACAAAGTGGTTTCAAGGTACCCAAGGCCTTGTGGTGTTCTGCTTCTGCTCTTGTCATTAGTAAGCAATGTCCTATTCTTTTTTTTTTCTGTTTGTGGAAAACTTAAAGAAGGGTCGTGACGTGCCTATCTTTTACTGAATTTCCCTCGTTCAATATCTCACTTTCGTAGTTTGGTCTCTTCTACTACACACCCTCCTACCCCTGCTTCTACCTTCTTTCTCTTTCTTATCAAAAGCAGGATTATATATTGGCTTGATGAGCTAACTCCTTGTCATTGGATTGCCATGGTATATTCTGATCTGATTAAAAAGAATAGTATCTTCCAACAACTTGGTAACTTATGATACACCACTAAATAAATCATCTGTAGCTGGCTTTCATATATTTTGAAGAGCTAATCCATGCAGATCTTTTCAGTGAATTTTAAGACAGCCTGAGCTGAGTATGTACTTTTAGTATGTACAATCTTAAATGTTACGATGTCATGATACAAGTATTTAAAGTGTATGTCTTTATGGGATACGTGGTATGATCAATGACCTGAAAAGGTTTCGTATTGTAGCCTATAAATAGCATTGTTAAATCATTATTCTTATTCTTACAAAGGATAACTCCAAAATAATAATATTATATAGTCTAAATTCTACATATTATTTTTTAGCACTTGTGTGGATAGTGGGTAAAGTACAGAAACTCTGAGACCATTAGGTAGCCAGTCGACTTTGCTTCTCCGTCCTTGGTTTATCTTCTACGCGCAAGTTTAGTCTTTCAACTACACGCGTGTTTCTTTCTTCTTATTCGAAATTGTACATAATGTCAGCATCAAAATTGTCATTAGAGATCATTCTTTTGGTAGGAAGTTTTCTTTCTAAAGAAGACAGATTAGCATGCACCACCGTTTGCAAATCATGGGCCGAAGGTTTTACAAAGAGTCTCTGGAGCGTCATTCTGCCTACAACTGATGAAGCGTTTAAAAGCCTATGCAACGTACTCAGCAGCAAAGAAGGGCAGAACAAGGATTATAGTTACGTAAAGGAGCTGGTATTTCCAGCTGACCTCAAGCCTACTATAAAGGAAGTTGAATTACTTCAAAAACATTTCAAGAACCTACAAACCATCATATTGGGGTGCGACTTTGAGGGTGACAATTGCTTTAACAAAAGAATTGACTGGAAACCGTGGAGCAAAATCAAGTCCTTGACTATCAACGAACGCTACAGAGAGTCATCAGAGAAAATGTCAGACCTTCTGGACGTTTTGTCTTTAATGACTGATTTGGAAGACTTTAATCTCTTGCGTCCGGATATGTACCCCGTAAGCTTGCAAGACGTCGATGCAATCCCCGACCGGTTACCCAATCTCAAGACCATAATGCTTTCCTGTAATTTAGCCCAGCTCCATGCAAAAGATATCCCATATCTAGAAAAAGTTCAGCGAGGCAGAGAAGTCATAGAGATCTGTGTCTGTGTCACATTGATCGATTTCCGGTGGATGTACTATTTCTTACGCAAATACAAAAAATTTGGAGACTTTAATATCTCATTCCCGGATGATATTAAGAGGAAGAGGCTTCATAACGATGAAATTATTCACATGATCAAGGATGCCAAAGATGAGGTTTCCAAGGATACAACATACTTGGTTGTTTATGAAAGAACTGATGGTCCAAGACTCAACAAGCTACTGATGGAATCTCTCCGGAAAGCTGGCGTAACCTATTCACACATTGCATATGTTACACCTAATGAAGTCGCGACCTATACAAACGGGCTTCAATTGAGTGACTTTTTCAAAAACGTTCCTAAAGACATCAAGGAAATACGCGTGGGCTTGACAGAAATGGAGAATTTTGTTCTGTTTTCAGAAGAGATGTGTGTATTTCCTTTACTGGAAAGCTTGGAGATCGGGACTGCTGTATGCGAATGCCCAGACCAGCTTCTTAGAACTTGCCCGAAACTGAAGGAATTGGACATAATCCTCCCATCTGGGTGCACGATAGACCTCGGGCTGAGCAGATCCCAGTTTCCGTTGGAGTCATTAACCGTAAACGCTGAATTTATTAGTGCCGAAAATTTGGATTTCTTCAACAAGAGATGTGGGAAACTCACCAAATTGGATCTTAGCGGGGTAGATCTTGTACCATATCCACTTTCAGACGATGGATCAAGCGTAGTCAACATTTCCAGACTGCACCTCAAGAGCTTAGACCTTAGTGTTAAAGAGATTTTTTTGCCTTTGAGTTCGATCAAGACTTACGAAGAAAATTGCGTTAAGCTCCATCTTATCTGTGTTGTCAGTATGAACGGTTACAAGGCGGGTCCAGTGAAAAGGAATGGAAAATCAGAAAGCGTCCTTTCAAACGATGTAGTGACAAGAAAGTGGTACCATATGTACCACAGCGACAGACAGCCAGACTCTATGTTTTATTATGCCACCTACAATATGCGAAAACTGAAGGAAGATGAAGTAGAATTTGTTGAGAACTATTACCGTAATTTCTCCAAAGAAGACATTGAACTTGAGGGAGCAGGAGACGCGGCTACTCTTACCGAAGATGAATATTTTGAAAAAGAGAATTGGAAAGACTCTCTGGAACGAGGTTTCCTTGAATTCCGGTGCGCCTCAGTGGATAAATTTGTAAGTCCTTACATGACCTATTGAAAGACTGATCTCGGTTATTCTTTTTTTCTGCAGGGATTTGCAAACACCATACAAGTGTTTATAAAAAAAAATTAAAAATTAAAACTAACTAGAAAATATAATATTCTTCCAAATAAAATAATAAATTTTCTGTGATTTTAATTACTTATATTTAATATGTGTAAAGTAACTGCTAATTACAAGGTAATATCAACTATATTGATAAGCTAATATGACTTACTGTTAAACGAAAAGTAACTTATTTGATATAAAAAAAAGGGGGGCTCAAAATTTGACTTTGATAACAATTCATGCTACCTTGTTTACAGAATTTTTGTATTTTGAACATCTTTTGCACACATATTCACTGCAAATATATTTTATTAAAACTCATAATTGTATACAGCTGGTCAATGGTAAAACCAAGCCTAAGAAGATTGGCAGTTTTATGTATATAGTGGTATTTAATATCTTCTCTTAAAGACAATATTGAGGTCATGGGCTACCATAACTCCGATCTTGGTGGCCTGAAGCATGTTCTTATGAATTGAGTCTTCTGGTAGTGACCAGGTGTATTTTCTCACTAATAAAATTACATGTATTAACATAAAATCTGCTTGAGTTTCGGATACACTTACACATCAAGGATAACATAACGCGTTGTTCGGCTAAACTAAAGTTCATTCCGATACATTGACGAGCTCCACTTCCAAATGGAATCCAGCACATCCCGGCGCCAGATAATCTTTCAGCCTCTCCTCCAGGTACGAATCTCTCGGGATTAAATTCTTCAGGATTGTGCCAAATAGTGGGATTGTGATGCAAGGCGTAAATGTCTGGCACAACTAATGCGCCCTTTGGAATAAAAACACCATCAAGTTCGGTATCTTCTGTAGATATACGAGTAATAGCTGAAACTGCAGGACTGTTCATACGAAGAGTTTCCTTAATTACCATATTGATGTAATCAATCTCTTTGGTTTGCTCAATGGTTGGGATTGTATCCTGATCTTCGCCAAGAATACTAATGGCCTCTTCTCTTGCTTTCTGTTGAATATCAGGGTTCTTGGCAAGATAGTATATAGTAAAAGACAGTGCATTTGCTGTTGTATCATGTCCGGCTACAAAAAAGGCACACAAATTGCTCTAGACAGATGTTTAAAATATTGCAAGGAAATTTGACATTTTTAGTTTTACCATGAGTTCCTGGTCAGATAAACTACCAGATCCTTCTTTTGAAGCCTCAATCAGGAGTGTCAAAAGATCTTTCTCGTTTTCTTGCAAATGGGGGTTTTTATTGTTTGATGCAATGTCTGCTCGTTTTTTAACGATAACATCATCAAGCATTTCTAGAAATGTATCGAGCTCACGATGGGTTCTCTGTCTTTTGGGGAACAGCCAAAGGAAGTTGGTTTCCAGGTTGGTGAAGAAAAACCAAAACGGGTCATTTACTCCGTTGCTTATATTCTTGTAGAGTTGGACCCAATTGTTAGTGGGGTCCTCAACTGCATTAAACCGGAATCCTGTTGTATGGATAGAAAGATATTAGAAAAAATGTTGCTTCCTATATGGCAGTATATTTACCAAAGCCAGCTTCTCCTATAACGTCCAAAGTCCATCGTTCCATAAGATCTGTTATATCCACAAGACTGTCTTGTTTGTCCATAACTTGAAACATTTTTTTGGCCATGTCTCCGAATAACTTGACCGGCAAGGATCGATGGAATGCTGGATTAGCAATCTTTCGCTGAGTCTTCCAGGAAGAGCCATTCGAAAATACAAGGTTAGGCCCACGCAAAAATCGAGAAATAATTGTATGCTCTGTTGTACGTATGACATCGGCCTTTGGAAATGCATCAATCTTTAGCATGATTTTCTTGATGGCTGCAGGGTTAGCTACAGCGACTTCCCATCCGAATATGCCAGGATGCTAATGGTTTTGTTAGAAATTATTGATAAAAAAAAGTACATATATATATAATATGTTGATTACTTACTGAAAATATTCCATTGGTATTCTTTTGGTTAATGATAGGAAACACAAAGGCTTCGTTATGCTCTGCAATTGATGTACTCTGTAAAAGAGATTTCAGGAAAGAGAAGTAAGGGATATAGGGAATGTGGCGAATGGCGCGAGGTGGACTAAATAGCTTGTCATAGGCCATGTAAAGCAAGACAATAGCAGCAGCAGAGGCAATGGCAGGCCCCCTTTTGTTGGTAAGAAATGTTGGTAGAAAGTATTTGATGTATATGTCTTTGATATAGCCCAGAGTAAATTTGGCACACTCGGATACTTGGTTGGAAATCATGTTTAAAGTGTAAGAGAATCAAGATGGTGATGAATTTGTTACCGATGCCAAAGATCTGGTATTTATAAGAAATCCTGGGGAAGCTATTTTGACAACCCGATAAACAATGCACCCGTCAAAATTCAAGAGCACCTCTTGTTTAGACTATGTATTGAAGGTAAGTATTATTAGATATATATCTATTCAAATCAAGGCATTACGATCAGTTCCTGACTTTACACTCTATTAATTTATTTTGACACTCACAAAGCATATTTCATTCAGTGTCTACTAATTTTTTTTTGATTTATTTAAGAGACACCACTTTTTGTAGCATAAATGTTATACGAGATCGAATTAGCATTTTCTAAATATGCAACTTATGTATTACAAATTGCTGAGTAAAATGTTACAAAATATACCCACATGCGAGTTTATGTATTTGATATGTTTTCTGGTATCTGGATTTTCTATTATTGTGTATTATAAATAAGTAACCTTTTCCTCTAGGAATAATAGAACCCAAGGCACTCGTGGTGATAGGGCATTTCTTGGAGTAGGCTTTCTAGTCTTCTAATTGATTTTATTTTCAAGTATAGATATCTAATCGTTCAGTACTCTGTACTGTAGCCGACCAATAAATAAAATAAAAATAAAAGGTTTCGATTATTGTGAGCTGCTGTGTCAAAGGGTGAGGCTCAGCTTGTGTACTTGTATAATCACAAGTTTAGCGTTTCTATCGTTTGTACCTTTGTTTTGTTCTCTTTTTGTTGTAGTATCATACGTAGACTTGCGCGCGCTATAACAAAATATCTACATCTAGTATCAAGTTCAATCGGTATAAATACCATTCAAACTTCTATTGAATAAAGGATAACTTTCTCAAGCTCAAGTATCTAGCCACTCATTTGGCTGTCTAAACTAATTCTCCTCTTTTAAACTAAACGCCCGTAGTCTCTACACAACTCAATGCTTATATTAACTATGAAACATGCATTTGATTAACACAATCCCGTAAAGTTAAACTGATCGAATAGTAGGAGGTGGCTGAAAAGGTTCCGGATTCCTGTTGGAAAACCGCTATAAGCTCAAAATGTTTTTTTTTCTTCGCATGCAATAAACGTTCCTGATTAATGTCTGATGTACAGCCATATATATAATTTATGCATTTTAAAGTCTATTCAATAATAGAATATCCAGTATAATAACATTAATTGATGCAATTGACAGAGGCATGTCAATCACTAATTACAGAGCGTATTGGTAAAAAATAATTATTAAGGATGTAAAGGCGAAATACTTGAAAGTCTGTAGACAAAATCATACACTTTATTATTATTTAAACAAAAAGAATTGATATGCGAATAATTTATTTATCAATGTATTGACTTTAATATCTCCAAATCTTCGTTAAATTTAAAGAAGCCTTTAAAGGTTTTATCAAAAGTACCTCTAGATTTTATTCAATTATCATGTCTTCAATTGATCCAATAAGTATTCTATCAATGTGCCTTTGAAAAATTTAAGGCTTGGTATATCGATCTATGTGTAACATTTGAGATCAACAATCAGGTTACTACCCCAAAAAAAAAGGAAACTTTGTATCCTGTAATATCAAACACATATGTAGCAAACGGTTTCGTATAAAATTATTATTTTTTTCGGTTTCCTAAAGATGGTCTCTGATTTTCAAGGGTACAATCATAATACGTCAAACTTTCCAAAGGTTTTCTTTTCTGTATATATATTTAAGCTATGTTACACATTTGATAAAAACTCTCGTACTTCTTGGACATACGCCAAGACAAACATTTGAAGAATTTAGATTTTATTAGATGCAGTAAGCCAAGTGGCATAATAATATAAGAAGAAAATAAGATAAAAAAGGAACTATTTTTAATATGCTATTATGTATGATGTATTAAAAATCACCAGCCAATAGGAATGTCCGGGTATATTCTGGCATTCCGGAAAGACTGGCTGTTGCGATTATAAGCTAAATTTTGGCTCCCTATTACTATATTTTCACACAAAATTATTTTTAGAATATCCAAAGAAGTAGTTGTTTATCTTTACAGCAAGGAAGAAGAGTTACAGAATGGAGAAACCAATCTTAACAGTTGGACATCTTTACCTTTCTTATATATTATTTGATCCTTTCAGTGAGATTATCCTTATAATTGTATGTGAATAATTTAGTCAAAATGTAGTGTGTCAAGTTCCTTGGAGAAGTTACTTATGCGCTTAAAACAATAAACAAACCTTCTAGTATGTATAGGTCTCAAAATCTATTTTCTTTTCACACCAACAAAGATGAAAAGAGCAACTCTATTTTTATCATTAAGCCAAAAAAGTAGTGTATATCATTCCATAAGAATTGCCATGATCCATTATGAATCCCTTGAAATATCGCGCCTAATCTCCTCTATCTCATATTGAATATGAAAAGAACTATGTGTATTTAACTCTCTGATATGAGTGTTTCTTGAATTTCTTGGTATGTTTGCTATAGTACTCCTTTTAATATTGAAAGTGCTCTTATATTTGTTTGCTTGTTTGTTTGCTTGTTTGTTTGTTTGTTTGCTTGTTGGATAAAACAACATGGATCATTTGATCAGTGACAAGAGGGATCTTTTATCGGCTAGTGTAGACTTCTGGCACATACCCGGTTTGTGCCAGGTTGACACCAGGTTCGCACCAGATATTAATATTCAATTCTAGTACAAGTCACGCATTCCAATTTTCTGATCCAAGAAACGTAAAAAAAAAGAACACTGTAGTCTGGGGTTTTTATTGACACGGTAAATCTTATCCACCGGTGTTTCTTGTATCGTTCATCGCAGTGAACTTCGAAGTAGTGACGTATCTGTAGAAATGGCCCGGAGTAGTTAAATAGCTCTTTTTACTTGTTTCTTAATAAAATTGTCTTTCTACCCGTATTCATTTTCTTGTCACCGAGTTGGACATTTGCACCACATAACCAACCCACCATGTGTCATTATTAAAACAATCAGACTTTCCATTTAATACATTTTCCATATCAAAATCGTAGTGTCGGGGTTGAATTTGAGTTTGATAATATTTAATAAAATCCTGCAAGATTTGACTCTTTGTTTTATCCATTGGTTTATCCTATAGTCCTTTAAATTCATACATACAACAGATTGGCAATCAACTGTGCCTGGGATTAATAAACTTCTTATTTCCTACAATAAATCATTAAAGAACTGAAGAACAAAAGTATGAAGATTTATGTATATAAAAATAATAGAAGCACTAGTTTAATATATTTTTTCAAATATAATGTCAAGAATCTTTGCTGACATGATTCCGATATTGTTGGTACGAAGTTCATCTTTGTGGATTGAGTCCTCTGGGAGTCTCCATGTATATTTACGCACTACAACAACGCATTAGATTTATATTGTTGAGATCATCATCATTCTTATTAATGCAACTTACGTAGCATGGAAATCATCACCCGCTGCTCAGCTAAACTAAAGTTCATTCCGATACATAATCTAGAACCACCGCCAAATGGCATCCAAGGCATTCCACTACTTGCTAGCATATCAGCTTCGCCTCCTGCTTTAAAGCGTTCAGGGTCAAAGGTCTCGGGGTCATTCCAGATCTTGGGATTGTGGTGCATGTTGTATATATCAGAAGTGAGCAATGTGCCTTTAGGAATAAAAACACCTTCGAGTTCGGTATCTTCCGCTGCTCGACGAGCAGGAATGGCTGTAACAGGGCCTTTGATACGGAGAGTCTCTTTGATGACCATATTGATATATGTCATATCTTTTGTTTCTTCTACAGTCGGTATCACATCTTGTGGTGCATCCCCAAGAATTTTGTGGGCTTCTTCTCTTGCTCTTTGTTGAATTTTTGGATACTTTGCAAAGAAGTAGATTATAAAAGACAGTGCATTTGCTGTCGTGTCATGTCCCGCAAAAAAGAAGATGCATAGATTGCTCTAAAAAAGGGATATTTAATATTACCACCAACATAAATTTTAAGGTTCTTCTTATTTTAAAATATATATATATATATCTCACCTGAAGCTCTCTGTCGGTCAGGGCAGCTCCTCCAGTCTGTGAGCCTTCGAGCATAAGGGTCAATAGATCCTTTTCGTTATCTTTCATGCTAGGGTTTCGCTTATTTTCTTTTAGTGCTTTGCGTTTCTTGACAATCACACCATCAAGCATCTCCAAAAAGCGATCAAGACTTTTATGAGACTTCCTTCGCTCAGGAAACAGCCATAGGAACTTTCTGTCAAGCACAGGGAAAAAGAACCACAATGGTTTTCCCATTCCCTTTGATATGCTGTTGTAGACCTGAACCCATTCATTTTCAGGCTCATCGGTTGCATGGAAATCGAAGTCTGTTGTATTGGAGATACATAAGACTACATATGCCTTTTTGTGTGTGCAGCCCTTTATAAATATTCTTACCAAATCCTGCCTGTCCAATAACATCCAACGTCCAACGCATCATAAGATTGGTAACATTAATAGGCCCCGTCTCGTTTTCCATTACTGAGAATAATCTTTGGACCAATCCTCCAAACATGTTTACTGGAATAGACTGATGAAATGCTGGATTCATCAGTTTGCGTTGGGTTTTCCAGCTGGCTCCATTCAATAATAAGACATTTGGACCACGCAAGAAACGGCTGGCCAAAGTCCCGTCTGTTCCAGGAAGCGGGTCTGACTTTGGAAAGATGTCAGTTCGCATCAACATCTTTTTGTTGGCTTCAGGACTGGCTACATGTACTGTCCATCCAAGACCGTTTATGCGCTAAAACCAAGAATTGGTTATTATACCATTGTATAAATATTACTGTTCTGTGGCTCTACATACCGCATATAATCCGTTGTTCTCTGGGCAAGATATTATGGGGATAACGAGACGTTTACTCAAAGATGATGTCGGTTCACCTTGCAGTATTGATCTCAACATTGTAAAATAAGAGATGTGTGGGAGGTGTCGGATTTCGTGTGGTGGTTCTTGTATTTTTTTAAATGCTAGATACCCTAATAGCAGAGCTACAGCGGACGCTATGGTTGTAGATTTGGCTTTGTCTTTGAGAGTTGGGACCAAGTATTTGCTGTACAACACCTGGAGCTGATTCAGGGTAAGCCCTGTATATCCGCTTAGCTGGTAGCTACTCATGTTTGAATTAATGATTATAAAAACTGGAAGGAAATAATAAAGAAGCTTTTTTTCAGGATTTTATATCTATGATAATATATATATTGATAAAATTAGCTAGGTAAATATCAAGTGGTGTGAAGCTATGGTTATTGTTATAAAAAAGGGGGGATAGAGGAGAAAGAGAAAAGTGCCGATAATTTATCCGTTGAACCCATGCAGTGACTACGGTTTCTTATATTGTGTTTCTACTGAAGAAACACACTGCTGGCTAAGCCAATTAATTAAGTACATAATGAAGGTCTAGAAGCCGGTTTATGACCTGCTTATATTAACAAATGTTTAATAAGGTTAACGGGATATCCATTTAGCAGTTCAGCTCTTCTGGTTTTCTCTCAATCAGAAGCTACTATGACTCCTTGATTTTAGGCACCTTGCATGTACTCCCGAAAGATGGAACAGCCACATTGTCTTATATATATATATATTGGATTTAAATGAATGAGAAGTTAACTTGGCATATGAGACTTGGAATATTCATCATACCCATTAGAGCTCTATATACTGATATTATATGACCAGTGCATTTTTGCACGATATACCTGAATAATCAATTAAAGGTTTCAATTTATTTTTCAAGATTTCATTTTTCTCAAACCTTTAATATTCCATCTTATTTTATTCGAGTGATAATATATATATACAGCTATAGCTCTTGAGCTTTTTAATAGATACATAGTCGGATCAATTTATTATAAGCAGCAACAGCAGCAGCAACAAAACCTTTTAATAAGTCTACATAAGTACCTGCACAAACCAAAATTTTAATATTACATTATATTATATTATTTATTCTAGTTAATTGATATATATTATATAAAGGCGCGTAAAATATTCTCTGCAAGCATCTCCTGCCAGAAAATGTATTTTTTGGACAATCGATTTGTACCTATTTTATATAATGTTTAACCGTTTTACTATTGTCTTTATTGTTTGTTCTATAGGGAGTTGTATACAGGTTTATCTGATTCTGCCTTTTTCTGTTTCAAGCTGTTCATTTATATTTAAACTTGGCACTCTCAATGACGTTCAGGGATCATACACTTTATTTTTTTTGACTTTTTGAACATAACCTCTTGTATTTGAAATATGTAGCTTCTCCTGAAACTGTCTAAATATTAACCCCAAGGCCTATATTAAAATAACCAATTTCTCTCTTCTCTTCTCTTCTCTTCTCTTCTCTTCTCTTTTATCACACCTGTGTGGTTGTGTGATCAGGTCAAAATCAGTTGATGTCGCAAAAAAATAAATACGGAACAACAAAAAGAGCAGCCATGTACAGCATATACGTGTTTTGCTGTGTATTCAAAAACTGCTACATACTATGTGTGTACTTGGTTTTTATGATATACCAACGAATATATTTGAAGCTTATAATATATAACTAGTCTAAGCCTTTGAAATCTATAACAAAGAACCGAAAGTCATAATCCTTGTTACTTTCTATATACCTGAATCGAGAATTTTTATATTTGACCTTTTTACTGAAAAAAAAATCTTATTATATTAACCTTGAAGAAATAAAATCTGAATGAATGATAGGGATATATACATATCTTTTTTTAGAGGCGTATATATTATTTAAGTTTTTTTTTACGATTTGTTCGTAAAATTTATTGATTGGATAGCTTATTTTAATGATTGTGCGTGAAATCGATCTTGGTTTTGCTCTTTTACTCCATTTACTAACAGTACTCGACCTGTATTCCATCATTCCTTCCGCATCATTAAAGTTATGATTGTTCTCTAAAAACTCCATTCCTATAGCCCAAACGTCTTTTATCTTCTATTGGTTAATGACCTACATCTTTGGCTTGTGAGGCGCTGTCAAATATGCGGCTGAATTATAAATGATAAAAATCTTTTGTTTCTTTTGTAAGACTGTCCCAAATAATTGGTATGGTGCAATCGGAGATAGGTATCAATGTTTTTGGATTTGTTTCAATTTTCTCCTGAAAAACTCCGCCAGCCAATTATGATTTAATATCCGACAACCTTTAAAAAAAATCAAAATTCAATGATATTTAGCACTCAAAACGTAAAGAATAAGCACAAAAGTAGAATTGATATATTTAATAAAATAATAATTAGAGATAAAGATAATTTATAAGCAAAAATAATAAAAAATAAAGAAAGTACAGATAAAAATTCTATTCTCTTCCTTCATCACGGCGATGAGAAGTATATTTTTTTTTTGTAAATTTTTTTACAACATCATTGGCTTCTTTCACGTTCATCTCTTGGCTGTATGCCTCAATGTAGCGCCACGAGCGGTTGTAATACCGGCGGATATTTGGAAGCTTACCAGCGTGATCCAGCAAAGTATGGATATTCTTATCCAGGGACTTATACGTATAGTCACACTGGAGGCTAGCTTCACGCTTTGCGGCACCCCAATACCTCTCAATCCAATTGCATTCGCAATGGAACTTAGGGTAAAGTTCAAATATATGACCAGAGTCTTCGACAGCCTCATGAAGAGCAGTTTTCTGTGACATAAAATCTGGTTGTGAAGCCAGAAAATGATGTGCACAGCACTTGCTATCTTCAGAGGCGTCTTTACTCTTACAGTCTAGTCGCCATTTCTTAATAGGATTATACGGATCCTTCTCAAGCCACAAACCACGCTCCTCCAGAATATGACGGACGCCTTTAACATATTTAACCTTATTTTGGACCCATTGTCCACTTTTCTTTGCAAACCATTCATCCTTCTCGTAGTACATTGATTGTACTTCCTCTACACCATTCCGGACAAATACTGTATCCCGCAAAGAACAAGGATCGTCGTCTTCAATCTCTTTGTCATTTAGATTCATTTTGCTTGAGATCAAAGCATTTTGACCATACGCTTTGTGATTTGTGCTTTGGTCAAATGAAAAGACGGCCTTGCACCCTGGGTGAATCAATTCAAAAAGAGGAATAACATTGTTTTTCAATTGCTTCAACATATCCGCACTCGTCCAGTACCCATCTCTGTCGGCCCCAGGGCGGAATACCTCTCGTGACGACCATGCCCCTCTAGCCATTGTTCCGTGGCATACGCACTTGAACTCACTGATCATGAGAGACATTCCTGGACCTTTCTTACGGATAGGATTTTCATCTTCCATTAGCCGCATGGTATCTTTCCCATCGTTTGCGTAGAATGTCGATTCATCGTGAGTAACAAGAACATGCTCTATTTCATCGGATCTAAGTACTGGCAAAACTACAGTTTCTTCATTTTCAGAAAAAGTTGCCATTTTCTTCTTGTACACCATCATTCTTTTTGCCCATTTCTGACGGTATGCAATCACATCCTCTCTTTCATGACCGTCGTAATAAATGTCTTTAGAGTTCTTTCTAAACACATAACCCCATTCATGAAGGTACTTCCAGATTGTACTTGTGGAAGTATTTCCAGGTATACCAAGCTTTCTTGGCAAAATATCTCCATCAATGTACTTCTTCACTTCGATAAGACTTCGATTTTCTGGTCTCTGGTTCTGAATCCATTTACAGATAGTAGACTTTATATCTTCATCCGAAAATAAAGAATGTCTTCTCAAATATTTTCCTTGTTGGTGTAAGGCAATTGAACGGAAATCAACATACTCTTTGGCATACTTTCTTATAGCAGCTGGACGATAAGTGTTTTTGTGAAGCCATATTTCCATCGATGCTTTCTCTGAAGCTTCCATAGTTTTGGCGCCTGATATTCTGTATCGAAGGTAGCATTCAACTGATTTAAGCTTACAGAGTTCAAAAGCATCAACTGACTGAGAAGAAGGACCTGCGCGAGTATAAGGGAAAATCTCTTTCTTAACATCTTCATGTGCAAGTTTAAGCACAGCAATTTTGTCAATCTGTATGTTCTCCAATTCACTATCAATAGATTCTTTTAATTCAATTGGAGCCTCTTTTTGAACTTTAATAAAGAAGCCTTTATCTGTAAGACGGTAGCTTCCTTGCGTATTTGAAGCATCATTATCTGCTTTTCTTTTTCTCCATTCAGTTGTTCGCGAATTTTTCTGATAAGTTCCACGAAGCGACTTATCAGCACCTTCATGCCATTTCAGCAGCTGGTTTGTATATGCAGCTGAAGTAACTTCTTCTGACATTCCCTGGAGCTCTCTGTCGTCCAAAACAATATCGTCTTCATGGTCAAACTCCAAGTCCACATAATCTTCATTTTCCAATTGTATTTTTTTAATAAAAGCTCCACTACTAGCCGATCTGTTTATTTTCTTTGCCATTGTTGATCTCTTTTTTGGACGAAACATTTTAGAGTGTTTTAAATATAAGTGTGTTAAGCTTGAGTAGTAACACTTGAGGAAGACCAAAATAATAAAAGGTACGCAATAAAAGTCAAAGTCACACGCACGTGATTTGCCTTTTTAAGAAATTATATTTAATGTCCGTCAGTGACAGCCATTTAACTTGTTTCAATATCGTAAAAACCGGGTAAACTCCGTTGTAAATAGGCCAATACATCCCAACTTTGAAAGTCTAAGACTTTTTATTCAGAGTAGTTAGAGCAATTGTAAACTCTTAATTCTATAGATAATGATCATATCTATCGAATTAAGAGTTCAGAATTATATTAACTTAAGTTTTGCAAAAGTTATAAACTTTTAAAAAATACCCAAAAACTTAGATAGTTATCTCCGATCGCACCATAATTAACAAATACCTTTTTATTTTCTTTGTTCAAACTTACCTTGTTCACTCTTTTGATGTGAATGCAGAATCTGTGACGATAGAGAACATAGTATGAGTACAATTAATGATGTTATTGCCAATAATTACACCATCATTTTGGGGCATTATTGTTCGAAGTATTTCTATCAATCTTATTGGCATTTAATATGCACGCAGTAGCAGCATTATCTGTGGGTCTGTCTAAGAAAGGCTGGCTGATAAACTTTACTCTGAACTCTTTGATAGATTGACTTGTGAGATCACTTAATAAGAGTTGGACTTGCTCATATGTCCTTTTGAATTCAAATATTCTGTTTTGTCTTTTCCGTGCTGTGGGATCAGTATTGTAGAGTTACAAGAACTTTTTTTTTACTTGCTCAAAATGAGATGGCTTTGTACAGATCACATGAATGACTTTACTCTTCCAGGTAAAGCTAGTCGATTTACAGGGCGATTGCAGACTTTAAATAACGAGTCCTTGGTAATATTTAACTATTAGCTTAGAGCAATGTCTGAATCTTCTTCGTAGCTACTCACGATACAACAGAAAATGCACAATCTCTTGCAATTTATTATCTTGCAAGAAACCTAGAGATTCAGCATAGAGAAAGAAAAAATGTCATAAATATTTCCGGAGAAGATAAGCAAGACATAATCCCCTCTGTAGACCAAACAAAGGGAATAATTTATATTAAGATGCCTATTAAGGCGACTCTGGGTATCAAGGAACCTATTCTTGCTACTCTAACCCAAATATCCCTTGGTGTTACAGTCACTGTAAACCTTGAAATAGTCCTTAAGAGGATTTAATAAATCCATTAATTTACCTGATCCACATCTGGATTAATTTCCCATTTAATAATGATGACGAATTGTACTATAAGAAGGAAAGAAAGAGTATATATACTCACTCACTCGCCTTGTGTAAGTTTGGTGACAGAACTTTTCTGATTATCTGATGGCAATAAAAGAAGCTTTTTAGAAAATGGTCGATCTCAAATATAAACCAAGAGAAAGTATTCGCTGAGGGCATGAAAACGAATTAAATCATTACAAACTTGTTTCAATTAAACAAAAAATAACTCATTATTATTATAAATAACGCATAGTAAAACTTAAATACCAATCTACCAGCCAAAACTGTACATTATGTGTGCCTAAATTTTAGCAAATAAATTTCGCAGGGGCGAAGGTTTGGCTGCCATGTGTATGTGTTTGTCAATTGCTTGCCAAGATTCAAGGAACGATAAATAAATACGTTTGTTAAAAGAATAGAACGATGAGAGTAAATATAAGTGTACAATAAAGAGAGTGCGATAAATAATGCGCCATTAGCTGCACAATTATGCCTAAATTTACCCGTGCGTTTTGAACTGGTTTATGGACCATCAAACAAAAGACTGTTGTTTTACAATATCCTTACTGTACACAGGTATAATTATATCTGCACAAGACCATTGTGTATTGGCTTCATAATTTTCATAAACAAAAGCACAAAGTATGTATTTGGAAGCACGCAGATTAATATGGTTTGATTCCAATGAACAAATTTTCTAATGTAGAATTATCAAACGTCTCTCATAGTTCACGCTAAAACAAGATAGGGATACTTTTAATACTTGACGTCAGGTTTATTTCCATTTTACAATCCTCTCTAACATTAGAATCTATATATTGTGCTTCTTTATACTTTATTTTTCTTTTTGTCCTTTGTAGAGTCCAAAGACTTTGTGCCTTGTCTTGCCAAATCCAAAGATGAGATCACCCACGTTTTCTTTTAAAGGCAATCTTGGTATCTTAGAAAATACTGATAGAAAAGAGAGAAAGGTAAACTATGCCACACACGACGATAGTCTGAATATTTTAGATATCTTGGTTTTTCTTTGATAAACAAACGATGAAATTTGAGATCCTCTGTGTGTAGAATTGGCTCCTATTAAAGTCTAATATTTATATACATTTGCTTTACAAGACATCCAGGTATCTTTATTAGCATTTGGGTATTTAATTATTTTGCTCAACTGGACCGGGACCCTTTACCCCCAAGGAAAAAAAATCAAAAAAAGGCGTGATGATAATCGATTAAGTTTCCTTTATTTTGCATCTAATCATAGATAGGTTGGGCTATTTTATCTCTTGCTATCTATCTATCCCTTTCTGTTTTTATTTTAATTCTAAATCTGCTACTGTTCCCATGAATTATTTACATGGGAGATGTTCCCCTGCTCTGTTACAGTTGTCCAAAATAAATAAATATAAAGTCGTACGGTATTAGCCATGATTGTGAATGATATAGTAAAAATCAATGAAAACCCTCTTTGTCCTGATATTAAGTATATAAGTTTGTTTTTATCAAATTACCCACGCACCTTCTTATTTCATACTCGAGGTAATAAAGTTGGGCACGAGAAAGGAGGAGGAAAAATAAGATTATGGTTCCAAAAATGATTTCGTTTATATTCTTTGGTGCTTTTTTAGGATGATAAGAGCCATATTGAATAAGATACTTGCTATCTTTGGCATTATAGAAAGAATGAAAGAAAAGTGATAGTCTGTCCGGTAGCTAACCGTATCTTTATATTCATTATCTCACGCTTATCTAAAGAAAAAAAAACTATTCCTCATATGGCACATTAATCTAAAGAAGTGCTTATGCTCATGAGCAATGATACTTTGGTTAAATCTCAAGTATAAAGGCAACAATGGTAGAATTATCCGTATACAAACATTGTATTTTTCAATTCCTCTGCATTAATATATACATATATAAATACATTAAGAAGAACTACAGCATAATATAACTGATTATTTGATATACACTTCACTACCACAACATATACTTCTTTACAGACAAGTAGACAGACAAACACATGCAAATATAAAGGTAACATATTCTTTTTATATATATTTAAAGAAATAGATATTAAGAAATAAATAAATAAATAAATAAACGAATATGGATAGTAATAAAATGACACGCTCGACATTGCATTTTTCTTTTAATAATAAAATGAGGTTGAGGAAGTGTTATATACAAGATAAACTGAACAATAAAATAATAACAAAAAAAAAAGCAGTAAAGAAACTAATAATGATAATAGTAGTAATAGTAGTAATAGTAATAGTAGTAGTAGTAATTTATTTTATGTATGTGTGTGTGTGTATGTGTGTATGTATATATATTCTTTTTCTTTTTATGCCTCGACGGTAATGGTAGCAGCAACAGTGTTCTTGAGTGCGCGCTGGTTAATACCACCTGCAACGGGGAGATAGGTGCTTCCCATCAAGTGCTGATCAACCTCACGAGCGCAAAGACGACCTTCATTAATACCGTGCACAATCAAAGACTGACCGCGGCGACAATCACCAGCAGCAAAGACACCATCAACATTGGGGACACTGAACTTGCCCTTGGGGGTCTCGATGTTCGAACGTCCATCCTGCTTCAGGGAAAGCTGCTTGCAGACGGCTTCCTCAGGACCCAAGAAACCCATGGACAACAAGACAAGATCTGCCTCGAAGAACTGCTCAGAGCCCTCGATTTCCTTCATTGCCCAGCGACCAGCAGAGTCCTTGGTCCACTCAACACGAACGGTGTTGATACCCTTGATAGCTCCCTCGCCATCGGACACGAACTCCTTGGAAAGAACACAGTACTCACGGGGATCGTTACCAAAGTGGGCCTTGACCTCAGAGTGACCATAGTCGACCTTGAAGACACGGGGGTACTGGGGCCATGGGTTGTCGCTACCACGGGTGTTGGGAGGCTGGGGAAGAAGCTCAAAGTTGACAACGGACTTGCAGCCATGACGGACCGAAGTACCGATACAATCGTTACCAGTGTCACCACCACCAATCACAACGACGTGCTTGTCCTTGGCAGACAAGTACTGGCCATCCTTGAGCTGAGAATCCAAAAGACTCTTGGTGTTGGCCTGGAGGAACTCCATTGCAAAGTGGACACCATCGAGCTCACGGCCGGGGATCTTGAGGTCGCGAGGCCAGGTGGCACCGGTGGCTACAATGAGAGCATCGTTCTCGGCACGGATGGCATTGGCATCAACATCGACACCGATGTTTGCATTGGGGACAAAGGTAATACCCTCGGCAGCCAAAAGATCCACACGGCGCTGGACGATCTTCTTGTCGAGCTTCATGTTGGGAATACCATACATCAACAGACCACCCATACGGTCGTTACGGTCGTAGACAGTGACGCTGTGGCCAGCCTTGTTGAGCTGATCGGCGGCAGCAAGACCAGCAGGGCCGGAACCAATGATGGCAACAGTCTTACCAGTGCGCTGGAGAGGGGGAGTAGGGACCATCCATCCCTCATCGAAACCGCGGTCAATGATGGCGCACTCAATGCTCTTGATGGCAACAGGGGGTTCGTTGATACCCAAGACACAGGCACCTTCGCAAGGAGCAGGGCACACACGACCGGTGAACTCGGGGAAGTTGTTGGTCATCAGAAGACGGTCAAGGGCATCCTTCCAGTTGTCCTTGTAAACGAGCTCGTTCCACTTGGGAATGATGTTACCAATGGGGCAACCGGTATCAGACTGACAGAATGGAACACCACAGTCCATGCAGCGGGCGGCCTGCTCGTGGAGCTGAGGGCGGGTCAGACGGTTGTTGATCTCGTCCCAGTCCGAAGTACGCTTGGAGGCATTGCGGTAAGAGTCGGTTCTGCGCTTGTACTTCATGAAACCCTTGATCTTGTCAAGCTTGGCACGACGGGCAAGGATGGCTTCCTCGTCAAGGACACTGTCCTCAAGATCATCCAACACTGGCTCGACCTTCTTATGCTCATGCTCACACACCTTCTCTTCTTCAACTGGAACATTGGCCTGGGCAGCAGCAGCGCGGGCCTTCATCAAGAGCTCACCATACTCAACTGGCATAACCATAACAAACTTGGGCAAGTACTCGGTGAAATTCTGCAGGATGCGGCCAGCCAAGGGAGAGCCGGTATAGTGGAAGTGATCCTCGATCAGGTCACGCAATTCGGCAACACGCTCATCATCATTGACAGTCTCAAGGTTGACCATCTCCATGTTGACCTTGGGCTTGAATGTCTCGTCGGTATCGAGAACATAGGCAATACCACCAGACATACCGGCAGCAAAGTTGCGACCAGTCTTGCCAAGGATGACAGCACGACCACCGGTCATGTACTCGCAACCGTGATCTCCAACACCCTCACACACAGCAATAGCACCAGAGTTACGGACACAGAAACGCTCGGCAGCAATACCACGGAAGAAGGCCTTACCACTAGTAGCACCGTACAAGCAGACGTTTCCGACAATGATGTTCTCCTCGGACTTGAAGGTAGAGCACTTGGGAGGGAAGATGGCAAGCTTACCACCAGACAGACCCTTGCCGACATAATCGTTGGCATCACCCTCGAGTTCGATGGACACACCAGGGGCCAAGAAGGCACCGAGAGACTGACCTGCAGAACCGGTCAACTTGATCTGGATAGTATCGGCAGGGAGGCCGTTCTCGCCATGGCGCTTGGAAACATGGTAAGAGAGAGTAGTACCGAGAGCACGATCGGTGTTCACGACCTGGGCATCAATCACAACATTTTCCTTGTTCGAGAGTGCGGGCTCGGACTCTTCAATAAAGTAGTTATCGAGACGGACGTGGAGGTTGTGCTTCTGCTTGCTGACACAGTGGCTGGCAACGCCAGGGCGGAGAGAGCTTGCAGGGGTCAGGATTGGAGAAAGATCAAGGTTGGCAGTCTTGTAGGTACGGAGAGAGTCATTGACCTTGAGGAACTCGGCGCGACCAACCATCTCATTGATGGAACGGAAACCAAGCTTGGCCATGTAGCTACGGAGCTCTTCAGCCAAGTAGAAGAAGAAGTTAACAACGTGCTCAGGAGAACCCTCGAACTTTTTGCGGAGCTCGGGATCCTGGGTAGCAATACCAACAGGGCAAGTGTTCTACAGATAGCAAAAGATGAAAAAAGAAAGAAAAGATTAGTAAATTAATTTAATAATTTTTTAAGATATTTTTTAACTCACCAAATGGCACTTGCGCATCATGGTACAACCAAGAGCAATAAGAGGAGTAGTAGCGAAACCCCACTCTTCAGCACCAAGTAAACAAGCAACAGCAATATCACGACCAGTCTTGATCTGACCATCGGTCTGGACAATAACACGACCACGGAGATCGTTGAGAACCAAGGTCTGGTGAGTCTCAGCAAGGCCGAGTTCCCAAGGAAGACCAGCATATTTGATACCAGTCCAGCGAGAAGCACCAGTTCCACCATCGTGACCGGAGATAAGGATATGATCGGCCTTGGCCTTTGCAACACCCGAAGCAACAATACCCACACCAACCTCGGACACAAGCTTTACAGACACACGCGAGCGGGGGTTAGCACACTTGAGATCGTAAATGAGCTGCTTGAGATCCTCGATAGAGTAAATGTCGTGATGGGGAGGGGGGGAAATGAGACCGATACCAGGAGTGGTCTTGCGGGTAGAAGCGATCTCCTCAGAAACCTTGCCACCAGCCAACTCACCACCCTCACCGGGCTTGGCACCCTGGGCCATCTTGATCTGCAACTCCTCGGCATCAGAAAGGTAGAATGAAGTGACACCGAAACGACCAGATGCAACCTGCTTGATGGCCGAGCGCATGCTGTCGCCGTTCTCGAGGGGGATCGAACGAGCGGGCTTCTCACCACCCTCACCAGTGTTGGACTTTCCGCCGAGCTTGTTCATGGCAATAGCGAGCGAAGAGTGAGCCTCCATAGAAATAGAGCCGTAGGACATGGCACCAGTGACAAAGCGCTTGACAATCGAATCCCAGGACTCGACTTGCTCAATGGGAATAGGCTTGGCCTTCTCGTAGTCAAACTCGAGCATGCCACGCAGAGTACACTTCTTGATGGCTTCATAGGCGTTGCGGGTATAAGCATCATATGACGACTGGTTCTTCTCACGGACGGCATCCTGGAGGTTTGCAATACCAGAGGGATCGGCAATGTGTGCCTCTCCACCGTCACGCCAGTGGTACTCGCCAGATTCGGGAAGAGCGACGGGCTGGACAATGTTGCGTGAAGGGTAACCGCTCTCATGCAAAGTCAGGGCATCGAGGGCAAAGATATCAAATGTGACACCCTTGATACGCGAGGCTGTACCGGTGAAGCAGCGGGAGATCACAGTGTCATCTACACCGAGGGCCTCGAAGATCTGAGCACCCTTGTAAGAAGCAAGAGTAGAAATGCCCATCTTGGACATGACTTTCATGATACCATTGTCAATACCCTTCTTGAAGTTGTAGATCAGCTTCTGGGCAGTCAGTCCCTCGTGAACAGCACCCTCGCGGCAGAGCTTCATCATGGCCTCCATGGAAAGGTAAGGACAGATGGCATCAACACCGTAACCCAACAGAACACAGAAGTGGTGGACTTCTCTGGCTTCGGCAGTCTCGACCATGAGGGCGATCTTGGAACGCTGCTTGTGGCGGACGAGATGGTGGTGGACACCACCGGCGGCAATGAGAGAAGAGATGGCAACACGGTCGCTAGAGACGGCACGGTCAGAGAGAATGACGACCTTGTAGTTATCTTCGATGGCCTGGGTAACCTCGGTACAGACACGCTCAATGGCATCAACGTAACCCTGGATACCGGTCTCCTTGGCAAAAGTGATGTCAATGGTAGCAACCTTCCAGGAGGGATAGAAGTTCTCCATGGACTTGATGGCAGAAAGTTCTTCCATTGAGAGCACAGGTGAAGGGAGAGCCAGACGGTTGCACTGGGCCTCGTCGATCTCAAGAATATTGCCTTCAGGACCAACGTAGCACTCGAGAGACATGACGATCTCCTCACGGATAGGATCGATGGGAGGGTTGGTGACCTGGGCAAAGAGCTCGCGGAAGTACTCGTAGATCTGACGGGGCTGCTCAGACAGACAGGCAAGAGCGGTGTCGTTACCCATGGAGCCCAGGGCTTCCTTTCCAGTGCTGGCCATGGGGATCATGAGAAGGTTGAGCTGTTCGAGAGTGTATCCGAAAGCCTTGAGACGGGGGTCAGTCTGGACAGAGTAGTCGTCCAACTGGACCTCGAACGCGGATTCCTCGCGTGCCTTGTCGACGATGCTGGTCAGGGTGATCTGCTGGGACTTGACCCACTCGTTGAAGCTAAACTTGGCGGCAGTCTTTTGCTTGAGTTCCTTGTCATCGACAATCACACCCTCGACGGTATCGACGAGCAACATGCGGCCAGGCTGCAGACGGCCCTTTTGGACGATGGTTTCAGGATCAACGTAGACGGTTCCGACTTCTGAGGCACAGATCATGATGTCATCGGTGGTCAAGTAGTAGCGACAGGGACGGAGACCGTTGCGATCCAAGGAGGCACCACAGTAGCGGCCATCAGAGAAAGTGAAGAGAGCAGGGCCATCCCAGGGTTCCATGAGCGAGGCAGCCCATCTATAGAAGCCCTTCATGTCCGGGCTCATTGCGTCGTTGTTCTGCCATGCTTCGGGAATCATCATCATGACAGCTTCGGGCAGAGAAACGACACCGTTGATGACCAGCAGTTCGAGGACGTTATCGAAAGCAGCCGAGTCAGAGCCGCCTTCTTCAATGATAGGGTAAAGTAGCTCGAGTTCGGAACCGAACTTGTCAGAGGCCATGACACCTTCACGGGAACGCATCCAGTTCTTATTACCACGAAGAGTGTTGATTTCACCTATTGGTTAGTTGTAATAATGAGTGTTAATAAAGAAAAAAAAATTAAAAAAAAATAATAATAATAATAATAATTACCATTGTGAGCACACCAACGCATGGGTTGAGCACGATCCCATGAGGGAAAGGTGTTTGTGGAGAAACGAGAATGGACAAGAGCAAAGTGGGTTGTGTACTGGACGTTGTTAAGATCGTGGAAGTATTGGTAGACCTGCTTTGGGGTGAGCTGACCCTTGTAGACGATGTTTTTGTTTGAGAGAGAGCAGACATAGAACCACTTTTTCATTGTGAGGGTGTGGGTTGCATGCTTGCGAAGGACATAGAGCTGGCGTTCGAAGCGCTGTTCGTCAAAGTCTGACTGGTCTGCGAGTACGACAAAGGGCTGTACGATCGCGGGCTCCTTGGACTTGGCGGCAGGGCCGATGATGGTTGAGTCGCGGGGGACTGAACGCCAGCCGAGGACGTTGAGGTTGAGTGACGAAGCCAGCGTCTCAAAGACCATCTTGGACTCCTGGACAGAGTCCTCGTCGCCTTTCATGAACAGGTTTCCGACGGCGTATTGGCCTTCTTGGGGTAAAGAGATTCCGAGTTCTCTCTGGGTTTCGTTGACGAAGAATTGATGGGGTATTCCGGTCATGACACCAGCACCGTCACCGTCACGGATGTCGGCACCACTGGCACCTCTATGGGTCATGTTGCAGAGAATGCTGCTAGCATCACTGAGGATCTTGTGCGATCTGACACCTTTGACGTGGACCATGAAGCCAACGCCACAGGCATCTTTTTCGAGCTCGGGGTTGTACAGACCCTGGGCAGCCGGGATGGCGCCCGCCCACGAATTGTTATTAGTAATGGTTGACATTATATACAGTGTAAGGAAGTTGTGCGTGTAGTTTTTATGTATAGATTGATTGCAGGTAGACTAGCAATAGCGCAAGAGATATTAAAAGAGAAAAATGAAAAAAAAGTATAAAGTAACAAGAAAGAAAGAAAGAGAAAAAAAAATATATGGAGGAGTAGGGGAGTGGTCAACGTATGGGGGGCGGCAAGAATTTTTAGGAAGAATGAAGCTTGGGAGTTTATATAGACAATTAAATAATAAAAAAAAAAAATATATATATATATATAAAAAATTGTATATATATATTTTTTATTTTATTTTATTTGTGTATGTGTATGTGTATGTAAAGAAGGGCATTTTGCTTATCTTGGGAACACCAGGAACCAATGAAGTCTAGATGGTTGTACAGTGACTCTCTCATGCCGTCTGATCTAATGGTCACATGCTATTCAATTACAAAGAGCTTTAAAATAAAATACAAAATATATAAATGAAGCGCTTTATTTTATTTTGCTATTTTTTTTTTCTTTAATGCTTTTGTGTTATTAAATGAAATTGAGTTTTTTTATATATATATATACACAGTTAATAAGGTTATTCTATTGAATTACTCATTATATTATACTAGAAACTGTATTTAATATAATATAATATAATACAATTTATTATATTAGACTATTGATCATAGATTTGTATGTATATAAAAAAGCAAAAAATAAAAGGCTTTTGGGGGGTTTGGCTTAAATAGACAGCTAAAGGAATTGCATTGTTCATGGTCGATCTTGGTCAAAATGGATAGTTCGATGGAGTTTGATAAGAATGAGTGGAGTGGAGTGGAGTAGAGGAGAAAGAAAGCGATAAGATGCTGGTCGGGATATCAATGTGATGGCCGAGATGAATGGAGCCAATCAAAAACGTGCCAGCCATCTCTCAACCATAGGATTTCCTGTTTATAGCTTATCTGGATGTCTCGGATAACTACGGAGAAATAAACCAAAAAAAAAAAAAAAAAATCATAACACTGATGAAAATTTTATTTTATTTATTTAAAAAGAAAAGAAACTTTATGCTCTATTATGTGCTATATGTCCAATATCTACAATTTACTATGAATGTGATGTGTATGTGATGTGTATGTGATGTGTGTGTATTGAGTATTGAGTATTGAGTATTGAGTATTGAGTATTGAGTATTGATTAAATTACTTTTTGGCTGTATATACATATTTCCATCCCGTCGCCTACCGATACTTAGTTATCTATTATCTAATTGATATTTTTTTTTATCGGAATCATAATTAGCAATAATATTCAACAGTTTAATCAATGATTGATTAGATGAACATGAAACAGATATTCGTTATATATTTATTTTATATTTATATTTATATATATAATATAATAATATATATAATATACAATGTACAATGTACAATAAAAATACATATATTTTTGATACTCTCTTTATTCATTTATTTATTAATTTTATTGATTTTACTGAATTGAATTGAATTGAATTGAATTGAACTGGACTGGCTCATTCTTCATCTTCATCAACATGAAGAGTTTGATGGCCACATATAGATTCACATCCTGCCAAGGTAACAGGAATTTCTGGAAAGCCAGAAGCATAAAAAGGCGAATAGTGAGTCGGTTCTTCCACTGATTGGTGCTGTTGATGTTGCTGGGCTTGCTGAGCTTGCTGAGGTTGATGTTGATGAAGTGACGGAAGTGGTACTCGTCCAAGACCACCGGTTGTCTGGCAGTCAAGAGGATCAACCAACTTGTCCCCCGAAAGGTCTGTTGCTGCTGCTGCAGATCCCATGGATTTAAGCAATTGATGAAATAGAGACGAAATTGGGGGTTCTGGCTGACCAAAATGAATCCCTTTTGTAAAAAAAAATTAAAAAAATAAATAAAAAAAAAAAACATTCGAGTATACAAATATCTATGTATTTTATACACAAAATCTAATCTTCATTCAGCTGTTGTACCTTGACCCTGACCTTGACCTTGACCTTGACCTTGACCTTGAGTATCTAATTTTGCTTGTACATGAACCTGTTGTGTTTGTGTTTGTGCTTGTGCTTGTGCTTGTGCTTGTGCCTGCGTTTAAGATTGAGATTTGAGATTTGAGATTTGAGAGTACAATTATTTCCAACTTTCCTTTTTTACTCTATTTTTCTTTTTGGCTATATAATCCTTTATGTTATGTACCTGGGACTGAGCTTGAACATGAACATGAGCATTGTTCGTATGGGCTTGAATGGTCGTATGTCCGTGCCCATGTCCCTGAATATGATGGGCCTGAGCATAGATGTGAGTTTGAGCAGGAGCAGAAGCTGGAGCAGAAGCTGGAGCAGAAGCTGGAGCAGAAGCCTGGCTATGAGCCTGAGCCTGAGACTGTGCTTGAGCTTGAGTTTGAGTTTGAGGATGGGCATAAAGGTGGGAATTGGGGTGGGGATTTGGGTAGGAGTGGCCATGGATATGTGCTTGTATTTGTATTTGTGGTTGTACCTGAACATGTACCTGAGACTGAGCCTGAGCCTGGGTCTGGGCGCGCGGATTGATTGGAATATGTTGTTGGGGTGGTGTTGAGTGTTGCTGTTGCTGTTGCTGATGATGAGGATGATGGTTATGATGCTGATGTGGTAAGTGTGGTAAGTGTTGTGATGGGAGTGGAGGTGTGGGCGTTGGCGGGGGTGGGGGGGTGGGTGTTGATGCTAATGTTGATAGTGGCTGTGTGTGAGCATGCTGTGCTTTCCCACCTGACTGGGAACCCATTGGAGATATCTGGTCATATGCATTCTTGACATACGACCCGCCTGCCAATTCATACAAGTCAATTCGGTCCCTGCGACTGGCTGACGTGATCATATCACTGTAATCATCTGCAAACTGATCCATGTCCATCTGGGTACCCAAGTCTTGAAAATGGCTAGCGTCAATGCCAATATCGGCCGCCAGCGCCTCAATATTAAACTGGAGGTCATCAATGTCCTGCGAAATGGCCTGGGCGGATCGGGTGGCTGTATTGAGAGTCTGTGAAAATACCCCGAGGTCCGCTGGGATTGCCTGTAACTGCTGCTGTTGTTGTTGGTGCTGTTGTTGTTGGTGCTGTTGGTGGTGGTGGTGGAGTGGTTCAAGGTGGTTACTATTGTTGTTATTCTGATTGCTGTGATTATTGGTGTTGTTATAGACCGGAGATTCTGTTAATGGCGTTTGTGGTGAAAGCGATGGATTGAGTTTTGAGTACAGACGGTTCACCATGCTCTGAAGATCGACCGGGCGGCCAGTAGCTGCATACTTACCCGATTGTGCTTGTACACCAAGAGTGCTCTCGAGGACCATTCCAGCAAGTGAGGCGGCTTCTTGAATTAGCCCCTTGGCTTGTTGCTGCTGTGTATTGTGGGCTCCTATTAATTTAATTGATTTATATTTATATTTTTTATGTATATACACATACACACACACGCACATATATATACGTGTGTGTATGTGTATGTGTATGTGTGTGTGTGTGTGTGTGTGCGCGCAATATGCTGTTAATCATTGCTACTACTTTTATATATATATATATATATATATATATATATATATATATATAATCTTTCTTTTAAAGCCAATGTACTAATCTTGTTATGGAAAGAGAGTTGAAAATTATAATATATGTATATATGTATATATATATATATATCTTGTTTTGTTTAGGCATACCTGAATACCCTTCAACCACTCTCTCACTGCTAATAATTGATCCATTTACCATGGGACTTTGGATATTTTGAACCAATGGTTTGTTTTGGGGAATTCTAATGTACTCGTTGTGTTTTCCCAACATAAATTGAGCATGCTTACTCATATCAATCGGTGCCTGCTCGCTGTTGAATGCTGTGGTTAAGAACTGGAGGATCTTCTGAATGACATCCTGGTGGCGCTGGTGTTTTTCACGTGCCGAGAGAGTTTCTTGCCAGAGGATTTCGTTGTCCCTGTGGAGGTCGTGCAACTCGGAACTGATTGTGGTCTGGTGCTTCCGAATCGCAGTAATATCTTTGACAAGACTGGCCAGGTTGACCTGTTCTGCCTCTACTGTGTCACGGTCGCGGTTGGTACGGTCACGGTCACGGTCGCGGTTGCGCTTCCGTGTCACACGCACCAGGAGGTTTGGCCTGCCACGTTGAAAGTGAGGATTGCTAAACTCCCACAGTTCTCGGTCGTTGTCTGCTAGGAGAATGCCTTGTTGTGGGTGAGGTACCTTGTGGAAGTCGTACATGTTCAACTGGCGCACAAACGATGCAAAGGTATTGTGCTTGTAGAAACGCGGCAGGACTGATTTTGCGAATTCTTCATGTTGCTCGACTAGAGGATGTACACACATATACATATTACATATATGTGTGTATTTGTATTTGTATGATATTATATATATATATTATATATATATATATATATATATAATGTATAATGTATATACAAAGTCTATACATTACAAATAATTGAAAGAGAAAGGTATGATACTACTAATTGCTAATACTATCCATTTAAATTATTGAATATGATCTAATTTGAATTGAAAACATTTCTTCTTCTTCTTCTTCTTCTTCTTCTTCTTTTGTTTTTTTGATATTTCATTTTTCATTTTCTTTTCACAATATATCTTTTGCGTATGTATAATATTTCAAAAGAGAGTATAGGTTCAAGAGGTAAATAAAAGAAAGAAAAGAGAGAGAAAGAATTGAAGGAAAGAAAGAAGAAAGAGAAATTTGATAAAATAATAGATTTTTCACCTGTAAACGAGGCACCGTCAACAGACCACCGGATAAGATCGTTTGTTGTCTCGTCTTCTACCATACTATAGAACAAGGAAAAGAGGTATTTCGATTCATTATTTTCGGTTATTAGACATACACTCATATATAATATACAGTCTGATCCAATTCAATGTGATTCAATACACTACGCACATATCACACACACACATCACACACATCACACACTACGCACATACATATATACATATATACATGTATGTATATACATATATACATGTATGTATATAGCTTTCTTTTTCTTCTTCTTCTAGTCCATCAAAAACAACAACAAAAAACAACAACAAAAGAAAATATCGGTGGTTCAAACGTACTTGTATAGCTTGTTCAAAAAGGCTGGGACTGAACGTTGTACTGCAATACGAGGACTACGTGAGGTAGATTGATTGGTCGATCTAGATGATCTATCGTCGTAATCATTCGAATGTCCAGGATTGTGTTTCTTTTGGGCTGGTTCATCAGATGTGGATGAGAAGGTGTGTGATGTAGATGGGCTGCATTGGCTGGAGGTTGGTGACTGAGATGGGGATGAAATTGGTCGTTTCTTTCCTGCCGAAGAAGTTGTTGATTTAGCCTTGCTTGACCTCTTGGTTGAATGTGCCATCGTTAATCAGCCTTTCTTTTTTTTTTTTGTTCAGTTTCGTCTTTATTTTTTTTTAGCCTTTTTTTTATATATATTTTATCTTTTTGTTTGTGTGTGTGTGTGTGTGTAATGTGTAATGTGTGGTGTGTGTGTATGCGTCTTCCCCTTCTTTTTCTTTAAAAAAAATAAATATTTTTTTTGTGTATATATACAATATGTAAATATATACACACAATATATAATATACAATGTATGTGTTGCGAGTGTAGTGTGTTGTGTAGTGTGTGATGTTGTATGTGTATGTATGTAGAGTGTGCAAAGTGAGTGAGAGAGAGAGAGAAAGATTATGAGTGTGTGTGTGTGTGTAGTGTGTGTGTGTGTGTGTGTAGTGTGTGTGTGTGTGTGTGTAATATACAGATAATTTTATATATATAAAATAAATAAATAAATGAGAGAGAAAAAAAAATAGAGAAAATGACCCTCTTCCTGGTATTGAACTTGTCTGGACTTGCTTTTTTTTCTTATGTACATATATGTACATGTATATACAACATATAATAGCAAATAGCATATTGCTATTTAGCAGTGGTTTATTGAAAGTGTCAATAATAACGAGATTTTATTTTTTTCTTAAAAAAAAAAAAAAACAAAAGGTAAATATATCTGCAAGAAGTATATATGGATATTGTAGGTATATAGAATTCTATTATTAATATTTTTCGATTGATTTTGATTTTGATTGATTTATGTATGTGATCGAGGGAACTGGTATTTTTTTTTTTAAAAAAAAAAAAGAAATATCGGTTTTAATTTTTAATGGGAGAAAATAGTGATTGTCATTAGTGGTGATGATTGTTTTTGTAAAAATCCTTTTGAATTTATGACGAGTTGGATTATAGCTAAAAAGGACAATTATCGATAATATTATATAATTAACAATAGATATCTGCCTGCCTGCCTGCCTGTCTTTTTTTTTTTTTTTATTTTTTTATTGAAAAAAAGAAGAAAAGAAAATATTTAAAAAAAAATCGACAATTATAAGCCACTTATTCCCATATGTCATTCTTTTTTAGCTTTCTTTTGCCTACAATTCGCAAATCGATCGAAACGATTGGAATCGACTTTCCAAAATATTGAAACAAAGCAAAAAGAGGCCAAGTATTTAGCTATTTTGTTGTTGTTGTTGTCTATAACTGTTTCTGATATACGCACAAAGGCGCACTTGCATCTACCTTTTTTGCTTAGTACTAGTAGCAAAGTAGTAAGGAGTAAGGAGAATAGAATAAAGGAGATGAATTTTTGTATATATGCTCTTCTTATTGTTATTCCTATTGTTGCTATTGTTTGACCACCGCATTATTTTACTTTACTTTCTAATTATATTTATCCATATATAGAAATTACATTAAAGTCTATGAAATTCTTTGAAACTTTGTGGAATTTTGTGAAATTTATCTGTTTCAAATTTTAGCTTAACAAAATGGTAATAAAAAATAAATAAATAAACATCAGCATCAGCATCAGCATCATCACAAATCTGTGACCATTATCATTTTATTTCGGGGCTTTAATATCCTGGAATACTCTTTCTCCCTCCATCCCTTCTTTATCTAGTATTCTTACTCGCACGCTTTAAGTACAAAAAAGAGAGAGAGAGAGAAAGGAAGCGATATTTTGTATTATAATATTTCTATATACGCCATATATACACACATTAATATTCCTATATATTTTGTGTACACACTATACTATACTACGCTTATATACATATATATATATATATATATACATCTTTATCTTTATCTGTTGGTATACTTGTATACACACAAACAAAGAAAACCTCTTCTTCTCCTCTCCTTCTTCTATTATATTGCTTTATTTTTGCCTCTTTTCTTTTTTGGCCTAGACATGACGGTTACAATGGCTGCACCGATTTTAATCACACCATCTGGAAAACCCAACTCTCATGACAGCAACAATTCAACTCATCATGTACCCCAAAGCCACTTTTCACAAACCATTTCAAACGGCAGACAAGACGTCATTGCTCTCAAACAACTCCTGGCAGATGCATTGGGAGAAAATGGACCTTTATACTGGGATGCTCTTCGCGATTTTGTCATTGGAAAACTAAACCGTCAAGAATTTGATTTTTATGCCAGTCTTTACCTCAGTCGACACAATGGTATATCAATAGCTCATTATATAAAACAAACAAGCCCAAACTTGTTCTGGTTTTGCTTGTGGTTAATAGACATATGCTTATTATTATATTATATTATTGTATTTGTTTGCTTGTTTGTTAATTAATCAATTAATTAATTAATTACTTATTGTTGTTTAGCACACCTTCATAATGCATTTATTCTTAGTACTATCCACAATGCTCAGACAGCAGTTCCACCTCCTTCAAGGGATCGTGCAGTAGGGTGGGCTAAACGGAAAAGAGGCAAGGAAGGTGGACTGGATCAAGATGTGGATCAAGACCCTCGCAAACAAAAATTAAAGATGGATGTCATGGCTCTCTCCAAAACCGAAAGGGATCGACTCAAGTCACTTGTAAAAGTAAAATACGTAGCAATTTTTTTTTTGGATTGCTATTATAACCATAATTTACTTACTTTTATTTTTATTTATTTATATATATATATATAGTCTGGAAAGGATAAACTAAATCCTTTTGTAGACACACTACTTGGTCCTCGTGTCAGTCAAGGCCCTCCTCCGCCTCTTCCTTTAGATCGTCTACCACCAAGTAAGTCAATTCGATCGGATTTAATGATTTCATATTCATCTACTTATAAAAAAACAAAAACAAAAAGGCTTTAATGCAGATTATGCCCGTGGTTTATTGGCTCCTTTGTGCGCTGATCTAAAGGAACTTCCAAGTGCTCAGACTTTACATTCGCGTATGACAAGTACAGCACTAGAACATGGATTATTGGGAGGAGTTACCGAAGATGCTGTTCATGCAATGCTATTTGCCACAGAGGTAAGAAGAAGCAAACAGACAAATTGTTCAAGATACTTGCTACTAATGTGATCAATTAATTCTGTAGAGCTACATCAAATCAATAATCTTTAGCACGATTACCAAACGACGTATCAATCGTCCTATTGGAGTGTGTATGCCCAGCTCGTCAACATCAACAATAGCATCATCTTTACCAACCACTGCAACAAATACAGCAAATACAGCATTATCATCATCACATTCATTACCATCATCAGCATCAGCATCATCTCTATCATCATCCTTACCAACCTCGACCTCTACGACTTTAACAGCACCAACAACAATACCATCCTCTTCTTCTTCTTCTTCTTCTTTACAATCCAAACCTCAGCCAGACACCAATTCCATCTTTACTTCCGCAAATACGACCAATACAACTAATGGAGCCATATCCACATCCACACCTACATCTACATCTACACCTACACCTACACCTACACCTACACCTACATCTACATCTACATCTACATCTACGTCTCAAAATGAATCAGACACTACTCCTACCAAACATTCACTAGGTTTGGGTGACTTGGCATTCTCATTTGAGTTGGCACCTTATATTCTTGTCGAAACTCCAATGAATGCCGAACGTTTGATTGCACTGCGAGAAACTCAAGACGACTCATCAGAAGAAGAGGATGACTATGATGATGACGATGAAAATGAAGATGATTCATCTGAAGGCGAGTTTGAAGTGTGAACAACAACAACAACAACAAAATAGATTTGTATCCAAACTATGAGAATAACACGTCTGTCCCTCTTTCTCTCTTTGTGTGTGTGTTCATCCAATACTGCCACCGTTGCCTTTACTTTATGCTTTGTTTTTTCTTGGTCTTTATAAATAATACTAATAATAATGATAATAATAATAATAATATTACTGCTACTGCTACACATTTACATTTACATACAGATGCGCCTATCCTTATATAATCTAGCTTGGAATATTTGTGCAGAATCTATAAATGAAACAGAAAGAGTTAATTATAAACATCAAATTGGATAGACCCAAATAATGATTAGTGAATAATCTTGTTTTCTCTTTATATCCATGTCTTTCTCATTCACCTAACGAGATATTTGATAAAGGCTAGCTGATATTTCTCGGATATATTTAGTTTTAGTAGTGAATAAATATTAGATATATAAAAAAAAAAATACTTGTTTACAAATTGACCAATAAAAGAAGTATGACTATATAGACATTACTTTATTTAAAACCAACGCTTTGGTTATTCCTTTGACGATTGATGGTCAGTAGACTTTAATCACATTCAATAACCCTATTAACAATAAAGATAATGATAACAATAACAATAACAATACAATTGGATATAGCAATGTAAAGATGGTTCCTGTTCTAATAGAATGGTATTAGATCTACGTCACAGATATATAATCCCAAAATAAAATAGGTTTAGAACATGTCGGGTTAGCTTTGTACCTGGATATTCCAGGGATTCAATATATATATATATATATATATATATCTGTCTTATTTTGCCTTCCAAGTATTGGTGTCGTACACAGAATAAGAAAGACAAATTATACTAGGCTACTATCTGCTGTGCCATGCCATGCTATAATATAATATAATTTATATATAGAGTACAGAAAATCCGTAGAAATAATAAAAATAACCTTGGTTTATAGATATTATTCAAAGTCATATTAAATAATAGTAATAATAATATCATTCACTATTTTTTTGTGTAGCCATATGCTGTCATTTTCATCATTCTCTGGCTTCTAAAGGTTTATTTATTTTATTTTATATGATTATATAATAGAAAGGTGCGATAAAATAGTAGTAATAATAGAAATGAATCCCATAAATGACGCCAAGACCATCGTCGATCATTAAGTAAAAGTGCCTTTGCCACCATTAATTTTATTTTATTTTTATATAAAATAAAGGTCTTTGGGAATATATTCTTTCTTTACTTCTTTCAATTCACTTTCTTGATTTTTATAAGCTATAATACAATATGCAATTCTTCAAGATCTCACTGCTCTTTGCTCTCGCAATCCAAGCCATGGCTGCAAAGGACGATCAGTCAACAGGAACAACCAATATTCGCCAGAGTGTTTCTCCCAGACCTCGCCAATTCCGCATGGATGTCTATCCTCAGTCAAATCTCAAAGGAACACCACAGCATATGGTTTCCAACAATGGAGGTAAGAAACAATAAGAATAAGACAATTAAACATACCTTGTATCATAAAGAACCCATTATTAATTCATTTAAACCTGCACTTAGTTACATCTCCTTGCTGGAATTTGGACTCAAAGCACATCCGGTCTTTGGTTGTAAATGATCCTATGATCAAAATCACATTCTACAGAGTAAGTTTACACTCAATTCTACCAATTCTACCAAAAGAAATTTCAAAAATGGTATCCTTATTCTTATTCTGTTTTTTTTTCTCTTGTTACATCGCACAGTCTTCTGATTGCCGTGGTGCTTCTTCAAAAACCATTCGTTCCACGCGTGCTCACGACGGTGCCCAGAATCTATCCCTCAAAGCAGGTTCTGTCAAGATCGTTAAACTCCAACAACTTGTCGTAACTGACAAGTAAAGAACCAATAATAATATGAGAATAATCTATGCATTACATAAACCCTTACGCACTTATATATAACAAAAAAACAACAGCAACAACATTTGTATACACCCACCCACACGCCCTATTATTGATTTCTTTTCTATAAGAACCTCTTTACTTTTACATACTTACTTATTTACTTATAAATATAATTACGCCACTTATTTATTGATTTCCTTGATTTACTTGATTCAAAAATAAATATATTTATCTACACATAGAAATAAAACATTCTATTTTTATTCAAGCTATTCTTACTATAGAGTGTATAGTTCGTATATGATGAGATATATTTATGTCCCAAAGAACAAGAAAAAGTACAAGTATTAGTCGCAAAACTATATATATATCACACCCAAAGACTTTTGACCTGTTTATGGTAACTTTTTTGGCCAAATTTTGAGTTAAGGGTGCTTATTGGCTGTAATAAGGTTCAAGCTCAAAAATAAAAAAATACGTAGAAGTTTTGAGTTTCAGACAGTTACTCAAACGAAAATATCTATTTCAATTGGCTGATTACTTGTAAATATATAAATAAAAATAAGAAAAGCAGAAGAAAAAAGGGTCTTAGACTATTTTGGGTAGATTTTGCGCAAAAATATTTTATATGCGACTGAGCAAAAGAGAATAAACCCTTTTGCGACAGAAAAAAATAAAAAAAAGAAGTTTTGTGACAGAGAAAAAGAAAAAAATATATTTTGCGACAGAGCAAATGCAAAAAAAGAAAAATGAGAGATTTTATTGGCTTAGGATATTCAGAATTGACCAAAGACTTTCGTATTTGCGAAGGCCAGCAGCCAAGGTATTCATGGTGATAAGACTTTTCTTGGAATAAGCTTTCTAGTTTCTTATTTTATGGTTTTTTTCCCTCTCATCTGTTTGTAATATCAATTTCTTAGTACTTTGCACCGTATCAGACCAATACCTACAAAAATATTTGTAAAGACCGTGATTATTCCCACTCATTGTAAAATTTGTTGTATTGTAGAAAAAAATACTAAGTTAATAAAAACTAAGAAAAAAACTTTGTCCCCAAAAAAAAATCCCAACCGACGTCAAGCACTTGACATTTTAACTGAAGGATTAGTATATTTCTTTTATTTCTTTTTTCTTTCTTTTCATTTTTAGTTCAAGTAAGTACTAATAAATATAATATGTATCTACTTTGTTATTAGAAGCCCTTTTACTTTGAAACAAGGTATTTTTCTGAACAGAGTACATTTATAGGTTTATAAAGCCTTTACTAATACTTTTGTTTTCTAGATTACGGTCATTTTGAGTAGCTCCATTGTGTTCTTTAGCGAAGGTAAATATCTTTATCTTAATAGCTTGAGTTTGTTTTTCTATTATTAACTTTGTGCTTCTTTTTGCTTTAGGTAAGTCATAGTGGAATCTATTCTTTATTGCTTTCAAGAGGTAAGATTTCAATGTTTGAACATGTCCCATTTTATTATTAATATTAATCTTTGTCTTCATTTCTATAGTTTTTGATATTCTCCATCTGTTGCTGTTTCTTTACTGCCTCCGTTCCCATCGTAGTAAACAGTCGTTACTACTACAATTTTTGGGCTATTACATAGTTTTTTCTTATATTGTTTACATTATTTAGTATTGCAAGGGTATTTTTGCTCTAATTTTTAGTTCTACACTTTTTTGCGCTTTTTTGTTTCAATTTATTTCTCAAATAAAAATTTCAAACCTTTTCAGACCAGATTTTACGTAATACATATTTTACAAATGAGGAACATTTTTTGGCCATTTCACAAAATGGGGGGAGAGGGTTGGGGGGTCCTCACGGCTGCTGTGTATTCTATATAAGGAAGGTTTGTTGGCCAACTTGACTACTGTTTATAGAATAGTGCGTTATTCCAAAAACAATCTTAAGGTTTACAAAAAAATCTTTGGGTGTGATACAGTAAAAAACATTTGTAAGGCGCGCAATTCGAAAATTTAAGGCGCACAATTTGAAAAAATAAGGCACACTTTTAAGATTTTAATTTCTTTTTTAGAAAAACAAAAAGTGACGTACCAAGCACGTATTATTATTTTTCCTTGCAGAAAATCATGCAAGAAGTGCATCAAGTCCCATTTATATATGACACCTAAGAAATAAAAAGATTTCTTCAAAATGTTAGTGGCAACAAGAAGCTATAAAACCAAAAGCCTTAGTTCCAGTGTATATAACGTGGCTTACTGTAATACATTGTGACTGACTCTATTAACTTTTGTGAATGAATTTCACAAAAAGAATTGCGTGTATAAAGTTTTACTTGTAATAAAGAAAACAATATACACTTCCTTTCTCAATTATCTCAGCTTCTACTATAACAAAATGTCCTCCTTTAAATTCGTGTACGAAGATGGTCAAGGAAAGAGCGTTAATGAAGACGGTTCTCAAGCTTTGAGTCATATAATTGACGAGGATTATCATGGTCTTGAGACAATAGCAACCCATTCCCAATTCCTTGAATCAAGAAATAGAGATAGGATTTCAGAAGTCTCAGAGGTATTTTTTTTTAAAAAAAAAAGTGGTAATTAAAAACGTATTTAAATATATAAATCCAATTTAGAGTGCCCAGACAGAGAACCAAGCGGGAAGTCCAAGCATCCCCCCACCAAAAAGAAGCAAGACTACTCGTCAGCGTAATACTTACACTGATGAGGACATCATCAAGTTTTTTAAGCTGAAGGATGAGAAATTGCTTAGTGCTAAGGCTGCAGCAAAGCAATTGAACATAAGCGCCAGAGTGGCACAACGTTGGATGAAGAAGTACGATGAAGACCCGGACAACTTGTTCAACCGTGGCAAGAAGGGCAGGAAAAAAGGACTGACCAACGAGCACAAGAAGTGCATTAAAGAATTCGTTGCCGAAGATGCATCTGTCTACGTTAAAGACGTGATGGACCATCTCGTCTCGGTGTTTGGCAAGATCAACGTGTCGAAAGAGACTGTCAGGAGGTTTATGGCCAACGAATGCAACCTCACATTCAAAAAGGTCTATAAGCAGCCTGTAGCGAAGAACAGTGAGGAGAATATCGAGGTAAGGTATAACTGGATTCTTCAGATGAAGAAAACAAGTGCCAAATACATGACCAACTGTGTTTTCTTGGACGAGTCTGCCTTCGATATCAACATGCGGTACAGAAGAGGATGGTCCGAGAAGGGAAAGAAGGGAGTCACCACCACCCCAACCACCAGGTCCCACCTTCTTACCATTCTTGGGGCTATATCGGCCAAAGGACTTATATACGTCAGCTTGAGGAATCCTAAGTTCTGCAAGCAGTCCTCTTCTGGTGAGTCCGGCTCAAAGGGTACAGTGGCCGGGCATTTCTTTATGTTTGTGAAAGCTGTTCTTGGTGAGATGGACAAGTATGCCAATATGAAGGGGAACTTCCTGGTGATGGATAATGCACCCATTCACCAGAGTGCAGATATCAGTCGATATATCTCCTCCAGGGGATACAATTCGGTCTACCTTCCGGTATACTCTCCAGAACTCAATCCTATTGAGATGTTTTGGAAAGTGGTGAAGGACAGAGTGCAAAGAAAGAGTTTGAACGACAATGGGACTATTCTCACCATAATCGAGGATGGATGGCGTAGTCTTAGCGATGAGGACTACCATAACATCGTCCAGCATTCTGTAAACCAGTTCACAAAATGTGAAAATAAAGAACCTTTGTGATTTCTCATTTTTTACATAATATAACATACACTCAAATGTGCGACTTAAATTCTCGAATTGTGCGCCTTAAATTTTCGAATTGTGCGCCTTAAATTCTCAAATTGTGCGCCTTATTTTCTCGAATTGTGCGCCTTAAATTTTCAAATTGCGCGCCTTGTATAGTGTTTTTTACTGTATAATGATAGTATTCCAGAAATGGGTATATTTTCTTTTTTGCAATTTTCACATGCAATTAGCCAAACCAAAAATCAAATAAATAAAATCAAGGAAATTGCAAAAGGTCGAGGAACGTCTGCTAGCATCAATTAAAGAAAGAAAACAAGTACAGGTGCAAGTGTGAGTTTGATATATAAAAAGTCGAATTTAGATTTGACTTTAAACCTATTCTTTCCTATATGTCTTGTTAGTTTTATGGACACTTGCATGTATGTATGTTAGCAGGTTGTAAGTGTATGAGTGGGGTCGTACGCAGGGGAGGATGGGCTAGGGGAGGGGATAAATGATCAACAAGCAGTATTTGCGGTCAACTTCAAATATTAGAGTTGGTTTTTGTTCTAAACCCCTTGCATTCATGTATTACTTTCTTTTTTTTTAAAAAAAAAAGAAATCACTGGCCACCATGCCCTTTATGAATTAACTTGTAAATCTACTTTATTTTCCATCTACCTTTTTCATTATTTACAAATCATAAGGGAGCCTTTTATATCTATCTATCCGTTCACTCATTCAATGGCTCACAAAATACATACAAAATAAAGAATGTGCTGGATACTGGAAAGAAATAAATAAATATATTGAATGGAACCGATAATTGGAATGAGAAATAATAATAATAATAAAAACAACAACAACTAAAGAGAGAGAGAAAGAGAGAAAGAGAGAGAAAAGAATAATAACAGAATAGAAAGAAAGAAAGAAAAAACAGAAACAGAAATCAAGAAAACTAGCGCTTATAGAACCGTACGCTTCCCTCCTCTTCAACAAATTTACATTGGGTCCAATTCTCATACAATGCCTTGAGAATTGGTGTGGGATCATGGTAGTAGTGTTTACCGAGAACCTTCTTGACATGCTTGGTTGCCTCTACACAATGGTAGTGCGGCATCGTAGACACAAAGTGGTGCATGACATGGGTATCCGCAATATGATGCGAGAGATGATCGATAATGACTCCATAGGACCGGTCGATGGTTAGGGCAGCACCACGCTGGAAATTCCAGACATCAGTGTCGTAGCGGGGCATATACGGACTGGTATGCTGCAGGTAGGTAATCATCGTGATCGAGAAGTTGACGCAGATGTAAGGAATAAGGTAGTACTTGAAGACCACAGTCGAGCCAAAGATCTGGCCAGCCACAATCAGCGCACCAATCATGGCTCCAACACCCGCCGCAGACTGGACTACCTTCCAGAACTGGTGCTTGCGAAACATGTAGCTGTTTGGGTTAAAATGCGACACCCATCGCTTGGTTGTCGTGTCACCCGAGAGGTTGAACAATAGGTACGTCGGCCATGCGAAGAACAGGAACATCAGTAGATCAAAAGTGGCCACAATAGGCGAGTCTTCGAAAATACTGTGCGGTCCATCGGCCTCTTCATCCAGCTCACGAGGAGGCAATCCAACTGCAGACCTTTGCTTAGGATAATGAATCTTTTTTTTTAAAATAAATAAAATAAAATAAATAAAAAGAATAGTAAGAATCAGGTTTCATTGTTATGCTTATTCGTGTGCTTATGCTTATACGTGTGCTTATGCGTATGAGTATGCGTATGCGTATGCTTATGCTTATGCTTATGCTTATGATCTCCGATAAGCACTGGCAATACTTCTCCTCATTATTCTTCTTATTATTATTATCCGTCTTTTACCTTGTCTTTGGTTAAATGTCCAATTGACTTGTGATGTTTGCCGTGGGTATATTTCCATGAGTGATATGGTACAAGAAGGCTGCTGTGAATGATCATACCAACAGTATCATTGATCAACTAACAAACAAACAAAGATCATTAGTATATATGGATGCTTTTGACAGGCCAATTATTTTGCTCTAGGACATTAAACTAAATACTGGTATCTTTTTTTTTATTTTTAGTTTTATTTTGTGGGAGGTCTGCTTACAATTGAAGGACTAAATGCCCGGTGGCCGCATTCGTGTGCAAGAACCCAGAGAGCAGATCCGGCAATGCTCTGAAGCACTCCATAGGTTGCCCAGAGAGCAGCCCAGGTAAATCCAGAACTCACGACGTCAATCCAGGTAGCACAGTATCCCCAGAGTGCAATAAAGCACAGGTCATGTAAGACATAGGACAATGATCGGAAGGTGTTGCGTTCGAAACAGTGGGCTGGAATGGCATCACGGATCTCCTTGATAGTAAAGTCAGGGATCTCCCATCCTTTTGCAATGGCTTCAGTCAAATCATTCGGTGATTCAGACAGTTTGGTTTTTGGTGAAATGCTTTTTATCATTGTTGTCTGTGGTCTATTGGTTGACTTTCTTCTTTAGATAAAGTATGGTTTGCTTTTAAAGAAAGAATAAGAAAGAAAGAATAAGAATAAGAAAAATTAAGAAGAAGAAGATGAATGAATAAATATTGAAGAGTATTTAAAAAAAGGAAGAAAAAAAATGGTTTTTGTTTAGATTGGCTAAAGGAGCTTATGTATCAAAAAGTATGTATTATTATTATTATTATTTTTCGTATGGCTGCATTCTATAGAATAGTATATATAATCAATCAAAGAGACAGACAGACAGAGGCCTATCAGCACATGTGTAAGATATACATAAAATTTTACTAGTATCGGGGCAACAATGTTGAAGGAAACCTTTTTGGTTGTGAAGGTTAGAAGAATGTCATAGAATGTGGTTCGAGTGGTTTAGACAAGAAGAATATAATATGATTTTTCAAAAAATAAATAAATAAAAAAAAAACATACGATTAAGCAGTTTGATGTTAGAACAATTGATATTTCTCCCGGACCAAAATAACCTAAAGTCCTTTTGTTATTATTCATATCTTGAAATCATGTTTCGTTGAGCTAAAATACTAATATTAATGAATTATTGCTATCATTATTCTCGCCTGATCAACAAACTATCCAGCTATCCAGCAATCCAGCGAAGTACAATTCTCAGTAAAGATCTTCTTTTATTCTTATAACCCAAAGATGTTTCAATCCTTACTGTTTTTTTTTCAAATACTATAGTCTTTGAAGCACCCTATACCTTCCTCATTTAAACCTTTTTTTTATATGCATTTTATTTTACAAAATAAAATAAAATAAAATGAAGAGGTATTGTATTTGATCCAGCGGCTAATTCCTAATACTTTGTCATTTTGCTATCCCAAAAAAATTACCCCAAAAAAAAAAGACAGGAAAAGATATACATGTCAATGTACCATGTTTGTTTAGCCTCCAACAGCAAAGAAAATGGTACTTTATGGGTCGATATAACACCTCTTCTTTCTCTTTCTTTCTTTCTCTCTTTCTTTTCTTCTTCTTTTTGACTTTCTTCTTCTCGTATTATCATACTCTGGTTCATTTCTATTGTTTAAAGAGTAACGTGTATAGCATGCAAGGTATAGACTATAAGGTAAAGATGTATGTGTATTCTATTGGAAACAATCTAATTTGTCTTTTTTTTTGTCAATATATCGACAATATTTCCGATTTCTTTAATCTCGATTCATGTCTTGCTTACAAATAACAGTTTACAAGCGAATTCTCAAGATAAGTCCCAGAACCTGACTGACTCAATCGATCTTTTATGTCTGTATGAATGTCTGCCCAAATCCCTGTTGGCTTTCCTGTCTATCGGTTTGTATGTCAGCATGTCAGCATGTCAGCATGCATGCATCTCTATCTGTCTATACCAATTAATCTATTCATTGGATCTCATCACTATATATATATATATATATATTTACATTTTTAAAAAAAAATTGAGTATATTAAAGTGTATCTCTCTTTGTAGAGAGAGAGATAGAGAGATAGATAACTTTCACGCTGTCTGGATAGAGTGGAATGTTCAATGGGATTTGACAGGTGAAAGTTGGAATGTCTTTCTCTTTTTCTTTTTGAAATAACGCTTGTCAGGCCATGCTACAATATATATAATGTATATATAATGTATAGAAAGGTCAGAAAGCCCTGTGTATTATAGAATGTCATAATTTTTTTTACAAGTATGCACTTGGTATATTGCTTAGTTTGTTTGTTTTATTTGGTGCTAATATTTTCAAAAAAAAAGAATAAAAATAAGTAAGAATAAGAATAAGAATAAGATTAAGACTAATAGATGGTGATATTGCGATTGGCATTGGCATTGAAATTATTGTTTGCTGTTGTGTAAATTCATCTTTATGCGCAAGATCAAAATTTAGCATGCAAGTCTAAGCATAGTCTAAATAATGAATTTCATTATATAAATAAATAAAAAAATAAATAAAAAAAGTAAAAATATTTTGGTCTCTATCACTGTCTATCCTTTATCCCCCTCTCTCCCTTATCCTCTCCCTCATCCTCCTCCTACTCGTCCTCCTAATACCCCTCCTTCTCATCTTACCTATCTTTATTCTCATATTCCCCTACAATTTTTTTTTAAAAAAAAAAACATTCTTGAGTGGCTCCAGTTCTGATATTTTCTAGAATTGAGTGTGCTTTTCCATGAAGAAAAAGCAAGTGCTTATTTGAGAACAATTGTTGGTTTTCATATCCTACTCTTTGTACTTGATCATATAGTCTTTATGGTCCTTATTAAAGCTACCACCTAACAAAACAAAATAAGACAAGAATTATAAATGGTATTCGATTTGTTAGTTATATTGTGATTTTTGCTAAAAAAAAAAAGAAAGAAAGAAAGAAAAGGTGTATCCCAGAAACTCGGTTAAATTAATGCCAAATATGCACTCCGTTGTCTATTCATATGGTGACAAAAGACTCTTAATTAATATTACATTTAAAAATAAAAATAAAAATAAAAAAGCATTCTTCTTGGTTGATTGGTTTAACCGAATTGCCACAAAGAATACATTGATAATCTTGAACGGAACAAAACCAGATCAGTTCAGATCCGATATAACACAATATGTGAGATCTAGGCTAAAAAAGGTTTATTAATATATTCTAATGTTTACAAGGATGTAGATGAAAAGCAAAGCAAAAATCAAGTAAATTGAAATAAATTGAAATCGTTCTTTTGGTTTATCTATGGAACCTTTCAATAGTAATCATGCAGTCAACCAAGTAACTAAGCAACCAATAAAGAACATAAATCACTCATTTACTGTCACCCATATATGTACATACGCATATAAAGAAAGTCCCTTTTAGTCGTTATATGTCTTCTTTTTGTCCTTCTTCCACGATAAATCACCAAGCCTGCGTATAGATATAATATGATGTGATGTGCTTTCTTTCTTTCTTTCTTTCTTGTGAAATTTATATTTAGAAACAACATACTTGATTGTTTGACCCAGTTGGGTTGCCAATAAGGTTTATTATCCATTACAAATCAAGATCCCCTTTCTTTTTTGTGTGTGTGTGTGTGTGAATTTTATTGGTACTTTGGTCGCAAAATACTTTAGCTCTTTAAATATTCTAAAGTATGGCTCTGCGCGTATCACTGCAAAAAATAAATAAAAATAAAAATGATATTTTAAAGGTATCTTTCGATTGAATGCAACAATCAAATGAGAATAATTTGTTTCATATTTCCACAAAATAATGAGTTTTTTCTTTCTTTTAGCCAATAATTGCTGCCTATTTCATCATTGAATTTACATTGTATTTGAATTGAATCTTGTCTGGATCTCAGAGGCTTGGAATATATGCACAGAATATATTGAAAGGTGTATAGTGGGCTTATGTATATATGTGTGTATTTTGTAAGAAATAAATGATACACATATATAAAAAAAAAAGAAAGAGTTACAAATGAATTCAAAAGATAAATATAAATAAGATAGCAATTGATACGTGCCTTTATAGTTTTAATTAAAATATTTTTCCTGTTCCATAATAAAGATCTCTTTTATATGCATATACATACATACATATGTATATACATATATACTGTGTACCATCCAACCGTAATACTAGTAATTTTCTTATGTTTTGCTAGACTTAATTTATTTTTAAATTTAACAAATTTCAAAAAAGAAAGTTATCCTTTCAAGGCAATAACTTGGACTTTTCTGATATACATAAAGGTGCCTATTATTTTAAGCAATTAATCTCAAACAACCTCTAGGTAGTGAATCTTAATGTATCTCGCCTGGTTACTTAAAAGCCAAATATACATATACATATACATATATTGTTTATTTAATTGTATTTTTAATATAATAAAATTTAAAAAGCTATAATTACCGTTGCTTTGGATTTGCAAATACTCAGAGAAACCTTAAAAAGATATTATTTCCAGTACACTCATATTTAATCGACCATAGAAAAGATTCATTTATATAAAGGCATAATGCTTCAAGCTAAAATAGCTTCCAACAAACCAAAGCTAGACTGTAGACCTCAAAGACATTGGATAATATAGATGGGCTATCCAGTATTATTATTATTTTTTTTTGAAAAAAAAAGTCACATCAAAAGGCCTCAAGGATCCTTTAATTGTGAGCATACTTTTTAAATGGATATTGTCTTTCTCCCAACCAGACAAAACCTGTATATCCAGTAGCCACACACTAAAACTCAACGGGCACTTTTATAAACGGGCGCAAAGACGTACATAATGTCTCAACTAGCGGCACCCTAAGAACAAAAGCTTAGTTAATAGAATTACTACAGAAAGTAGTTGTTTTTTTTTTAAAAGAAAAAAAAATAGGGATGTTGGGGGTCCATAGCAACCCACTATATTGACATCCGTATAGTTAACCAATCGGAAGACCTCATTTAAATGCTATCATTCTAAAGTCAAGTCTCGACCTATACTGCAACTATGCTCCTCTAAGCCCCATGACACATGTTATGCTGCACGGACAGCACGGACCTTATGTGGCATAAAACGAACTAAAAAAAAAAGTAAAGCAAGGGCCTACACAGCACATCCTTCAAAGTGTAAGCGATATTTCTTTAACAGCCAAGACCCATATTTTAAACATAGGTGCTAAAGAAAGAAGTAAAAATAACATGTATATATAGTATTATTGAAGAGTAAAAGATAAAATAGAACCAAAAAAGGAAAATAAAAAAATGGATTTTATGATATGTCATCAAGCAATCATCTTAATAATAATAAAAGTAATAATAAAAAAGGACAGAAACACATGATTGAGACGTCATATGTTTTAAGAAAAAAAAAGAAAAGAAAAAGAGACCTATCTAAATAGAACGCATCAAAAAAACTCTCTTTCAGATACCATCCATATTTTATACACTTCTTTACTGTTTATCTCACAAACTCTTTTGATCAACGTACAGTTTAAAGACGGATCATGTTCAATATAAATCCACTTTGTTAGTAATATTTCAGTCTTTTATCATATCAAAAGGCATTAATATCAAGATATAATACACCATGTCAAAAACAGTATACATCGATAATGGAAATATATGGTCCAACACTTTCTTGATAATCCATCCATTCAATGCTATCCATACTAAGGAACAAGACATAAACTGGCAGGGTTTAACATAGTTCAGCTAGTATAAAATATTCATCAAAGGCATACCTTCTAAAGATTGTAGCTGTCTAGTATTTTCACAGCCAAGGCTAACTATCAAGGATCTAATCTCCATCCAGAGTTACAGGTATAAACATCTCATTGAGCCTTTACTTACTGTTGGCTGTAATTTTCTAGTGTCCTTACCGTCCAGGCCAACGATCAAGGATCTAATATCCATCCAGAGTTATCGACAGGCATGTTTCTCTACATATTTTCCTACTATCAATTGTCTTTTTTTAATGATTTTTACCCTCAGACATAGATCAAGTATCCGTTCTGTATCAAAGGATAAAGGTAAAAATAAAAGCCTTTTTTTTTTGAATATGCTCATACCAACATCTGTTTTTTCTTTCAAGGTCTTATTATAGTCAAGGACAACGATCAAAATCCCACTGTTCATAAAGTGCCACAAAGATACGAATTGCTTTGAGTATTTTTCTGCTGCCAGCTTAGTTTGTTTGGGGGGTTTCAATATCTTTACTAACAACCAAGATCCCACTTTCTATCAAGAGTTGCAGACAAAAGTTTATTTAAGTTTTTCTTTATTATCGCTTGTGTATGTGTGTTTTTTTATAGAATTTTCATAATCCAGGTCAATGGTCCAGAATCCACTCTTCCTACCGTTCTACAGATATATACGTATCTTTGAGAATTTTACTCTCTGTCAATTGAAATTTGTTTAGTCTTTACACAATCCAGGACAAAGATCAGGGTTCCACATTTCATTGACGATCACAGGTATACACTACTCTTTGAATATTCGCTTAATTTATATTGTGTTTTGCTAGTGTTTTTTACTGTCCAAACCAAAGATCCAGGTCCCAGTCTCTATCAAGGGTTACAGGTATACCAGTTTCTTTGGATATATTACTACAAATTATTTTTGTATATTATTTTAAACAGACAAGCCCAACGATCAAGATTTCGGGCTCGAGTATCATATACCTGCATATGTATTTGTTTCAATAACTACTTTATGCTGTTTCTATAGGACCTTACAGTCATATTTAATGCTAAACATTAAAACTTTAGTTTTAGGTATGGATTCTAGGTATACAACAATTTTTGACCACCCAGTACTACTTGCTTTATATAAGAAGTATATGTGTAGTTGAAGCCAAATAATTTAAGCTGGTTAAAGATATAAAAGGCTTTTGAGAAATTCACCGACACCTATATCTTTTTTATGTATTTGATATCAAGGATCAAGTAACAAATTTGTGCTTCCCGTCATTGTTTAAAGGTATACAAGTATTTTATTTTATTATTGTTTTCATTTCGATGATGCATTCCAAATTGATATCAAGGGTTAAGTTCTTGCCTCCGTTAAAGCATCCACAGTGGTCTGTGTCATTGAAACATTAAATTCAAGCCAAAAAATAAATAAATGCACATATTTAAATGAGACAATTTAGAGCATCCATAGTGGTTTGTCTAAACCTGGAGCCACATTTTTTTTGCTTGAATTACACAAGCCGCTGTGGGTGCTTTAAGGCGGTGGGTACTGTGCGTAGATCCTATGGCTTTACCACTACTTAGTTAGCGTTTATTTCTCTCTCTCTCTCTCTCTCTCTCTTTCTTTCCTTTTTTCTTTCTTTGAAAGACAACACTTGGTTCAATATATTCAAGATGTGTTTTGGTTCAAAGAATAGATATGTAGCTAAATGAAATGCTTTGTCAGAAATGTAAATGGATTTCAGACTCAAATGTATAAGCTAAGAATAACAGTAGTCTTAAAAATAAAAAGAGCTTTGTGTATACGCAACGTTAATTTGATTTGGTTTGATTAATGCCAGATGGTCTACAGAATAGAGAAACTTGTTTAGATTTGATTGGAATAGAAAAAGCAACAAATTGATTATAGATTCACAGGACCTCGATCGTTTATTTGCCCCTTTACTTCTTTCAAATTACTTCTTTCCAATCGGAACGGAAAAATTATATCCTAGAAACGAAGCATTATTTTATATTTTGCTGTACAAATACTTATATATATATACGTGTGCGTGTGTGTGTTGGAGCCCTGGAAAGGTCAGTGTTGTGCCAAGAAAAAAAAAAGAAAACTAATATATTCATTCCGAAAAAAACCATTAATGCTAAACAAATAAGAGTCAATTTTTAATCCTTAAAAAAAAAGGTTTGGGTCAGAAGCGAATTCATCCGAGAGTCTCTTGGAGTTGCGTAACTAGCATCCAGAAGATTCTTTCGGACCGGAAAGAAGAGAAGGAGTCACGACCAACCAATCAAATACGCACGATCCATACAAGACTAAAAATAAATATAAAAAAAAAGTCAATGAGGTGCGGTATTGTCCGGGTGATTTTGAATTTGTTCTCTCAGTAACACACAGACAATTCAATTATTGTATTTAATTTTCACAGTCGCACGCATGACGTGAAGCTATCTATCATTGTAAAAGGCCTTTAGCATTTTTTTTTAAGATTGATTTTTCTATAAATTTGATTCAACTTTCCCCACAATATTTCAATTTTCTACTTTTTCTTCTTCTATCATACTACTTCTTTACATACTATATATATATATATACACACACACACACACATAACATCATGGCCCGCCAAAGACAGGTAATTTAAAGAAAAGAAAAGAAAGAGATTGTTCTTGTTGTGTAGAGTTTGTATTTTAATCAACAAGAATAACAACAATAGTCTCGCCGCTCTCCTTCTCCCGCTCCTCAAAGACGTCAAGCACATACCGCTGCTCGCCCCCCTCCCCAACAGCAGCATCAGCAGCAACCACAACACAGCATGGCACCTACACAGCAAAACCCTCCTGCAGTCCAGCAGCAACAGTCTGGTCGACCTGGATTGTTTGGTCAAAGTAATTATAAAAATTGAATACAAAAGAATGGCCTGAACTAATAAGATGATTAATTTTCTTTAGTGGCCTCCACTGCTGCGGGTGTAGCTGTCGGTTCTACAATTGGACACACAATGGTAAGAAAGGATAGAAGAAGAAAATAAAGAGATGTATATATATATATATATGTTTGTGGTTGTGGTTGTGGTGTGGTGTGTATAACTGAAATTAACATATAAATAAATAAATGTATGTGTGTGTGTGTGTATGTATAGGCTGGTGGAATTTCATCAATGTTTGGAGGAGATAGATCTGAACCTGTCGACCAACAGGGACAAAGTGCACCTCAAGATTACCAGCAGAATCAATCTTACCCACAACAACAAAACTATCAAGCAAGTACTCCAGGTGCATCTGCTTGTGAGACTGATGCCAGACAGTTTACAAAGTGCCTTGAACAGAACAACAATGATGTGTCGGCCTGCCAATGGTACCTTGAAAACCTCAAGGCCTGCCAACAGATGGCATCAAATTACTAAGAGTTTTCTTTTTCTTTAAATATTTAAATAAACCATTCACTTTGTAAATATGCACTCACATTATGTGAAGCAAATTAGATTGTATGTGGTCTGTGTTGTATTTATTAGGAAAAAAAACAAGAGATACATTATATATATATATAAGGATCTGATCCGAATGTAGTATTGAAACAGTTTAGAGATATTGTAGGGGAAACTAACCCATCAAATTCACCATCTATATTTTTTGTTTCTTGTATATGAAAATAAATAACCTGATTGACAATGCTGGTTTATCAACAGAAACCTAAAGGTCCCAATCTATCTTGATTTTGCATCTACACATCATCATTCTATTTTTTATTTTATTTTTTTTACCCAATTAACATGATACAACAAGTGTTATAGGAATCTAGTTATTAAATATAAATATTAAAAGAAATAATAATTATTTGGTTGTTAACAATATAGTAAGAGCCAAAATCAAAGATGTATATATATATACGTGTGTGTGCGTTATTTATTTATGCTTGATGTGTAGATGTGTAGGCTTCTATTGATGACGGAGTCTCGACTGTGTTTTCAAAGTGACTTTGGATTACCATGTACTCAAAATGTTTTATTTTTATTTTTTTTTATTTGACTATTGACTTTCTTTTTTTTTTCTGTTTTTTTTTGTGAAGGCCAAAAAGGTTGCTATTTTTTTTTTTTTTTTTTTTTTTTTTGGAATATTTTATTTTATTTTATTTTATTTTATTTTTCTTTTAAAATATATATATATTTATATAAAAATATTAATATTAATATTAATATATTATATAATAAATAAAGTAAAGAATGTACCAGGACACTTTTGAAGAAGACGATTTGGTTGCCGAAGTCGAACTTGTCGCTCAGGCTCGTTACTCCCAACAATCTGATGTCGAAGACAACTTTGATGAAGGTAATATAGATAGATATATCTAATAGAATAGAAGCATTTTGGAAAAGAATTCCAAAAGTCTGTTATATACATGTATAATGTGAAATGCACACATTTTGAATTTCTTTTATAATATATATGTAAAGTTTTAGTTATACAAATGAAAAAGAAAGAATATATACCAATTATTATTATTATTATTATTTTGTTATTGATGATGATGAGGCTGATGATATTGATTATTCTGTAAAGATTCCACACAGCAGCAGCCTTCTGCTGTACAGATCCCGGACGGCGTTCGCAACTTTATCATGCACTTTTACCGCAACGTGTTGGACAGCAACGTCTATGAACTCCACAACATTTACGATTCTTCTTTCAACAAGCTTACCGACAAGTACTACACCAAGCAGGCTTGGCCCGAGGCTGAAGTCATTGCTCCCCTTGTGAATGATGGTAAACAGTGATTATAATCTATAATCTATAATGGATTTATTTATATAAAAAAACCCCCCATTTTACTTACTTTCTATTATCGTTGTTGTTTGTTGTTTCAGATCAAGTATTCTTGACTCTTTACCGTGAATTGTATTATCGTCACATCTATGCTCGTCTTACACCTACTCTTGAGCACCGTGTCCACTCGTACGAAAACTACTGTGATCTTTTTAACTACATTCTCAGTAAGTTTATATATATATATAAGCAAAAAACAAAAATTTAAATTGTAATCATCTATATAATAGACTCTGAGGGCCCTGTTAACCTTGAATTGCCCAACCAGTGGTTGTGGGACATCATCGACGAGTTCATCTACCAGTTCCAGTCCTTCAGTAACTACCGCGACCGTCTCAAGAACAAGACCGAGCAGGAGATTACCTTGTTGCGCACTAGCCCCCAGATCTGGAGTTGCTACAGTGTCTTGAACGTCTTGTACTCTTTCATCCAAAAGTCGCGTATCAACGAACAGTTGTTGGTCAGCAAGAATGGCGGTGATATGATGTGTGTATCAAGTAAAACCTTTCCTTCTTTTATTTTTTTGGGGTGTACATAAAGAAAGATAGTGTGTAGTCTGTGTCATTTATGGCTATGGTTATGGTTATGGTTTCAAGCAAGTTATTGACCTTTTATTCTTATTGATCTTATTAGGGAGGCTGCTGGTGAGTACGGATCTCGTCCTCTTTACAAGATGCTTGGATACTTTTCAATTGTCGGTTTGTTGCGTGTCCACTGCTTGTTGGGTGATTACATGCTTGCATTGAAGATGATGGACAACATTGTCTTGAACAAAAAGGTTTGTAAATATATACATATGTGTTTCTTGTATCAAATTTATACTGATATTGCTGTGTTTTTGGTTTTTTTTATAAACAAATAAACAAACAAATAGGCCATGTTTGCTCGCGTTACTGCATGCCATGTCACTACATACTACTATGTTGGTTTCGCTTATATGATGATGCGTCGTTATGCTGATGCCATCAAGGCATTCTCTACCGTCTTGGCTTTCATCCAACGCACCAAGCAATACCATGCTCGTTCTTACCAGTTTGATCAAGTAAGATATATAAATACAAATACAAACAATAATATTTTTTTAATCGACTTTGTATCTATCTCTCTTTGTTATTAGATTGCTAAGAAGGGTGACCAGATGTACGCCTTGTTGGCAATCTGCATTGCTCTCTGCCCCACTCGCCTCGATGAGAACATCCACTCTCAATTGCGTGAGAAGTATGGTGAGCAGTTGTTTAAGATGCAAAAGGGGTAAGTGGTGTATTTAGATATATAGATTTAAAGTCAATGATATTTAACCAAAATAATCAAAAATAATAATAGTGAAGAGTCTCTTCCGATTTACGAAGATCTCTGGCAATACGCTTGCCCCAAGTTTATTGCTGCTACCGGTGTCAATCTTACAAAGACTGAAAACGATCAATTGAATGTAAATACATATTTTTTTTTTTTAGATATCTATATCTATCTAATCACTTTCTTTTTTTTATATAGGATCCTCATGCCAACCAGCTCAAGATCTTCATGTCTGATATCCGTAACCAGATCATGCTGCCTACCCTGCGCTCGTTCATGAAACTCTACACCACCATGGGTATCGACAAGCTTGCCAAGTTCCTCGAGGTCGATGCTGAGGAACTCAAGGTGCACCTCTTGATCCTGAAGCAGAAGTCTCGTCAGTTCAAGTCTGTGACCGGGAACCTCCTTGAGGGTGAATATATGCCGACATCGGACTTGGATTTCTGTCTGAAGCAGGATGTGGTTCATATTGCAGAGAGCAAGGTTGGTCGTCGTTATGCGGACTGGTTCTTGCGCAACATCAACCGCTTTGAAGATATTGTTGCTGCTCTTGAACAAAAGGCTTAAAAAAAAATCAAAAAAGCAAAAAATCAAAAATAAAGAAAAATATAATTATAAATATAAAGAAAAAAGGGTTTTGAAAAAAGTAAAATAAATTTTGAAACATCATTACGTTCTTTCTTTCTTTTATATTATGAAAGTTTAGTGGAATATACAAGAGAAATGAAAGAAATTTATATATCCCTTTTTTGAAACAAAAACGGCCGGTTTGTTTATTGTGTGCTCCAAATGGAATTTGTTTTATTTTTGTAAATAAATATATTGTTCGTACAACTACAAGATAACATACAAGAAAATATATATATATATATACATAAAAAACTAAACGAGGCCTATTTTGTTTCCAATTCGATCAGCAAGAAAGCAAGAAAACAAAACAAGGAACTAAATAGAAAGATTTATTCTATTCTCCTTTATTTTCATTTCTTTCTTTCTCTTTCTTTCTTCTATTTAATTATTTAATTGTAATTATAATCTTTGTTTCTTTTTATATATATAAATATAATAATTGTATTTCATGACTGCCTATTCTCATAAATCAAAACTGTCTAGCTACAGTGCCGATAGAAGATGTGATCAGTTACGAGACGAACAACATAAACGAAACCAAATTGCTGCCCAATCGTTTATTGAAACAACTCTGGGTTCCCTTTTAGACTCTGATAATCTACACAAAGAGCTCCAGGATGGCATATTACTATGCGAGTAAGCTATATCAATAAAGAAATATATATATATATATATCAATAAAGAAATATATATATATATATATATCAATAAAGAAATATATATATAACATATATACATTAGAGTAATCAATCGTATACGCCCAGGAGCTGTTAGATCAGTTAGTCGCAAAAATGTACCATTTGTAAAGGTAATATGAAGAGGGAGTTTGTTATGAAAATCTTGCATTCAAATGAGAAACTAACAACCTTTTTTTATATATATCTTTCTCTGTAGATGCAAAATATTGGTCTATTCTTACAAGCTGCTCATGAAGTAAGATCCATTATATATAAAATAATATCAATTAATACTGTTGTTGTGATTCCCTTTTTTGTGAATTATTTTTTATTTTATATTTTTGTAGCTGGGATTGCAAAGTTCGGAACTATTTCAGACCGTAGATTTGTACGAAGCCAAGGACATGATAGCCGTAAATATAATAATATCTAGCTTGTTTGAATTTTCTTTTTCTTTTTTTATTTATTTATTTACTTACTTACAGCTTATAATGTAAAAACATATATTACTATCATAGGTAACCAATACAATCCTAACACTAGCAAGAGTCAACGCCAAACATCAGCCTTCTGCTGATCATCTGATGGCACATTTCCAAACCGGGAAATCCATGTTACTCTCTAGCAACAACCCCACGTCCTCAAAAGAGCAGTCTACAAAACAACCGTCGGTTCGGTACAGAAGAGCCACAGATGTCCGGAAAGTGTTTAATGTAGAGCCAAGCATATTGTCCGACAAGAAAACAAATCAGCACCATATCAAGGAAACCAAACATGAAACCCCTAGCCCTAGCCCTAGCCCTAGCATCATTGGCAGCACCAAAGATCATACAAACTACCAAAAAAAAGAAATAAAGGACGAAAACGAAAACGATACCTTGAGAGCCACACTTCGACTCACGATACCAGCCACAAATCCCACAAAAAACTCGGCAAAACTTTCGTCAGACAGTGGATATAGCACACTCAACCGCCCACCGTCCATGATCCTCGAAAGTCTAGCAGAAACACCAACAAAAAAGATGCTTACAAAACCAGCCATGCTTACTAAGCAGCAGTCGAGTCCTCTCTTGAGTGTACCAATAGACCCAAAGAAGAATAGTCTCAAGAGTAGCGGCCCCAGCATCAGCAATAGCAACAGTGACAATACTCCTGGTGAGTCATTAGCACCAAGTCCTGGCCAACCATCGCGCTCAACACCAATGAATTCATTACCACGCCAACACCTGAAACGCAAGACAAGCCAGTCAATCCATAGCAGAGCCAGTCGGTCAGAGGCAAGCTTGGTCCACTCGACATCGATCAAAAGACCAGACAATATCAAAGTTGTCTTGCGAAAAGAAGACGGATCAATTGAAGCACATTATGTAAGTTGGTTGGTTGCTGTAGAGCTAAGCAAAAAAAAATTTCTGGTGTTGTATATAATGTTGTTTTATCTTCCTTATTCTGGGTAGTAAAACATGACATATACATAGAAATTTGAATTTGAATTTGAATTTGAATAAACCAATAAATCAATGTGTATACTTAGCAACTTGGAAATAGTATTGGAAAAGGACAGTTTGGAACAGTCTACAGGTACGCAACAGACTATACACCTGATCTGCATCGATGTCTTTGATCCTTATCCTTATTGTGATATGTCTATGTATTCTAGAGCACTGGATATGCAAACAGGCGAGATTGTAGCCATCAAACGTATAAAGGTTGAAAATGTAGATATGGACAATGATATCATGGTAAGGAACATATATAAATGAATTAAATATGGTAAATCCAGAAAACCAAACTAACCTTGAATTTTCTGGATGTTTTACTCCTAATCTAACCATCTATTTTGGAAAGCTTGAAGTCGAGCTTCTCAAAAGCATGGCAAGTTCGAGTATCGTACGTTACATTGGGTTTGTTAGAGACGAAGAGCATCTCAACATTGTTTTAGAGTAAGGGATCTTATGCTTGCATCCATAAAAAAAATGATAGCAACAAGTCTAATCCTCTTTTCTCCCTGTATTTTTTTTAAAAAAAAAATTGGTTGTTTAGGTATGCTGAAAATGGATCGTTGCTTTCTACACTAAAGGCATTTGGAAGCCTTCCCGAAAAACTAGTCGGCTCATTCACCCACAAGATCCTGACAGGACTAAATTATCTGCATGCCCATGATGTTGTCCACCGAGATCTCAAGGCAGCCAATATCCTGACCACCAAAACAGGAGAAGTCAAGCTGACAGACTTTGGCGTGTCTTTCAACTTGCGCCTCAAGCAGGACGAGGCCGATATCCTGGCCGGCACACCGTACTGGATGGCCCCCGAGATTATCGAATTAGAAGGAGCGTCCACGAAATCGGACATCTGGTCGCTGGGGTGCACGATTGTCGAGCTCTTGACCGGCAAACCTCCCTATGCCAATCTCATTTCAATGTCGGCCTTGTACCATATTGTTGAAGATGACCATCCACCTTTACCTACCACCCTCTCAAAGGTATTATATATATGCACTCGCTCTTGTTTAACGTCATGTAACAATCTATTTTAATTAAAAAATAATAATTATGTAGCCATTGAAAGATTTCCTGTTGGCATGTTTTCAAAAAAATCCTTCAAATCGACCGACGGCAAAAGAATTACTTCAGCATCCTTGGATGATCCCACTTGCAAAGCTACATCCTCCACGTCCTTCTCCTCAGAGTACAAAAAGAAGTTCGGTAGCCATAAAACCAATAACACCATCTCCCTTACCATCCCCATCACCATCACCATCCCCAGGAGCATCTGAAGTAAAAGGAGAACAGAAGATTCCAAGTCACCCACCTCTGTCTTATAGATCCCAAACCTGCCCAGAACTCGACTTGGGACAATTGACTGATGACAAGAATTTGTTGGATATGAGTTATATCCTGGAGTACATCAAAAGCAATCCGATCATGGACACCCAGCGCGCCTACATTGAAACCAAGACAATTACAAAACATCAGTTTGTAAAATCCAACTTTGAAACAGGTACCTTCCTCCCCCAAAAAAAAAGAATTTTGCTTAGTATAATATAGAGTTGTATTCTTGGAGTTTCGAGTTTGTATTTATTGTAGTGTATAGCTATTGTATGTAAAGTATGTCAGGTAGCAGTAAAACGACATGCAGTATGTTGTGTTGGTAAGTTGAATCTTTTTTTTTTTGGACTTTAATTGAAATTGAAATTATTGCGTTTTTTATCAACTTGAAGCGTGTGTTATGATATGCCATGACAAGTGTGAATCAAGTGCTGGAGGATGCAGTTCATTACCTAGTCCTCAAGTAAGTGAAAAAAAATAAAAAATTATAAGATAAAATAAAATATGATGAAAACAAAAACTTGCTTAAATCTTATAAACATAATATAATCTTTTTATTACTAAATTTAAGGTTGAGTATCCGGAATCAACTGCATCAAAAGCAAATACCAACAAGCCAAGCAAATTTTCAAAGATAGTGGCCAATATCAAAAAGAACAATAGGAGCACTACCGATCTTTCCATTACTTCTTCTGACCATCATCAGTCTGTTCATCAGAGTAAGTAAATATATAATTATACAATTATTTTGTATTCATATTCTTATTGTTATTGTTATTGGTAATGTAGGTAGACCTGTTTCTACTGATCGATTGGTTGGCATGACTACAGATCATGATGGAGAATCAAGACGATGGTGGGATCGATTTGTATAAATTATATATATAACTATTATAATTTATACATGCATGTGTATATTTATAAAGAATCATCGCACATCTGTACAATCACTCAATCACTCTATCACTTGCTAGCACATTTGCACAAACACATCTATACATTATATATATCTATCTATCTGTCTATAAACATCTTTATATATCTCTTTAATCATGAAAATCTGTATTGAATTGAACCTTTTATATATATATAAAGCATTCTATAGCACACAATCACGATAGCAACCATAATCCAAACTCCATACAAATCTACAAGATAAACTATAGAACAAGAAATCTATTCCATTTTCACCTTTTTCCCCCTGGTCGGAAGATGCTGTTTACAAGCCAAAACAAAACATAAAAGAACTGTAAAGATTGGTTTAGAAATGAATTCTGTAGTCTACAGCATGTATATAGTAGGTATCTTTTGGTGTGTTACATGTAACCAATATTTTTCTTTTATTATAATATTTCATCTCCTCCAGTGCACGATGTTCATTTCCAATTTACTTGAATTGAAGCACAATTATATATATAAAACACAGACTGAAAATGAAGCACAAAAAGGCAATGATTAACTTTTTTGTATGTAAGCAAAATGTTATATACAATCAAGATGCAATATTACAGGAGAGAGGTTTTAATAGAGAAATAACCGTGTTTTCCCCTTTCTTTTCTATTCTATTCTATTCTACATCTTTATGCCTTTTTGTTATATAATCAAATGACTTGAGGGAGAATACATGAATCGATTGCGAATATTAGCACATCTACAAAATAAGAACTATTGCTCTGGTATTATTAATTTGATTGGAATCAGATTGACTGTATCTTAGAGTGGGCTGTCAAGTACTTTCTTTCTTAGATATTTATATTATGTTTCTGTGTAGTGATAATAATAATATACTGAAAATATGTCTTGTGAATTGGGTTGAATGTTTTCTTCTTGGTCTTCTCGGTCTTCTTTCATTTAGTACTACATATATACTCTCCTTTACTTCCTCCGGTCCAATAAGACATGTTCTCTATAGCATATGAAGGTTGTACCTAATAAACAACATTTTTTTTTTTATTTCTTAAAAAGCATGTGTGACAAATTCGTATAGTCGTATAATATCACTCACATCTCACCAACTTTCACTTTAATATGTGCGCACATCAAATTCATTCATTCATTCATTCACTTTTAAAAGTAATGTATATATATATATATATGAAAAGAGTACCCTTTTTTTTTGACAATCCATTCCACTCTATTCAACTTTAATTCAATCATCAATTATATAATACACACAATGGTTCTTATTGGGTTCATTATTCTTTTATATAAATAAATAAATAAATAAATAAAATAGTAGTAAAGAAAAGGTAAAAAGAAGATGGTGTATGTTTTTGTGTAAGATGTATTGAAATGTACTGTATTAAAATTATTTTCTTTCTCTTTTACCTAGATTCTTTTCTAAAGAATCACAAGGCAAGATTGAAAAGAATAAGTAAGTAGATAGATAGACAGATAGAAGAACAAAATAAAGTGCGTGTGTGTGAGAAAGAGAGAGAGGACTAAAGAAAGGTAGAAAGTAGAATATAGAATGAAAAATGAAATTCTTGTAATATCATTTCTATCTATCTTTCTTTTTTTTTGTTGGATTTAAAGCAACATGGCAGCGGCACCGACAGCACCAATGACAGCAGCAACACCGGCCTTAAGACCAGAGGCACCAGAGGACTTGGTAGATGAAGAAGAAGAGGAAGCAGCGGAATCACCAGAGCCGGAAGCAGAGGGAGCAGAGCCAGCCTTGGAAGAGCCAGCGTTGGAAGAACCAGAGGAGACGGCACCGGCGGCACCAGCGGCAGTGGGGGAGCCGGTCAAAGTGAAAGCATCGGGGGCACCGGGAGTGGCGGCCTGGATGACAAAGTAACCAGAGTAAGTGGGGTCACCCTTGTCAGTTGTGACCACCAAGACACCTATACATTTTCCAAAAATAAAATAAAGTAAATAAATGGATTTTGACAGACAAGTACATGAATCCGTCTTATAAAACATTCACTCTACAAATATATATATATATATATATATATTTGTACAAGGAATGGTTTATGAATTAAAGAGAATAATACTTACAGGCACCATCAGCAACGGTAGTGTTGGGCATGTTCCAGACAAACTGTCCATCAGAGACGGGGATGTTTGCGGTGGTGAGGGTGCTGACGAGAGTAAGGGCAGCAGAGTTACCGTGTCTGTACTCAATCTGGGTGATGGTGGTAGCAGTGGAGTTGGTAGGGATCCTGGATTATCAAATAATTTTTTTTTAAATATCGTTTCTTTCTTTATGTGTATATATATAAAAAAAAACATACCAGGAGATGATGTGGGACTGACCAGCCTGCCAGACAGTCTATGATTTGTAGACAATATATATTATTATTTAGTTATTGCAAAATCAGTACTGTTATATAGTAAGTCTTGAAACAAACAAAAAGAAATTGATGATCTGGATAGCCAAGAAAAGTTTTTTGTTTTTTGTTTTTTGTTTTTAACATACGTTCTGGATAGGAGCAGTGATGGAGATGCCGGGAACAGCACTGACAAAGGCAGCAGAGGCAGCGAGGAAAGAGACGATGGCAGCGAACTTCATTGAATAGAAAATAAGACAGATAGAAAGAAAGGGGGTCGAAAGGGAGAGGGGATGAAGTTTAAACGAGCCTTTTATACCAGTCAAAATAAATAAATAAATAAATAAATAAATAATTTTTGGTTGGTTGGTCAAATCTTTATTTTTATATTTGTACGCTTGCTAGTTCGTTTGCTCATTCGTTCGTTTATTGTTGTGTTACCATGTTGAGAACACAATATATCTATAATTATATATATAAAATAAATAAATAATACATAAAAATTAACAATTGTGAGAAATCAAGAATACATTTATATATATAAATTATTTGTTCTACACGTGGAAAATACCTTATAATCATCAGGAGAGAAAATCCAACACCAGGCCAAGCTATAGACACACAGACAGACATGTAAATACTCTTCTTCTTGTTTGTTGATGACTTGTTCAATTAGCAGGTATACCAGTCAATCAGAGTACAGCTATTTTGTATATAGCAACTTTTTTTCTTAAAAATAAAAATAAAAAATGCATGATCTTTTTACTACACAGGCAGAATTATTATTTATTAAAGAAACAAGTTAATGAGTGAATGAGTGTCAATTAGTCTTTCTTCAATTGTCATTAATTCCTTGTTATTCTTGATACTATGGCTATTAATTTTTTAAAAACATTGTTAAATAGACAGACAAATATACTTATATTATTAATATCATTTTTCTTTTCTTTTTGAATTGGATTCGGCGACTAAACTAGAATCCCTTCCGCTGAGATTCTTTTTATAGCCTTTTGACACACGGCTAACTTCCCCTCCTCTTTCTCCTTACCATAATCATAACATTGAACACTAAACACTGAAAGCTAAACCTTGTTTAATCATTTGACCATTCGACCCTTTTCACCAAAAAGAATCATATCTGTTGTTTTTATTTAGATGGGTATTTGTTTTGTTTCATTTCCTTTTTATATTCTACAAGTCCTTTTCTGCTTGTATTAATTAATTTCAATAGAAGCAATCTTCTGTAATCACAAACCAAAAACCAAAATCAAAAGATAGCCCTATTTTTGGGTATCTATTAAAACAAGGTATTTTCTGTACTCATTCACACAGACAAACTTTATCGCAATATGTATTCCGTACTTTGTCTTGTATTCAACCAGAAAAATCTAGCATTAAAGAGCGAGATTTGAACAATTTGCATTATCATTACCATCTATTCAAAATATTTAAATAGATAGATTTTGATGATAATATTCTGGGATCCAAGGCCTCTATTAACCTACAGCCGCTGTCATATTGTCGTCTTTACTCAACAAGATGGAAATAGATATCATAACCATACCTTCATTCACAGACACACACACAAAAAGAACCTTAAAATAATGCACCCAAACAATCACACCAGACTTGCATTAAAAGACTGTGGGTGTGGGCTTATAAATCAATCACCAAAATCAGGGATACCAAAGTTGACATTTATAGATATTATCACTATCTGTTTGATTGAGAAGAAAAAGAAAAAAGCTTAAATCTATATCCTTTTTTTTTACAAGAGAAAAAAAAGGGAGCGTATGGCCCTTGACCTTGACCTAAACTTTGATGGTAGAAGATGTCTTGTATAAATGAAATTATAGATTCATGGCATCATTCATATCCCTTTAGCTCCTCTTTCCTTCCCCCTCTTTTATATAATTAACAAAGCTTTCTTTTTTTTTAAAAAAAAATAAAGCTGCTCGAGCCTATAAACCCTTGCCAAAAAAATCCACAAATAATAATAATAATAATAATAATAATAGTAATAATAGAAAGGGAAGGATCTGTTGTGGCGTTAAAGGGAGTAGGAGTAGGAGTAGGAGTTAAGGGTAGGAGGAGGGTGAAAGGAATATGTCTTGTTTCTTTCTTTCCTGAGTTACTTTTTTTTATAGCTTTGATGACAGGCTATCAAAGGCTCTATGGCAGCAAGAGAAAGAAAAAAAAAAGACCTTTTAGTAAGTGAAAAACATCGGTTGTCTAGCATTTTCTTTTCATTTCAAATGAGAATAAATCATCCTTCTATACAATTTTTTCTATCACAATAAAAATCTGTCAGATCGGTTCGTGCATGAAAAGATTAGAAACAATGACAATATTGAAAAATAACCCCTACTTCCCCTCGCTTGTGTTATTGTCAAGTTTTTACCTGCCAACAAAAATCCAATTGGAGTGTTTGACAGACTGTACAGATTATCTATACATCTTTGACGAATTGCTTTTTTTTATTATTATTATACAGAATATTACAGGGCATATCTTTTAACCTATCAATACTTGTACGTTTGTGTATGCGATAACGAATAAGAGCATCAAGAATTTGGAAAACAAAAAAAAGGGCTCGCTTGTGCACAGTCTTTGTAAACACAATAAAGTCATCTGCTTGTTTATTCAATTCACCACGCCCTTTTTTTTTGTTTCTCTTTCTCTCATTCTCTTATTCCAATGCATCCTATTCACAATGTCCATCCTCATTAACCAAATTTAATGGCATACATTTCACGGCATCAGTATTCTCAAAAACTATCCTGACTTTAATCATTATACACTTTATAAGCAAAAACAGAATCTATAGTTAAAGACGGCTGTCAATACTACGTTAAAGTATGCAAATACTATTTTATTTATCTTCAGATTCATTCAATTAGATTAATTTCTTCCTATAAATGAGACTTCCTAATTACAACATTAACTTCTTCAATAAAGTAAAAAAAAAATGGTTAAAAGCGTGTTTTTTTTATTAAAGTTGACAATAGCTAAGAAAGACTTTATTTATTTATTTATTTAAAGATATATATAAAGAAACTATTTTATTTGATTTAATTTCACTTAATATTCTTTTACATGAGTAAAAGAATAAAAAGCATGACACCAAGTTCTTTGTCCCCGCATTACGCGGCTCAATCTCCTTCAGGACGTAAACCTGACTTGGTAGCGAAGGAGGTGCTGAAATGGTGGCAAACCAACGGAAAGCACCCGTTCATCCAGCCCCACATCTCGTCACCGAGTAATGTGGGTGCGAACTCGCCAGAGAATTTACCACTAGGTGATAAGGTCCAGCTCATTCGACTACCAGTAGCTTCACCGTCAGCCGTTAAAGAGTTCAGTCAGGTTTGCAGTGAAGAGCCAGCACATCTCACCACAGGTTAGACCTCCCTCCCCCCAGCATCATGATTCCACATTGGCGATGCGATGTACACAGTAGTCTTTCCAAAAATGAAAAGAGACCATGCCCCACGACTTCTCAGAATTAACTGAGCTGGCGAGTAACAACTTTCACTTTCCGATGCTTGTAGCATGGAAGAATCTCCCTGCAACGGTCGCAAAAGACGCCTCACTATGAAACCGGGACTGTTGTTGCTCAAGGAGAAAACAAACGACACGCGTTGGAGGGGTTCTATTTGTAACAGAAAAACTTTTTATCTGCGATTAAAGTTTAGGACTGCGCTTTTTGTCAGTCTTAGATGTCCACGTCAGAGCAAACGTGATATAGCTGTATATTCTTTTTACTGAGTTTGTGTAACTGTTTTAAGGCAGAATAGACAGTTAATAATATTCAATCAAATTACTATATAATACGACTTTTTCAAAGTGAAGCAAAGTAAAGCAAAGAAGCAAGGAAAGGTTCGGTATTGATCGGTGTAGTAATAACTCTCAAAGTGGAGTACAAGTTTCTAAAGGCGATTTGTAGGTCACTCTAAAGTGGTCTGTGCACTTTTTGTCCAAATATATAAGAGACAATATTTTTATTTTTCTTGTAAAAATAGACATAAAAGAGACCCAAAAACTACTAGGAAGTAAACGCCGTATATTTCAAGGCGATACTTAGCAACAAGTAGAAAGCGAAAAGTATACAGACATATTATCTGGATCATTACAATACAATAGTTGGCGGAATTTTGAATTCCAGGTTGAGTTTTATTGAAATGAGATTATACCGATAAGTTGAAAGTAAAGATTATTGCTTGGGACAAAGCAGTTACTTTAACGAAAGTTATACTTTACAAAGAGAAGTACCATAAAATTGTAATAGTATTTTCAAAGAAGAAAAGATTGCTTGGTATTAATCTCTCTCTCTGTGTGTTTATTAAATACTAAAATGTTGCTTTCTTTCCAAGATTGCTTCTTTTGCCGTGCTTTTAATCTATTGGTGCTGTAACAATTAAAAGTTTCGTAATTTTGAACTTAAAGATTGGAATCGTTTCTTAAAAGAAAATACAGGTCTAATTGTACAAGATCTTAACTTGTATTTATCAAGTATATCCTACTACTAGAATATACATGTAGCTCTTGATTATAAAAGTTTGAATTTGCTCTTCGCATACTTCTTTTATTAACCAAAAGAAAAACGACAATAATAATAATATTCTGAAACTAATAGAGAGGGAATAGATTACTACAAAGCATGGTGTTCTCTTTTAGCCCAATTCCAACCCTCAAGTCTCCCGTATAGCTATAGAGAAGGAAGGAGAAATTGGATATTTAAGTCGGACTGGACCATACACTTTGCTTTTTCTTCTCGAATATCAACACACAAAATTGACCACACACATATATATAATTTTAGTCTTTCTCTGGAAGTATGAATTCGTCTTTTGTAAACTTCAATTTACTTTTAGCACTCTTTTTCTTTAGGTATTTCTTTGGTCAGTTGATCTAAAGAAAAAAGATAGAATAAAAGCCTTGTATGGAATAAAATGATATCCCAAGTGTACTTACACTGGTTGCTAATAAAAACGAACATTTCTTTTGACCACCCCAGAATATCTCGATCTATCTTTTTTCTTTCTTTTTCCTAGTGAACACATTTAATTTCAATTATGAATCCACACACGTTTCTTCTAGAGGTAATAGGTGTGAAAGCTGTTATATTTATAAGATGCCTTTAAGAATAATCTATTTGGACTTCTTCTTTTTTCTTTATCTTAAGCATAAAAAACAACAGAAACTCCTAGTCGCTTAGTATTCTGCATTGATTTGGACCAATAAATACAAAATGAGAAAAAATTGAAAAAAAAAACTTTACAATAGGGACTGTAAATATATCTTTTGCTAATGATGAGCTCTTTACTGAAAATAATATTTTCTGTATATTGTCTTTAAAAGAAGAAATTGTTCAATGCAAACAAGTAACTTTATACATCTATTTATTTATTTATTTATTTATCAAAGTTCATTGTTATCTTTCTCCAAATGGACGAGTTAGTTCACCGCATTAAATCTACCTTGGGCTTTGGTCAAGACTACAGTATGTTCTCTAGATGTAACAAAATGTAAGTGAAATAAACCAATAAGCCGGAAGACTGGAAGGTTTGGCTGGTGGAGTATTCAAGGAAGTAGCGCTCATATCTTTCGTAATCTTACCTTTTCATTCTTTTTGAGTGTGCCTTATAGACCCTGTCTACGTATAGCATTCTTTTGTGGATGGCACAGTTCAATTTACTTTAAAGAAGAAGAAGAAAGGAAGGGAGTTGTCACTTCAAGTCACTATATTCTAATTTTTGGACTCGATCTTTTCTTGCTTTTTTTTTTTTTGATATATTGCAATCATGCAGTCACACACATATATATTTAAGAAGAAGAATAAAAGGATCCCTTGCCATTTCAACATGACAGTATCATTATTATTTGGCATGGATCGTACAAAGCTTTTGATGATTGAGTATTAGATATAAATATTTGTTTAGCATTTGATATGGGTATTCTGATTTACATCATATATATATACATTGGTAATCACCGTCAAGCTACAAGGGTAATATGAGACTCTTGGAACAAAAGGCTTGATGTTTCTCTTAGAGCAAGGTTTTATACACACATATATATATTTGGCTTATGAAAAGGGGAAAATGATTTTGTGCTATTTGCTTTAAATTTTATTGATATGCTTCTCTTTCCGCAATCATATTATTTTTCTTGATTGATTGATTGATTGATTGATTGGCACTCTCTTTCTCCCGCTCTCTCTTTACTTGTTGTTGGTTAATATTACTATTAGAAAAGTAATACCAATATATATAAATATAAATATATAAAAGAAGAAGAATAAAGGATGCTACCACTTACTGGTATCTTTATAACGTTTGCTCTTGCGACAATATTCATCAGCTACACTTACCAGGGTGTTGATCTTTATCTTCCCAGCTCTTTTTCTCCCTTGACACGCGCCTTGGGATCTTTGAAAGGGATTTCGTATACCAAAAACAGGCCAGGCTCAGACCGCCCCACTTTGGGGATCGCAGGCACCAAACCATCGGTTTTCAAACCTGTTTTCAAGCCCGTCTGGTCAACCTTTGGTCTGGATGACCAGCACGATGATAACCATCCAAAGCCTACTCTGGTCAAAAGCAGGGTTCCCGAAGCCCCAACCAGAACATTCACAGTCCTGATTTATGTGTCGAATACCAGCCCAGGCCAGCAGACTGGTTTAGCAAGTCATATAAGATACAATACTACTCGGACGATTACTGCCTACCGATTCCCACCCACCGAAACACCTCTTGGTGCATCCAACGCCACCGACAGAAATAATGACAGGGATAACAAGAATAAGAATAGATATACCTATACTATTACAAAGTACAGAAGAAAGCATGTAACCAGAACAGTCACCAGTCACGGTCCGATTAAAGTAGACCAAATGGCTACAAGTGCAGACGAAAGTGCAAGGATAAAACCGACGCCTTTTGATACAAACAAAGAAGCCGGCTTTCAAGAGATTATCGACCAATCAGATCAGGCAGACCAATCAGAGCTATCTCCAGCTCAAAAGGCCAACTTGAAAAATTACATATGGCTTACTATCCCGTTCACTGGTCTTCGGCTGGCCTTCTACATCGTTGTGCCGCCTAGGATGTGTATAAGTCTAAAGTATGAATTTCTCTGCTGGGAAACGACTCAAGAAGAGATTGATTTGATGCTAGGCCAAATCTCTGTGGTTGCCGTGCCTGGCTTGTTATTTTTTGCGGGTTGTCTTTGTGCGGCTGTAATGGATAGCCTGAAAATCGTTGTTGGTAGTCTAACTCGGTTAAAAAGACGATATTTCTGTTTCTATTGATTATTTTTTAATTATATATATATATATATATATCTGTACATTTTTTTTAAAAAAAAAATAGCTAAATATCATATAAAGAAAGAAAATAATTTTTCAAAAAAAAAAAAGTTGTTCAACGAGTGTGTTTTATTATTAATTATTTCAAAGAAAAGGGTATTTCAATTGAGATTTGATTTATACAATGAAAGAGAGAGAGAGAGAGAGAGAGAAGCAGTAGATTGGTTGGTTGGTTGGTTGGTTGGTTGAAATAAAATATAAATATAAAATTAAACAAAGGTGGTTGGAATCCGATATTTTCTTGAGTAACGTCCGGAAGAGTCATCTTGCCGATCTAGACACAGAATAACCCAAAACGAAATTCCGAGGGTGAGGGTTGTACAAATGGTATTCAAGGTGAGATTTTCCACATGCCATTTGGTTGTTGTCTTTAAAGAAAAAAGAATATAAAAATCTTCTTGTGCCTTGTAAATATTGTCGAAATACATATATATATATATAAAAAATTGAACCAATTAATAATCTATTTATCTAATTATTATTTCTTTTTAACGGGAGAGAAAAAGGGAGATTTCAAAAGCAAAGAAGAATAAGAGGTTGACTGCAATGATAAGTTGTGGGCTGATAATTATTTGGCTGATCTTGTTGTTACTGCTGTTGTTACTGCGACTATGAACAACCTGTTAAATATCGAATTGAAATCTGTAAACACTGAATACCCCCTCCTTCTCATTTTGAATGACAACACGACAGGACAGACCACATGACTGGCACTGGTTTGCTTTTTCTATTTGTTGTATATTTATAATGAAATCAAATCAAATGAAACAATATTGATTGAAACTATATATAAATAAATAAATAAATAAATAAATAAATAAAAAAGGATCAATTTTATTTTTGAAAGAATTGATGATTAATATGCCCCAATCATTTATTGATTCACAAATGGTTCTATTTTCTTTCTTTTTTTTTCTTGAGAATTGTAATCACTATATTCTGGTTACTTAATGGTTATTGAGACTAGTGACTACAATCATAATTAGTACAAATACTATAGAACATTGGACTCAAAATACATACATATATACATACATTTGTATATATATATGTATGTATGAAATCACCGCAAGGGAAACAATGAATCCATAGATGGCAAATGTGGCTTTCAGATATATAAAGATACAAAGAATACATATTATTATTATTTTTATTATTAAAAATGTTTCTTTCTTTCTTTATAAAATAAAAACAAAAAAAAGGTACAAAAACTACTATATCTTTTGTTCATTTATATAGAAAGACAAAAGGAAGAAAAGAAAGAAAGAAAAGAAAAAGAGCAAAAAAAAAAAAAAAAAAAAAGCGTCACACCCATTTTTTTTATTTTTATTATTAATTTATTTATTTTCCACTATAAAGACTTGAAGGTTTTACATTCGAGGTTTGATATTTTTTTTTTTTCGATTCAGCATTAAATATATATATTTTATATATATATTTATTTATATTAACAAGTTCTCTCTTTCTCTCTTCCTCTTTTCCTTTACTTCTTTTCCTCTACCTCTTCTACCTTTGCCTTTATCTTACTCTTCATTATACACATATTATATACAATATATACAATATATAAAGACATTTCGATTTCCGTTACTTTCAAGCTAGACAGAGACAGACAGACAGACAGACAGACAGATATGTCATTAAAAGATATTAAACCGACAGAATACTATGACCAAGTATAGTATCTTCACAAATACCTATAGATAGATATATAGAAATTATTTCCTATTGTCTTGAATATTTCTGTAAAACGAAGCCTCCCAACTGTTACAACAAACTATTATTTTTATTTTTTTTTTATTACAAGATAAATTCTTTTTTAAAAAAAAAACACACACACACACATATATATATATAAATAAACATTCTAATCGAGGTCATTTTACCTCTTCAAAAAAAAACTATAATAATAATAAAGGACAATGGCGGAGCGATCCCTGTCTTCCGTCCAACCATGGAACAATTCAAAGACTTTAAAGCATTTATGGAAGCCATAGACAGCTACGGAAAGCTATCAGGAATAGTCAAGGTGATTCCTCCCAAGGAATGGTAATAATAAATGATAATAATACTATAGATTCGAACTGAATGAATCGACCAATGAACGAATGAACGAACATTTATATATATATACACATTTCCATTTCCATTCACATGTAAAATGTCAATTGAAATGGAAATGTTCATTGTGTTCATTATACATTGGCATTTATATATATATAATACATTTACTCCCACCCTCACACAATAACAACAACAAAGAAGAAGAAGAAGAAGAAACAATTTGCCATTATATTTAGTCAATGTTGATATGTCTATTTAGGAAGGACAATCTACCTGACATTAGCCAAGGCCTTGAACGAGTCCGGGTCCAAAACCCAATTGTAAGCCATAATTTCTTTTTTATTATTATTCTATTCTATTATAGTAATTAATAATCACTAAATAAAGAAGAAGAAGAAGAATGAATAAAGCCATTTTAGATACAAAAGAAAGAAAGAATCAATAGTAAATAATAGCAGTAGTAGCAGTAGTAGCAGTAGCAGCAGCAGTAATAGTAATAGTAATAGTATATAAATATTAATTAATAATTAACTATATCAATAATAATAACAACAACTGACAGCTGGTACGACATTGTCTGTGTCTGTGTGCGTGTGGTGTATAAATGTGTACTGTATTTTATCTTACCATTTTAGATTCAACATATCATTGGAAGTCAAGGTGTTTACACACAGACCAACGTAGAGAAACGACGGCCATACACCTTGAATCAATGGCATGCGCTGTGCGAAAAGACAGAGCACAGATTGCCCGACATTGGAGCCGATCGTACATCTGTTGTCCCGGTTACCCAACCACGCAAGAAGAAGATCCCCACACAAGAAATAGGTAAATATTTATAAATAAATAAATATCACAAGCCCATTAGTCTTTCTTTTCTATGCAGCCTTACTTTTAGAATCTGGTTTTATTTAACCAAAAAAAAATAATTAAGCTCCTTTAAATATCTTATATACCTAATATACATGCACATATAGTAAATGCTCCTGCTCCATTCGCCAATGTAAGTCAAATTGACATTTGTGATCCTTTGGACATTCTTGTCACACCTTGTTTTATAGACACGATCAAAGCGAAAGTCAGCTGTCAGTAGTCGTAGTAAAAAAAGTAGCAATACTATCAATAGTACTCACACACAACCCACCCACTTAAACTCTCCACCTCCATCACCAAAGACGCCCACCAACTCTGGACCGACAACCAAACCGTCGTTACTATCATCATCAATATCATCAATATTAAAAAATAAACGTCAAATCCTTGCAGAAGAAATCAGTCTAGCCGAATCAACAAAACCTGTCCCACTCGACTTTGATTCCAACTGTCTCAATCCTGAGAAATACGATGTTAATTACTGCAAAGAACTCGAACGTGAATACTGGAGAAATCTTACATTTACCCAACCAATGTATGGAGCCGATATGGTTGGCAGTAAGTTTTTCTCTTCTTTTCTTATATAAATATTTATCCAACTTTATATTTACTTGGGATATATTCTTGTTAGCTTTATTTGATACGTCTGTTAGCTCTTGGAATGTTAACAAACTGGACAATCTATTAAATCGTCTGGGAGTTACCTTGCCTGGTGTCAATACACCTTACTTGTACTTTGGAATGTGGAAGTCTACTTTTGCCTGGCATGTAGAGGTACGAGTTCTTGCTTCCATTTTTTTTTACTATTGATTTCTTAAAGGAACAAGTAATATCTTTTATGTTACTTTGTGTAAGATTATAGTTAGTATCTGACCACACCTAAAAGAAGAAGAAGAAATCAAATCAAAACAAAACAAAAAAACAAACAAACAAACTTTATTTGTGTAGGACATGGATCTTTATTCGATCAACTACCTTCACGTTGGTGCACCTAAACAATGGTACTCTATCCCTACTACACACAGCAAAAAGTTTGAAGGTGTAATGCAAAGTAAAGTATCATATGAACCCACAAAAGGAATAAGAATAGGAATAGGAATGGAAAAGTATCATTTTACCAAAGTAGTAGCAGCAGCAGCAGCAATAGCAGCAATAGCAGCAATAGCAGTAAATCATTGCTATTATTATTACTTTTTTTTTTCTTTGGGTTTTGAAACAAATACTAATAATAATAATACTAATAATCATCATTATCATTAGATATATTTTTTCAACAACACAAGGCTTGTCATGAATTCCTGCGCCACAAGACATTTATAGCCTCACCCAAAGTACTGGCTCATCACGCCATACCTGTACACAGATGTGTTCAGCATGAGGGTGAATTTATGATCACATTTCCGTTTGGATATCACTCGGGCTACAATCTTGGCTTCAACTGTGCTGAAAGTGTGAACTTTGCTATCGACTCATGGCTAGAGATCGGGAAGCAGGCAAAGGCATGCAATTGTATCAACGACAGCGTTATGATTGATGTGTCAGTCTTGGAAGAGCACCAAAGACAGCAACAACCTGAAGATGAATATAATGTTGTTGATGATGATAATGGAGATAAAGATCAGTACCAGAATCAATATAAGCATAATCAACAACCAAAACAGCAACTTCAAGAACAAGTACAAACATCCCGTAGAGAACCAAAGAGTCGGATTAACAAAAATATTATGTCAAAAAAGAAAACAAAACCGAAAAATAAGAAACAAATCACAACAATCAATTCCAATCAAACATCTCAAAAGGTAACATATATAGAGTTTTGTCCTTATTTTCTTTTTCTTTTTGGGACTTATATTTGTGTAGTGCGTGCTTTGCTCTAGTGATGAACCTACTGATATGGCCACTGTCGAAGGCAACCCTGTGCACAGACTGTGTGCAGAAGTTATACCTGATACTTATCCAGATATGCTACAAGATGGTACAAACGTAATAAATGGAGTCAAGGATATTCCTAATGCCCGATGGAGATTGGTAAAAAGGATATATAGAGATATGTACATGAGTATTATTCTTTTATTGACTTACAAATCATCAATAGGTTTGTCAATATTGTCGTATTCCTGAAGGAGCATGTACACAATGCTGTAGTGAACGTTGTTGTCGTTCTTTCCATGCTACCTGTGCAAAGGAAGCAGGAGCGACGATGCTTCGGCGAATTACAGAAGACGATGGTCACATAATTTATGATGTGTATTGCAGTCAACATGATCCAGTAAGATATATATATAGAAAGATTTGAATTGGGTAAACTCATCAATTCTTTTCTCTCTCTCTCTGTGTGTATGTGTGGGAATGTATCTTGTTTAGAAGTCTCAAGAGAAAAGGAAAAAAGAAAAACAATCATTTGTTGATAGTATGATGGTAGAAATGAAGATTGGACGACAAGTATCTATACATTGGAATGGGGCAGAAGCAGCAAGAGGTTAGTAAAAAGCAGCAGCAGTAGTGGTAGTAGTGGTAGTAGCAGATAATAATATCATACTTGAAACTTATACATGTACATAGGGCTAATTGAATATTGGAATGCATCAAAGCAAACTTGTCGAATTGCATTTGAAGATGGCATTTCAAGAAATACACCTTGGAGAGATATCAGATTCACACTCTGAGTATCCATAATTCCCTCCTATCTCTCTATCTTGATTTCTTGATTTCTTCATCTTTTGTACATCTTTCTTACACTACAACACTATATTATTGTCTTCTTTTTGTCCATCTTCTTTGCTTTTACGTTTATTATATTTCCTAATAATTTGCTTTGCTCTACACTGTTCTGTACTGTACTGTTCTGCTTCCTTGTTGTTTTCTTATATTATGTATGTATTCATGTATGTATCTCCTCCAACCTTTTTTTCTTACTTTTTTTTATCCTTAACCACCTTTCTCTTCTACCCTCTGTTATCTATCTACCTACATATATATATCTGTACATGTGTTCTTTCTTTTAAAAAATAATAATAAATAAATAAATGGTTTCAAAAGCGAATCCACCGTCAAGAGAATGCTATTAGATGATTTTTTTTAAAAAAAAAAATCGGACGTTATTTACCAATTGAATCAGGTCAAACGAGTATTCGAGGAAAATAATGCAATAAAGCGATACTTGAGTAGGCGAAATCCATAAGAGAAAAAAAAGAAAGGTCTTGGAAGTTGCCTTTACACCACAGAAAGAGAATATCAATGCATTGAGCAGATATACTTATTCAAAATATCATTCAATTTATTAAACGTTTGTTAAATATATGCTTCCAAGCCTTTGCCTTTGAGAAAGCTTAAAAAAATCCATCACTCAATTGTGTTGCATATATTACAAAACCGCGTTCATTTTCTCTTTAAATATAATAGGTATTCTTCTTACGGTGTATATCGTATTGGAAAGTTCAATAAGAATTCAATCTAATTTCATTATATTTCTGATTCTCTTATTGTGTGACTTCTGGCGCATTATGGTAACTTTGACTCTGATTTTTTTATTATATTTTAAAAAAAAAAGAAACGAGAATATTTATTTAATCAATTATTTTCTATCATTTGTCATGGCTGATTACACAAGTGTTAAAACGGAAGAAATCGAATCCAATCCAGTTCTCAATGCAGAAGAGCAAAAACTCAAAGACAAGCAAGAATGGGTCAAGAACTTTCGTCTAAAGTTTTGTGTCCGTCCCGAGTTTGAAATCACAAAAAACATGATTCATGACGATGGCACTTTGAATCAAGAGTAAATACATCTATATATATAGTTATTTATTTATAAATACGTGTGCGCATATCTATTGAATAGAATCTCTAATAAAGCTATATATTTATTATTTAGTTATTTCCGTCCTCCAAAGGGCTTAAAGAAAGAAGAAGCACGTAAATGGACTGATGTCGAAAAGAGTTTGTTGATTCAGGGCATTGAGCAATATGGAATCGGTCACTTTGGAGAGATCTCCAAAGAACTGTTACCGAAATGGGTAGGGTTTTCTTTCTTTCTTTCTTTTTCTTTTTTTTTTTGTATATGTGTATATGTGTATTTATTGGTATCTTTATTAGTCTACAAATGATCTACGAGTCAAATGTATTCGATTGATCGGTCGCCAGAACCTTCAATTGTATCGTGATTGGAAGGGTAACGAGGACTCGATTATGAAAGAGTATGAACGGAACAAAAAAATTGGTCTCAAGTATGGTGCATGGAAACAAGGTGTTTTGGTTTATGATGATGCTGGATTTGTGGAAAAGGAATTGACAGGTCAAGAACCAATAGTATCCCAAGACATGGAAATGGATTAGAATACAAAATAGATATAGATATGTATATGAATTGAACTTCTTCTTTTTTGTTTCATCTTCATTGTTAACAGCATCATTATTTTATTTTGTTTTGTAAATAGGAAAAAAATCATCATTAAAACCATATATGCTCCACACAAGCATACATTCTTTACTATTATTACCACTATGATTATTTTACAATGAAAATAGAGGACAGCTTCAAATGAAGACGAGCAAAAGACAAGAGGTTACCGATATTTAAACCCTTTGATCCAAATAACTATTATTTCTAGTGTGATTATAAAGAATCTTTCTTTAAAAAAGGGGATTCTTTTTAATGTCACATTTTTTACTCTGTTTTATATATATATATATATGTGTGTGTGTGTGTGTGTGTGTGTGTGTAGGTATGTATGTATGTATGTATGAAAATAAAAAGAAAAGAAAAAGGGAAGAATCCTATTATAGATTATTGCACTATGATGCTTGATCCAAAACTGTTGATTATGGTCGGACATTCATTACCAAACTGGAAAATAAGGAAAGAGGAGAAAAGGTTCCTGTCAGATACCAGTTAACATGATCCAAGGCCCTTTGTCCATTAAAGAAGACTTTTGAATTACATTGAATATGTATATGTGAACAAAGATATTTGTATATTTCATATAGCAACCTACACTATAGAAAATTTTGAATAGTATATTTTGACTTTCTGCTTCACATTTATTCATACACACATGTGCATAGATACTCAGTATGCTATTATATTCAATTTTATAATATAATATCTTTAAAGAAAAAGAAAGAGAGTTTGGCTAAATATTTGTGTGAAATAGAGTACAGTACGGTGTGTAATGCCTTTGTATGGCTGAGATTGTTGTAGAACAAAGAGGTACCAAAAGAATCAAGTGGCTAATAACGAAGCTAAAGTTCTAAATGAAGAGCAAGATGCGGTCCTTGTGACGCAACAAATGTAAAAAAGAAAAAAAAACATGGGGGATTCTTATTTTATTTTATATATATATTTCTTATATTCTTTATTCATATTTTTTTTATTGGAGATCAGGCAACTCTAAGCCATTGGCCCTTCTTTTTTATTTTATTATTATATATATATATATCACTCTACATACACACACACATATATATATATACAACATTTAGTTTGTGTTGGATACAAAGTACCACTTTATATACATAACCACTTTCTTTCTTTCGTTCTTCTTTTCCCTTCTTTTCTCCTTCTTCTTTATTACACAACCTATCAAATGGGGCAGTCAGGCTCTCAACTCGAAGATATTGTCAATTCTTCCAACTGTGAGTAAATTCATAAAAGAAGAAGCATATTCTAACTTTAAAAAATACACTTCTTTTCTTTTCTATCTTTCTTTCTATTACTGTCATTCTTATTATCTTCTCTCTCTCTCTCTTCATATATATATATATATATCTTTCATTTATGGGATTTTTTCTTGTTACTTTTCTTGTTGGTACCAATAGTCTCGGCTGAAGAGGTTCAACGTCTTTACAAACGTTTCATAAAACTCGATAAAAATCATTCGGGATCTATTGACAGCGAAGAATTCTTGGCAATTCCACAGATTGCCAACAATCCATTGGCTACTCGAATGATTGCCATTTTTGACGAAGATGGTGGAGGTGATGTCGATTTCGATGAGTTTATCAAAGGTCTGAGTGCATTCAGTGCCCGTGGAAATCGACGAGAAAAACTTGCCTGTGAGTAAACCAATATATATATATATATATATAATCTATCATTCTTTACACATAAAAATGAAAAGATAATAGTAATGATCTGACTGGTCTGTTTGTCTGGCTGGTGTTCTCTCCCTTATGTTTTTTTTTCTCTTTGATTAGTTGCATTCAAGGTATATGATATTGATCGTGATGGATTCATTTCGAATGGAGAACTGTTTTTGGTGCTTAAGATGATGGTCGGAAACAACCTCAAGGACAACCAGCTCCAGCAGATCGTTGACAAGACTATTATGGAAGCTGACAAAGACAAGGATGGAAAGGTCAGCTTTGAGGAATTTTTGGTAGCGGTTGAAAACACTGATGTTGTAAAGCAAATGACACTTGAAAGCTTTTAAAAAAAACCCCCTAAAAAAAAGAAAGTGTAATGTGTAATGTGTGGTTTGATATGATTTGATGTGATGTTATGTGTATATACAGCTAAAATGTTTATAATACAAAATGATCTCTTTTTTTTGTTCTTCTATCTAGTATATATATATATTTAAAGAGAATATTCTACATATATAGATCTATAAGAAAACTTCCCTTGTTAATTGATCAACTTCTTCAATTTGCTCGTTTGCACGCGTAGAGAATAAAAGAACAAAAAGAGGTTGAATTCAAAATTGGCTTAAATCAAAGAGGTAAAATTCATAGGACTTGGTTTTTTTTTGTGTGTGTATTTGTGCTCTGCTAAATAATTCTTCGATTTATTTATTGATTGATTGATTGATTGGGTTTTTGGATGGTAGAATGAAAGGCAAAAGTGAATTGTTCGCCGGACATGCAATTGGACCCCCACTCGTATTATACATTTTTAACGGTTTTTTTTTGTCTCTTTTTTTTATCTCCTTATTTCACTTAGCCCGCTTGTACCACCAAGGAAAGGCTTTATAGAAGTCGATCGAACAAAAGGGTATTTTTGCTCTTTTTTTTTCCTTTTCTTTTTGGGTTTGGGTTTGGCTCTGGTTGATATTTCGACTGTTACAATTGTGAATAAGATGAAGGTTTGATATTATTTTACGAGAGGAAATGAGGTGAGTCACCTAAAACTTTTTTTGGGGGGAATTTCTGGTTTTACAAAGACAATCCGGTTGAAAATCTATAAAAATAAGGGAAAAAGGAAAATACATTTACCGAATTTATTTGTTACAAAGTAAATAAACAAAGGTAAAAATGGATAAGACAGAAAGAGCAAAAGAGAAAGAGAGAGATAAAGGAGACACTTGAGAGGGAAAATATATGTCTTGGTATTCACACAAAAGGAAACATAATAATATATATAATAGAATAGAATAGAATAGAATAGAATAGCAATAATAAAAGTAGTGGTAGTAGTGGCAATAATAGTAGAAGAAGAATAAGATGAAAAATACAGCAAGTTAAACAAGCTTAGCGAGGGGTAATCGAAGGGGAATGGAGGAGGTCAAGGAAAAATGCGGATAAAAACTATAAAAAAAAACAACAATAACAAGGTGTTAAAGATCAAAGAAGATTACAATAAAGCACTATAATCATGCATCATTATCATCAACAAACCTTTTTCTTTTCTTTTCTTCTCTTTCTTTCTTTCATCGTCTTCTTCTTCTTCCTTTTCTTCTTCTTTTTATATATCTTTCAAAGAAAAAGAAGTCAAAGAAGAAGAGAAAAAAATTATACGACTCTCACAGAACTAGATTCGATACAGTCGCTTAGTTCTTCAATATCAACGATCTCACTCTCATCGTCATTATCATTGTCATTGTCATGGTCTTCCTGTAAAGCCAGTGCCAATGCCAAGGTATCTTCTACATCGTCGTCGTCATCTTCGCTAAGTTCCAGCTCAAGCTCATTCCAGTCCAACTCGCCATCGGCCTCGCACTGGGCCAACAGATCATCGAACCATGATTCCAGGCATCGATCACTTTCATCTTTCATCTCTCTTGCTTTTGTGTTTGATTTGTCGGCCGACAGATGCTCGATCTGGAGCATGAGTCCTTTTAAGGTTTCAAGAAGCTCAGCCGAGATCTGGCCTGACGAAGGTGTGCTCTTGATCTCTGCCAACACACTTGTCAGCTCAACAACAAGGTCTGCTGGTTCTTCAAGACACGCTCTTTTTTCGGGATTCGTAATTGCCTCTTCAGGATGGTTACGTTTCTTGCTCATTGTAGCTGGAGACGCCATTGATTTATATATATGTAACTTATGTATGTATATATGGTATTTCTTTTTTTTATGGTTTTGGCTTTGTTGCTTTTTTTTAGGGCAACAAAAGAGTGTGTAGAGGAAGTGCGTGCGTTTGTGTGTGTGTGTGTGTGTGTGATAGATAAAGAGAGATGGAAGGCGTGAGAGCGTGAGAACGTGAGATTTGTGTGTGAGGTTTAAAGAAGAAGAAGAAGAAGACGATGAAAGAGTATCTATAATATATTATTTTATATTCTTATATATATATATATGAAAGAAAAAGAAGAAGACAAATAAAAGGGACAAGGGTTTGTTAAAAGAAAGATAACCAAAACTAGATGAAATCAAGTCACTCTGACTTGGTACTTGATGGGATGCTGATGGATGGTCTGTGTTGTACACGTGACTCGGATAGTACAAATATGGCTTTTTACATATATATATATATATTTATATTTATATGTAATTTTAAATTCTATCTTTTTAAAAAAATTTAAATTTTATTTTAGTAATAAATATTAACTCTTGGCTTGAATAGCAAGAGGTTATAAGATGAACATCTCTCTCTCTCTCTCTCTTTATCTCTTATGTATATTTCATATGTATCATAACTACAGCATAAATTATTCTTTCTAATTTAGTTTAATCTGGAGTACTGAATTTCGATAGTTATATATACGTATTTATAGGTATTCTTACTTTATTTTCTTGTGTAATTTCTAGCGTTTTATCAAAAATGGAAAGATGGAGGTTTACTTAATTCACATGCCATTGTAATTTATGTCTAAAGAATCGTAAGACTTTAGCTCTCATGAACTCGATATAATTACATGAATTACATGTATCATTATTTCATATTGAAGGTTATTTAAATGAAAAATATTCAACTTTTCTCTGTTGTAGTTGATTTTTACTTGACGATTGTAATAAATATCACTATTATAATTTTTATTGTTGAATATATACTTCTTTTTTCTTCTTTTATGGTTTTACTGTCGTACACGGCTTAAATTATTATTTCCCTAGCAACATTTCAAAGAAAAAAAAAAGAAAAAAAAACGCGTATCATACACGATTTATATTGATTTAGCTAGAGTAGTATTTCAGTCCCAAATACTTCAGGGCAACCACTGTGGGCATTTTGTTTTAATAAAAGCAATCGCAGTATGAAGATTTTTGGGTGTAAATCTACATTTATAAATCCAGGGTTATTACTTCAGAGGATTTCAATACTTGATAAATCAAAATCAAAATTACTCTGATTTTCTGATATATAGATATTCACTTCAAAATTACATTTTTATCCACATATATATGTGTGTGCGTATTATGCTATAGCTTCTTTAAAGAACTAAATAGAGTGTTCTCGTTATATCTTGTCTCTTAAAGAAAAGAAAAGAAAATAAAGTCGGACAATGAAAAACGAACCATGCTGTGACTACTCCTCCCTGTGTTTTTGTCTTTTTCTGTATTCCTCCCTTCACTTTTCTTGTACACTTTTGTAATGTCGTTTTTGAAAGCATTCTCTACTGCAGCAGGCTCTGCTTCAGCTGTCCTCAAGGTAAATAGAATTAAACCCGACAAAATACCCCCCTTCATTCTCCTTCATTCATTTTACACTACTCAATTGTTCCAACTATTGCGCATTACATTTTATATTTATCTTTTAACTTTCACTTTCTTTCCTTTTTGTTTTGTTTTGTTAGGCCACTGCTGTACAAAAGTGTGCATTTGCAACCATTGCAGAGACTATCCCTAAAGGTAAATTTTAGAGTAAAAGCTATGTAGATATATATATATTTAAAAAAAAACTAAAATAAACTAATGTCGAAATTATCAAACCTTTTAACACAAAATTAACACTTTGCTTATTCTTTCAAACTTATTTTCCTATGTATAAAAAAAGCCGTCTCTCCATTCTCACCCCATGTCCAAGCTTTTCTCCGTGACTTCAACACCAGCGAACCCGTTTCGATTGTCAACCTCGATCGTGGTGTATTCAATGCTCCTCTCCGTAGAGACATTCTTCATCGTGTTGTTGTCTGGCAGCGCGATGGCATGCGCCAGGGAACTCAGTCTACAAAGGGTCGTGCTGATGTCCGCGGTTCCTCAAAGAAGGCCGCACCACAAAAGGGTCGAGGAAAGGCAAGAATGGGTAGTCTGAGAGCACCTCATATTAGAGGAGGTAAGTAAAATAAAATGAAGTAATATTATATTATATTATATATATAAGAGAGTGAGAGTAGAAAGAAGAAGAAAAATCAAGCATATACATATGTATATCTTTATCTATCTATCTATCTATCTATATATCTATATATCTATATATATGTGTGTGTGTGTGCGTGTGCGTGTGTATATATATTTTGATCCAAGGTGGAAAGAAAACAAAGAGGATAAATAATCTCCTAGGAATGAATGAAAAAACAAACTGACCTGTTTTTTGTGTATATTTTTTTTCGGATTATTAAAGGTGGTATTGCTTTTGGACCAAAGCCCAGAGATCACAGTACTGATTTGCCTAGAAAGGTTCAGGAATTGGGTCTGCGTGTTGCCTTGAGCACAAAGTATGCCCAGGATCAATTGATTGTCGTCCAGTCCCTTCAGGAATACACATCCCCCAAATCTCGCGAATTGGCTCAATTGATTGACCAGGCCTATGGTGAGCCTACTCTGTTGGTTGTCCTGAACGACTGCAACCCCAGTCTTGAGTTGGCTGCTCGCAACATCCCCCGTTGCGAAGTTATCCATGTCGAGGACACCAATGTATTGGATCTCTTGACATACGACAAAGTTATCATTGAGCAGAGCGCAGTAGAGACATTAGAATCAGTATTGGCCGAGACTGTTTAATCAAACAAAACATACATACAAAAAATATATATTTTGGACAAATCTTACGCACAAATACATTCATACATACAGACACACACACACACCCAGACACAAACTCATATATAAACAGCTATACATGCCACGTACGTACGCAAACATCTACCACTACTACTACTACTACTACTGCTGCTGCTACCACTAGTACTACACACAGATTTACTACGAACACAAATACAGATAATCGCTCCACTTGTACGGATATATAATTATATATATATATGTGTATTTTTTTTAAAAAAGAAAAAAAAAAGAAATAAGAATTAAAATGATTATACATTGCATTTTGTGAATTCAAATGTCATTGCACATAAAAAAATTGTTTTACTGGGTGAAATGGAAATGTAACGAATTCTTTGAAAGATCAAAGAAACTCCAAAATATCTCTTCTCCTCCTTGTATATATATATATATATGTGTGTGTGTGTGTGTGTATCTATCTATATCCATATAAAAATCTATAAATATCATGTCTAACCAACAGAGTGCGTGTACTCAAAGAGAATCTTTCGGTCAAAAAATGGCCAACCTTTACACATGGAACAAGATATGTGTTTTGAGTATGAATGCAATATACCTTGTAAGTATATTTTTTTATAAAACAGTAACAGTAGCAACAGTAATAATAATGATAATAACAATATGATAGTTGAGTATCTTCCAAGACTTTTATGATGCTGGAAATCATATAATCGAAGGTAAAGATAAAGGCAAAGAACTACAGGTCGATAAAAGAAGAAGGATAAGAATAGGAGGAAGAGACGGAAGAAAAAGAAGATTATTATGAAACTAGAGAAAGAAGGAAAGAATTAATGGAGAAAATACTCTATACATTACCTAAAGAAGAAGTAGTAGTAGTAGTAGTAGTAGTAGATGAAAAGAATAATGTTTTTACTATAATCATTTTGGGATCTTTAGAATAATATATGTACATATATGTACACTATAAATCTCTATTTCATTTTCACTCTTACTGCTCTACACACATATGTACGTGTGTATGTATGTGTGAGATCTGTCTTCCTGCTTCTGTTTCTGTTTATTCATACCTTTATTGATGTATTGGTATTTTGATATAAATACTTTTTGTGTATGTGGTTCCAGGAAAATATTCGACTGAAGGTTATCGTGCTATTCCTGCAGGCGCAGTGGTCACTATCATAACCAGTTCCATAATGATGTTCTGCCTCTTATTCGACATGGTCGTCATGTCTACCGTGAGTAAAATTTCATCTTGAATAAACCAAAACACATACACTCATATTATATTAAATAATAATAATAATAATAATAATAATAATAATAATAGAATAAACTCTCCCTGGCTTATCACTACTGGAGACCAGGCCTTTTCTTCTTTGCTGTCAACTGTAGCGGCAAGGGTATCAATATGATGCGTATGTTGTTGAACAGCAGCGAATATATCCGTGATTGCGAGTATAAAATCATCTCTGTCGAGTTATCTCCTCACTCGCTTGTCTCCACAATGTGCCACATTGATGTCAGGCTAACCAATTTGACGGCAGCAATGGCCCTCGTACGCGATGTATCGATATGCGTATGTCTATTCTTTCTCTTTCTCTTTACACATACATATGTTTTGTTAACAATTTTGTTTTTAACTCACCGAAAAAAATACTTCCTTCCCAAACTACACACATATATATATATATTCATATAGGGACTTTATGTTGTACTTTCTCACATGCATCTTGCCAAGCTTGTTACCCGTCTGAAAAAGCAACAATCAACCGTAATGGACATGCCGTTGACACTCATTCGATATCAGACACCAAGAATAAACGGCACTTCAAGTCCTACCTTTAGTGAAGCCCCTACACTAATTGACAATCGAAGATAATAGAATACATTTAAACTTTAAGCTTTCATGTTGTTCATGTCTATTTTGTTCTTGCCTTATATATATATATATCCATATATTCATATAACCTCAAACTCTATGTTTGCATAAACAAGTACATATATATATATTATCAAATCTTTAAAACCTTTTTTTTTATATAATCATTTGACTAATAAAATGATCCATATTGAAAATCATGCACATTTAGAAATAGTTATTTTTCTTCTTTGGTGCCGTTTAACATCTTTAATGTTAAACTTCACAGAGTCCTATTTCTTTTGTGTGTGTGTGTGTGTTTTTGTTTTGTTTTTGCCTTTGCCTTTATTTTAGCTACTTACAAGATATTTTTTATCTATCATCTTTCTGTGTATATATGTATATATATATATATATTGTTATCGTTTTCTTTTACCGTCTTCGTCTATCTGATCGATTGTCATCTCGATAGTCTCTTCTGCGATCCTTATTATCCGAGCGATGACTAGAATAGTGGTCTGACTTGTTATTATTGTCTGATCTATTGTCTCTATTTGCTGACCGACTATCCCTATTGTCAGATCGGCTGTCTCTACTGTCTCTACTGTCTCGGCTGTCTCGGTAGTCTGGGCGCCTGTCAGATCTACTGTAGTCGGATTTTCTATCCGATCGACTGTCTCTGTGGTCTGACCGATGTTCTGATCTTCGTTCTGATCGACTATGGTCAGGTTTGTCTTCTGAGGTTGACTTCTCATGTTTTGTTTCAGTTTTCTGTCGTTTCTTGTCGGGGCCCGCGCCGCTCTTTCTCTCCTCAGAATCAAACACAAGTTCGTAATCTGCACCCCGTGAATTGCCTCCCTCGCCTTCTCTGTAACGGGTTCTCTTTTGAAGGTTGTCAAATCCACCCATAGACTCGTTACCACCCTGTAAGCGTTTGGTGATCCAATCTCTATGAAGTTTGGAGACAGATTGCGAAAAGTCAACGTGAATGCGGCGATCGTCAATTAACACAGATTGCATCTTGAAATAAGCCTACAAAAATAATAGTAATAATATGTTACATATATGACCCAATACACAATTGGAATAATGAGTATCAATGATTTCTCTCTATCTCTCTCTTTCTAAAAATAACACACACACACACACACATATATATATATATATATATACCTCTTCAGCGTCTTCTTTTTTATCAAATTCAATAAACGCATAGCAAAGTGAATCACCTGTCTGACGATCACGAATGATCTCACAGCTATTGATGTGCCCAAAGCGAGAAAAGATCATCTCCAGATCCTCGTCACGGGTAACTGGATTGAGTTTACAAACAAACAATACATCTTCTGGTGGTTTAACTTCAGCAAATGGCAAGTCACCAACCATCTCCAAAGTCAAGGCGTGTGCTCTTGCCTCACGCTCTCTCCGTCTATTCTCAATCTCTTGGGGATCACCCTGTTCTTCAATCTCCTCGTCTTCAGCAATCCGCATTGACTCGAGCTGTTCCTTTGTTGGTACTGGCGATCGATCCGGAATCTCTAGTCCTTTTGGATCCGGGAAAGGATCGTCAAGAATAACAGTGTGTCGAATACGAATGTCTCTGTAGGGCCGGCCCTTGTTGTCACAATATGCCTCGTTGATCTTGTCGAGCGCGTCAAATCCTTCAGCGACCTCACCAAACACGGTGTACTTTCCATCCAGGTAATCTAAATCGTCTGCAAGTGTAATGAAGAATTGACTTCCGCTCACACCGCCGCTCTCAACTGATGCATCCTGAGCAACGGCCATTGAGACTGTGCCGCGCTTGGTATGTTTGAGTTTTGGGTTGATCTCTGCTGGAAAGTATCTTTTGGATGGGCCCTCTAGGATGCCGTAGATCGATTCTCCCTTCTCACCCTTGCCAGTCGGATCGCCTGTCTGGGCCATAAAGTCTTTTTGAACATTGTGAAATGGCGAGAAATTGTAGTATTTGATTTTGCAGAGTTTTAGGAAATTCAAGGTTGTCTTTGGACATTCTTCAGTAAAAAGATCAATTACAATGTCACCTAGGGAGGTTTCCAAAAGAACGGACTAAAAGTGTACGTGCTGTTAATTCAATGAAATCACAAGAATGTATAAATAAATATAATAAGGTGTAAAATATTTTTATAGTTATTACTGATGTTACTCTAATAATATTTTATGGATGTTACTCTTTTTTTTTGTTTAATAATGTCAGCAAAACAAACGTACCATGCTTTTCTTTTTTGTCGTTTGTTGAAGCCAGCAATCTACCAAGTATATACAAAGAAAAATCTCAGTGCCATTTTTATGATCGAAAGAGGCACGTGACACGTTTATATTTTACATTCTTTTAATGTATGATTTGTTTTATTTACAAGTGTATTTTACCCCTATTTCTTGTACTTGGATTTTCGACTCAAGTATACAGACTGATAGTTAATAATAATAATAATGTTATCATAAAACTAAATGTTTTTTCTTTAATCGACTTATATGTACAGAATAAATAAACAAGTCCATTGAATTGAAGTCGGACAGATAAAAGTATCTTTTACAGGCTTTCCTAGGCCTTGCACACTGTGGCCTGTATACGACTCGATAATAGCTGAAGAATGATTGGAGTAAAAAAGAAAAAGAAAAGGTAGCTTCTGAATATAAGAGGCGTAAAAAATATGTAAATAAAGTAATAAATGAACAAAAATAATTTGACAAAGTATTACAACAGAGACGGCAGCGAAAAGGTAAAAGAGCATATAAAAAAACACATCATCTTGGTAGGAAACGGCTTTGCGAAATACCAAGTTAAAATATATAATACAGCTGCCAAGTATACATCAAAGATACGTATATAATAAATAAGTAACTCGGTACTGACGGAACCAGAATTGGAGACGGATTTTATCAGGGATAAGAGCTCGAAAGAGAAATTCCCTTTAGAAACTCGAGCGACCGGTTGATGGATGGATCCAGGGTATACAACAATACCATACCAAATTAGGCATACTAGGCCACAGCTTCGGTAGGATACATATTGTTCAGGTTGATTAGAGACAATGTATATTTTGGTTCAATGCTAGGTTTTAAGATATAATTATACTGCCGTAAAAAGAAGGCGATTTTAGTAAGAGGGTTTTGCACGATTTTCTTGGGTTTACAGTGTGCTTTAAAGTGAAACTTTAATTAAGCACGATTGCTTCCCTTTTAATATTTATATTTATACAAATACCTTTCAATATCCCTCCCTCTCTTTCTCTGTTTTTACTATTACTGTAGCTCAAAAGTAATGACATGTTTTAAAATAAAGAGTTATCGAAAACTGACCGCTATAATCGTCTTTGAAATCAACCTCAAAATCATCCTTTTCTTTCGGTACTGATTTGTAACATACAATAAGGCTAAAATAACCTTTTGCACTAGTATTAAAAATATTATACAATCACAAAATACAAATCTTGCTTTTGTACTTAAAAGGCCCGAAAGCGAGAACTACTGCAGTAAAATAAGACCCCTCATGTCAATTGACTGGCCACAGCTGAAAATCCAACAAGAGTTGTTATGTGGACCCAAAAACAAAAATCATAAAACTACAGCTTATATTCTTCAGCAGAGAGCAAACAACAATCTCTCTGCTGCCAAATAAAGTTTAAAGGCTAATAATAATCAACAGAAAATATTTCATTATTAATATTATTTTAATACGTTATATTATAATATGATATATATTTCTACAGGTTCAAGTACGGGTTGAAGAACAACAAGGAGAAAATACCGCGGTTATACCAGACTGTCCTGTCTGCTATTCCTACAAACTCTAGTACCTTAAAGTGCTCTATACACTATAATATGTAAAACGATAGTTAATGCAAGTAGTTCCGATGTAGATTATAAATCAAGTAGCACGAATAAATGGAGTTACCGTTAAAGCATTCTTGCATTGGAGTGTTTTACGAACCACAATGTCAACAAGAATGCAATCCTCCAACTTTAGATGAAATAGTAGTATTAATCATGATTGACAAATACAACGCTTCTAGTAATATCATCCTGCACACACACACGAGCCAATTCACTCTAAAATATAAGCAGATACCGATGAATTTGCGATGTTTTATTTTATTTTGCTTTGTTTTAATAATATTACTAGACAGCTGATGCAGAAGAGTTTCCCAAAAAGCATGTATGAGCAAGTCGCTAGCACACAGAAAAACTTACCTAAAGTCCCAATACTCAGCATCCAGTTCAACCCCTTTGATCCTCCCGTATCAAATACACGCTTTTTTTTTACGTGTATAAAACATGACCGCAGATCGTTAAATGACACAAATGTGAAATATGAACGACTCGCTATCAATTTACCCTGTGCCATCTGGGAAGCTATTTACCTCAATTGTCGGAACCAAACATTGCTCAATTCCTCATCGACTCTGCACACAAGTTACGCGCTAAAAACGCCTGCGTTCATATCCTACAACAAGAGATCCTGTCAGGAGTGATCCGTTCATGTATCTAATATCAAATATAGCAGCTATAATGCATCCATATATTCTCTTTGGTTAAACCTAAAGATATTTGTAGTAGATCTACATTGTATTGGTATTACTGTGTATTTTGGTTCCATAGCACAACACACTCATCTTTTTCATTTTTCACCTACACTGATAATATCTTGTCTAGCTTTGTCAATTTACCTTACTTTTTTACTTGTATTCACAAAGGGTTTATTTTATTCATTCAAAACCGTTTAGCTTATCCAGATAGTCTATTATGTCAAAAGACACCAGACACCAGACCCCAGTATACCTACACTAACATTTTTTTAACCTATTCGCCTCGACCGCAATGTCTCTGATAATATTGGGCATTGCTTGATTGTTCATGTACACTAGTTAATCATACCGATGTTCAAATACGATTATGTGTAATTTCAGACAACATTATCTCTATTACTTTTTAGTAATTCACGGCATATAGATCCTTTGTTTAAATCTATCGAAGCTTAAAATATCTCGAAATATCGTTTGGATCTCTCTGATGTCAATTCCATACAAAAAACCAGATGATTTTCTCTTGTGACATCACACAATCGCAGCTCCATTATTTCCTACTTTTCTTAGATTCATCGGAATTCCTAGAAACCCCCCCCCCCCCCCCCCCCCCCCCCCTTCCCCAGCTTGTTATTGCTTGACGGAAGTAGTTGTGTAGGCTAATATTATACAAATATAACTTCTATATATATATATAATTCAGAAATACTCAACACAGTAAAATAAAATGAATAAAAAAAAAAAGAAAACTATCGGTTTCAGTCGGCATTTATAATATTTTAGAAATAATTATTTTTACCAAAAAATAAACTTCACAAAATTATACTTTTCTCAACTTCTACTGAGCGTATTCCCGTGCTTCTAAGCTCTATCGATAGCTAGTAGAGAAGAGTAACATAAAAGTGGTGTTAGAGGCGCATTGTCGGTCTTTAGAATTGTCACGGGGTTTGAAGCATGCTACGATTATATGTCTGCCGGGATTTGGTATAGTGGGCAGGTCGTTAGAGCATCTGCAGCGGTTACATTAAAATTAATTTTTGCCACAGTTTTAATGTAGATTCTGAAATGTTTTTAAAAAATCGTCTGCAGCGGTTACATTACAGACCACACTATAGATAATGTAGTTCATTTTTAAGGTCAGGAACATTATATGTAGTGTTACATTATGAATCGATATTATCTTTTTGAATCGTTTTCTTCCCTCTCACACCCTTTGTTAAAACAAACAATAGTCTATAGAAATGAGCAAAGAAATTCTCACAAATTATGCTCGCTATTAATCTGACAATATTGAAATTAGTAAATTCATATTTTTAATGCATATATAGAGAGCAAATGTTCAATAAAATAAATTTTAGAAAAAAGAATATGAACATAATCATCAGTGAAAAACTGGAAACTTTAGACAGTCAAAAAGCCCAAATAGTTCCTTTGTAATGTAACCACAATTTGGCAATCTGTTTTTAACTGGTATTTAATCTCTGGTGGGACTATACTACACTATATATAATGTTTTTGATAATGTAACCACTGCAGATGCTCTAAGGCTCAGATAGGATCGATTATCTGATCTCAGCCATATAATTTTTCTAATCCAAAATAATATAAATAGCAGTAGTAATTCAGTGTAGGAATCTTGTCAAATTTTGATACCAAATCTTTTCTCAATAAACAAACCCTATATTATATTTATATTTGGAAAGGTGGAACAATAAGTACTTTGAGACTCTTTTTTATTGTGTTTATTAAAAGTTCAAGTCAAATCGAATTGTCTTAATAAAAGTTATTTTATCTATGATATTTATATTTATTGAGATATATCTAGTCACCCTGGATATGAGTCATCATAACGGCTTTGCGATAATAGTTTAAGTACTTCTTGAAGATGATCCAATGATAGATCTGACACATTGCTCTTATGTTTCAGATAGGACTTCATATTGGATAATCATTTATAATGACCTCTTTGACAGGTACTTCTGTCTGGGTTCGTATATGATTTTGGATATTAAAGTATCTCAAATACAACAACAATTATGACATCAAGTCATAAATCATACTTCTTTAGCTCTTAGCTATTCTTTTCTCTTTTATACTAGAGCTTTAGGACTTCCTACTAAATTAGCTCCATATTAATCTGACACAGTTTACCCAGCAGTATGATATAATTATCTTACCAATCTTTAAGATATTATCTACAGTACTAACTGTAATAACTATTGGGCCAATTACTTAATCGTTTATATATATTTTATACGGACAAGATGATAGCTACTATGCTATCCCAATATGAATATGTTCTTATATGTGATAAATCCAACATCTGAGTGTCTGGATCACCACAATAGTATCACAAATATAACAAATAGTTATATTATTTCCAATTTCATTATAAAACAAAAGAAAAATTACGTTTTAGTAGAGTTAGAATAAAAAATAAAAATAACAAGAAAGAAACTTTTAATATAGAGTAGAACAATAAAATAAAAAGAATTAAAATTAAAATTAAAACATAGGTTGAAAGATTAACTTATTAGAATAATTGAAAAGAGGAAAAAAACAAATTTGATATGTGACGAATAAAATATTTTTGCGGCTTTGTAAATCACAACTAACAGCTGAATAGCGCAGAGGAAGCGCGTTGGGCCCATAACCCAAAGGTCGGAGGATCGAAACCTCCTTCAGCTACAATTTTTGGTTTTTTATTCCATCGGGCTTGTCGGACATTGTTTTGATGAATCCGTAAAATTTATTGTTGTTCCTGATCTAGGCTTCCTTCCAATTCTCTGTAAACGTAACCAAATTGATCAAACTTTAATAGAGCACAAAAGTATAACAAATAAGAGATGAACTAAATGATAGTTTTCATCATTTTGACTTGAGCTATCTTTTACTAACCCATATTTAACTTAAATGTTTTTAAAATTTTTGTTTTTTTTTTAGTGAGAATATACAACTTCTTTATATTTATTAACCACATTAGCTTATAGCTAGAGCTGTGAAAATATTCTGAGTAGTACATATTATATATAGTTATATAAAGATAAAATTTATTTGAGATTTTAATAATGCGTATGGAACCCATTATTTTTCCAAGTTTTTTGACATAATTTGTCATTGACATCCCATATGCTCCCACTACTTTCTTGGGACTTTTATCTTTCTTTTTTTTTCTTAAACATCTTGAGCCAACAAGTGTAAATTTATTAGCTTTGTGCTGATCCAGACACTCGGCTGTGGGATTTATCACATATAACAAAATATTCATATCGGAATAGCTTATAAGCTATTATCCTGTCAAAGTATAAATATATTATATAAAGATATAGATATATGTATATATATATTTAAGCTGTATTCTTGGCTATCTTAATGTGCCAATATTTTGGCTGTATATCTTCACGTTTTATTTTTTTGATTTCTTTAAAAAAACGCAAAGGTAATGTGTGGCTCACTGCTAAAATTTTAAATTGGAGTTGTCTGGTGTGTAAAAGGTACATGAAATAAAAAGATTCTTTCAGCAAACATTTCTAAAACCTGAGAAACTCTCAGTGAGCTTTCAATTGAAAAGAACGGTTTAATTTTTAGTGTGTTTTTTTTAAGCTAAAGGAAAAAAAAGTATCAGTCCCCTTTGAGAAATATGGAGTATTCCGACAAGTTGCATATAATGCAGTAAGAGTATTCAATAAGAGTGAGACAACAGCTACACCAAAGCGAAATAGCCTCTCTACAATATTTAATGAAAAAGATTTGTATGTTTTGTATTGTAAGATAGTGAAAGACAGGTCGGCAAATCTTGAGACCTTAATTAGGATTATGGAAACCACCTTGTATGATGCTATTAAAACTGTCAATATAAAGTCCTGTATGGTTGTACACAAATATTAGTTTACTGATAACCATAAAAGGAACCGTATAACATTTGCTTGCTATGCCAAAAATGCTAATCAGAGCTAAGAACGCATAATTTGGAGTGACAAGTAATCCATGCTATTTTCTACGTGCAAGAGTGTACGAATCTGACGTCAAAAATGAGAGAAATACAGATACAGCTGTATGAGACCAATAATCCGGGGCAGAGGAGAATTGGTAATGATTCGAGGAGTGAATCTAGTCTGGGGGGGTTGGTCTCTTGAAAATTGAGCATGACAGTCAGAATCAACGGACCCATATTAACATACTGAAAAAAAAGAGTCGATTCCTTTCGATCGTTGTCTCAAGCCCAAACACAACGATGACTTTATTTTCCAGCAAGACTTGGTTGAGCATACAAGCCGAAGCTTGATATTTTCTTCTTCTTTGCTTAAAATAAATAGAGAACCTGAAAAAAAATGTGGCAAAGATGGCTCTTAAAAAAACATGATTATCCAGATTTTACTTGTTATTTATTAAAGTAAAAATAATATATATATATATTTTTTAAAAAAAAAGACCAAACTTTTGCTAATATTATCCGATTATGATTTAGACACTAAATTGAAACCAGTTGTATGTTATTTAATAGAACGTCTTATATTCCGTTCATGTAAACTATAAGACATGGTATGGAGTCATTAATTATCATAGTGTCATACAGTGGTGCTTCACTACAACTATTAATTTTTTTTTTAAAAAAAAGAATATTTATTGTTAGCAGATGAAATGGTAATTAAGAATAAAATTACTAGTACTAATAACAAAACAAATACATAAACTTGTCAATTATATTAAAATTGGAGGACATTTGGGATGTGAAGTTATGTTTTGGTGTACATCCAAAGGGATGGTAATTGGGGCCTGTTCCAGGTGATTGTTCTTAGTTAGTGTTGTAGAAGACTGTGAATACTTTGGTGTGAATATAAAAGAAAAGGCCCATTCGGTTGCCTGGTATCGCAAAAAGAACCTACAGCTGGGTGTCTTCCAGTAAGTGGTATATGATTTACTCTGAGATCTGTCTGAGTTGGGGTCCATGCAGAGTCCAGTCGCGGCAGATAGACTTTGGGTCAGTTTAGAATCATTACGTCTAGTCCATTGAAATGTAACGTCCAGAGAAGTTGGAGTGTGTACGCTTTCTATTTCTATATACATATATATATTTGAAAATGAAAATATTATGATTAAATTCAAGTAAATCACATATATCTCGGCCATTTCTTTTTTTTTTAAAAAAAAATTAAAGGAAAGACCAAGAGATTTAGAATAAATAATAGTAAACTTTTTAAAGATTTGAAATATTCTTCTTCTTCTTCTTATTTTTTCTTTTCATTTTTTTTGCTTACTTTGAGGTAAAATGGTGTATTTTATCGGAACTGTGGCGCTGTTGTATACCTTTTGATTATTAACAGGCCCATCGACTTTAAAGTGTTGAGCAAGTATAGGCAGAGACGAGCACAAAATCAAAATCCATAGACACTTGAACATGTATATATATATATATATATTTGTGTGGGCGAAAGAGATAATAAAATAATAAAATGAGTGCGATGAAATAAAGACAACAAGAGCAAGCAACAAGTAAAAGAGTTGATGTATGAAGGAGAAAGAAGAAGACGAAGACTATTAGGAGGAGTAAGAGGAGAAGGGAGAAGTAGGAGAAGGAGGAGGGGATATCAGGAGAGAGAAAAGAAAAGATTATAGATCAGACATAAAAAACCAAAAAAAAACCTACTTAATAATCCCTTTATATTTCTTTACATCTTTACATCCTTAATCCCTTCTCTTTGGTATTTATTATTACCATCAAAATAATTACTACTACATTGTAATTATAATTATAATAACTTATTAAACGTATATATTATATTATATTATATTATATTATATAAGCTAGATATTAGTAAGGAACATGAGCCATGAGTAAACACAACATAGCAATGCTTTCTCCAAAGTATGTCATTTCCATCGAATTCATATCCTGCACAACCTGATGCATCTGGTTCTGCCAGCCAAGAACCCAGAAAAGAAAACTGACGGGAGCAACAAAGGCCATATCAGTGTAATCTGCATAAGAATGGCCATTAAGTTTGTAACCTGCTCTAATTGCACAATCTCCATTGCCCCCACCCCCGCGTGCAAGTTGAGCGGCAAAGAACTGAGCCTGAGTCTCAAGAAGTTGGCGGATACGCTCATCTCGAGTGAGCATATAATAGTGGCCAAGTCTCCAGGGTACACGACATGAATTCCAGTTGTAGTCTCCGTCATGCTCGCTTTCCAGAACTTCGCCACGGGCAGGGTGATACACACGTGTATTGGGATCTAATTTGAGGAAATCAGCTAAAAGGCCAGTCTGAGGGTTGAAGGATAGCTGAGCCTGGGTAGTGTTTACAATTGCATTGACAACATGTCCCCATTGTTGTGCACGTTGGGTATCTTCCTACAAGAGATACATAAAGGAAATAATTGATTGGGATTAATAAAGGGTGATAATTTGTCGAATTGCAAAAATAATAATAATAATACACATACAAGATAGAAAATTAGGTAACCGCTAAGGATAAAGTCACTTGGTCTTGTAAGCAAAAACGCTTCATCCCCTGGACTTGCCCAGTCACCAATAAGAGGCATGTATGTTTCGTGGTGGATACAATGTTCCCATATGGCACCGCATAAATTGACGGCAGCTTCCCGGTAATCAAGCTCGCCGTTAGGGCCACCTCGTCCCCAGACCTTTGCAGCCAAAAATAAAGCTGTGGCCACATCGACATCACCGTCCGTAGCACAGTTCTCACCACCCTGGTCTCCAGCTACAAACTCTCCAGAATGACCTGTCTTTTGCTGCCACCTTAAATATTAAATATTAAATATACGCACCAATACACCCATACACAAAAAATATTATTATTATTATTACTTCTTTATCCTTTCAATATATATATATATATCTTATTTATTTATTAGATTTATTTACATGACTTACTGCATCAGACCTTTTCTGTTACGCCAGCGCAAAAAGTACCTAAATAGACCTAATGAGTCGAAATATATGTATATAGATATATATATTTATATATATGAGCATGGCGAGGAGAATTCCACATCGTTCTTTTTTTTTTGCTAGAAACGTTACCGTCAAAATCCATTTGGTTTCGCTTCAATACTGATATAAGCATTCCATAACCTAGATAAATAATAAGCATAGAAATTCAGTTGCAAGAAAACCAAGAAAATAATATAAAAATATAAAAAGGTCCTATATATATATATACATTAGGGGGGTTTTCATTCAATTACCATGAGCTTCCGAGCAAGTCATCTCGGGAAGATTCTCCTTTGGTTCCTTATAAAAAACATAAAGACCGTCTTGATAGGTGCGAAGGTACCTTGTAGGTTTTTTTTGTTTTTTTTTGCTTTGAATGTTAGTATAATGTATTTAAATTTTGACACATTTCAACAACTTGCAATATTTGGTGTGCCTGTGCGTAAATTATCAATAAAATTCTACCTTCCACGCCATGCTACGTAAGTTTGTTCAATACTCTCCATATTTTATATATAAATAACTATGTATTTAAAGAAGATAATATATATATATATATAGAGGAGAGAGGAAAGGGAGTACACGGGAAGTTTTAATAGAATAATAAGAATAATTAATTAATTAAAAAAAAAAAGAAAAGGGCAAGGTTAAAAGGAAACATTGAATACGGAAAATACGGTATATCGTTTTAATGACCGCTCTGTCCGGTAGCGCACACAGTTTTTTCTTTCTTTCTTATTAGGGCCCTTGGACACATCATATAAAATTTATTTAGACGGAGATTGTGCTCTTAAAAAAGAATAGTGTGTTTCAAAAATGCGTTATTTTATATGATATAAAAACATGATATAAAATGTGTTGACCAATCATCTTTCGATATTTTATGTTGTTAAACTAACGATGACATAAAACTTGAAATAAAGAACAAATTATGTTTTCAAGTAAGCATATAAAGAAGTCCATATAGCCCCAGCATTAGGTTTTTTCCCCTTTATTTGCGCAAGCATTCTACATATACAAATATTAATTAATATCTATTAGCTTTAATGTCTAAAAAATTAAACAGCTATTACAGTTTGAGGGTAAAAAGTAACAAACTTTGGTTCGCACTAATTACATGATTTTAAGTTCGTGAGTTTAGTAAATTAACATGGCCAATAAATGCAATATCACACATTTTCATTGTATATGGAAGCCTTGGATGTGAAACATGAGACCGTATAAAATTACATATATGGTTAAATGTTTCAAAAAAAATTATATGATGTGTCCAAGGTCCCTATTTTCGCTCGGATTTGAAACTTGTCCTTCCAATAGCTTCTTTGCTTTTATTTTAAAAGCATTAATATGGTTTTTGCTTTCAAACATGCAATTGGGTTTTTCAAAATTCTACTCGCTTTTGTTTCTGGAAACATTTTCAGAATAGCTATTAAATATTTCTAGCTGCTAGTGCAAGCATACCTACCCTACAGTAGCAGTTACTGCAGGGTAGGTATGGGAAGCCTAAAATTATCTACCCCCAATATTTTCAACCCATAAAAATAAATAAAATCGTATTTTACCAGCCAATTTTTTTTTTGCGATCCCATTTATCAATTTTGCGATTCTTTCGGACCTGAAACTTCAATGAAAAAGCTATTCCCAAAATGGTAGCATAAACTCACGGGCTGAATTACAAAATTGTTACACGAAAAAATCTGCCGTGGTGAAAAAAGTGTCGGAATGAGAATGACCGGCGGAATAGGATTGGGTGTAGGTTGTGCGTTATGTGATCCTTCCTTCTTTGCTTTTTTTGACCTAAAGGTAAAAGAGATAGAAGAAGATTGAGGCTATAAGACGATAGAACTATTACAGAAGATCAAAGACGATAAGAGAGAGAAAAAAAGCAGAAACAGTGATGGATTACGGAAATTTATGGATATAAACTATAATAATAATGATGGATGAATGAATACGGTGGATGGATGGGGGGTTTTTTTTTTTATATATTTATTTATATATAAAAAGTATATTAATTTTTTTATTAATTTTTATTAATTTTTATTTTATTTTATTTTATTTTATTTTTTTTAATTTTTCTTAGAGTGAATTCGACATGTCCAAGTCCAAGAACCACACCAACCACAACCAAAGTGAGCTATTCGTACGAACATTACACTCAAGCACATTGAACTGACTGGATTCAACCCTTCCCCCCTTTTTTCTACCATCAAATTAGACAAGAAGGCTCACCGCAACGGTCTTAAGAAGCCTAGCCAGATGAAGTACCCTTCCCTCAAGGGTGTTGATGCCAAGTTCCTCCGCAACCAGCGTCACGCCCGCAAGGGTACTGAGAAGGCTCTTGCCCTCAAGTACGCCTCCAAGACTGCTTAATCCAACTTACCCACATTACTATCATCTGCATAAAGTGCCGCCCATAATCTTTTATTGATTTCGTTAACACCTTTCCCCTTTTCTTGGTTTTTTTTTCTTTGGATTTTGGTTATGGTTGTATCATGCAAAGAAGCGGTCAGTATATACATATATACATATATATATATGTATGTATATACGTATGCGCATGTTGTGAGTTCTTTGACTTGTGCGTGAATAATAATAATAATAAAAATATATTATAAATATATTTAAATTTGCTTTTTATGTACAAGTAAGTATGCACATATACATATACACGATGTATACATATACATGCATGCATGCAAAACATGTGTTTATAGGTAGTTTACAAAGATTATTATATACATTATAATTTGAATATGAACAAGGGGAATATTAGATAATTTTGTACCATTAATTGATACCAATATTTCTATACATTTTTTTTTAATTAAAGTGGATTGAATGCTATTCTTCGTTTACCCTGCCTTTTGTTATAACCCTCCTTTTCTTTGGTTTCCAATTTAATAAGTCATTAGTGTAAAAAGAGCTACTGATATATATGTATCTGTCAAATAAAAAATAGTATTATTTGACTAGCATTTTTGTATACAAAAAAAATATATAAATAAATATAATATTCTTGTTTGATTGCTATAATGTGATGAAGTAATGTTGATTGACTCAAAGTTTGGATTTTTTCTTTAAATATGCTGTCCAGTCTGGAGTCTGTTTGTTGAGAAAGGCCTGGATTCCATAAGCAGCCTCGTCAGATTGCATCATATTGGTGTAGACTTTATTGACCTCAAGTCGTACATTGTCATCGTTGGTTGGGTTGGCCCGACTGGCGACCGTGTGAATCAGTTGCTTGATGTCAGCCATGGCCTGGGGGGCAGAACTGATGAGCATTTGGCAATAAGCCTGTACTTTGGTGTCCAACTGATCTTGGGGTACAACGGCACTGAGAAAATGAGCTTCAGTTGTTGAGATCTGTCTTCCGGTCAGCATGTATTCACGTGCACGAAGGGAACCCAGTTCGGGAACAAGATACTGTGATATGATGGCCGGGACGATACCACGTTTGACTTCGGTGAGGGCAAAGTAGGCCGTGTTTGTGGCTATTCGGATGTCTGCCACGAACACCAGGCCTACACCTCCGCCTAGACATGGGCCATTGATGCGAGCAATCAAGGGTTTTGGAAAACGATAGAGAGCATCAAAAACATCCAGACCGGCCTGAAAGCCGTTTGATGGATTGTGTTCTTGTTGTTTACTGGGGCTATGGGGACTATTGTTAGCACCGATGTTAATAGCTGCTCCGAGATCCATGCCGGTGCAAAAATAGCGTCCTGCTCCTGTGAGAATCAGGACACGCACAGTTGGGTCACTGGCTAGTACAGGCAAAAGGTTAAGTATGGCCTGATTCATGGCTAGTGTGAGCGCATTTCCTCGACTAGGACGATTTAAGGTGATTGTAGCCACACCGTTAGAAAGGCTATACAATATCTCAGATTGTACCATACTAACTACAAGAAAATGATCCCTTTCTTGTTTTTTAATATATTGTATTTTAAATACACTAAGAATATATATATATATATATATACGAGTAAGAGAGAATAAAAAGAAAGAAAAGAAGGATAGAGTTACTTTTGTGTACATTTACTGTTCACAGACACGCACGCACGCACGCACGCACACACGCACACATGATTCAATGATTTCACGCGCTTTCTCCTCCTTTTATATATTCAAATCCATTAATAATAAAAAAAAATTCTTTTCATATTTGTTTATATGTATTAAAAGATGTGTGTTTGTCTGTCTGTCTGTATGTTTTTTTTTTGGTTGGTAAATAAGAATGAATTTGGTTATTTGAATAAAATATATATATAAAAATTGTGCGTGTGTTTTTTTTGTACCCACACACTATATAAATGTGAGTGTATATGTATATATGAGTGTTTATGGTTATGGTTATGGTTATAGTTATATGTTTGTGTCTTGTATAGATATATATATATATATATATTTTGGGGGTTGATTGTCGTTGTTGTAGTAATAATAATAATAATAATGATAATGATAATAATTGTTGGTTTTTTGTCTTTTTTTGTCTTTTTTTTGGGTTGATGTTTGAGGTGTTGGCAAGTCTGGTGAGAGCGAGTGGAAGGAAGGTCCAAAGCCTTGATAGGTATGTGGTTGACGGTGACGGTGACGGTGACGGTGACGGTGGTGACGGTGGTGGTGGTGGTGATATTTATATAGTGTATATTTTAGTTGTGTTGTGTGTATGTATTTATATGTATTTTTTTTTGGTGTGTGTGTGTGTATGTATGTAGAGAAGGATAGGTGATAAGAAAAAAAAAGAAAAAAAAAGAGAGGTTCTGGACTAGTGCCGTCCAAGGGTGTGATGTCGCTTTGGTTTGGGTGGTGGTGTTCCGGTAGACTGTTTGTGTACATTACATAAATACATACATGTGTTGGTTATGATTGGTATAAAATAAAATAAAATTCCAAATAATAGTAATAATAATAACTTACGAAAAAGTGGACGTGATAGTCATTTTTGTCAATGTATCCCCAATCATTGTTGTCCGAGGACAAGAGGCGTGGCGCCACTTGCATGGACCGAGTCTTTTCGAGGCATATGCGTCGGAGGCTTTCGTCGTGAAGCTGCTTTCGGGACTCCTGCTCAGGGGTGCGGTCAAAGAAGGGTGCAAAGTCGACCCCAAAGCCGCGCATGGCCGGCTGCTTTTTCCTCTCAGTTCTCATTAATGAGAGGTCGGCCAAAAAGAAGTCATAGGCCGAAAGTGCCAGTGCAGTACCATACACAACTACCGGCGCAAGGTGTTTAAAGACAACGGAAGTAAGCGAACGCTGCCGTTTTGGTGCTGATTCTTCTAATCTTTGATAATGATTATTATTATTATTATTATTATTATTATTCTGTTGTTGCTGCTGCTGCTGCTGGACTTGTTCTGTTTGAAAAGGATCATAGTAAGCTGTGTTGTGCTGGCTAGAAGTGAGACGACTGAGACGTCCTCTTGCCTTGCGAATAGTCCTGGCTGGCTCAGCAGCACCCGAGGGAGACAGTTTCCAGCAGACACTGTAGACGTCACTGATCATACGCTTAGACATTTTCTAAAGTACAGTACAGCAGAAGTACAGACAATGGCTGGCAGAAATTCAAGAGAGCTAGACAGGACAGAAGAAGTAGGTTCAAGACAGTTATAATTAAAGAAAGATAAAAATTAATAAATAAAAGGCTGTGAAAGAGATATGAAAATAAAAATAAAATAAAAAAGAGAGAAAGAAAGAAAGAAAGAAAAGGGGGAAAACGGAAGCCAAAAGGGAGTTAGGAAGCAAGTAAGAAGTGGGAAAGTGAAAAGTGGAAATTGGGAATTTGGGAGAGGGAGATGAAAGGAAGAGGGAGAGTAGGAGGGGGATGAGAAATCACGAGTACTGTGTTTCCACTAAAAATATATTCTCTTTTTTTTTTTTTTTTTTTTTTTTTTTTTGATTATCATATAGTTCACAAAAAACATTCTCCAATTAAATTCATATAAAAAATGGATTTTAGTTTTCACACAAACAAGAGTATTGATTTAATTGGACAAACTGTCTAAAGAAATATCTAACTTTTATATATAATTAGATATCTTTCTTTAGATAAACTTGCCAGTAAGAATCTAAACTCTCTTGGATAATAATAATAAAAAGTCATATATCATCAATAAGCACCTATAAAATATAGCTATTCTGCAAATACAGCAGCACAAATTACACTATCAATTGTCTATTTAACATTTTATTTTTTTTGGTAAGATTGATAAGTTACGCAAGGTCGGAAAAAGTATTACCAAAAAGCAACAAGTATTCCAAATTCATTGTTAATCAAAGACGTTATGGTTACCTTTACATGAAAGCCAAGAACGTCAACTGTACATATATCTATCTATCTATCTATCTATCTATTTGGCTTGTTGATTATGCTCTGAATTTTGAAAAAAAGAAATAAAGAAAGATAGAGAATATCCAAGAAACCTAACAATCTAACAATCTAACAATACAAGTAGTCTTAATAATCATAATCATAATCATAATCATAGCCTTAAGCATAATGTCAGACATTTGGAAAGATACAGCACTGTTAGGGGTCAAGGATAACAAGGCTCACAAAAGAAAAAAATAAAATAAAAATAAACCACCCTATTTTCGATTAGGACAAAGGACGAGGAATCTCCAAACCAACTTGATAAATTCAGTACACATGTTCAAATGTCCAATATTTCTTTATTACTGACAAGTTAACTATAAAATAGCACCTGAGATTGTTACGCTCCAGATACTCGTATATTTCACATTTGTATACAATCTAAACTAACCATTGCATTAACAGGCATTCGAACCACAACGTATTTTGGATAGTGGCAAATATACAAAACACTTTTTCTTCTTCAAAATTTAAAAGATATCCTAAATCACAAATACCTTGGTCCCATATTTATAGCAAGACTATCATTCTATTTGCCGCAGAGGGTTTATGTACCTGTAAGCCTCGATAATTCGACACTGGCACTGGTAAACCTGTAACAAGAAAGTATCAAGTAAGTAAGAAAAGTATAGAAATGACGGTGTTTCAATACGTTCTTTTTTATATAGAGAAAGAAAAAAAAATTACTCCCCCCACCCTTCATATATAATGTACCATTACCATCTCATCCTTACTCTCTTTTCTCCAGAAACCGTCCCACTTCTTGACCTCTTCGATTCACTATCACACTCGCCCGCCTCAGAATACCTGGCCAATTACCCACATAAACGAATTCCCCAATCTAACAACTACCCAGACTTTCGTTTTGGAGCCGTCATGATCGAAGGACGCGGTCCCATGGGTGTCATTCAAAACATCAATCTCGGCTATGGAATCCTCCACCTCTACAGAGACCCTTCAGAAATAAAACCCTTTGACCCACCAACAGATTCACCCTCTACCACAGACACCACGACCATTCTCTGCACTCTTGCAGTCCCATCATACATGGCCACCAGTGACTTTCTTCAATTTGTTGCTCCAGTAGATCCATATGTAAGTCATTACAGGATCGTACGGTAAGAATATATTTATAGTTCGTATTTTATTATTTATTATTTCTTGACGAACAAAACAAAATAATAAATAAAAAATAAAATAAAAATGAAATGCTTTAACCAGACAAAAAATACTTTAGAGATTCATCGCCAAATCGATACATGGTAGTAATGAAGTTCAGAGATTCAAAGGCTGCCCAGGATTATTATAAGCAATATAACGGACGACCTTTCAACTCTATGGAGGTAAGAAAACCATCGATACCACAACATACAAGTATATGCATATAAAAGCTTTATACATTCAATGCTGAGTCATCTAATCTAATTAATCTAATCTAATCCTCATCCTTTTTGTTTCGAATTATCTCATTGTAAATTTACAGCCTGAAATATGCCACGTTGTCTACTTAAAATCAGTAGAAATCAACTCTGTACTTATTCCCCCTCACACATTTCCTTTTCTACATGACACATTGGAGTACGAACGACAAATAAAAGAAAACGACGACGACGACGAAGACAAAGTAGAATTACCTACTTGCCCAGTCTGCTTAGAACGTATGGATGACACAGTGACAGGTCTGCTAACCATTCTCTGTCAGCACACATTCCATTGTTCATGCTTGAGTAAATGGGGAGATAGCAGGTAAGGCTTGTACGCAAAAAAAACAATTTGTATATTGGCTTACTCATATATATATATATATATATATATTTGTTTAATAAGCTGTCCTGTATGTCGATACTCGCAGAAACCTGTTCTTGGAATGGACCTAGTTTTGGGATCAGGTGAAGGAGTTAATATACCCTTAGAAGACGAAGACAATACGTGCATGGTGTGTGGATCAAATGAGAGTTTGTGGATCTGCTTGATATGTGGCCATGTTGGCTGTGGACGATACCAAGAGGCCCATGCTTACGACCATTACACAGAGACAGGACATCTTTATGCACTCGAGATAGAAACACAGCGCGTATGGGATTATGTGGGCGACGGGCAAGTATCCTAATAAGGAAGTTTTCGATTTCCATTTATTAACCACGCACATCTATATATATATATATATATATATATATATAGTTATGTTCATCGATTGATACAAAACATGATTGACGGCAAGATAGTTGAATTACCAAGTGCGACAGCTGGTCCTACTCCTCGCCAACCAGAGCAATCACAAGTAAACTTCTTCTTCCTTTCTCTCTTTGTTCCAAGAAAAAGAAAACTAAAGATGAATGCAAATCAAACTCCTTTAAATTTGCATTGTAACAGGATAAACTAGAAGCAATGTCTGTGGAATACGCACACCTCTTGACATCTCAACTCGATTCTCAGCGGATATACTATGAAGATCATTTGGACCAAGTGACTTCCCAACTATCTTGTCTTACCCTGCAGGTCAAAGGCCTTATCACAGACATGCAAGCCATGCAGAAAGAGAAAGAGCAACAGGCTCAGTGTGCACTTGAGGCCACTCGTGCTCTTGCTGAAGCCCGCAAAGACAAGGACAGAGCAGAACGAAAGCTAGAGAGTTTCCGAGAAAAATTAGACATAGCAAAACGAGAATGGCAAGAAGAAAAAGAGGTAATTACAAATTATAGAGATTTCTGTACATTTTTTTATATAAAGTTCCTTATTTTATGTTGCTTTGCTTTGCTTTGCTTTGCTTTGCTTTACTATTTTTTTTTCACACTATTAAAAAATTCATAAAACCAAAAAAATCAAAATCAAAATACAGATGACAAATTCACTGTTACAAAACAATGCTCTTCTCAAGACAGACCTCGACCAAAATCGACAGAGCGTCAAGGAGCTAACTGACCAGGTGCGCGATCTGATGTTCTTTCTCGAGGCACGCGACAAGGTTCAACAGGACCCAGATATGGGCGGTGGAAGCCTTAGTACACGTGTACGCAGAAATACTAACAAGAATAAATCATCTAAACAAGGCTGAACAACAAAGCCAAAAGCCAAAAAACAAAACACACACACACACACACAGAGAGAGAGAGATTTCTTTTATATTATCATTATTTGTATATATATATCTTTCTTTGCTTTCATATAGTCTCAATTTTGAATCAAAGGCATTAAAACTAATTTTTTTTTAAAAAGTAAGAAGCAAACACATATGAAGGAGAAAGAAAAACAGACAGACAGATATATAGATAAATCGATAGATAGCTAGATAGATATATTTACACACTACACACTACACACTACACACTACACACTACAGATACCCCCAATAGCAAACATACACACACAAAGAGATAGGGATAGACTCGATTTAGATGTTGAAGAAGAGCTCGTTGTACTTGGGCAAGGGCCACAACTTGTCGGCCACCAAACGCTCAAGCTTGTCGGCTTGCTCACGTACACGCTCCATGGCGGGGCCAACCTGTTCGTTACAGGCAATAGCCAACTTCTCGACTTCGACAATATCATCGAGCTTGACCATGAGCTGGTCAAGAGCATCGTTGTGGTCCTGGAGAGCCTCGACAATGGGGCTCAGGATGTTCAACACACGGAGCTCGGCCTTGGCCTCAATACCGATCGACTTCATGGAAGCAGCCGACTCGGCAAGCTCACGGCGGTAGCTGTAGGCAGCAGGCAGGATCTGCTGGGTGACCATGGTCAAGATGGTCTGGGCCTCGATGGCAACATCCTTGGCGTACTTCTCGGTCAAGATGTGGAAACGCGAGTGGAGCTCGACATCGGAGAAGACACCAAGACGCTTCAACATATCGGCGTTCTCTTTCTTCAAGATGCAGCCGAATGCATCGACACTCTTGCGGATGTTGGGCAGACCACGCTTGGCAGCCTCGGTGACCCATTCGTCAGAGTAGTTGTCGCCCTCGAAACGGATGGCCTTGGTCTTCTTGATGAACTCGCGGATAACGATAACCTTGTCGGCATCCGAAGCCACGGCCTTGGTGCCCTTTTGCTTGGTAAGAGCGGCGTTGACCTCCTGGAGAGCAGAGGCAACGGCAGAGTTGAGAACAGTGACGGGGAAAGAGGGAGACTGCTTGGAACCGACGGCACGGAACTCGAACTTGTTACCGGTGAAGGCAAAGGGAGAAGTACGGTTACGGTCGGTGGTGTCACGAGCAATGCTGGGCAGAGTGGCGACCTTCAAGTCGAGCACGGTACCCTGGACACGGATGTGCTGGAGCTGGGTTCCGGCAGCAAGATCGTTGACAGGGCGGTTCTCCTCGATAGCATCGAGAACCTCGTTAAGGTGGCTTCCGAGGAAGACAGAGATGATGCCAGGGGGGGCCTCGTGAGCACCGAGACGGTGATCGTTAGAGGCAGAGGCGATACTGGCGCGCATAAGATCACCGTGATCAAGAACACCCTTGAGAACAGCAACCAAGAAGATCAAGAAGCGGTAGTTGTGCTCAGGAGCAGCAGAGGGGTCAAGCAAGTTATCACCCTGGTCAGTGGACATACTCCAGTTGCAGTGCTTTCCGGAACCGTTCACACCACGGAAAGGCTTCTCGTGGTAGAGAACCTTGAGCTTGTGACGATGGGCAACACGGTGCAGGACATCCATGGTCAACAAGTTGTGATCGACAGCCTGGATAGCCTCTTCGAAGATGGGTGCAACCTCAAACTGGGCAGGGGCGACTTCGTTGTGACGAGTCTTGATGGGGACACCCAATTTGGCCAACTCAAGCTCGCACTCACTGGTTGCAGCCAACACACGGGTGGGCATCTTACCAAAGTAATGATCCTCCAACTGCTGGTGACGGGGAGGGAGGCCACCGATGAGAGTACGGCCGGTGATCTTAAGATCAGGGCGGAGAGAGTACAGACCACGATCGATCAAAAAGTACTCCTGCTCAGTACCGAGGGTGGTGAATACATGCTTGGTGCGAGGATGGTCTAAAAACAATGAAATCAAATTTAATTTTATTATTATTATTATTATTGTTTCTTTGATCCCCCAAAAACAAGCTCATATCCCCCCCCCCCCTTTTTTTTTTTTCCTATTTAATTCTTACCTTCATCAACGGGCTCAATAAGGTCAAGAGTCTCGAGAGCAGTCTTTGAGAGAACTTCGGAAGATCTCAACAGAACAGACTTCTCGTCCATGGCTTCTCCATTGTAGGAAATGAAGACGGAAGGAATGTAAAGGATGGTTGTACCGTGGGGACCGTTCTGAACGAACATGGGGCTATTATGCGGATTTATTTATTTATTAATTAATTTTTTGTTTGTTTATTTGTCAGTCACTTGGTTCATTGTTCATAGATAAGATAAGATAAGACGAGCTGTTTTTGTATGTGTTTACCTCTTGGTATCCCAGACAGTGTATCCACGAGCTTCGAATGTAGTGCGCATTCCACCGGAGGGGAAGGAAGAAGCATCGGGCTCGGACTGGAGCAGCTGGGATCCAGAGAAAGTATCGATGGCAGTAACCTACAATAACCCACCGAAGATCATACACATTAATTTTTTTTTTAGAAAAATCAAATTGAATAAAGGCGACGCGACTCAATTTGATTTGATTCAACTTGATTCAATTCGACTTGTCTAAGTTTGGTTCTCTTGGTATTACCTCTTCGAATCCATTGATGTGGTTGGTCTTCAGGGTAAGGAAAGAATCGTGCTTTTCGGCAGTGGAGTCGTTCAAAGGCTGGAACCAATGGGTAAAATCAGTTGCGCCACGCTCAAGGGCCCAGACCTTGACAGCGTGAGCAATGGCATCGGCAGTAACCTTGTCGAGGGTTTGGTTACCACGGACTTGGCGAATGAAGGTCTTGAAGACAGGTTTGGGCAAGCTCTTCTCCATCTCCTTGAGAGAAAAGACATTCTGGCCAAAGATCTCCGAGACGGTCTGGACACGACCATTCTCACTGGGGAACTTGATGTTGCGAGGGGGCTGAGCGAGGCTCTCGGTAATGATGTCTTGACGAGCCTGAAGAGTCATGGTTCGGGCGGAGAAGTGGAGTGAGAAGGAGAAGAATACAAGGAGAAGAAGAAGAACAAGAAGAGTTGCTTCGTCGCGGATCTATGTATATTAGAAAGCGCCAAAGTACAGGGACTGCGAGATAAAGACCGGTATTGAACAGCCCAGCCAAGCCCAAACCAATCACATACTAGCCTAGCCCTCCGATCGACCCGGAAGTCGTCACATTTCCTCGGATACTCAATTCTAAGATTAGCTTTGCCTGATCTCCGCCTTCTTTTTTGTAACAAATTTGACAATATCTACCATAACCACAACTGATAAGATATATGCTACACTATTTAATTACAAAAGATCGTCGTTCTACTATGAAGAAAGTAGTACGAATAGAAGGTCCTTGCCGTGCTCTGTTTTTTCCGGGTATTTTATTGATTTTTACACATTTATCGTAAATTTTATTGTATTGTATTGTATTTTTTTTATATACATATATTCTTTATCTAAATCAAAGAATAAATATATATGTATATATATTTACTGCATTAGCTGGAGTTTGTTTTGACTACGCAGCTGAAACAAAGTATTGGCACAAATGATTAATATCTATACATACAATTAGTACTATAAAGTCTAAACGCACACATATACACATACATACATACGCATATCTAGGTGCGTGAGTGAATCCTGTGCATATTAATGCCATGAATGCTAGCATGCTGTTGATATTCGAGGGCGAGAAAAATGCCCAAAAAGGAAATGGAGATAATGTGACTCATCCCGATCCCTGTAGTGGTATATTTTTTTAGCTCTATCTTTTCCCCAGACGCTATAACACTATTTCTTAAAAGCAATGTCTTTTCAAGATGTTGAATTTTGTATATATCTTTTCTTATAAAATCTTCAAACTTTGCAACATTATACTGAGAATGTAAAAGTTACCATTGTAACTTTTAAATCACTCTTTTTTTTAAAGCTACATTACGGAATTCGCAATTATTTTTAACAATATATCTATATATATATATATAGATATAATTTTGTTGCTGTTGCTGAGCAAAGCCAACCACCAACTCATTTTTTTTCTACTGTCAAAAGATTTGCTTCACATAGTAACTACTTGAAAAAGTATTCTAAACTTGGTTTCAAATTATTATTTTTTAGCGGTAATTGTCATTATAGTCGTAAAAGGCATATATATTTAAGCCAGACGATAAAGACAAGGTGAAACAGTCAATTGAAATATACGAGTATACCTATTATAATTAGTATAATATAGTATTAGTCATAATGAGATCTTCTTTAAGTAATATATAGACCAGTGTTCGGGGTCATATACTGCTATTTAAGCAGCTGGGTATTGTAATCGGTACCACTTAGAGATGTATTAAACGACACAACGAACGTGGTAATATTATCTTTGATAGTTGCAAAAGAAAAAGAAAAAAGTCAGATCGTAAACTGATTCTAAAAAAAAGTCTATCGGAAAGTCATCAAAGCTTTCATCGATTAAGATGAATAACTGTATTGTTGTTGAAGTAGCTCAGTATTTACAGGAAAAAAGTTCACTGGCTTTGGGAAGTTTCTATATTGTCGCTTAATGTTTTACGACAAGAAAGTGTAGCCATTCACTTGGACAAATAGACTTTCACTCTGTGGATAAAAAAATCCCCTATCATAAAATGAAGGAGTATTATAATTGTTGGGCTCGTGAACAAAACAATAAATAAATTAAAATGATCCCTGAGATGAACTGTGTGTCTCTTTATGAGACGCTCAAGATGTTGACCTAAAAGAGGTATCCGTGCTGCTGTTAAATCACCTAAAACGAGATCAGAAACAACGTTCATATTAGATGCCGTTTCTGCTTCCAACCTGGTTGAGATTGGTGAGATAGTGCTAAAGGCAATTAAAAAACAAAAGGCTAAATGATAAAGACCAGATAAACACTGGTAATATAGCGAATCACTATTTCCGTTTATCTATCTTTTTGCTTTAGAGAAATCACAATATATTAAATGGGCAAAAACGAAAAGTAATAGAGCAATTGTATTGTTGTTTTTTGGGCAATACACGCATACATATACATACATATATAAATAAAGGTATAGCATAAGTATATCAAATGGCGAGGATATTGATGTGCTTATTTTCCGTCACACTCCGCTGAACTTAATCCAGTCCAGACTTTCTGGTTGGTGGTAAATAGTATGGTTAAACGTGAGCGGTTATTGAGACAAGAAAAATTATCGATAAGAAATCAAGAAGAAATATCTCAAAGCAAAGAAAGGCAAATGACTAGGAAAACTTTACTTCGAATTCGCACCAGGTCTGGTAGAAATCTCGAAATACTGGAACCGATATGATATGCATACAGGGGACTTCCAGTCAAATATCAAAATAAGATAAGTGGATATCATAAGGTTAAACAAAAAAGCAAGAAAAAATGCGATTTCATGTGTATGTACTCTACGTACTAGAAGCTTGCCCTTTACTGCTGTTTAAAGGTTAATAATTTCGGATAATGATGTCTTAACCTTTGTTGCCTTGAGCTTATTTTTTTATTTTATTTTTTATTTTTCTTTCTACCAGTTAAAGAAGAAGGCAAATGTATTGTAACAATATGTAAGGCGCAGAACATCAGTATTTTAAAAAATGTAAGAAACTAGTCTTGGGGTTTCTTACGCAGAGAAAGGTAGATAGAGCTTCTCAAATCCGAAGAATCGTTAAAGCTGACATTTATTTAATCATTGTTCATATTTGCCTTTATGTATTCTGCGCTTTGAGATAACAGAACGTAACAAAATGATAATAAAGATGATTTTGGCTGCATTGAAAATATAAGCATTATTGTTATTTTTCGTAAACATCTGGGAACAAAGTTGGCCAAAAAATCCTATCTCACATGCCATACTGGAAGTATAGCTCTTCTTGAAACACAAGCAAGCCATGGACCAATTTACCAAAATAATAATACTTATAGCTTGTGGTCTATCATTGGATAATTAGGATACTTATTAATAAACAAACAAACAAATAAAGGTGTATAGTGTAGAGCATCGTAATTACGATCGATATTTACTAAAAAGTCTTAAGACCGTACAGCTTTATTATTTTAATATGGAGTATGATTACGCTTAGACTCCAATATTTGATATGACACTTCCTTGTTTTCTCCCGGGGTAAGTTTGATTTTTGAAAATTCCTACATAGAAACAACAACTGTTGCTGTAATCGATACACCCTAGACACTTGTTCTTACCTTTTCTTTCTTTCTTTCTTTATGACATTGCATGTAAACAAAACTTGTGGCAACCTACAGTAGTATGAATTAGATTTGATTATTTCGTTGAAGACATACTTTGTGGCACTATGAGAGCGGGAACACCAACATATCCTACAGACATCCGATTAACATTTTTGAGGGGAGTATTTTATTTTATTTTATTTGAATAAAGCTGTTCAGTTGCAGAAATACATCCTTCAAATCACATTCCTTTGAAGATTGGTATTTTGTTGAAGGGCCGAGATAAACTGTTTTTCAATCTGTATATATATTTTTTAAGAAACATACTAAGAGTATGTACAAGTATTTGTACAACAAAAGCACCAACTTGTTTCCACATCCTTAATGTATTATATTCTATTATCAGGACGCTATATGATATGGATATTCTGGATATTATTTTACGTATTAAGAGTGTAGTTGATATTCAAATAAGCCAATCTGATCTAATAAAGTACTAGTTAATAGCCAAGGCCTACTTGATTCAATAAACAAAGAACGTTTTGGAAAGATATAAGTATTACTATTGTCATTACTATTTGGTTTGGAAACATTTTTACATACTTTCTTGCCCCAAGAATAAAATTAAAATTTGGTAATTTTTTGTCAAGACTATAAAGTAGAATTGAAAGTGTGTGCATAATTTATGTAAAATCGAAATATATATATATATATTTAAAAAAAGAAGACACTCTTTGAAATTAATTTTGCTACACTGATTAGTTCTGTTGGCGAGGTCTAGCGAGTAGCTCGTCTACCTTTGCAATTGTCTACAAAGATACACACATATATATTTAAGACAAAAAAATAACATATATCACACAATCTCATACCAAGCGTCTTTATTTTTACACTTATTACCTGGTGAATGTCTGGGCGTGCTTTGGGATCAGCATTTAATATCCAAGTAATCAAGTCTCTAAATTCCTTTGAATACTGTTTTTCATAACCATTGCCCGAAGGGAATTTGAACTGTCCATTGAGAACAGCCAATGCCATCGAGCCGCCCTGTTCATTCATATTCATCTCAAATGGCGATTGTCCATAGGCCATTGCATATAAAGTGCAACCCAAAGACCATATATCAACTTTTTCATCCAGCACAGAGTCAGTTTTGACATCAAATAATTCGGGTGCCCTGTAAGGCATTGAACAATGTTCGGCAGCAATGTCCTAATTAAAAGAGATGTGAATGAGCTTTAATAAAGGTTATTTAATTTTTACTTATTAATTATTGCTAGTCATTTTGCGTGTATGAGAGAGGGAGTATGTGTTTTACCTGTTGGGCAAGTGCTTCCTGTCGAGAGTGGATCTCAATACGTGCTTTACAGGCCGATCCAAAGTCCATAAGTATTGGAGTGACACCATCGTCGGACATGAGAACGTTTCTAAAGCAACACTTGCATTAGAGACAATTATGTACAAGTATTCTATAAAGAAATCTCTTTCTATCTCTCTTTTTTTTTACATTTGTTAAATTTACCCTGGCTTAATGTCCCGGTGAGCCCATGGCATCAGATCTCCTCTTGTTCCCTGCACTTGTTGTGGTTCTGATCTTTCCTGATGAGTCTGTTCTTCAAGCAAGGCTCGGGCCTGCTGGGCATTTTCGTCTTGAATACTTTGTGGAGCATTAGCTTCGTATTGATCTCTGGCTACACCCTTGACTGTGTATGTGTGCAATGCTTTTACGGCTTCACACACCTGACGGAAGATATTCAATGCCTGTTCTTCCGAGAAATGTGTCGAATGAAGCTGGTTGCGACTAATGGCATCTTGCAAGTTGCCTTTCTATATCCACACATCGTATAAGACATCCAGAAACAACATTTGTTCCGTTTCCCACTTATACTATATATCTATATTTATATCGACTGAAGCTATTCGCGTGTGCGCCTGGGTGTATATGTGTGTCCGTGTATTAATTCTTTCTTACCTTGTAATAAGGTAAGAATATGTAAATCGTCTTGCTATCATCAGATTCTGTGACAGTGGCGCTATCCTTGAAAATTCACATATAATAAGTAAAGTATATAAAATACAAAATATAAACTATAAAATCCAACGTTTCAATTTACTTACGAGAAGACGAATGATATTTTTGTGGGAAAACAATTGATACATTTCTACCTCACGCTGTGCTAAAGCTTCCTCCGTTGTTCCCATATTGCATCGAATTTTCTTGAGGGCATACAGGTTACCAGACCCATCCTGAGCAAGATAAACAAATGAAAAGCCTCTGAGACCGATACACACTATAGTCAGACATTGTACTAGATGCAACAATTAAATATATATATATATATTACCCTTCTCCTAAAAGTTTGATGATTCTGTAAGCGCGACCATTAATACTGATGTTTGAATTTGGGATGCACATGTTTGTAGCAGAGACAATTGCATCAAAGAGGGCAGTCAGGAACGACATCTTTTATTTTCTTTCTAATGGGTATAGGAATGAAGTTGTGAATTAAAGTAGGTCAAAGGAGTGTGAATAAAAAGGAGGTGTGTGAAGATGGTCAAGGTTGATTTCATTTAACCTACACTCTTTGCTTAGCGGAATACACTATGTATAGTTGATTACTATTATAATATTATATTATTATACTATATATATATTATATACACACAATATAATATTTTTTTGGCTCCAGTTTCTACCTAACACTTTCTTGTACCTTTTGATGCTTTTTTTCCCTTACTCTCGCTGTCACACAAGTATGTTTGTAACATTTCCCTTGATATAAGAATTGTTTAGTGGGCCTTACTTAATGGCACAGATACACAATAGAAGGCAAGTTGGTTTATATATATTTATTGATAATTAATGCCAATAACTGTCTCCCAATGACACCCAGTCGAATGCACTTTAATGGGATAATATGATAAGAGTAGTGCTTATTTTCCAGGGTTCTCTTGGTTAGATATCATTTCAGAAATATTCTTCTGAAGCAAATGCCAGTCATCCGGCTTTGGATTGGCAATCTATAAAACAAAGTACAGGATAAATTAATACATGTATACAAACTCTCACTGACATTTTACTTATTTTTATTTTTACCTCTCCAATATCATAAACATAGACACGACCGTCGCTTGAACCTATCGCGGTCTTCTTGCCTTCTTTATCCCAAGCCAACTTGTTCAATGCCTTGCCAGATCCAACCGGCGTGCTCACAAATGGTTCCTACAATACCGTTTAACATATGAACTAAATAAAGAGATGCAATTGACTTACCTCTGTGTCAGCATTCAAATTCCACAGATCAAATTGTCCATGGCCATCTACAGATCCAAAAAGAGCAGGGTGTGATGGAGACCACTTTACATCATACACGTAATCATCAGCCTGTTCAAAGGAGTACAGGGGAGTGATAGTAGTAGGTTGTGTCGATGTCTTTGACACAGACTAAGTGGGAGCCAAATTACAGCCAATTTATGATTATAATATTAGTCTTCCTTTTTTTTTACTGCTTTTCATTTTTCTTCTTCTTACCTTTGAACGCCAAAGTTTGACTGTCCAGTCAACAGAAGATGTCAAGAAGAGGTCAGAGAAATCAACAGGTCCCACAAGAGGGTGGAATTGCATGCCAGTAACCATGCCGTGATGTCCTTTATAAGTATCATATTGGTTGATTCCTGCCTTGCTATAAAATTATAAACAATACCCAAGTATACACATATATAGAGTCGTTTGAGCTTCAATTCATTCGGGTAGCTCAATAGTGCCTTACCTTCCGGCGCGATCGTAACGATTGGCTTGATAAACATTACCCTCCTCGGTTCCTACCCAGAAGGTAGTGGTTTCATTATCTGGGAATCCTACACATGTCACAGACACTTCATCTGTCTTATTGTGGGCAGGATGAAGCAGCTCAAGATAGTCCTGTCAGAGTATAAAATCAATACTTGATGGCTTATGTATATATATATATATATATTACGTGGCTTATAGTAAGCTAATTAATATACCTGAGGCTGGGCAAGCATGTCAAGTTGCCATGAGCAAATAAACCCATCGGTACTACCGGATATAAGATTGTGTGCATTTTGTGTTCCAACCATCTCAAGTGAATAAACAGGATGAGTATGTCCTCCTGCAGACAAAGGAGTCTTCAACACAGGAAGGGACTTGGCACGGGTATCCCAGAGTACAATTTGACCGGAATAGGTACCACCGATCACGTAGTTGGGATGGAATTCACTAAACTTGACACTTAAGACATCCGACTACAAATATATAAAATATACATTAATATCTTTTATTATTATTATTATCATTATTATTATCGTTATTACCTGTGAGTGGAATACAAATTCAGGGCGTTCTAGCAAATGAAGGTTCCACACAAGCGCAACACCATCTGGCTCGTTTAGTGCCATTGGGTTTTTGTTATAGGAAGATACGAGTAGCTCGGGGTACTAAATAGCAAAAGAAAGGGTATCAAAGCCAGCAAAAAATGATCAGTTTCATTCCTTGATTTTGGTCGTATAGCGTTCACTGTAAGAATAGTTTACTTTGGATGACCAGTCAACATCAGTGACCGATCTGTTCTTGGACCACTTTTCATCCCAGAATTCACAAACGTATTTGACTCGCTTTCCTGAACTCTCATCACTTTAAAGGCATTAAAAAAATTACACACACACACAGATAAATATATATATATATATATATTACCATGGTAAACTTTTTTTGACAACCATTACCTTTCGACATCGACGCCAAGGGTATAATCTTTCATGAAATCATATTTCTCATTCAGAGCTCTTTCAACAACTTTTGACGAGGTATCAACAAAATCAAGAAACTCGGGTGTTGACACAATCATTTTGCGTTCTTCTTCAGTCAAATCTATAATAAAATACAGAATTAGATCAAGACCGTGCTTATATTTCTCCTTCTTGATATATAAATATAAATATAATAGTAATAATAATTAATTTACCTCTGAATTCTTCACTCTTTTCTTGTTCAGCTCGTTTTTTTTCTTCTTCGATGACTGCCTGACGTTGCCTTTCCTCCTGTTCAAATTCCTCGACAATCTGTCGACGGATCTCTTCTTCTGATAGTTGTGGTGTGTCAAACGAGCCCTCGGTTGTCTGGATCTCTTTACTATAGACCACATGTTCCTGTCAATCACACCAAGTCAGCCCCCAAAAAAATCATAGATATCAGTACATTCATTGTTTTCTTACAAGAGGCGGAATGTCAGCAACAAATGCCTGACAATCTGTCAATTCTGCCACATAGTTTGGTGTTGACAGAGATGGCTGTGAAGAGAGAGAGTGGCGTTGTTCGTTTCTGTACACACAAAAGACATATATAAATATCGATTTTTCATTTCATTTTGTTTTTGATTGTTTATGCATATATATATATGTGTGTGTATGTGATGATTGATTAAGACAGCTGATTTTCTTAGAAATAAGATTCTATTTTCTTACGTGCTGATGGGTGTGCCTGGAATAGAATAGCTGAGATTGGCAGATTGAGGTCTTGATGAGGCGAAATCTGAACCAGTGTCCGATCCTTGGTCAGATGTAGCCACGGCTGCCGCAGGCGAAGCTGGAGCAGGTGGACGTTCACCCAACACAAGAGCAACTAGATCATCAATGGCTTTTCTGTTCTTTCCAGCAGTCGAGTTCTTAAGCAAAGACCACAATGTGATCTGGATGAGATTCCTTGGACATTAATGTATTTGTCGTTAATGTTACCGAAGTGGTTTGTGTGTGGTTTGACTGAGTCTCCAGAATCGCTCTGCGTTCTTCTCTGGCCCGACGGAGCTCAGCCAACTTTTGACGCTTCTTTTCTAATTCTTCCTTTCTGCGGTCCATCCTTGAACTTTTCCCAAAGGACAGGCACAAGCTTTGCCCCTTCTGTACGGCTATTTTTGTAGGCCGACAACTCACTTTCACGATGTGCTACGTCACTATCCCTTTAACAACGCACCAACGCACTAACAATGGTTTTGTTGTAAAGCAGTGTTTGTGGAACAGCAAGCTTAGGATTGGGCACATTTTTTTTATAAACATATATATATATATATGCAACTATCTGATAATCTTTATCTCTTGGTCGAAGCTAAACTCTTGCAGCTGGGCATATTATGTGAGAGTTTATTGTATATGTATATATAGTGTTGCATACCAAAATCCTCAAATAAAAGATAGACTTTATTTATTTATTGATAAGAAAATAAGAAGCTTATGAATTCATGTGCGATCTATAAAAATTCTGAATTTCACCTTTTTTATATAGCACAATAGCCTTTTTGTAGAGATTGTACTGCAAGTGGTTTTGAGGCCTTATTCATTAGTATTTCTCTCTCTTTATGTTAAATATGGTTTTTTTTCTTGATCACTTACAGTACTGTTTTTGTAATAAACCAATTCAAAAATTACTTGCGTTCCCTACGAAAATAAAATCAGTTACCAATAATCGAAAGTAATAAGTACTTCTTTACTTGTTTATTTATTTTTTTTAAAAAAAGAAACTTGAGTATTATTGCTCAAATCAGATATACAGTAAATTCATGCCTCTTCTTTAAAACTCTATATATACATATATATTTTTTAACAAAAGATTTGTATTAGTTGAAGCACAATATTTGTTGAATGAAAATATGTGTGCCATGTAAAGTAGCTAATCGGCCACTCACCAGCTAAAGAATTCTAATACATGAAGATATTATTATGGTTTAATAATAATGATAAAACAAATCGCATAAAATAATACTATCAACTAAATATGCCAATATACTAAATACTACACATTTTACTCTATATGTATATAGTTCTTCCACCTTGAAGATTCCTATCAATAACAAAAATACAACATATAGTTAGGAGCGAGTACAAGAAAAAAGGTGGGAGTGCTGAGCACATAAAAATAGGCCAGTTCTATAAAGAATATTATACTCCAAAGTTATAGTTCTACTTGAGAATATAGCAAACAAAAAAAAAAGGTTCTCAGCTAATTATATCATTTTCCTTGCTACTTTGGATAAGAGTGTACTAGCAGGTAGGATGTATAAGGATCTGGTCAACAAAACAGGGCACGAAACGCCAATAAAATGATAGCGAAAAGGTTTCTCCTTAACAGTGCTTACAGTAATTGAAATCAAATACCCCGTATATGAAAATCAGAAATATTCTGTCCTTGCAAGAGAACAGTGAAACAATTCACGGACTTTCAACATTTTTTTTTTTTCTAGAATTGTAAGACTTCTAAATATGGAGTATAATTTTTGCGATCGATAACGTTTTTTTTTTTGTAGCCTTAAAATCGTAGTCCGTGAGCAACTTTCAGAAATGAGAAAATTAACTTCTATTTTCGGATTAACTTACTCTAAAGAAAGTAAAAAAAAAAAAAGCCTATTTAACGTCCGACTTTAATCTTTACATTTTTTTAAGGAAAAGCTAAAATAAAAAAATACAATCCAATTGACAGCTGACAAACTCTACTTTATATACTCTCCGCTTAAACGTCTTAAAGAAATAAAATAAAATTAAAGTTCCTATTAAAATCTTTAGAAAACTGACCACTTGGAAACTCAAGAATTTTGTAGATTTTGTTGCCTTTTTGGTCGGTGTTTAGAATAATATAATACTCTTTCTATACAATCCAGACAAGAAAAAAAAAGAATAAAAAAAACGCCAAAAATACGCGTCGCGTCAATTATTTGTCTCTTTTAATCCTATTTTTACTTTTTACCAATGTCACTTGTCAATATCCTCAACATTCAGGTTCTCGACAACCCTTCTTACTTTACAAATCCATTCCAGTTTGAAATTACTTTTGAATGCAATGCTGAACTTAAAGAAGGTAATTATTTCTTAGCTTTTTTTTTAATTTTATTTTTAAGACGATGATGAATCAGATTTGCTCACCTTTGCTCAGATCTTGAATGGAAGATGGTTTATGTTGGCAGTGCGGACGACAAGACCCACGACCAAGTTCTTGATTGTATAATGGTCGGTCCCATTCCTGTAGGAATCAACAAGTTTATCTTTGCTGTAAGTAGAACAACTGAGTTTTGCGTGATTAGAAGAATAAGTGCTGCGGTTGGTCCTAATTACAATCGAATCATTTAGGCCGATGCACCCAAAATCGAGCTGCTGCCTAAGAACAACCTTTTGGAAGTAACAGTCGTTCTCCTGAGCTGTGCTTACAATGACCAAGAATTCGTTCGTATTGGATATTATGTGAACAATGAATATATGGACGAAGAAATGCGTCTTGAACCTCCCGAGGAAGTCATTGTTGAGAAGTTGCAGAGAAATATTTTGGCAGACAAGCCAAAGGTTACCAGGTAAAAATAATAATAATATGTATTATCTGGGGATTGACTGTTAGATCAACTTTGTACCAATAACTGGGATTTCTAATGATGTATCTATATTTGCCGTTATCTTTTATGTAGATATACTATCAATTGGTAAATATGGACTGCTGAAACGATATGAGAAATATAATATAATATAGTATTATATGCTTAAAGTGTTTGGTGGCTAACATTGTGTATGTGTGTGTGTGTGTGTAATTTTTTTTTATAAAGGACTGGTCATGGCGATCCTATTCAGCAAATGGTTCAGGATGACACAAGGATCGAACAGGACGACCAGATGATGGACTAATAGATGATAATAAAGTGTTCTCGAGCACTTTTTTCTTTATATTTTAGATCATCACAAAAACAACGCAGATTGTTTTGTGAAATGATATTTAAAGTCATTCAATCAAATTCCCTTACTTATTGTACACTAGGCAACAACATCGACAACAACAGCAACAACAACAACAGCAACAGCAACAAAATGAATTATATATTTTGCCTGTATGTCTCCCTATTCTTTATTTTATCTCTTATTAATTTATCACTGTATATTCATTGCATATACATGTATACAAACATAAACATGTATATATTTCAAACAACATCAAAAAGAAAGAAAGTGTGACGATGATAATTATCTTTATACACATCCTGAAAGCAATTGTGTAATGTGTGTAATTTATGTATCAAAAGCACAAGCCAACTATCAAATAATAGTAAAAATAAAATAGAAAAACAGCAACAAAGATAATTAATGAAAGATACTACCTAATTATTTTATTCTACATTACAGTTAATACAATCTATAATAGAAAAATAAATATAAGATAAAACGTGAGAGATTAAAATAACGTTAAATTTGCGGTGTGCACAGTTCAGGGTTTTCAATAATTAAAGTGTTATCTTTTGTGTCTTTTGATATCTTGACAATTTTCGTGCGCACTAAGATATGCCTCATTTATGCATAATAGCTAATTTAGTTTTAGAGCCATTTTCAGTTTACATATCTTGAAGAGTAAGATTGCTTATCCACTTTGAAATCAAGTCGAATCCATTTTCTGGCTGGTCGAAAATAGCCTACAAAAGATATATGTACAAGTTAATTCTACCCACTTAATCTTCCAAACTCTTTATTTAGTAATAAAAAATAAATAAAATAAGATTACCATGTGACCCGCATTTAGAATTCTTATGAAAGTTAATTTATCAAAAGAGCGAACGTAACCAGCTATCTTTCTGGTATCGCTGTTCCGCCATACTTCATCCTTTGCCTGTTGGTATTCGTCTTTTCCTGGCCATTCCAGCCCTAGAGAAAGGGCCTTGTTTCCATACCTATCATAATATCCTTCCGGGTGAATCTTGTATCAATCGCATTCAGATACCCAGAATCGTGCAACCTACCAGTTACACTGCCAATCCATGTCACCTAGTATAATATAACTCCAAACAGATTAGGGCACACATATACACATATACACATATATTTATATTTATCTTTCCCCACACACCTGCGAACATTAACACTCGCACGCCTCTTGTCAAGGATTGCGAGATATAATGAGAAAAGTCATATACCCTAATAGCCATAACAACAACAACAACAACAACAACAACAACTGATAATCAGATTTACTATCATGTAGTGGCGTATAGGCTATCGATTTTTGGGGCTTACATGTCAGCTGATAGGACGAAACGTGTTTCCATGGCTGGATTGCAGTGCGAAAATTGGCCAACCTGCGGATCAACGCCAAGTTCTTGTCTTACATAGTCTTTGTCGGCCCACACTTCCAAACGGTACATCTCTTGGTAGCAATAGTCTGTAGTCTGTCCACATACTCTTCGGATATCAAAAGGATTAAGCCCTGTATTTTCAAAAGGGTCCAGTTGGGTATGTTTGCAATAAAGCCCGGCCGGATAGCATGTGGCTCGGGATGGATACTTATAACAGAGATCGGCCAAATATTGACACCGAGCCTTTGTATCTCGCATGGACTTGCATACTTGCTCATCAAAGATGGGTTGATCTAGATTGTGATTATGATTATGATTATGATTGTGAATATATGCAAATAGGATTAGATTATCTCTCTCTCTCTCTCTCTCTCTCTCTCTTATTATTTTTAATATTTTGGATCATACTTGCAATCACTATCATTAGAGCATCCATAATCTTCATAAAATCCAATTTGGGTACTAAAACCTGTCCAACCATTGCCAATCAAGATAGACACCAATTCAATTGGCAAAAGGTCATTCTCGTGGGCATGTTCATTGTTAGTAGATATAACATCAGCTAATGTTGGAATATAATGACCTCCTAAGCAGAAGGTTTAATGAAAAGATAAAGAGGTAAAGAGACTATAAGGCAGGGAGGTCAATTACCGTAAGACTCGCCTGCAATATGAAATTGCGTTTTATACTTTGGGAACATGCGAAAGAAGACTTGCAGAAAAGCATAGACATCTTGGGCAGCCCTGTTTGAACTTGTCACTCTAGATTTACCGTAACTGTATCCTGTGCCTACAGGCTATTTGAAAAGCACATGTTTAAATGTACTCACGTATTTACATTTCTATAAAAAAATGTGAAAATCATTGTGTAAATTGATATTTACCTGATCAAGAAAAATCAGATTAGCCAGCTTATTCCAGCTGTGTGGGTTAATATGGGTCCCATTTGCATCGCCATTGATAAGACAAGGCCTGATAATGCATATAGGTTTGTAATAAGAACATGAACCCTTATTTCATGATGAAATCCTACCCTATTTCTACCCACGCCCCTGCCATTGAAGAGCAGCCAGGCCCACCATTGAGCCACAATAAGGTAGGGTCTGATGCAGGCGACCCCTGGGATTCGAAAAACAGAAAGAAGAAGTGGTCGTCTGTATCAAGCACATCGACATAGCCAGAAAACTAAGACGTATTTATATATATTTGTCCGTAGATTTTTTTTTTAAAAAAAAATAATAGTAATCTTTGGTGTAGAATTATGAGAATACCTGCACTTCACTGCCACAAAGTGCTTGTTGGGTTACTCGGATAGAATATCCTTTAAGATGGGTATTGTTCAATATCTGGCTCTTATTGTTTTCACTCAAGGTTAGTTTAAGGAGAGTTGAGGTCAGATTAGGGCCGACTACTCCGAGTTGGTATAGTGCAATGCCAAGAAACAGGATGCAGGATGCAGTTGAGATGAGTATAGTTGTCCAATGATGCATCTCAATGTAATTTTTGCTTGTTTGTTTTCTTGTTTGAGTGTTGCAATAATACTAGTCAATAGTTAGCAATAAATTGGTCTTGTGTGAGAAATGAATATAGAAGACAAGCCACTTTAAAGATAAGATACATTTTCTCCTTTTATGAACAGTTGAGATAAGCAGCTGGAAAATTATCCAAAAAGTAAAAAAAAGTAAAAAATAAAAAATTGCTCAAAAACCTATCTCTCATACGGAAATCAGGATCATGGCTTATAAATTTGAAAGGCTATAAAAGTCGTATCTTATCACACGGGAAAAAAAAAGAAAAAAAAAAGTTTTATCGATGTTTGAACATTAAAGGCACATTTACCCAAATACAAATCTATTATCAATTAAAATAATAATAAAAAAATTAAAAATTAAAAATTGTATAGAAAAAAAATCTATAAAAGAAAACCAACCAAACCCTTATCATCCTTTACTTGCTCTCTCTCTCTCTCTTACTTACTTACTTTTTATCACCCACAAATGTCTCTCAATCACACACTTGACCCTCGTCGAGACTCTCGATCAAATGAAGACACTTCATTGCCGACCACACCCACAGATAATGTATACCCAGCTATCGATATTAAATCCTCAGAAGCTTTGCCAGCCAATGCAAAGAAAAACGTCCATTGCTGCGCAATTTCAACAGCTCACGACATTTCGCTACCTGAACAATCTGAATCCTCCGAATCAAAGAAAAGCTGCAGAGATTGCCAGACGCGTTTCTTATTAGCAAACCGGTGCTCAACAAGCACCATACAGTGCCATAACTGTGGTACCAACACCACCCCACTCTGGAGACGAAACGAAGAAGGCCAGACTATATGCAACGCATGCGGTCTTTACTACAAACTACACAGCGTTCAACGACCAATTGCAATGAAAAAGACTACAATCAAAAGACGCAAACGGTTTATGTTTAGCAACGTACAAAAAAAAGAAAAGGGAAATAATGGGTCCAATCGTCAGCGAAACCAAGGAAAGTCTTCTAGAAGTAATGGAGCTACTTCTTCTACTTCTACTTCTACAGCTACTACAACTGTACCTACAACTACACCATCTACACTATCCACACCAGTTGCCACCAATAAAGAAGTACCTGCCGATAACAGCACAAACAGCTGTTCCCATTGCTCCACAGATCAGAACAAATCACGGAGAAAGTCTTCCGGTGCAAACACACAGCTATCTAACTCTCACAATAAACGTCAGAAGAGGTCCTTATCAGATCCCAGAGATTTCGAAAGTAATCATTTTATTCCAGCATATTCCCCAAGAATACATCACGTAGACGAAATACCATGGAATACACAGAAAGCAAACAGTTATCTACCCAATCTTCGATCTTTGATTGCCGGAGAAGAAGAAATGATTCATCCCCATGGAATTCCCTTTACTTCCAGTAGCAGCAAAAATATTAATAATGATGATAATGACCATAGAAACAACATTAATACTACTAGTAATAGTAATAATAGTAGTAATAATAATAGCAACAACAATAATATCAATGCTTCCGGACTCCCAACATCAGCTATCGCAAACACTCTCATGAGTATGCTACTCGAACCCGCGAGATTTCAACAAGTCATGCAGGCACGACGAAATGATCTTCAAAAGGAGGTTGACAGTATCAACGCACTATTATCTCAGTCTTCCAAAGTATTAGAGAGCTTAGATGTTGTCCTATCAAATTCATCATCTCCAACCAGCAAAAATACCACAAATTCAACAAATCAAAACACTCGTCGCAATAGCACAGCCGAATCTTTACCTTCCTTATCTCTGTTTCACTCGAAAACCCAATCACTCCAAACACAAAATACATCCGCAATTATCAACACATTTCTGGAAGGACAGATAGGCGAAGTATCTGGTAATACCCTAGCCTCTATCCTTGCCCTTGGTGCTGCCTTGTCTGAACGACAAAACTCAAATAATAATACCCTGTCGCTTTTTCCAAGTTTACACTCCAGAAACACATCTCGTCAACCTGCCACTAATAATACTACTAGTCCAGCTTCTGTAAACAACGGCAGTACCGGCAGTAATAGCAATAAATCACCTGCATTTACATCATCTCTTCAAAAACCACTCACCCCCACCTCCTCACCCTCGACTTCTCCTTATCGTCTTTTCCAACTTGCCCCAATTGGACCCTCAACCCAGCATTACAGATCTTCTTTCTAAGCATATTTATATTTTATATATTTATTTACATTCATTACTTGAATATATTAAAGTAATAAAACCAAAAGTTAATGTTTTACATGTATAAATCGTTCTTCTTTATTTATTTACTTCTTGTAAACAAGCAAATAATCTTTAAACATGTGTACTCTATTCAACATTTATCAAGCCAAGGTCTGGCCTGAATGTATCTTATTTAATGTGCATGTATATACATATATAGATTTCTTATTGTTCAGCGTATATTTATATTTGTTTTTGTTTTTGTTTTATTATTATCAATACTATTTTGTAATCAATATGATTGCCAAGGTTCTGGCTGTCCACAATGTAAATACTAATAAAGAAATAACAAGATAACAAGATAAGAAAAAGATAAGCCCACCTGTGTCTATCGCTCATTTTCTATCCCAAAATTTGAAACCATCTTTATTAGGCTCAATATATAGTACACATATAAATACACACACCAGAAAGAGAGATGGAAATAGATAATCACTTTTTGTCTGGAATATCTTACTGTGTGCAATGGTACATATCAGGAGATCAAGCTTTCAACAATTGATAAGCCAAAACCTCTTTATTATCACAATTTCTGTTATCGCAACGTCAAACCCGAACGAGCGCCACAAGCGTGGGAAAACCAAAAAATGTGGGAATCCAAAATCGGAATTGATTAATTTATCAGTGTGGAGTATATGTCAATTTGCGTTATCCCTTCCAATATCAAATTGATATTATTCTACCAAGATATCTGATTTCTGAGATCCTTTTTCATTTTTACACACAAATGCCTACCATTTATATTAATCTAATAAATAACCAATAACCGAATCACAGCATTTTACCTTTTGGTACAAACGCTTTTATTATTGTCTACCACAGAATGCCTATAATTTCCTATGCGTATCTACCATATAATTCTCTCTCTTTTTCTCCTTGTTGGTTAATAAATGACACCTATCCTGTCTCTGATATGCTTTATCTACTACAACCACTTGCATACCTGTAAAAGAATCCAAACTGTAGTTAATTTTGCAGAAGCTTGTTTTTCTTCTTTTAATTAGCTTTGTGTTTTATAATCACTCAAGAACAGGAATAAAAAAAAAGATGTATTTCCTGGAACAAATATATAATAGTAAAACCATTCAATCATTGAGGATTCATTACCTTCTTTGTATTTAGATTTTTCAAAATATTGGAATTGAGACACATGAATTATTGGTTAAAGTTTTTTTTTTTTTTAAAAAAAAAAACCCCCATATCGGACCGGTCGGTACAAATTTAGCCGAGGAGAGCATGATCCTAATAAAGTAGATACTTGGTATTAGTTGTATCACATAGGTTGAAGAAGATAAGAATGATAGTTATTGGACCACATGAATTAAAGTAAATTTTTCCATCATCATGATTTTTTTTAGTAGTATCTATGGTGATATAGACCCAATGCTACTTTATATGCCATTTTCGCTCTCGTTGTTCCGAGCCAAACTGCACACATGTTTCTTTTGACTTCTATACTCACCTTATAGTTGATATATTTATAGCTCTAAATGTCTTTTATGATACTCTATTATCTTCCCAGTGGAGGCTCTTTTTGTTTATGACCTTTTTTTTTCCAGCTACAACCTACAACATATATCACAGAACTTTTACATAGCTTTCTTTATATATATTCCTATTTTTCTTTCATTAAAATATCTGCAGCTTTTTAGATTTTCCTGGTTAGCAGTTATGTAATAATTTCAATCAAACTGAACAATATTCTACTACCAAATATTCTGTTGTTTGATGTATTTAGATTATCATTGTATCAAGAGAGGTATTCCAATGCTAGGCTAACCCAACCAACATTTGTCATGCTTTATATGCTCTCAAAATTTTATCTTCAGCCTCAGATATTGGCTCCTGCAAAGATTTTTAGATAGCGTTCTTACAGAAAGTTAAACAACTATACTGGGAAACAGTCCTTGGCAATGTGTCTTTTGTTTGTACTAAGTTTTTTTTCTGGATCTGTTCATCAATTCCTGTATTCTTTATTTCTTCCAATTATTAGACATAATATACTTGGCCAGTCTAATGGTCACAATGTTATCTACAGGTGTGTCGATTTCATAGTTCTACGACCAGAAAAAAATCGAGGAGCTTGGGAAGTGGCTGTTCCGGGGTATTTTCCAAGAACGTCATGACAGCTCTGAGATTACTGAGCGACCAATTTGTATATTGATCATTAATATTTGGTGTGGACAGACTGAAAAGTGTTAAAAAAAGTTCAAACGACTTTGAATGACTAGTTATCCTTCCATTACCAATTGGATTGAGAAAAAAATATGGTTTTGGTGGAAGTCATGGGTCTCAGTGTCCAATTCCTAAGAAAAATCCCCCCGCAAGAAAATATTTTTACCTGATGGAAGAGAAAGTATAATGAGCACTTGAATTTTACACTGTCAACGTCGACTGTATCTTAAATTGATGAAAGGCGGCAGGTATGTTCTTACATTGCTTTGATCGCCATAAACTTTCTTAAGTCTCCCGACAGAAATTGAAGACGTGAGTGTACTAGTCTACATTGTGAGGAATATTGATTAAAACTCGAGGAACTTACCATTAGGGGATAGCCGCTTTTAATAACTTGATTGGTTTTACTGATTGATTTAGTTAAGCTTGGGGTACGAACGGAAGGTGTAAAAGCATCTTCATAAATAAACCATAAACAAGAACTAGTAAACGCCCAACATCCTCAGAAACACAGATTCTCTCTGTGTAAACCTCAATGTCTACACGAAGTGAGTCGAGTGCTTCCTTAATTGAAGAGCCTGTTTGGGCAACCTTCAGGATATCATGTTTCATTAATTATCATACGTACTGCGATGTCAAATGCTTTTTTTTCATGTATGGCCTGTATGCGCGAACCAAAGTTCAGTTGGTGAGGTCTCTTTTGTAAAAAGATGCTGGCATACTGAAACACCGATATTTTGAAAGCAGAAAACTGTCGTAAAAAAAGACATCTTTTATGGTTAGAGGATTTCAAGGTGTACATTATTTGGTTACGCCATCTTTGGACAGAAAACATATCCACAGTGAGATGCGACGGTTTTTCTTATTGCCTTTTGCTTTTCTGTAAAGGCATGATCTTGCAGTCTGGAAAAACAGTGGCTTAAAGGTATATAATTCAACATTGAAATAGCAGGTCAATACATTAATATGTGTTGATACTTTGTGCTGTAATTTATATATATATATAATTACTTTCTGGCTTATATCTGACTAGAGAGCCTAAACAAAACTATGCATACTGTCTATTGCTTCCCGTTCGTCGTGGAAGATATCTTGTCAAGGTTTTCTTTTGTAGACAATTTTATTAGTCCCTACACAGTCACGTATCGTAATGATGGGCGATACTGAGGATGTCTTAAAGACCTCGAATCTTATGAAAGAAAAGGGTAGAGTAAAGGGAAGAAAGTAAGAGCAGAAAAAATTAGAGAAATTGAAGAAACAAAAGAACAATTACCTTGGGCTGTCAAAGTTCATTCTATCTCTCTTTTGTCTTGTTTTTTTGTTTTGCAGTCAATATCACGTGTGGCCCGTGCGGTCTGTGTAACTGGAAATGTCTAGGGATTTGCAGGAGTATCTTCGGATTATGTAGCGGTACTTGATTTTGTGTTAAAAGCATTTCAATGATGGCTTCCGATTCGCTGTTTATATCGAATTTAACCCGTTGCTGATAAAAGTCGATTTAGACTGATATTATATCAGACTAATGATCGATGTGCACCAGTAACATGTGCAAAAAGAATTTTGGTATATAGCTTAGTATCTACAGTACAACGCAGGGCCATTTTTTTCTGAACATTTTGTCAGTAGTGTTCTTTAAATTGAACTTTTATCCACAGTTAACCAATCGTTGCGACAATCCTATTTGTCCATACAATTACATTTGATCTCTGCTTGGGACTACTATTTCTTGAGCTGGTAACTACTGTATTTTCAATATGCAATGCGAGCCTATACTACTTGCTATAATAGGAAATACGAGCCCTACTTTCTTACTACGAAAACCACCTTTGATAATAGAGATCATATTGTCATCTTGGTACAAAATTAAAAGATTTCTTTTGTCAAACCGCTATCATTTATCTGTTTATAATTTCTGTTTTTGAATAATAGCTGTTATACTTTTTATGACTGCAATTTTAATGCGCAAGGTTACTATAAACCATATATTTACTAACTAGGGGTTATTAGAGGTGTTATCTAATGGAAAAAGTGTGACTGCTAAAAAATAAAGATTGAACAAACCCAGTAAAAAACAAAGCACTCCGGCAGCAGTTGTGGAAACTTATCAATTGATGAGAATATCATACTGTGTCAAATATAAGAAAAATAAATCCTCATAAATTTCAATTTTTTTTTTTTAAATAAATTCGACCTTTAAAGATCGAATAAATTAATTACATATACAATAGACACTCCTGGCTGCAATATACCTTAATTTGAGAGTGAGATAATAAGCTTGATTTTGAGGAAATAATTAATGGAAAATGTTAGTGGAAAATTAGGAAATTCGTAATTTTCCACATACATTTTCCACTAAATCGCGTCAACCGAGAAAAACGTATAACAATCATTGGAAATTACATCGCCGTTTCAATTAAAAATGGATAAAATATTCAATTTTCCACTAGATAACACCTCTATTATGTCAATATATTTGGCTCAAATTTTGAAGATCCTAGCGACACTGTGCTAATAAACGAAATCCAAATAAAATAAAACGAGTGTTGGGATAACTATGTTTACTGATTTTTGTGGTATTGTTTCCATTCTTTTATCCTTGCAGTTGATTCCAAGTATGGTCTCATTTGACCATGTAAATTAAATGCACTTTATTAAAAAATGATAGTAAAATGGTCTAATTGAAACAGTTTCATATGACAGACTCTATCGATGGTGCTAATAAGTGACCTTAAATATTTAATCCAAGTCCTAGACTTTTTTCTTCATAGTTGTTTCGTACACTCCGATACCATAAATTATCAAAATATTATCGTGTATTTTGTTATCGCCTATTGTATCATATAGAAAAGCAAATTAAGACGTCAATTTTGAGTACAGTTTATCATTAAGACATCACACCCAAAGACTTTTGACCTGTTTATGGTAATTTTTTTGGCCAAATTTTGAGTTAAGGGTGCTTATTGGCTGTAATAAGGTTCAAGCTCAAAAATAAAAAAATACGTAGAAGTTTTGAGTTTCAGACAGTTACTCAAACGAAAATATCTATTTCAATTGGCTGATTACTTGTAAATAAATAAATAAAAATAAGAAAAGCAGAAGAAAAAAGGGTCTTAGACTATTTTGGGTAGATTTTGCGCAAAAATATTTTATATGCGACTGAGCAAAAGAGAATAAACCCTTTTGCGACAGAAAAAAATAAAAAAAAGAAGTTTTGTGACAGAGAAAAAGAAAAAAATATATTTTGCGACAGAGCAAATGCAAAAAAAGAAAAATGAGAGATTTTATTGGCTTAGGATATTCAGAATTGACCAAAGACTTTCGTACTTGCGAAGGCCAGCAGCCAAGGTATTCATGGTGATAAGACTTTTCTTGGAATAAGCTTTCTAGTTTCTTATTTTATGGTTTTTTTCCCTCTCATCTGTTTGTAATATCAATTTCTTAGTACTTTGCACCGTATCAGACCAATACCTACAAAAATATTTGTAAAGACCGTGATTATTCCCACTCATTGTAAAATTTGTTGTATTGTAGAAAAAAATACTAAGTTAATAAAAACTAAGAAAAAAACTTTGTCCCCAAAAAAAAATCCCAACCGACGTCAAGCACTTGACATTTTAACTGAAGGATTAGTATATTTCTTTTATTTCTTTTTTCTTTCTTTTCATTTTTAGTTCAAGTAAGTACTAATAAATATAATATGTATCTACTTTGTTATTAGAAGCCCTTTTACTTTGAAACAAGGTATTTTTCTGAACAGAGTACATTTATAGGTTTATAAAGCCTTTACTAATACTTTTGTTTTCTAGATTACGGTCATTTTGAGTAGCTCCATTGTGTTCTTTAGCGAAGGTAAATATCTTTATCTTAATAGCTTGAGTTTGTTTTTCTATTATTAACTTTGTGCCTCTTTTTGCTTTAGGTAAGTCATAGTGGAATCTATTCTTTATTGCTTTCAAGAGGTAAGATTTCAATGTTTGAACATGTCCCATTTTATTATTAATATTAATCTTTGTCTTCATTTCTATAGTTTTTGATATTCTCCATCTGTTGCTGTTTCTTTACTGCCTTCGTTCCCATCGTAGTAAACAGTCGTTACTACTACAATTTTTGGGCTATTACATAGTTTTTTCTTATATTGTTTACATTATTATTTAGTATTGCAAAGGTATTTTTGCTCTAATTTTTAGTTCTGCACTTTTTTGCGCTTTTTTGTTTCTCAATTTATTTCTCAAATAAAAATTTCAAACCTTTTCAGACCAGATTTTACGTAATACAGATTTTACAAATGAGGAACATTTTTTGGCCATTTCACAAAATGGGGGGAGGGGGTTGGGGGGTCCTCACGGCTGCTGTGTATTCTATATAAGGAAGGTTTGTTGGCCAACTTGACTACTGTTTATAGAATAGTGCGTTATTCCAAAAACAATCTTAAGGCTTACAAAAAAAATCTTTGGGTGTGATATAAAACCTATCAATAATTACGTCAAAGCAACCATCAAAAAATTACACAAAACTTAATTTTAAGTATTTCTTCCTAATTTCTAATTCCGCAAAAATTTAGAAAGTCTGAAACACGGACAGGCTATAAGCACCAAAAAAATATTAATACCCTCATAGTATATAGTCTTAAATATTGACAAAAATACATAATATAATATATTATATTTATATAATACTAAAATATCTGCTATGGATAAACAAAAACTCCAAAAATATATGTTTTAATCAGACAATGCATCGATAGCAGCAACCTTAATTGCGCCAGACATATGACCGTTGTTAGCATCCATTGATCCCGGAGGCAGGTAAACAATACGGGTGTGCGGTGCCTTTGAGAGAGAGGTCATGGTCTCTAGGTATCGAATTTGCATAGCGGAAGGCGTATCTAGAATATCAGCGGCCTCACGCATGAGTTTTGCGGAATCAACCTCAGCTTTCGCAGAAATGATCCTGGATTCACCAATACGTCTAGCCTGAGCAGCTGCAGAAAGAGACTCTTGAAGCTCTTTAGAGAACTGAAGATCCTTAATTAACATAGACTCGATCTGTAAACACATGAATGATAGATTTATTAGTTTTGTGAAATCATAGAATACTTTATTTTCATTTACTTTGACTCCCCACTGAGCTGCAATACGAGAAGTCAATATTTGAACTTCATGAGCAACAGACTCACGATTCTCGATACAATCTTGCATTATCTTGGCACCAAGAACATGCCGTAAAGTTGTTTGGGTTCTAGAGTGAACACAGAATATTATATATTATATAAAATTAGAAAAGTAATATAATTCAAATTATAGTTTATCGATCATACCTTTCCACGAGTGCTTTTCTCACATTACTCACACCAAACTCAGCTTGGTATGGATCCACAATATGAAAATAAACAACACTGTCGATCTTGATATTTACATTATCCTTGGTCATAATGACTTGCTCAGGTATTTCAAGAATTTGCATCTTTACATCAACATGATGCACATTTTCTGTCAAAGGGTTGATCTGATATATAAAAAGAAAGACAACCTGAGCCTAGAAGCATCTTTACGCTTTTTGATATCCTCTTTACCTTGACAAGACCGGGATCAACACATTTATAAAATTTACCGAAACGTGTGACCAATCCAACAGTACCTTGATCAACTGGCTTGTACGGGTTTATACAGCAGAAACAACATGGGATCTGTGGGAAAGCACTTTATTAAACAATGCATCTTATACTCTTCATAGGACTTACGGCTCCCAGAGTTCCAACGATGCTACCAAGACCATTCATCATAGTTCCATACCAGCCCTTGAATAGAATGTCAAATAAACATCATGTTTTATATGCTGGGATATGATACTACTATTATATTACATGTTTAATAGTGCTTATATCATAAGCCATTGCAAATCGTGGTTGTGTCCCAATATCTCTATGCTTTGGTGCTGGAAGGCTATGGTGCTCAAGGCTGCCTTCTTGAGATGTTAACAAAATATCATGATCTGTTTCCAAACGCATTTTTTCTTTTTCTTTTGCTATCTTGTAAAATAATAATCAGGAAATAAGAGAATAGGTTAAAGAGTAGTCCAGAAAGGCACAAGTAATGCACTTTATTCTGGGGCTTTGACCAGCGGATATTTCCGTGAGTCATATGAGGTTGCTCAGTTAGGAATACTTAACTTGCTCAGCAACCTTAATCGTGTGATATAAAACACGTGATCTAGCTTAGCGCAGTGTAACGGTTCACTGATTGATGAGGCTTTCCAGGGAAAATCCTATTTCTTCCAAAGATTTATTGTATTTGTTTGCTATCTATTTTCTCTCCCTCAACTAAATACAGACAATGGAATACTCTCAAACTCAAGGTAGAGCAGATAGACACATATTGACTAACAATGCAAATAATAAAATGGATGCCTTGTTAATCGGGATCTTGTTTATCTGCCAAACTATAAATCAGAATTTGAAGAAGAACTTCAACCTGGAATTGCAAGACATGGAATACAGCCCTCTTACTTTAAAGAGCTTCAGATCGATGACGCTATACCTCATGTAATGTTCTTTACTGCTATTATCCTGGGTGAAGCACTATGCGTTTGTGCTAATTATTTGAGTTTGACTTGATCTACAGGGAGTCTATGAAAGCATGATGAATACAATTGGAACAGCAATAGGGTTCTTTGGTGCAGTGAGTTTAAATATAATGGACATATATACAAAGTACTGACAGACTATTATCCACTCAAAGTTTCCATGTATTGTTTGCCTGCCAAATCCCTACCGACGTGTCGGTCAAGGTAGATATATTAATATATTCAATTAAGATATCATTTTAAGTATCTCTGTTCTCAGGCTCGGTTGGACTTGTAACTCGATTCGGAAAGTTCTATAAATGTGTGGATCCCGGGCTTGTAAAAGTAATATAAGCTATACGAATAATATATAGATCGGAATATCATTTTTGATGGATTTAATGCTTTATTCTAGGTTAACCCTGTCACAGAATCTATCAGAAAAGTTGATATTACTGTACAAATCACAGAGATACCAAAGCAAGAAGTCATTACAAGAGTAAGCTTATGATATATTTGTATCTATAGCTACTAAATGAAAACTATTGTATCTATTAGGATAATGTCAGCATTATTATTGAATCCGTGCTCTATTGGATAGTTATTGATCCATATGAGACTGTGTTCGGTGTAGCCAATGTCAAGATTGCCTTGATAGAAAGGTGCGTGATTTTATTATTCCTTAAACGCTATATTTATCTCATGCCAAATATTACAATAGAGCGTTGACAAGTCTTAGAGATGTGTGTGGAAGTCACTACCTCCAAGATCTTATTGAAAATCGTGACATGATTTCAAGAAAGCTTCAGGAAATCATTGATCCTATTGCCAATGCGTGGGGTGTAAAGGTATACCCGATCTCGAGTCTTTGGTGCTACAATCTCGATCTATATGTATAATATTGCCTTTTTTGATAGATTGAGGCAACATTGATAAAGGATATTACATTTTCTCCCCAACTTCAAGAAGCGCTGTCGTCTGCTGCTCAAGCAAAACGTCTCGGAGAGTCTCGTGTGATCGCTTCTAGGGTAATTCATTGAACACGCCATTCTCTGTTTTAAAAGAACTATATTAATACTGATCTTTATATGTAATGGGTATACAATAGGCCGAAGTAGAAGCAGCAAAGCTGATGAGAGATGCGGCTGATATGCTTAACACACGGCCTGCTATGCAAATGAGATACCTTGAGACTCTTACGTCCATGAGCCGTAATGGACAAGGACCCAAGACAATATTTATGCCGTTGCCTTCAAGCACAGGGGAAAACTCAAATTCTATTGGAATCTAATAAAAGGAAAAAAAAAACACTGCCATCAAAGCAGAGCTGTGTATATGATTTTCGTGTGCGATAATATTCATATTGATATGTATTATTTAGTCTTTATTTTTTCTTTATAAAAATACAGAATTAACTGCTTTTATACTTTATAATCTGTATAAACCAAATTTTTTTTTTGTTTTATTTCAATATAGTTATTTGAATAGTAAGATTTGACTGAAATATCAAATGTATATTATACTTTAAGATTGTGCTTCGAATATATACAGTCCTGTATATTATATATATATATATATATATCGTCTCTTTACCTTGACTCAATTATTGTCACAAGAGAAAAGGCATATATCTCCTTAATAAAATTTCAGAATATCAGTATGTACTACTTCTGATTTACAGGGTAATCTCGATATAAATATGTACCAATTTAGACGAATGTAATTTTTTGGATTGTACTTTTTTTTCAACCCTATAGCTTCGAAATCTAAAAACACGCGATGAACTTCATCCGCTATAGATTATCAGAGTTTATTTTAAGTTACGATGAGAATTCTGATGACATGGATCTTGAATTAACCATTCAGTATAGAGAGGTCCAAATACTTGCAGATATTGACATTAATTGTGTTCCTATTTTTCAGTTATCTGAAAGAAAGAAAGTGATAGAGAGCATCGTTGAGAGTTTTCAATAAGGTATCATTAATACATCTGCTAAATCCAAAAAAAATGATCAAGATCAAGTTGAACGTTTCATTCGGATAGTTTAAGAGGAAAGGCTAACGATACACAAGGCAGCAGAGCAATATTGTATACTCGTTAGTAGTGCTTATACCTATTAAAAAATTAACAAGAACAACAAGTCTGTACTTCCTTCACAGTATCCCTAATCATCTGATGCCAATCACTCGCATTCTCTTGGGGAATAGTCTTTATTTTCAACTATCGGTATAATCTCATTTCAATAAAACTCAACCTGGAATTCAAAATTCCGCCAACTATTGTATTGTAATGATCCAGATAATATGTCTGTATACTTTTCGCTTTCTACTTGTTGCTAAGTATCGCCTTGAAATATACGGCGTTTACTTCCTAGTAGTTTTTGGGTCTCTTTTATGTCTATTTTTACAAGAAAAATAAAAATATTGTCTCTTATATATTTGGACAAAAAGCGCACAGACCACTTTAGAGTAACCTACAATTCGCCTTTAGAAACTTGTACTCCACCTTTAGAGTTATTACTACACCGATCAAGACCAAACCCTCCATTATCTCTTTAATTCTTTACTCTTTATTTTACTTTACTTTACTTTACAAAGTCGCTTTCGTAAGTACTTTGAGTAAATAGTATTAGCTGTCCCTCCTGCCGTAGAATAGTTACACGATCCCACTAAAAAAAGAATATAGAGTTATATCACGTTTGCTCTGACGTGGGTATCTAAGACTGACAAAAAGCGCAGTCCTAAACTTTAATCGCAGATGAAAAATTTTCTGTTACAAATAGAACCCCTCCAACGCGCGTCGTTTGTTTTCTCCTTGAGCAACAACAGTCCCGGTTTCATAGTGAGGCGTCTCTTGCGACCGTTGCAGGGAGATTCTTCCATGCTACAAGCATCGGAAAGTGAAAGTTGTTACTCGCCAGCTCAGTTAATTCTGAGAAGTCGTGGGGCATGGTCTCTTTTCTTTTGGAAAGACTACTGTGTACATCGCATCGCCAATGTGGAATCATGATGCTGGGGGGAGGGAGGTCTAACCTGTGGTGAGATGTGCTGGCTCTTCACTGCTAACCTGACTGAACTCTTTAACGGCTGACGGTGAAGCTACTGGTAGTCGAATGAGCTGGACCTTATCACCTAGTGGTAAGTTCTCTGGCGAGTTCGCACCCACATTACTCGGTGACGAGATGTGGGGCTGGATGAACGGGTGCTTTCCGTTGGTTTGCCACCATTCCAGCACCTTCTTCGCTACCAAGTCAGGTTTACGTCCTGAAGGAGATTGAGCCGCGTAATGCGGGGACAAAGAACTTGGTGTCATGCTTTTTATTCTTTTACTCATGTAAAAGAACATTAAGTGAAATTAAATCAAATAAAATAGTTTCTTTATATACATCTTTAAATAAATAAATAAATAAAGTCTTTCTTAGCTATTGTCAACTTTAATAAAAAAACGCACTTTTAACCATTTTTTTTTTTACTTTATTGATGTCAATGTTGTAATTAGGAAGTCTCATTTATAGGAAGAAATTAATCTAATCGAATGAATCTGAAGATAAATAAAATAGTATTTGCATACTTTAACGTAGTATTGACAGCCGTCTTTAACTATAGATTCTGTTTTTGCTTATAAAGTGTATAATGATTAAAGTCAGGATAGTTTTTGAGAATACTGATGCCGTGAAATGTATGCCATTAAATTTGGTTAATGAGGATGGATATTGTGAATAGCATGCATTGGAATGAGAGAAAGAAGAAAAAGTGAAAGGTAAAAAAATAAATAAAGAGAAGTCAGAAATGAGATATAGAAAGGAATATAGACGTGTGTTTGAAAGTGAGACAGAAAAGGTGTAGTGTGGTAGAGTACACAAGTAACATCCTCATTGTATTTACAGACTGTACACAAAAAAGTTTAGTTAGGATGGATTTATGAAATAAACATTATTATATACAGACCTTTTTGTACTTTTAATATCGGTAAATGCTTGATACTCTGCATTCGCTACTGCGTAAACGTACGCGCAATTACATTTGCAGTACAAAATATGATTTGAATTCAAATAAGAAGAGTGAACAAGTATTGATAGATTACAAAATACATCCTTCAATATTCGGTATAAAAAATAACTTCCTAAAGATATATAGGCAGACTTTATGTTACAGTTTTTAAATAAAAACTGACAGACATTGGATGTATTGAGTAATCAAACCATAGATATCGTCAAAAGATACATTGTTATATTGAATTACATAGTGCAATCCTGATGCATGCTAGCTATTACAGTTAATTCATTGATATACACTCAAACTAGATAGGTGATAAGTAACCCACAAAATTCATGATTTTTTAAGCATCACCAAAACATTCTTTTCTCTATAAACTTACCCAAATCTCAAACAAAGATATAAATTTAATTCCCCATTTATTGACACCATAAAGCAAAAAATACAAGAGTTAGATACGTTCATGAGGAGCCGAATTATATGACAACAGTAGAAGAACGCTAATTATGAAGGTATATTTATAACCGTTGACATTCCGAAGAGTACTATTGGAGTTTTTGTAAAAGCTTTCAAAGATAAAAATGTTTCCAAACTCTTAGCACATCTAGAAAGAGAATCAAAAGCTACCATGGTTGGTTCCTTTCGTAAAGAACCGTCCGTATGAATTGTGGCTAATCATTAGAGATTATTAGATGTAGGATTTTTTGTTTCTTTGGCCAAATATCGCAAGAATACGGATCTTCTTGGTTTTCATTTTTAATCACCAACCTGAACGCTAGGTTTGAGCAAAAAAAACATATGGAAAGCCGGCTGAAATGGTTGCTCGACAAAATAAATTAGATAATTGAATAGTGGAAATCCGTGGCCTGCTCAGGTGAGTTTAGCTTTTTAGTAATTAGCCATGGTGGAAGAATTAGAGTCTTTATAAATACGGGTGGGAGGTCTGATATGAGCCATACTGTCGAAGTATGAAAGTGCCGAAATGATTCGGCCATGGTTCGGAGTTGGTTTTTTTAGTAGGGGACTTGACCTTTTGATAATTAAAGGGGACATCGACCAAGACAAATGCACCGATTGTTTGACCCAGCAGTTTTTTTCTTGGTACGAGAAACTTTCCACAATAAATAGCAGGAATTTTTTTGCTCCAAGGAGACAGTGAACCATGCTGCACTGGCGATTATTACACGCGGTATAAGAAATAAGTGCACTTAGAAGCTTTGGCTTTTGTCCTGCTCAAAACCCGAATCTCAATTTTATTTAACCCACTTGGGTTCATCTTGCTCTGAAACTTCTCAATAGTAGAGAAACTGTAGTGAATTTAGATAAATATTAAGCAATAATTCCCAAAACATGGTTAGAGTCACTACCTCATGTTCTGGAAAGTCTGGTAGTCGGCATTCTAGATAGGATTAAAGAAATAATTGCTAAAATTTGTAGCGAAACTGACTACTAGGTATCTATATATTTTCTTTTTTTTATTTAATATATATATGTGCATGTATTGGACAATATTCTCTCCAAGCTTCGCTTTATTCTAAGCACACTTTACTATCAGTATTATGGTAAAGAAAACATAATTGATAATATGATTTTGATTTTTCTATTAGGTATCAAGCCCTTAATTATACCATCCTTGGTACTCACTCAATTCAAATATGTAAAATAAATTATGCACAGCTGTCAATTTTTACATATTGTATACTCGTAAAGTCATTATCCTATTACAAAGAGTAGTTTGAATCCTACCAGCTTAGAAAATTAAAGAAAGAGTGAGAGAATATGTGTGTGCACTTGCAAACGATGTTACCTGAACATCTTAAATATTCGGACCGCATATAGCGAGTAAACAAAGTGTGGGTATACTTTCAATTAATCGTACGCTGTATAATCTCTATTTTCTTTAAAGAATAATATTATTAATAGATGGTACTTTCAACGTAAAATTGCTGTTGTGTATATTTTAATTTATGACATGCATGCATATATACAATATTCTTCGTTAACTTTATTTAATGTATGCTACTATTTGCACTTTGAGCATTTCATATACAAAGAGGGTCTCTTTGAATGTTTAGAATAACTAGTTTTAAAGAAGAGATAAATAACAAAAACTCTGAAAGTTTTTGTTTTCAGTTGGTGCTGTTTTCTCTTGGATTTTATACATACCTTAATCCCTTACCTGGATTAAGTTGATACGTGTTACTGTATTTTCCTTCTAATGGTAATCTTGAATAAGTATTGACATACCCGATACTCAACATCTTTTATTTAATTGTGCCTTAATATTCTGCTCTACATAATTTCCAATTACTTAATACAAGAATGCTGATGTGAAGTTGGGAAATAAAGGGCAAGATGTTGCAAGCATACAGTACGAATACGTACTGGACAAAAATACACAAGGTAAGCATTTATTGCTCACTAAAGAAAAAGGAATACTTGTGCTGGTTTAATAAGTGAATATCTTGTAATATTACAGTACTTTTATCCTCGCTGTGTAACACCTTGTTTCTTGATACTTGAGATATAAAAAAACTAGCAAGACTATATACTTACTTTTATTTTTTTTATGAGAAATAATATCCTAGATTTCTAGGTCGAGATGAATTTCCTTTTAGGAAGGTGAATTTTTAGAGTGAAACAATTATAGCTATACAGGACAAGGTTATATGTTAAAGAAGTATATGATTTTCAATGATAGAAAGAGATAGAGAGGATTTGTAGTGACTGTGATTCATAAAATGCCTGGCTGACCTGGATTTCGAAGATTGTTTGATTTTCACCAGATTAGTCCGAGAGGCTTTTACCCACCATATTCACCTTGTAAAATTAGGGTACCACAACCCTTGTTACGTAATTGTGAGCGATGTTTCCCGCGCGCAAATTACAAACATGCTCACAACCCTTTATTATACAGTGACAAACCTTTCTGGCGGTCTCTTTCATTCAAGATAACACTTATTAATAAAGTTCCGTGTGGTTTTCTTTATTAATTTATTTAAGTTGCAACATATGTCTGAACTTTATATTTATGTATTAAAATATAGAGTTATTTGAATAAGAAATGCTCAAGACGTTATAAAAGCTGTGCTCCACTTCTCTTTGGCTGCAAGATATTGTTGGAAAAAGGCGAATTTCTAGTAATAAATATTATTCAGTCCTTTTTTTTTATGTATAGATTGGTTTATTTGTGCACATATTTTCCGTATGTGCGTTTGAATTATAGTTTTATTTTTCTTCTTCTTCTTCATGGAAGCACATATTGTCATTATGAGCTTTAATGTACTACAATGTAAGCAATGACAAATTTAATTGTAATCAAGAGGAGTACAGAGACTTTGTGTGAAAATAATAATAACAAAACAGAAAGATAGGAATAAAGGTATTGGTAATTGTTATTTGTTTTATCACCAAATATTGTAAATGCTTTACAGATACGAAAATCGATGTACTATGTGCTTTGATACTCATAGCTAAAGTGGTACTGAATTGATTTTAGTTCAAGTATATCTCTTGAATTATTATTATTATGCATAGAGCATATTGAGTATGATAAGCAAATTTCTATTCACAGAAAAAGTTAAAGTGATTACAGCTTTCTTTTTCGTAGGCCAAAAATCACCACTACACCAACGTCTTACTAATACAATAGTCAGGATACGATTCATGTCCGATTCAGGAGACATAGGTACGGTCACAGACTAACTTCCAGAAGTATAACAGTAATAAAAAAAAAGAAAACTTGGTACACTTACAATGAATGAGAAATGCATCGACTTGGTACACACAGGCGGAAATTATGCGTCATATTGTAATACGCCTAGATCATCTGTTTCACATAAAATTTTGTAAATAAATACTTAATAATTCGAACAATCAAAATTTCACGAATTCCTTTCTCTTCAGAACAAAGAAAAAAATGGTTAACGCAGTGTAAGAAATATTGACCATGTTTTCAGCACTTCAGGTCCACTAAAGATGTTTGTCAAAAACATGTAATTATTTATTTATTTAGTGCTGATATCGGTCTCATTGGACTGGCTGTAATGGTAAGCTCTTTTTAGTGACTTAGTATTGTATAATGAAAAGACACCATCATACTCACGATTTTGATGTTACATAGGGCCAGAATCTTATTCTGAATATGAATGACAATGGATTCGTCGTGTGTGCTTACAACCGTACAGTCTCAAAGGTGGATAGCTTTTTGCAGAACGAAGCCAAAGGTGAGTTAGACACTGTTTGAATTGATGATAATACTATTAGAAACTTTGGGATACTAACCCTATATTCATCATTATAGGCACCAATGTTGTCGGCGCACATTCTATCGAAGAACTCTGTGCAAAATTGAAGAGACCAAGAAAAGTTATGATCCTTGTCAAGGCTGGTTCTGCCGTGGATTCATTCATTGACCAGTTGTTGCCATTTTTGGAAAAAGGCGATATCATTATCGACGGTGGAAACTCTCATTTCCCTGATACTATCCGTCGTTGCGCAGCATTGGAGAAGACCGGCGTTCTTTACGTTGGTTCTGGTGTTTCTGGTGGAGAAGAAGGTGCACGCACAGGACCATCTCTTATGCCCGGTGGAAATCCAGCTGCTTGGCCAGCAATCAAGCCTATCTTCCAGGCTATTGCAGCAAAGGCTCCCGATGGTGCCCCCTGTTGTGATTGGGTAGGCGAGTCAGGTTCCGGTCACTATGTTAAGATGGTTCACAATGGCATTGGTAAGTTCCGCGTGTACGCATAGTATTTCCCAAATAGAGTTTTCTTACAAATGTCTACATAGAATATGGAGATATGCAATTGATTTGTGAGGTATATCACATAATGCATGTTGGTCTTGGACTTTCTAGTGATGCTATTGCCGATGTGTTTGAAGAGTGGAACAAAGGAGAATTGGATTCCTACTTGATTGAGATTACCCGTGATATTCTTAGATTCAAAGACACCAAAGGCAAGCCTCTTGTCGAAAGTATCAGAGATACAGCCGGTCAAAAGGGAACTGGAAAGTGGACTGGTATTGATTCTCTCGACCGTGGCATTCCCGTCACTCTTATTGGTGAGGCCGTTTATGCCCGTTGTCTGTCTGCCCTTAAGGATGAACGTGTGCGTGCCTCAAAGATTCTCTCGGGCCCTCCTAAGCGCAAATTCACTGGTGACTTGAAGCTTTTCCTCGATCAACTTGGCCAGGCTCTTTACGCTTCAAAGATTGTTTCATATGCCCAGGGCTTTATGTTGATGCGTCAAGCTGCAAGTGATCTTAACTGGCACATGAACTATGCTGGCATTGCTTTGATGTGGCGCGGTGGCTGTATCATTCGTTCAGCTTTCTTGGGAAAGATCCGGGAAGCATACGACAACAACCAGAAGCTCGAAAACCTTTTGTTTGATTCTTTCTTCCAAGAAGCAACAGAGAAGGCTCAGGACGCTTGGAGAAGTGTTGTATCACAGGCCGTTCTTATGGGTATCCCTACTCCTGCCTTGTCTACTGCCCTCAACTTCTATGATGGTCTTCGTCACGAAATGTTGCCTGCCAATCTCCTCCAGGCCCAACGCGATTACTTCGGTGCCCACACTTATGAACTCCTAGCTGATCCAGGAAAGCATGTCCACACCAACTGGACTGGCCGCGGTGGAAACGTCTCTGCCTCTAACTATGACGCATAGTTTTAATAAGCATACATGTATATACATATATATATATTTATATATACAAAACCAACAACAGCTCATAAGAAAAAAAAACATAAAAGAATAAAAGCAACAGCTATTACATATATTTAAACCAAGACTGTGTGTCAAGTATCTATTTTTGGGTAATAGACATATATAAATTGTTATTATTAATACTTTCTTTTTTGTTTCGTTATGGATTTGCTTGGTCTCTGCTTTTTGAAAAATTCTATATATACATGTATTATAAATCAGACTTATGTTACACACTAAAATTCAAAGGGCAACCCATTTTGATAATCCATAATCAGCACAACCACGCTTTAGAAGATATGCGTCTTATGTCGTTTATTGAGAGTAAAAGAGGCTTCTTTTTTTTCTGTAAAGAATTGTATACCCTTAACTACCTATCTTTAATTCATGCAAGAAATTTGTAGAAATCTAAAGGGTATTTATTGGACTTTTTTTTACTATTAAAAAAATGAAATGAAATGAAATAATATATTTATTTATTTATCTATATATGTATATTTATTCAAATTAGTATTAATATAAAATATGATGTATTTTTATATTCATCATAGGCTGTCATAAAATGGGGTCTAGAAAACTGATAAAAGAGTCATAAACAGACTTGGTCATCTCTTCTCCTCCGCCAATCTCCCCTTTACCCATTTCTTTCATTTCTTTAATTTTTTGATTTTTCTGTCCCGATATACTTATTTTTGATTGGCAATCATGCAGCTCATCTGGACTGTGATTGCTTTTGTTGTAGCAACAGCAAATCATTTTGTAGACGGTGCATCGTTGGAGTTGACAGGCGATGACTTTAAGTCGACAACAAAAAAAGGCCTTTGGTAAAAAAAAAAAAGAAATGAAATAGCAAGAACGAAAACAATATACGTTGGTCTTTATGTACTAACATTTTCTAATTCAATAGGTTTGTCGAGCATTTCTCTCCATATTGCCCTCATTGCCAACAATTTGGTATTTACTTTTTTTTTAAAAAAAAAAGCGCACAACGTCATTTTTATAAAGTTATCTTAATAATCATTACCTCATAGCACCAACGTGGAAAAAACTCTCAGATGAGTATGCCGATTTAGCAAACACCAAAGACTTTCACTTTGCCTCTGTAGACTGCTCTGTCCAAGGAGATCTATGCAAGGAAAACGACATTAGATTTTTCCCTACGATTAAACTGTACAAGGATGGAACTGAATTGGATACTTATGCAGTACTACGCACTTGGGAAAATCTAGTAGCTTACATTGAAGAAAAAACCAAAGAAGACGAACCTGAACCTACTCCAGACGTGCCTATTATAAAGTCTAATCCAGAAGGAATATCAGTGGATCTAGATGAGAGTAATATTGACATACACCTGGGAAATCCAGATCGTCCATGGTTTGTGAAGTTTTATGCACCATGGTGTAGTCACTGCCAAAGACTGGCTCCTACATGGGTACAAATGGCCAAAGATTTAAAGGGTCAGGTAGATGTAGGGGAAGTTAATTGCAATGATCATAGAGGTAAGATATACGCACAGAGAGATATATATATAGTTTGACTTATAGGGTAATAATGATAATATTGGATAAATACATCAAAAGAAGCTTATATTTTATATATAAATAGACTTGTGCACCAAATATGGAGTTTCTGGATTTCCTACATTGAAAATGTGAGTAGATAAGGGTAGTTTCTACACAATTATATTGACATTTGCTTTAGGTTCGCTCAAGGAGAAATTCACAATTATATGGAAGACAGATCTTTATCAAGTCTTGTCGGGTTTGCAAAGAAGCTGGCAGGGTAAATATTACAGAGAACAATATATAAATATAAATCATTCGGCTATTCTAACTTTGTATATGTACGTGTATGTGTTTATCATCCTTCTTGGGGTTACAAGTTCCTCGGTCGTCGAAGTTACCTCTACACAATTAGCAGAGAAATTGAAGGAAGAAAATGTTGCTTTGGTATATTTGTATCAAAAAGAAACACAGGCAGCAGGAGTAAGTGTATTAGAGAAAAGTCAAGAAGAAAAAAAAAGGATTGTTGATCGTACCAAAGATTATAATTAACCCTTTTTGTTTATTTTTCTTATCCTTCTTTATTAGGGTCTGTGGAAGAAGGTAGCAGAGCAATTTGCAGGATCTCTGCCTTTTTATAAGACTGACGATATCAAAGTTATTGAGAAGTTCGGGCTTACTGTATCAGACATGCCAGCTGCTGTGATTTTCAAAGATGGCCAGGCAACAGTATCACCAGTTCGTTCTTTTGAAGACACTGATGCTGTTAAGGAAATGCTTGTTGAATGGATTAAGATGAACAGATATCCTCTCATTACTCATATCACACCAGCCAATGCACAAGAAATCTTGCGTGGAGAACATATTGTAGTTTTGGGAGTTATCCATCCTGATGACCAAGCTAGTAAAGCTGCCTTTGAGAATACAGCCAAGAAGGTCACTTCCCAAGGAGGGATGAAGACAGAGTCTATCTTATTTGCTGAACTAGATGCTTCTACTTGGCGTGACTTTGCTTCAGATACTTATGGTGTCAACAAGGACGAGCATCCAGCATTGATTATTGTGGATCCAATGGTAAGATATAGTTTTAAGTAATATTTTGTCTATGTGCATATTATTTCTATGAAAAAAAAGGTATCTTAATGCCTCTTGTAGAACGAGGTCTACTTTTCGAGGGATACCCAACAAGCAGCTTTGGATATCGACGAGCCAATATCACTTTTACGCACATTGGAGGATATCTCAAGTCAAAAGCTGGTCGGAGTCTCACTATTACCCTTACCAAGTGAAGCCAGCCGAAAATTAGGTCAAAGCTATCGTGCAATTAGGTCGCACTGGTTTATTACCTGCGCAACTTTTGGTGTGGTCGGTGCCTTGTTTTATAAGGTTGTTTATCGTAAAAAAGCACGCAGCAATATTTTGCCATTTAGGCAACCAACTCAGCACAAGGACTGATTTTAGGAAAGGTAGTTGATGGATAAATAAAAATATAAATTATACACATAAATTATAAATATATAATATATATATATATATATATGTGTGTGTGTATGTGTATGTATATATATATATATGTGTGTATGTGTGTGTAAATGAAACTATAGTATGTAAGCTCAATTTGGAGCAAATTTATGAACTATTGTTGTGGCTCGAGAAATGGAGGCCGTGGGAGATCAACAGTGCTGTGAGGTGAAGGTGTCGTGTATTTAATGCTTTTTGGGGACTGGCTAGGTTCATTCAAAGACTTTGGCGATTCGTCCTTTCTGCCTAGACTGGTATCAATGGGAGGCAAGACCGGCTTATCAGACCCTGGAGAGAGTGTCAATGGCTCTACAGACGCGCGTTCGGCAGTATACTTGGCTTGGCGAAGTCGAAGTGTAGGCAATTGCTGTTGTCTTGAGTGTGTACGATGTTTGTAGATTGTAGATCTCTCGCTCGGTTCAATGCAAGATAATCTTCGTGTTTTGGAGAAAGCTGAATTACTACTGCTACTACCACTCCCTCTTTGGATTTTTGCCTTGAGAGCTTCCATAACCCTGTTGTGCGAGAGCTTTTGATATCGATTATAAGACGGCACAGCCGCCACTTGTTGCTCTATTGCCGAAAAAGATGCTCGAGATCTTTTAGGAAATACTAGAGATTCTGGCTCTGGAAGATGAATCATGTGAGTAAGGTGATGGGATTGTTTCTGGGGTCGTGTAAGAATTGGAGAACTGACTAATGTGGGATACGAAGGCTTTTCGGGGCGACAAAGAGGATGAGCAGAGTGAGGATAGTATACCGGGGAAACCGGAGGGTGGGTAGAATAGGGGCCTGCAAACGGGGGTATAGATAATACATTGCGAGAGGACTCTGAAGAGTTTGCAAAACGAGCAATAACTTGCTTTTGAATTGGTGCTAATCCACGATAGAAAGCGCTTTGTGGCTCTGTAGGCCGACCGGGATGAAATGGGTGTCTTGCTTGTTCATGCAAAATGTCGAAATCCATATTTCTCAACTGAATTCGAGCCAGCTCTGCCTTCAGTGTAAGTCTTGCTACTCTTTTCTACAGGCGGATTAATTGGGTTAGAGCCTGCAATTCTACTCCATGACTTGTTCAATCTTGCCTTGTTCTCTGCTGTCTTTGCAGCCAGTACATGTTTTAATAACTCCGGATCATCTTGGTATGAAGTCAGGATCTCTTTTAGGCTAATTTCAGCCAACTCTCCCTGACTTGCTGCCTGTACCGAAGGAGACGATGGTATAGGCCATTCGAAAGCAGATGACTGTTGGCGCTGCCGATGCGGCGACTGGTGTGTCATGGTGCAACCGAGTTTACTTCTCAAGAATAAGGTTCTTAAACATATAATAAAAATAGCGCGTGGCAGAGTTCTCTGCGTTACCTTTGTAGTTGCTCGTGATTGTGAGTGCACATAGCTTTCTTATATTGTATTGTATTGTATTGTATGGTGTTGTATTCTATTATATTATATTATTTTGTATTTTACCCTTCAACACTTTTGGGAAGGTTTTTTATTTAAAGTAGTTAAAGAAACTATCTGAGGGTTCAAGGCCGAATTTCGCCAAGACCAGGTACGAACTCCTTTCTCAGGGACAATCAATGTAAATCATTGTAATTTTCATTGTATTTCCAAGTAAATTTATAGTGCATTGACTGCATATTCTGCACTTTATGTCACAACTTTTGTCTTTTTTTTCTTTTTTTTTTCACTCTTTTATTAAAACCGTCTTACAGCTATTGGCATTGTCCAAAGCTGCACTACAAAGTAAGCCACGGTCTGTGACGTCATAATTAATGAGGTCGCACAAACAAAATGCATTTTGGCTGTCATCCGTCTTTCAAGCGGCCCACGCTCTGACGATTAATTATTTCTATCATCATGTCAATTTCTCAAAATCAATTCAATAAGTGAGCTCGATAACTAGATTAGCTCTTGAATACATCCGTAAACAAGTATCTTAAAACAACCGCATTAACCGAGACTAATCTGGCCTTGTCTCCCTAAGAAACATCATAAAGCGTGGGTTCACAGTACCAAGTGATTCTGATTCAGAGTCAGAAGAAGAGACATTCTATGCACATCCACAATCGTAAAGCAATCGTTTTCTCTAAATCGCTAATGATATACTCGTACAACTGTATATAATATATTTTTTGTGGTATATTAAACTGGCTGCTTTTTTTTTGCTAATGTATATATGTATGTATATGTGTGTGTATATGTATATAAAGTGCGGTGTCAAATCTACCTAGAGGCGAATGTATACCGACAATTGAATTAAAAGCAGATTTGTTGGATCGTTACAATGAATGGGAAAACAAAAAAAGGAATCGGTCTGTGAGTACTAATATTTTAATAAAATGACGATTATAAATACGATGAACATTTATATCTTTGTCGGTGTGTATGTGGGTACATGCATGAATATTAATATATTAATATATATATATATATATGTATCTTTTAAATTCTTATTAGTATACTCAAGATGAGACTCTCAGAAAGCAATTCGAGCGCCTTGCACTCCAACGAACTGAACTTCTTGTAAAAAGTCAACAACAAATTGTTGAATCTAATAACAAACAAATGAATGAAATAAAGAAATCTGTAGCTGAATGGATTTCTAAAGAAAAGCTCTTGAACAGGTAAGGCGCTAAATAGCCCTCACGTCAGATCCTTAATTTACCGCTTGAAATGTTGATACATCCACCTGCAGCTCTCAAAAATCAAAAGAGGACAAATTCTTAAAGGAAAAGGAAGCTCGCAATAAGGTAATAAACTTTGAATTATTTGTACTAAACATAAAAACACAATGATTTTTAACACTTCACTTTTGATTTTAGAGATTAGAAGATGCGATTCGTCTTGAAAAAGAGAATTCTGAGAAAAAGTCAAAGGCCAATGCAGAAAAGGAGGCTGCCAAAGTAAAAGAAGAAGAAGAAAAGGCAAAGATCGAAAAGGCAAAGGCTAAAGCAGAACAAGACAAAATTCAGGCCGAAAAGGCATTACAAGCAAAAAATGCTGCCATGGTAAAAAAAAAGGGCGCAGTAGTAACAAAACAAAACAAAAATTATACACTGTGCACATTGTCTACATATGCATCAGTATGAACGTTCTCACATTGTAATGCTTTTTATTTTGTATATATGTGTCTATAGAAACACAGTTCGGTTTATTCAGCTCAAGGACTAGAGGAGTACAACAAGTATTTTGAAACAATCAAAGTATGTATTTCCTTTTTTTTTTAATAAATAAATATAAATTCTATACGCATACTTTTATATTATTATTGCCTACTAAGAAAATCTAACAATTTTCCCTATTAGACGTATAGAGAACTCTACAAACCAGCATTAATGGATGACAACTTCCGAAAGAGCTTTTTCAAAATTAAAAAGGACGTTACTCGCAATGTATCTCAACTACAATACAAACCTAGCGTTGTGCTTGAAAAGGTAATGAACATATATATATATATATAACCGAGATTATTTAAACAATGATTGGGATCTTACAATCTTGAAAATTATTCTAAATGGGTACTTTCTAGGCCAAGAATGTTTTTGATATTCTCGATAAAACTAAAAAGCAATCTAATGAAGCATTCAATATTCTATTGAATCACTTGTCAAAAGCTATTCTGGTAAATGATGAGACAGTAACTCTGATGAAATTAACTGGCATACTTATCGTCTTGTCCTTTTTGTTTTCTTTGACCATTATTATTATTTTAGTTACAAGCAGAGCAAGAGATTGCTGCTACTACCATGGCAGCTTATTTTTTGGGAAGATTTGCTACACTTATCACAGGATATATCCCCGAACTCTTCCCTTACCTTATTGCTCGCCTTTACAAACGTGCACCCATACTTATTCCACACTATCATGACGGTAACCCTGTAAGTTTTGAATTTGATTGAAGTGTGCATATTTTTCAAGAAAAAAGAATTACTGAAAATCTGCCTGGGGAAATATAATAATAATAATAATAATAATAATAACAATGAAAATAAACAACCAATTAGGACCTTTCGGCAGATGAGCTTCGAAAGCTGATGCGATACAAATATGAAGACAAGATGAAGAAAGACATATTCGAAAGCTACGAGAAATACGAAATGCGCCAAAATTCGTATGTAATGTTTTTTGCAGGATGGCTCCAGGTTGAACCTGGACCGGGACAACCGGCAAATATGCTGGGCGTAGAGAAGGGTTGGACTTGGCTGGCTAGAATCTGCAACATGCCCCCAAGAAATGTCACTGCGTCTATCTTAAGATCCTTTTTGGAAGTTGCTGGACAACGACTGCTACGCGAATATCCCACTCAAATGCCCAAGATAATGCAGTATATCCAAACTATCATGCTCCCATTAATTCAAAGAGACACAACCAATCAAGGCGCAGCAGGAAAGATTAGATTGGAGGTGTATCTGAAAGAATGTGCCCATGCAAATAATATCATCGCCATTCCTGATTTCATTGAAAAGAAAGTTTAGCTTAATTCAAGCCATTACATAAACACACGCACACTCTCGCGCACAGCTGTATTTAACTATGGGGCAATTCATACAAACAAACCAAAAAAAACCCCCCCAAAACCTAAAAAAAAAACAAACCAAGAAAAAACATACATACATACATACATACATACATACAACTATCTAAATTATCATAATCGTTTGTCAGAATAAAGTAAAAAAGAAAAGATGTTTAAAGTATGTATATTTTAAACATAATTCTGTGGTTATAATTTATTTCAATTCTTGTAAAAGGAAATTTTGTACGTGCCCATTAATGAAATAAATAAAGGCTAAAAAAAACAAGCAGTCAATGTATTGTAGGGTTTCCTTTGACATTATTTATAATCTGAATATTTCATATAAAAAAATGCTACATTTAAAGCTCTATCTAATGATATTTTTTGAGCTCGTTCGTCAGTTTCCAGTAGTACTATAATTTATCGATAAAATAAATATAACTTTGGTCTTGACACTAAAAGCGCTGTGTCTAAAAGCTAAACCCTGCGTTATTGAAATGTTTTCGTGTTTTTATTTTAATATTTTTTTGAAGACAAAAAAAAGGTGATAAGTAGTAAGATCTTATTTTAGTTGATTACTTAACAAATGTAAATTTTCCAGTCAATATTAAGATAAAGATAATATGTTTGATAGTAAAAAGCTTTATTATGATTTTTATTATTACTTAAGGAGTCTTTTTATGTTTGGCTGATGAGTTCTTTCGGCTTCTTCTTCAGCTTTTATATCTGTCATTATCTGACAAAGGTACTTCATAAACTCGTCTTTATACGGTTCAAATGGTACGAATAAAGATAACAAGGTGGCTACCGCTTCTTTTATAAGATTTCTTTGTTCAACATACGTATATGATTGAGGAGATCTGTTTTTATTACTGATGTCACTTGATGTCATGTTTTTCGGATATAATATTATATGGCTTCTAGTTTTGTCAATTTGAAATAGTCGTCAGAGTTGGTGACCTTGTTGGAAAAGTATCTCTGTGTTGCAACGGTGTTGTTGTATTAGGGATTTGGATGGTTTAAATAAGGGATATTCAAATAGGCAAAGGATTAAGTGAGATTTTTGATAACGGTGATTTTAATAAAGAGAAAGTGAGAGTTGGTATCGGTTAAAATGGTGTTCTAACCATGACAGTTACACCCCTTTTATAGAACCTCTTCTACGCTCAGGTCTGTATTTATCATTGGCTCCTGAGATTAATGCTGTGTTTTTGATAGAACTTGCTTTATAAAAATTTATATGACTGGCAAATATATCAGGTATATTGTAACGGATTGACTCCACTATACTATTACTTGGGTTCACTTTGGTAACTCTTCGATTCATCGTACTAATCGCTTCAAGTGAAATCTTTGTACTCTTGAACTTTAAAATAAATATGGGGAAGATCTTGGGGGCTGCGTAAATGCAGATTGTTGAAAGGGAGTTGTTTTATTTGTGTATAATTACAACCAATTTATATCACTTCCTGACAGGCCCAAAAAGGAGAGCCACATTTCATTCAATTACCCAAAATACAACAATATCGTTGGTGCCGGTATTTAACTTTGAATTCCTGTATAATACCGGCATCTAGTGGCTGAAGATACGATGTAGTGTTTGGTGGGAGGTATAGGAATTCCACATTGGTATAGTTGTCATGGGTATTGTGGCAGGCTGCGTTGTCAAGCAGAACAAGTATCTTCCTGCCCAAGTTTCTTGCTCGACGGTCGATTATCTTGCATATATCTCTAAATATCGCACCTGTCATCCAGCTTTTATCATTGTGATAATACTGAAAGCTATGCTCTGGGCCTGTTTTATAAAATCAGAACATTTAGTATACCAAGAAAATTACGGATTTCAGTACATATAAATAGTGTAGTAACTTACCATTCTTCTTGCCAAAGCAGCGAGATTTGGGATATTCGCCAATGATAAAAGGCTTTAGCTTCCAGGAGTCATCAGAGTTAGCTATGAAAGCCATAGTTAAGCGAATCTTATCAACTCTTTGAAAGATTCATGTAAAACAGGACAAGGAGGCGACAGGAAGAACTGAGTGAAAACAAAGAAGATCAAATATTGTTTATTATTTGGATTGTTAAAGGTATTTATACTGATAGAAAGGAATGTAAATTTATACAGTAAATGATTGGAGATACTATTGGTATGTATCGCGGAACTATTTCAAGTTTCAGAACTAGTCTTGGCATCAATAAATAGCACTCCCAATACTTTGGCTTTCCCTATTGTTTGAGGCATTGAACCAATACTAATCCCAAACACCTTAATTTATGCATGACCTCTATGAATTTCTTTTAGTTTTTGGATGAAATTTGGCGAGTGCCAAGTTCAAGTCCACGCTCGAGATTAAAGAGCATAATCGAATTAGCTTCTAATGTTAGTCATATTATATATTACTCTTATTAATTATCCGACTCTTCTATAGAATAGCAGTACCAATGCAAAGGCGAATGTATGTTTTACATACATTATGCAATCCATATATTTAAGATCATAATTCAACTGAAGATTCATACAAGCACGCATGCACTTAATCTACTTTGTATCTAAAGCAAATATACGTCTGGAATAATAACAATATAACTGCTCCCAATGAATTGTTGACTTAATGGAATAGCTATTTCTGAAAGAATATACTAGAGCACTTGCTTACACGTATGATCAGAAAGATTTGGCAAAACTAGACAATTTTAAATGGCTCTATCTATAGTGTGCTAGTTGTCTTGCAACCACTATTTCCAACAATATAAAACTGCTGAAATTTTGCCCACATTTATAGAAATAGTGGTTGTTCGAACGTGACCACGAGGAGGCAATTAAAAATTCACACCCAAGATACCTACCACGAAAGCAAAACAAATACAACCTCATAATGTGCCCCACCTGTGCAAACAGTAAATGGAGAAATTATAAGAGAAAATTGCAAAATTACAAAAGAAAAGAAGCTATGATACCTAGAAGCATTTCAGAATTTGTAATTATATTAACTCTTATGTCTATACTATTTCGAGTAATATTAAATTCGTTTTAATAAATAAACAGATAAAAAGGTTAACTTCAGTGCATAGAATCTTAAACAGGCCACGTTTTTAATATTATTTTAATCTCTTGAATCTAAAATTACGTCCTACTTATTGATCGATGTTCTTGGTCGTCTAGGTCAAAGATTTGACTTCTATAGCAATAATGTATATGGTGGTTATCATTTAGGCTTAGACATGTTTTTATTAGAATCGTTTAAAAAATTGTCTAGTGCTGTTTTCTAAATAGATATTGTTGTTCATTTGTATACCACAAATCTCTATATAACTTATTTTGCTGCTTTGTTTAAAGTGCAATTTAAAGGTGTCCCTTTTCTTTCTTTCTTTTTTATAAAAAAAAAATGCCCATGATTATATATATATATTCAAAATACAAGGAATAATAATAATAATTCCGGAATTAGGGACTTTGTCGCCAAGCATTTACTGGGCTACAGCTAGAATGTTTCGTTGGTAAGGCCAAATGTATGTGTATATATGTTTTTATTTTAATTTTAAAGAAATTTTTTTTATTATAGCTTTACTTGTCAGAAGTATTGATGTCAATATATTCACACAAATATACACACACATACACACACACACATATATATTTTAGGTTGAAGAAGAGTAATAATTGTTGTAGTCTAGGCGGGTTGATAGAGAGCGAAGATCTTCATCATGATAAGAAGCCAATGTTTCTAGGAATTCTAATGTTTTCACCTATGTGTATAGGTATATATACGCATGCATTTCAATTAACAAATTAAAATAAAATAAAATAAAAATTAGATTTTAAATTTGTATTTTTTATGCGAGTCTATCTTACCTTGAATTTTTCTTCTAATTCATCACATCTGGCACGTATTTTTTGAGACTTTTCCATATCTCGAGGTGTCAATTGCAAAACAGCACTTCCACGCTGGGTTCCTTTAGAGGTTGCAAAGGTATGTAAACGATCCTACAAAAAAATAAAATTAAATTAATAAAGTTTTTTTTTTAAAAAAAAAAGAATTACTTACCAAAGCTGATTTGTAACTGAGTACAATATCAAAGATAGTGTTCAAGTGAATGGATAGTGTCTAAAAACAATAGTGTATTTATAACAATATTAACACAGAATGAATGTAGAATAATTTTTGTTTTTGTTTTGTGTATTTGCTTATTCGTGAATAGTAATGTAGATATTATATATAAGAAGAGAAATAACTTGCCTGGTTCTTGCCTCCGTCAAGAAACCCTTTTTCTGTGATTTTATCGAGATAAGAAGAGTGTGCTTCGATAATGGAATCAAGATCGATGCTTTTATTTTCAATGAACGAAGCAAGTTTCTCCCATGAGCACTCCAATACCTACACCATCAAATAAATATCAGAACCATCAAGTTTAGACCTTGGAGTATCAGAAGACTTGCCTCAAACAAGTAATAATGTTGGAGCTGGTAAATAAAATGAACCATTCGACTAATAGCCAGTTGAGCTTGATGTAAATCTTGATCCATTTCTATTAATATATATATTAAAGGTATTAAGCCACTAATCTTCTCATTCACTCGGATAAATAAGGTACATATGTGTGTAGTGCCTTACCAGGAATACTAGCAAAGGTTCGACTGGCAGTTCCCCAACGACGCCAAGCTGATGACAATGTGTATTCTACTCGTTTTAATCTCCACATAAAGTTGAATATACGAAGGTATTGATTCATAGCCTGTTGACTAAATACTGTATTGATGGGCGAATCTACGTGGTAATCCAGCGTGAAAACATCCCAACCAAGATCTTCAGGGGATATCTGGTTTTTTTATGAAGAATAAATTTATTTGTAAGTCAATAGATTAATTGGTTCATTGGCTTGTAAAGTAAAGTATAGCATAGTATAGTATGGTGTATTAAAGACAACTTATTTAAATAAGCGCAAGACAGAATCTTTACCTCTAGAAGTCGGACATCAAGTCGATTGAGAATATCTACATCGTCGTATTGTGCATTGGATGCTCTAATTGCTGTCTCAAGGACACCTGTCAGATTGTGACGGAATAGTTTGTTGGCTGGCATGCTCAGGTTTGGACTATAAAAAAGTATTTAAATATCTTCAAAATTCAGTTCAATTATAACTAGAGTAAAGCAAGACCCTATTTAATCATGAAATTATTGTTGCTATTACTATTACTATTACTGTTACTTTTTTTCTTTACCCCAGGGTGTCCATAAGGTGCTGAATAAAGTCTCCTTGACCCAAGAGAAGATACCGCTTTAGAGCTCGCAAGTGTTCCATTAGCTTGTATTTGCGTTTGAGCAAATTGATGAGTTGTTTGCTTGTTTCCAGATACGTAACGTCAATTGACCGTTCAACTGCCTGTACATCTCCGTACTTAAAAGTAGGTACGCCTAAATTAAGTGCGTTAAGTTTTTGTGTCTTAAATATACACATACGTTAAACTATTTATTTTCTACAAGTAAGACTTACAATCTTGATCAGAGGTAGAATACTTTTCAACGAGTGAATCGTCATGACAGCTACGTCGAATAAAATTGAGCGATTTTCCAATAGAGAATATCTATCCCAAACAAACAAAGTTATAAACACACCCACAAAATGCTTTACGTTAGACCTAATTTACCTTTTGAGCAAGTTCTTCCGAAATAAAAGCCGGTAACATATCTTCCCTTATGGAGTATTGGTTTTGCCACAATTCTTCCTCGGGTACAGATAGATCGCAGGCCACAAAGAATTCATTGTATGGATCATCCAATTCACCTGCATAGATCCAACGCTGAAGCATCTCATAAAATGGTTTGGATACCTAGATATTTTTTTTGGTATCAGAATTATTGTAATTTGCATTGAATGATCTCTCTCTCTCGATCCTCTTTATACCTCTTGGAGCATTTTACTAATGTAATTACGAATGAACGGATCGCCGTGTTTAGTGTAGTTATGCATTGTAGAAACGAGCGCACCTCCTTTCTGGTCTTTATAAATATATAATTCAAATCCAAATTAAATTTAAATGAATATATTTGTATCATTATTATCTTTCTGACAGATGTATATTGAATACAAAATATGAATTACCTTGACACACATCTACCATTGTACTCATCAATCGAAGTTTCTGTAGACTCTCTTGTGTCCACACGACCAAACGTCTTAAGGTCAGACTCTGTTCGGTTGGCAGAGCAAGCTGATTTTCAAAATTTGGTACAGTAGAGGCCTGTTTTTTAATCTGTGCCTCAAGAACAGCAATCAGCCTGTAGTAATCTGTAAGCTCGTGTTGAAGTTCAGAGCAGAATGCCTATTGACCAGGACATTATTATTAGTTTTATTTAATAGAGAATTTTCACACACACACATGACAAGTTTTGGGATCAATTGATATAATTATTTCTTATATTACCTGTCCAACAAGACCAATGCTTGGATCATTTGATTTCGATTTGACAAAGAGAAGGATCCGTTTGTAGAGCCACCCTAGTTCAGACAAGTAGTACACAAGATCCTTTGTAGGCTTCGTCACTGTAACCTTTGAATCAATGGTGTATTCTCCTGATCCAGGGTCGAATCTGATATACTGTCCATCAATCCCTTGAAAGATGAATATGAGATCACGTAAAAGGGCTGACTCTTGTGTAGATGTAGCTAGAAAAACAAATTAAGAAAAACAAATTAACACCACTTGAAAAATATAATTTTCCCTTCCTTTTTTTAAAAAAAAAATAATGGTAATAATAATGATGATGATAAATTTGCTTCTCACAGAATGTGTATCTTTACATGAGTATTGACTTGGGGAAAGTGATTCTCGGGCCTTTGCCAATTGAAGTGCAGGAGGAAGGGATCGATCTTGCGGTTGAATTCTTTCATGATTATCTGCTTCTCGCGCTAGTTTACGGCGTGTGTTTCTGGGAGAGTCTTGGGATTCAAATGGACGAGATATTGTTGGCATAGCTGGTATGGATGGTGGACCTGGAAAGGTTTGTAGCCCAGGAGAAACGAATTGTTGGGTGTCTACAGACTATATTGTTGTTATTCATATTCATTCATTCAATTGATTCATTTAATTGATTTTTCTGTTATTATTATTACCATTATAAAAGCAATAATAATAATACCAAATTGAAGCAAATCTGTCTAAGCACCCTTTCTTTCTTTCTTTCTTTCTTTCTTTCTTTCTTTCTTTCTTTCTTTCTTTATGTATTTTACACTATAATTTTTTGAAGGAAAAAAGAAACTCACTGCATGACTAGAAGATGGTGATATTGAAGGACTTTGATCTTCGCTAACAGATAATAAGAGATAGAGAATAGCCCATTTGTTTCGAAGGACTTGCTACCATATTCTTTCATGTCAGAAAGGCAACATTTGATCCAGATTTTATTTTATTTTATTTTTTCTTTTATTTTTATTTTTTACCTGTGAAGCCAGTTTATTATAAAGATGACCAAACAAGCTTGCCTTGTTCGAGGAATTTGGATCTTCTAATACTTTTATTTACATACATACATACACACATTTGTCTGTCTTAGTGTATTTCTTATAATTATAATTATATTACTATTAATATCACTACTGCTTCTACTATTAAAGCCCTGTTGTAAAGAAGTAGAAGCAAAAGAAGAAACTAAAATAATAAAAAAAAATACCCTTTTGTTTTTTTTTTGTTTTTACTCACACTTTCTTCGAATTAAATTTGCCACATAATTCTCGTCCTGAACAATGGTTGGTTTGCTTTGACTGGACACACACCCACACCCATACCCATACATACAAATGGATATATATATATATGTATAATGGATTAATCAAATAAAAGGTTCATATATTATTATTATTAAAAAGAATAATAAAAATAATATTGTTATTTATTCAAATGTTAATATATATATATATATATTGACAATTTACCTGGATAACAAACGTGCGTATTTCTCTGTGAGCTGTTCCGCTTTTCTTTGTTGATCTTGCTGAGAACTCTGGCTGAGTTCGCTTTGATTATTACAGACAGAACGTCTGACAAGTTTCTGCAGGGTCTTGTACACGCGAGGATCGATGGTTGTTAATTCTTCACGCGAAAATTGTGATGAACCTAATTGATGACGTGGTGACAAAAAGGCTCTAGAAGGAGATTCAGAGCCAGTAGGTGAATCTGTGTATGATCTATGATCATTTAAAATGGATCGTAGTGATTCCGGTCGATTCATTGAATGTACAAATTAAGATGGATTTGGATAGGGAGAAAAGGAACGATTTCAAGATATATAAGGTTAATACGAGCAACAGAAATTAAGGGGAGAGGGGAGGAAGAAAGAGCCTGTGTGACTGGCGAACTGATTGCCAGTAAGCAGGCAGACAGGCAGGCAGGCAGGCGTGTAAGGCATGTAAGAAAAGTGAGATAGATAGAGTTAGATATATAGGTATGCATATATAATTATATATTTATATATCTCTTGTTCTCATATCATTCGCTATTTTTTTTTGCACAGTACAGATAAGCTTAACAAGACTATGATTCTTTTTGTTTAATAAATAATTGGTACAAGTATTATATTTTCAATACGAGCATTATAGTTATAGTTATTTCATTAGGAGCACACATTGATTGATTGAGTGATTGGTTTGTTTATTGATATATTATTATTACTACTATTAGTATTATTATATTTTATTTTGGATTAAAGAATAAAATAAGTAATATTGAAACAAATGTAAAACTGGCGGATATAAAAGGTGTATTGGTTTATGTATTAATTTGGGAGTTGGTGGTTTTGGTAGTGCTTTAGTACGTATGTGTATGTGTTTTTTCTTTGGTTTGTTTTTAAAAATAATAATAATAAATAATAAGATTGAGGATAATGATTACTGGTAATAGTAATAGAATCTGTATAAATATATAGTAATAGTAAAATATTAATAGTAATAACAATAGTAATAATAATAATAATAGTAATATAAGGCAGAGAGTTTAGTAGGACACCTTGATGTCTTCGTCACTAACGGTCTTGTTGGTGGGTCTCGAGTCGTACTGGTCTTCTCCAGAAAGCTCCTCGAGAGACTTGCCTTTTGTTTCGGGGATCAAGAAAGACGAGAAGATACCGGTAAGCATAAAGAAGGCAAAGAGCTGGAGGAGATGGTTGATCCACTTGTTTGAGCCGCCAATATCCTTCAAGAGACCAAAGCCAACCTGGGCAACAATCGAGCCAACCTTTCCAGAGGCGGCAGAGATACCGTGGGCAGTAGACCGATAACGAGTAGGGAAACATTCACCAGGAACGATAAAGGTGGTGGTGTTGGGACCAAAGTTGAAGAAGATCTGGGTGATTGCGTAGAGCACGATGAAGAGGGTAGATGACTTTGCAAGAATGGCGTTGTATCCAAAACCAAGGATGATAAACATAATGGTGAGCATAGTGAAGCCCATGATCTGGATGAATTTGCGGCCAAGTCTGTCGATAGTAAAGACCGAGATCCAGTAACCAGGTACAGAGCCGAGCAAGTTGATGATGATGTTACCCACACAGACACGGTAGACGGTGTTGTACGGGTCACCGTCACCAGCGAAACCGATGTTCTGCAGAATGATGGAGTTGTTGAGGCCCAGACCGTACCATGCGACATCGAGAGCAAACCAGGAATAAGCTGTGCCCAACAAGATCTTTCCGTTCTTCCACTGGCCAAAGAAGCGACAGAAGTCGCTCCAGGATGCCTTTGGAGATGTGTTTGCACGGGCAACAGCAATGTTGTCGGTGTAGTCGCCGTTGGAGGCACCGTGTTCGATAAAGGCCTTTGCATCACTGATACCCTTCTCGATCTTCTGCTCGACATCGATGGTAAAGCGAGGGGTTTCAGGAATAGTGAGACGGTAGTAGAGTGCAATGGTACCAGGGACGGCGCCCATACCGATAACGATACGCCATACGCTGTCGAGGTTGGCCTGATCGGCGTGGATGGCATTCTTGTAACCTGCGGTGGCAATGAGACCAACCAGACCAGCAGAGAGCTGACCGATACCCTGCATGGCAAATACGGCGGCCATCATGGCACCACGGCGCTTGGTTGTGGCAAATTCGGCAGTGATTACGGACGAGAGAGGATAGTCACCACCGATTCCGATACCTACGATGATACGCCAGAAGGTGATTGCGGCCCAGAACGACATGGCTGGGCCATTTCCGACCAAGGTTTGACCGATTGTACCAATGATGATGATCATCAATTCGATACCATACATGCGCTTACGACCGACACGATCGGCAAGATAACCGAACAGAAGCTGGCCAACGACGGTTCCGACCGAACAAGACACCTTGATGGCAGTGTCAACATTGTGAGGGGTTTGGGAGTTATTTTCGGCAAAGTAGACAAAACCAATCATGGTGGATACCAGATTGATGGCAAAGATATCGTAGGCGTCGGTGAAGAAACCGATACCAGACACAATACAAGCGCGAATGTGGAACCAACCAAACTTTGCGTTGTCAATCTAGGAAATGACAAGGAAAAATAAGTATTGTTTAATATGAATATTATCAATACACAGTCTATAAATATATATTGGAATACTTACTTCTTCAAGAGCAGCACGGCGACGCTCAACCATTTCAATTGTATAGTTATCCTGGGCTACTTGCGCCGCATGGATTTCATCCGGACTTTGGGCAGTCATCTTTTTTTTAAGATTGTGTGTATATGTATAAGCTACAGCTATTAATTGGCTTATGTGGCGTATGTGTGAGGGCGTGTGAGATAGCGTGCGCGAGAGAGAATAAGAAAAGAAAGAAGAGAAGGAAGAGAATTCAAAGAAGATGTACAGAAAGAAGATAAAAAAAATACAAAATGGCGATCAACTCTATAGTGTATTTATATGAATTCAGACAGAGGATCTTTTATATATATATATATATATATATTTGTATTTTGATTTGATTTGATGGTTCAAGATCAAGCTCCAAAGGTAGTTCATAAAAAAAAATAAAAAAATAAGAAAGTAATGAATGATTGCCTATCATTTCCCGCATGTGCTGTGGTGATGTGGTTTGAACAAGTTGATCAAACAAAATATGCCCAATCATCCACACCAAGTGCATTTATGGATTACACAATGCGATTGTAAAATTACCAGAATTGGAGAGGAGGTTAGTGGAGAAGAAGGCAAGATAGATAGATAGATTGTGCGTATATTTGTGTGAGTGTGTGTGTGTGTGTGTGCCATAGAGAAATAGAGGGAGAGAGGAAGTGGTAGCCAATCGTAAAAAGCAGTCTGTCCACGTCGTTCTTTTTTTTATATATATACATATTATTTTTTTAGGATGGAACACCAACAAGTGAGTAAGAAATTCTTTTTTCACTTCTGATTTGTTTGCTGCTGCTGTTGTTGCTGTTGCTGGTAGTGATAGTGGTAGTAGTGGAGCCGGTGCTGGTGCTAATACTGATGTTGATGCTGATACTGATACTGACTCTGTTTATTATAGTATGTGTATATGTTTAATTCAGAGAGATCTCTGTCGGTTTCTTTATCGCACATTAATGTGGTTATTTAACTATTGCTTTTTTTAGTTTAATGTCAAGACATCACACCAGTGAGTACAATGGAGTGTTGGGTCTTCTTTTGGTTGTACACCGCTTCGATTCGTTCAAGTATTTCACCTATTCTGCTTATATTTAGTCTTAAAAGAACCATTTTTATAAAAAAGATATATATTTAATAGTCCAAAATAATTATCCGGCAGTCTCTTTTACGATTAAATTATCCAAATACATACAAAAAATAAGGCGGGTTTTATATACTTTAATTTAGTAATATATTTTGAGTATCAAACTAGATACTTCTTTGATTTTTTTAAAGAAGTTCTTTTTTCTGCAATTGTGATTATACAAGATGAAAGGCAGTATTTAAATACAATAAACCAAGATAGACAGAAAAGAATAAACGGATAGAGCGATATATAGAGAGAAGGCCCAAGGAAAATAGAGGGAAATAGTCAAAAAAAGGAAAATAATGAGCTATTTTATTTTATTGTCGTACGCTTCTTTTATTTCCCTAAAAAGGGCATAAAAATTAATAATGGAACAAGTCTTCTTGTAGAAGAATCATAATCATAATCATAATCATAATCATAATCATAATCATAATCATAATAGAAATATACAAGTGATATTTTGATATTTTGATATTATTGCTGCTGTTGCTGCTAGTATTGTTGCTATTGCTACTACTGGTGCTGGTGTTCCCATTGTTGTTTAATTAATTAATTGAATGTAAAAGGTAGCAAATTAAAAACAGGCATTTGGAGCACTCTCCAGAAATTTAATATAATAATAAAATTATATACATTTATGAAACAGCAACAAATTAAAATAGAAATATCTTCTTGTTTATCTTGGGTATTTTCTATTAACTGGCAAGTTCTATGCTTTCCCTTTATTTTTGATTACTTGATGGATTGCTTACTTGCTTATGTATCTTTTTCTAATGATCTTTTTTACTTTGTTCTTCTTCCTATCATTACGCTTTATTTTGTTTAGAATTTATATGGGTCGGTGTGGTGGGATGACTTTTGAATAAATGGTACATGAATTTTCTTCAAAAAAGAAAATGTACGCCTATAACTCACCATTATTACGATTCACTGCTATTTGGATGATTATTATTTTTTGGGTCACTGATCCAGGCACGAATTGTTGGATGTTTAGATGGTACACTAACTCCAGGGCTTACAACTCAGATGTGCAATGTCATTGGACATTGGATCCTGTAGTGATGGTCAAACCAGGGGGCGTGTCAAAAAAGATGCAAAATAAAGAATAAGAAAAAAGTGCGTGCGTGTTTTAAAGTTAGTTGTGTAATGTGCCTTTTTTAAAGTATGCCTGTAAATGTGATTTATGTAACCAATCAGTAGACACTCAAAGCCAACGTTTTCCACACCAAAAATAGATATGAGTTTTGTACACACTTGAAAATAATATAAAATACTACAATATAAAAAAGGTTGTCTTATTTTTTTTTCTGGTAATGATACATTGCCTTATAATCGTCAAAAGCATCTCCAGCAACTCCTACACACAAGCTCTATAGAGCTAGTGTTTTTGATGGGCATCTTTTTCTTCTTCTTCTAAAATCTGAGATTAAAAATTCAAATTCAAAGTCACAATATAAAAAAGGAGATTTTGTAAATGATAGAATCCAAAAAACCCGAGAAATTCTACAGATGTGTAAAGTTTGATCCAAAGAATTAAGACATCAAGTCCCTTTTTGGTTAAGTAGAGCCTTGTGCAAAAGCTTCTGAATGTGATTTTTTTTTGAGAATTCATACATTTACTTCCTAATTTGGATATATAGAATTCGCGTGTAGAAACTGTTGGAGATGCTCTAGTATAGCATTTTTAAAAGTCGGTATCTAAATAGTGAGATTCGGGAAATACATTATTCAATCTACGAATATATTTTACATTGACCGAGTTCCGGGTTTCTCAAAATAAAAATATTCGTTTTTTTATGCAAAATCAGTTAACATATACAAGATATTGTATATGTTAATGCACTGTCCAATAATACAATACACAGTAGAAATGAGACACATTTTTTTTAAAAGAAAAGTTCATGTATTGGTCTATTCGATACAAACAATGCCTTGAGTAAAGGAGGATACTTGTGGTGGTATAAATGTCATTAAGAAGAAAATATATAAGAGTATATACACGTATCCATAGCTCCAGTGGCACAAAAAGATGTAATTTACCTTTCAAAAGAAATTATTTATGTTCGAAAGACATTGATAAATTGGCCACTTTTAGAATCTACAAAAGAGAAAGAAGGTACTGCGCTCTTTATCTATCATATCCAAAGAAAGGATTTATCGTAGTACATAAAAGATACAGCAGAATAAAGAAGAAGAAATCAAGAGTATGTATTGCACTGTTATGTACTGAAAATACATGTCATTTTATTTACGTATCTATTCTATCAGTCGTATGTATTGCTACAGCCTAAATAAAAAAAATTAAATAAACGAAATGTGATTCTTCCTATGAAAACAGCTGACAGGCCCTGCGGATATTTGGTGTGCTTAAAAGCCCTGATTAAATTTGATGCAGTAGTAAAGTTTAACTAGAAAATTAAGAAATCAATGCAGGGAAGAAGAAGGGTAAAATAAATCTAATAGACTTGATTACCTGATTACCTGATTACTTGTATAAGTTGTATATATACATTTCTTCTTGTTCTATATTTACTCTATCGATTATTGTTTTAAAGGGAAACTAGCTTAGCCCTTTACCAGAAATACTTTGTTCGTGCATCAGGGACAAATTACCTTTTAATAAATGTATTTTGAGATCAATTTATTTTTCAGCTCTATAATTTATGCTTCACTTACTGCCAATTATATATATACATAATGCATATTGAATGTAAAAAGGGGTTTGTCTTTCTGCTTTGAAGGATCATAAAAAATAAAACTTTCTTCTATGCCAAGACTTTAGAAAGATTGTCTCTTCTTGAGAATGTAACTATAAAAGTGCCTTTTCTTTTTTTTTTAAAAAAAAAAGGGAGATCATTAGTGTTCATTATAATTTAATCCTTTTTCAAAAGGCTGTTGAATCACTTGTTGTCTCGACCAACTAAATTGCTAGCTGTTAAAACACCTGTACCAACATTTATACCACCACAAGTATCCTCCTTTACTCAAGGCATTGTTTGTATCGAATAGACCAATACATGAACTTTTCTTTTAAAAAAAATGTGTCTCATTTCTACTGTGTATTGTATTATTGGACAGTGCATTAACATATACAATATCTTGTATATGTTAACTGATTTTGCATAAAAAAACGAATATTTTTATTTTGAGAAACCCGGAACTCGGTCAATGTAAAATATATTCGTAGATTGAATAATGTATTTCCCGAATCTCACTATTTAGATACCGACTTTTAAAAATGCTATATATTTATATATAAAACATGTTTTTATTTATTTGAATGATGTATATACTTTCTAATTTTAGCTTTTGTACACATCACCTGTAGATAATAAATATTACTTGTTGTGGTAATTGTATATACAAAACATATGCTTTCAAATCTGATTGGTTCTAAAGGGGATATTTTATCTATTTATTATTTTCAAAGGAAAAAAAAAAAAAGACTGAATTGTCATGACGCATGACTCACTTGATAGACTCTATAGTATTGGACCTTTTTCTTTTTTTCATTTGGACAGTCTATATATCATTTGTCTGTCTTTTCAGTTGCCTGTAACAAATGTTTTCTTCATTTTGTGTGATTTAATTACTATATATGTATATGTAATTTAGTGTTTTACAAGATCATGCTTCTATCAATTTACCCCGAACCATCCCGAACATTTATATATACTCTTTTCTTTTCTTTTTTGTCTTTAGAAGAAATAAAAGTAAAACAGCCTTGTAAAATAGTGGTAATTGCATTTTTGAAATAAAATTCAATATGAAAATTCTGCTAGTATTCTTAAAGAAAAGAAAGAAAAAAGCTTATGAAAGACGTGTATTATATATACATATTCCCACACAATTAATAAATAACAACAACAAGAAAAGAAAAGTCAGAATGAGAGTGAATTATTTATTTCTTTAAAAATATTATATACTATATATGTTTAGAAACCCACACACAACATATACACATAAATGTATAAAGCATGGAATAATTTTTGTATTTTTTTTTTCTTTCTTTTACTTATATATATATAGCATTGTTTGAGGTAGGGATAAAAAAAAGGGGGAAAGGGCCTTTTTTGTTTGTTTGTTTGAATGTACAAGATGATGAATTGATATTTTGTGTGCGTTAATATGTATGTAGATTTATACTAAAGATGAAGAAGAAGAAGAAGAAGTGTAGGAGGAGGAGGGGTAAGAGAGAAAAAAAATAGATAATAAAAGAAAAATGATATATAAAAATTAATATTAATATTATAAGATAACAAATAAAAATAAAAATAAAAATAGAGAAAAGAAGTACAAGAAAGGAATAAAAAGGGCAAAAAATTTGAAAGGCACGTCATTATTTCTTTCGTGCGGGAGTTGGTTCGATCATAGCCATTGAGGCCAGATCGCGAAGGGAATCGTAGTATACGGGGGTGTAACGGAAGCGGCCAAAACCCTGAAGAGCCTCGAACTCATCCATAGTCAGATGAATGGTCTTGAACTCGGAGACAGGAGTTGCGCCGGGGTTGCACAGATCTGCTACAGACATTCTTCGCTGAATATTATTATTATTGTCCTTTTTGTTGTTGTTGTTATTGGTTTGAGGGCTCGTGGTTTCATCATCTTCATCAGACGAAGAAGATGTAGAAGAGGCGGAGGAGAATGCAGAGTTGGAGGTAGAGTATGAATATGAATATGAATATGATGAGGGTGACGATGATGGCGGTGACGATACTAGTAATAATGATGACGATGATAATTGTTGTTGTTGTTGTTGTTGAGGTTGAGGTTGTGATAAAGGCGGCATTGATGTAGATATGGTAGAGTCGATTGAACAGAATGGTCTTTCTCTTTCAGAGTATGGCGACCCCAGAGAGACGGGCGACACGAGCCCGTTATTGCCGCCACCGGGAGATTGATCATACGATATTGGGTCCACACACAGGTCTGGGTGGCGCTTGTTTGTGCTGGACCCGCGTGTGCCTGACTCTGTGCCTGAAAAAGGTTTCCCATCTTCTGAAAATGTCTGGGTGCGGTAGACACCGTGTGTTTGTGTGTGCTGCATCATATTATCGAAGCGACTGAACTTGCGAGTACATTCCGGCACGACGCATTTGAAAGGTTTCTATTTAATTCAAATAATGCATTCATTCATTCATTCATTCATTAGTTAGTTAGTTATTTAGCTAATTAATCAATGAATCATTTGATTTGATTTGATTTGATAATAATTTCTTTTAAAATAAATCTAGATTCTACATCAATTTTAATAAAGAAACTATCAAATGATTGATTGGTATATTCTATAGTATCTCTCTCTCTCTATCTCTTTTTTTTTACTTACTTCTCCAGTGTGCTTTCTGGTGTGCCTGGCCAAATGTTCGGATCGAGAAAAGGTCATGCTGCAGCTGCCATATCCTGAGCATTGGAACAGCTTTGGACCAGCAGAACGCGGCTTTCTTGGCTGAGGTGTCATATTTATGATTTTTTATATTTTATATTATTTTATTGATGTTGAGTGAAAGCAAAAGAGATCCAAAAAGATAAAAGGAAAAAAAAATTAAACAAGACTGGTTTTTTTTTTTATTATTATTATTATTTTATTATTTTAAATAGAGAAAAGCGGGAAACAATTTTTTTTTCAGGCACCAATTTTTTTTTCTTTTCTTTTCTTTTTTTTTTGCTTTCGTCATGATGGCGTTGAAAAATAATTAGGATGTTTAGTGCACGGCCGTTGTTTCTTTTTTTTTTTTTTTTTTTTTTTAGTTCTTCCATATTCACACCAAAATCATTCTGTCATTTTTTTTTCTTTTACCCTTTTGCTGAGGTCATCACTTCTACTTCTTTATTTATATTTATATAAAGATAGTTCAATCGTCAGGATAAATATTTCTTTTTTGAAAAGAAGTGAGATAAAGAGATTGCCATACACCTCTATTATCAGTATTTCTTTTATTTTCTTTGAAAAGAGGAAAGGGCGGTGTTTGGATTTAAGGCGGCTATAGCATCATGTTATCGTTACGATTTGAAATGAAAACACCATATTCTTGTCCATCATCATCATTATTACTATCATCATCTTCAGGCGGTGAATTCATGCTATAGGTGCATATAAATATGTATAGTAATCAGTATCCTACATCTTCTAATAAACCTCATCATATTCCTAGACTTTTTTTTTTTTTACCTTTCACTCTTGATTGAAAAGAACACCATTCGTTTCAATTTACGATTGAAAAAGAAGTAATTGATAGACCATCTTACATTATACATATATATATATTAACAGATTAATCAATCAAACCAATCATTTTTCTTTAAAGAAAAATAAAGCTGACATCAACTTACAAGTAGCCTTCTTCATCATTCATCGGATCGTCTTCAATGTCTGGATTGTAGCTGTACACATCGCACTCACTCAGGTCCACAATCTCATCCAGAGTATCCCACATCCTTTGTTCATCATATTTAGATACCATCCGTCAGACCTCATAAGAAACTTACCTGTATTTGTTCACAATCTCATCGTTCCCAAGGTTGAACAGGGTTGTGTTGACAGAGTTGATGACCATCTCTGGTGATGGCTGCTTACTGAACTGATCCGGCCGAACGTCTCCAAAATCATGCTCAGGAAACGCCGCATTGAGGGTGGCCAGCAGATAGAAAAACGTCTTGCGTGGTGTAGACTCATCTAATCTTCCAAACGGAGACACAATCGTATGCAGATAATCATCTGGGGATATTGACCCTCCAGACAGGTCAACACTGTACTTGTTCTCAATCTGCTTGAACAATTTTTTGTCTGAACCAGCAGATTTACCTACGGCAGATATTAAAAGGATGAGAACAAGGATGATGACAAACGGCAATTGATGCTCTAATTACTACTACCATAACTAGCATCTCACTCATCAACATCCTTATTTTCTTTTTATTAACTTACATGAGTATGCTTCAATTCGTCCAGTCAAAATGGCCTCTACGGTTTCCCATCGGAACACTGTATTGAGAACATCAAGGGAATCAACTTCGAGAAATTTCATTATTTCTTATTTTGGTTTTGGTCTTCTTTGATAATAAGGATAGTAATGGTAATTATAGAACAGACCAGTAATAATAATAATAATAATAATAATAATAATTCTTATTAAACTGTTCATAGAGAACTGGGTCACCTGATTGGTGTCCTAATTCCCTTTTATAGCCAAGGTTTCATGCCAAATGATTTTTATATATATAATACAATATTATATATATATATGTGTGTGTGTGTGTGATTTGACATCAATTACCAATCTCAAGCCAGTCTATTGAAATACAAAGAAGACCGAGAACAAGTTCCATATTCACCGCCTTGTTTTTATACACCTCTTTACTTTCTTTCTTTTTATTATTTTACTTTATTGGCAGGAGCTGATTAACATTCTGTAATAGCCTATAAATCTCCGCTTCAAGACACAGGAAACAAGCGCTACCCCTCTTTCTGTCTACAGATCCTACTCTCTTTTATTCATTTAGTCATTCATTCTTTGGGTCAGTGCAAATAACAAGAGTAGCAATACATACATATGCATATATAAAAGAAGGTGGTGGGAAAATATTAGATAATTTAAAGTACTCGAGGACAATAAAAATATCCCTTACCAGTAAAATCTGTCTAAAGGCTCCTTCTCTGTCTGTCTGTCTGTTTGACTGTCTGTCTGCCTATTTTGATAGGTGGCAATGGTAAAACTACTGGCTCTATTCTTATAAAAGAAAGAAATTCAAGGCTTAACATTTACCAATGTACAGTGTGGTTCTCAAGTCAGCCAAAGATTCTAATGCAAGGCAAAAGGCAGTAGAGCATCCAATTGCAAGAAATATATATTATTTTATCCAGGCACTTACTTTTTACTTGCTTACTTACTAGTCATTTATTCCGCGCGCCCACCATTTATCCATAATCCTGACTTTCAATCAACCAATAAATTATGATGAAATTATATAAATCTATGTACTGAAAAAGAACAAAGATGGAAGGAACTCTGACTGACATTGAATCATTCATAATGCGCGCACCAGTCAAAGAGACAAAAGAAAAGTAAAGTTTATTACTGATATTTTTATACAGATTAACTGCATGGTGTCATTTTTATATACAGTTAGGCTGGTGGATATTGGTCGTTACAAAAAAAAACAGGGTAATTGTTGGTTAGTAAATACGAATATGAAAAATAAAAGAAAATAAAGATGTTTAATCGATTGCACTTCGTAATACAGTGCTTAACCGAATTACATACTACCTTTACAAATTTCATTCAATCGAGCCTTCTTTGTTACGTATTCATCTTCAAGGACCTTTGTGCTTTGCGTGCCTTTTCCATCTTGGTGTGATTGTTGGTCGCGGGCTTCTTGGTTCTGGAGATTGGACGACTGCTAGTACCCAAGACGCAGACAAGAAACACGCCATATCAACTTGGAGGTACGTTATGGCAATGTCATTTTTGTTTGTTGCCTTCACCGTGCAAACCAATAAATTAATATTTATGTCTGTAGCCTCATGGGTGCTGTAGAAAACAAAACCCATAACATGATTTTTAAAAAAAAAAGTTTAGGAAGGCAGGACTACAGCAAAGGTGATAGAGCACTCTGTTTATTTATTTTTTTAATCGTTACCTACCTCGACATGTAAGGTTTTGCAACAAGAAGTAGGTTAATTGGTTTTTTTCCTTCTTTTAGAATGTTGTATACTTGGAATGCATTTTTTCATCTTTCAACCATTCCCCTGAAGTTTGGCTTGATTTTGTACTCTAAAATAGCTTTTACATGAGGTTGGGTTCATTTTGACAGAAAAATAAAATAAAGAAATCGAAACACTAATTTTAGGGACACGACATTTTCTGGTAGCAGACGGTATTTTGATTCTTCCTGCACCACACTTTTTTTTTGCCGGAATGGAATAATCTTCTGTATTACTGACTATTCATAGAGTGTACTTTTTTTCAGGACACGATATTTTGCCCTGAAGGATTAGAGAAAGACAATGGGCCACGAACAGGTAAGTCATAATTAATTGGTCCGGTTAGATAGAAACGTTGTACCTTGCCAGAAAGTCGTCCCCGTAAGTTTCTTGGCTTTTTATTTGCTTATTTATTGTAAGGACTGTGAGGGTATTTCGTATAAAATAATATCAGTCCTAGACATTGGACTTGTCAAGTTATAGTCATTATTGGTCCCGTGGGAAAACGTGAGGTTTGAAAAAGAAGGAATTGAGAATTGCCCTTTGATTATATTGGGGGGGTTTCATCAGTTCTGGATACTTGACTGTTGGATATAGCTGTAGTTTAATTCGCAAAAATTATTGGCCGTGATGAATCTACAAAAAAAATTAAAACTGGAGCATTCAAGTATCCAAGTATCCAAAAAAGAAATGTTAGATATTGAAATGAGACTTTGCCAAAATCTACAAACTGTTGTACTTTATGTACAAGTACTCGATAGTTTATATATATATATATTGATTATTATTGGCTGGTGCTTAAAGTACGGCTACATCCAACAGTCAAGCCATCCAGAACTGGTGAAATCCTCTATTATACACCATCCACACAGAAGCTAATACACTAATAAGAGATGAGTTTCAATAAATAAATAAATATATATATACTCTATGATCTAACGCACACACTACAATTGTATTTATAATATAGTGTAATGCAGTATAGTGTAGCTTAGTGTATAAGCTGTGTAAGCTAAATTCCCCACTACAAATAGATTATATACAGTGTGTAATACAAACAAGTAAAAGGAAAGCAAAGGTAAGGTAAGGTAAGGTAAGGTAAGGTAAGGTAATAAAAGATAACAGCATCTGTTTTAAACAAAGTAACAAAAGAAAGATTCAATGGGGGAAAAAGAAAGTACCGATGATTGTCGTTAGTTATTTGGCTGTATCCTTCCTATTGTAACCATAGCTACCCACGACCATGAACACATTTTTATGACTGATCTTACTTTAAACAGTAAAAATACGTAAAAATGAATATCATTGACAGTAGGAGAAAGATAAGAATTCAGAAGAGCGACTATTGTCACTATCACTATTGTCATTGCTATTGATATTGATATTGCTATTATTGTTATTAATATTATAATAGTTCAAAGCTAGTCTTGTTCCCCGATACCTATAATTCTATTTTTTGTGCTTATATATTTATTGGATGTACAAAACAGGAAGAAAAAATAGCAGGTATTTTTTCAGGAACCCAGAAACACAAACACAAATACAAAAAATACACAAGATAAAATAAATCAATATATATATATATTGATAATATACCAATTTAAATGATAATGATAATGAAAATAAGGTAGAATAAAGTAAGAGAGAGAGAGTGGGGGGTGGGAAAAAGTTTGGCAAGGGAATAAACTCGAGATAGAATACAGAAATGATAAAATAAAATATAAAAAAATAGTACTATGTAGATATCATGTCTATATCAGACATGTGAATTAAGAAACAATCAAAGAAGAATAAAGAATTAAATAAATAGGTAAATAAATGATGATAATGAAATATACAATAGTGCAAGCATATTTTTGTTGTTGTTGTTGTTGTTGTTTTTCTGTGTGTGTGGTGAAATAAGGTATTAATTATGTAGATGGAGAGGCAGTATTGACCATGGCAACAAGAGCGTAACTACTGGCAGCTGCAACAGCGCCGATAGCAAAGGTTTGGAGGGCGCCGATAACAGCCTGGGCTGGACGAAGATAGATACTCTTGACATAGCCAAATGTCAGCAGTGTCAATGAAGTAAAAAAGATCGAGTAGAACAGAGCGCGGGTTGTATTGACCACAAAGAAGTATGGCAAGAGAGGGATAAATCCTCCAAACAGATATGAGGTGCCAATTGTTAATGCAGAGATCTATAAAATTCAATTTTTTTTAAAAAAAATTAATCTTTCAAAAACAAAACAAGAAATCGATTCTTACCCAGCTTCGATTAGGGTCAGGCATCTCAAGGTTCAATTCAAACTTCATCATGAAATCAACAAACTTTTCTGTATTTTCTCTAAACTTGACCATCATTGGCTCCATAGACTCTCGATCTAGTCCGTAAGGCTCAAAGAGCTCAATTATTTCTTCCTCTTCTTCCTTTGGGTAAAGTTCGACCTCTTCCTCTATACAAGACCAAGAGAAAAAAAAGCAAGTCAGAAAGAAAAGAAAAAAGAATGTAAAATACAAATTATTATTTACCTTCTCGGAGACGTTCTGTCTTGTAGTGGTCAGCTTCAGATCTTGCTGCAAGGTAACCACCTAAGCCCATAGAAATGGCTCCAGAAACAAGCTCTATTATTCACATTAATTACAAGTTTGTCGGTTAATGAATCAATCAGATGTTTTGTTTTCTTTAAAGCATTCACAACATATGCATTTATTCAAAGAAAAAAAAAGTTACCTGCTAATCCTCCATAAATCACAATCTTATGATCTCCTAGGCTAGAAAGCCCGGCTGCCAAGGCGAATGGTACGGTCAGACCGTCTGACAGACCCATAATACAGTCGCGAACCAATTCAGGACGAGAGAAATGCTCTTCGACGTGTCGCTTCAGATCATGGTTGTGGCTGTGGTCGTGGTGGTGGCGGTGGGGAATACGGAACTCTTCTGAAGATCCACTCGAAGAGTTCAGGCTGGACTCTTCGTCATACTCTCCAACAGATAGCCGAGCAACATTGCCCTTCTTTTCCATCATCTCCAACGGAACATGTTCGAGAGATTCTTTGGGTAAAAGACTGTATTCTTCAGGAGAAGGCATTTTTATCTTTTTATTTTTCTTTTAATTGTAAAGAGAGACGAGTCCAAGTAAAAGAGATGAAAATGAAAATGAGGTCCAATACTTGTATACTTATATATACTATTATCATTGGTAGTAACAGCTACAAAAAAAAAGCTAGAGGTGTAGACTCGTACTCTTGTAAAAACCCAAATTTGGCTACAAATTATGGTATAAAATCTTCCGTCTCTCTTTGAATAAGTTAAAAAAGTAAAATTGATGCTATATAGGTAATCACAAATGTCTATAGTATGGTAACCCAAAGAGTTAAATTTCCCTCTTTTAGCACATGAGCGTTATCTCCATTTATTTCAATGTGCTTTATAACTTGGCTTACCATCTATAACCATTGTACTTATTTACTAGAATATTTTGCTTCTTTAGGTTGCCTTTATGAAGATATGCAATTATATTACATTAGAAGACCAATGCAAGGTCCCTAATAAAATAGAGAGCCAAATGAATACATGAAAAAAAAATATCAGACTCTTTTACTTTTGCATTATTATTCAGGCTACTCAATTATACATGTGAATTATTACAGCTTGAGATAGTTACACGACGCAGGCTCTTCCTTGGGTTAAATCTTATTATTTGCCCTTTAATACAAATCACCAAGAGCACAGCTCACACGTGTGTTACAATCATTGTACCTCAATGTGCTCAGAAAGGTCGTACCTTTGACAGTGATATTACAAGTAACACACACAGAGAGAAATAAATAGACAGAAAGACAGAGAGAAGGAGATAGATTATTAAATATATATATTATTACACACAAAACCCTTTATATATCAAGAAACACCTTTTGAATTGTATACTAGGCAGATAATACTAATTAATAAACCTTTAAACACACATACACAAAGATGACTTTTTTTTAAAGAAATAAAGATAGGGAATAAAGAGCATTAGATAAGATAATAGAAATATAAAAAAAAAGTAGACAAAATACATAGGGTATATTCTAGAGATCTCCCTCTCTTTTTCTTCCATTCATTCATTAAATAACTATGGACATACATAAATGCATACATACTGTAGGTTCAATTCGTTCAAGCGAAATAAATGGAGTAATAAGCAAGCTCGTTAAAAGGAGTACTCATACACACACGCACACAAAATTCTATATCTTAATATTTAGTTTTCCTTTTCATTTTGTATTTGTACTTGCATTTGTCCTTGTTTCCTTTATTTTCATTTTCATTTTCTTCTTTGGTTGTCTTGGGCGTGCGTCTAAAAAAGGAACCTCACGCAGTATCTTTGAAGAAAGAGAGCGAATCAGAATCTGTATCGTCTACTGAGAAGAATTTGTTTTTAGTATGTGTGATACACAGATTGGCGTTGTACTATCTTTTTCTTTTTCTTTTCTTTTGTAAACTTTATTTTTCACTAATTTACCCTTCAACCTTGAGTTCAATATCTGTGTAAAGATTGTTTTTAATGTGGGAATGATAATAGTGAAATACAAGCTGGCGGATATATTTTGATCTATTAAATATACATATATACATATATACACATATACACACGCTTTTAATTAGATATATCTATTGAATGGAAAGGCTTATGTTTTTACTGTCAAATCTACCAGCCAACCAACCAGAAAAGCTTACAGTGAGTAGAATTAAAGAATCTTTTTATTATTATTAAAAAGTCCTAATGTTTATTGGCTGTACCTTTGGAGAGCATAATACTTTTCTTTTATATATAGTATAAAGCCTAGTGTTTCAATATGTGGAATAATAATAAAATAATAAAATAAAGAAATACAATCTAGAAAATATATAGATGTATATGTGTATAAGGGAGCCATATGACTGAATTAGACAGTGGGAATAAACAGATCGAATAAAATGTTCCCCCCGCTCCTTCTTGACAAACAATGTGTTTCTTGACCAGTTCAAGGTCTCACACAGATTGGTTTAAAAAGATACGCTAGCTCGATCTAATAGGGTGTGGTTTCTTTAAAGGATTTTACTATGTTAACACTAAAAGTGAGACTTATTATTATGATAGTAAAATATCAAGAACTCTAGACAAGTATTTATCAGCCCAATATTTTCTCAATTACAATAGTATACATTATATTGTATTGAATTGAATTGTAAATTAGGCGCAAATAGGTTATCCGAGAGATTCTTATTAGCCTACAAATGTTAATTGCTTCTTGCTTACTCATTTACTCTTTCTAAATCACACTCGCATACGTCCTTTTATATCTAGAAAGAAAAACAGAAACTTAAAAAAAAAAAGAATAGATAATGAAATGGTATACTTGTTTGGTTCAATATTATTGAATATTTAATAACAGTACATACAAATCAAGTACACATATTCTGGCTATAGTAGCATTTTATCCCAGTCCATTTTGTGCTAATAAGAATATATAAAACATCTTTCTTCCTTTTTTTTGGCACTCGTCTGTGTCACAAGCTGTGTTTAACAGGAATAAACCCCTGTGGTTCTCAACTATTGCTTTTGCTTCTTCTTTTTTTGCTACAGACTACAATTGCTGGTTTCTATTGGTTTAAAACTCAAAAACAATATAAGCCGATATGAACACATTAGTACACTCGAAACCCAACATACTTCAAATGTCTTTAACATATATATATATATCTGCACTATCTATAATTAAATATATGCTTATATTGGCATTAATACTACTACTACTACTATCATCATTATTTATAGATAAAAATTTACTCAGGCTGCTTTTCTTCTTCTTTGCTTCTAAAGATAACATAAAAGACTACAATATAATTGAGCCAAAATAGAATTTAGTATTTGTCAAGGGTGCCTTGGTAGATAGACAAACTAATCGATAAACCCATGAGCTTATGTATATATATCGACATTAATATATGACTATGCATATGTATATATGCATATGTAGTTTATTTGGTCCTACACTCTTGAGATCAATTCAAATTAGTTTCAAATTTAAATGGGTGTGACAGCATGGTTATAAAATGTCAATGTGAGCCAAAATAAATAAATGAATTAAAAAAAAAAAAACTGAAAATATTTGTCCAATGAATTCAATAACAAAAGAGACGTGTTCAACTTACTGATCGTCTAAAGAAAAGTATTATTATTAAATTTTCCTCTTTAAATAAATAAATAAATAATACCTCTACTTGCTATATTAATATGTACAAATATGTATAAAATATAAAAATAAAACACAATTATGAGCCAACTACATTTGAAAGCAATTGTGATCTATTTACTTTCTTCATTTTATTTGTAAGGGTTGCAGTTATTGCTTCTTGGCATTGTTGGTGTACAGTTGTTCTCGAATTTCATATACCCAATAACAGGTATCTAATGCACCGCGTGGAGACCATGTAACATTTTGACTGAATCAAAAAGCAAGAAATGAATATTGAGAGCCATCTACACAATATGGCCTTTTGTATTAATAATATTCCAAGTGATTCAAGGAACCTAGCCATGTTTATTATTATTATTATTTTATATTTACAAATGCTGTTTATCAAATTTATCTAATCTCTATGACTTTAACAGGATATCAATGTGACTTTTGCTCAATCTATTGCTGTCCTTCCATTCATCTCTTTGGTTCTCTTCTATCTGCCAGAGTCCATTCACCATCATTTCTCTTGACCCTAGTGCACCAGACACGACCAAGCTCTCTACTAACATCCGGCTATTCTCTACGCTCTCTGGTACACTCGTTCCAAAGTAGCTCTGACCAGTAACACTCATTCGATGGCTGTATGCTGTCTGGAGTGCATTGTGCAGCTCCCCCATCCGCTCTTCGTGCCCAAGAGTGTATTGAGGAAGACACTTGGGATTCAATGAGACCATCCCATGTGTAGGTCGATCTTTGATACCAAACAATACCCGGGCCACCTCTTGTGCATGTTTGAATACTAACTGGGGATCTAGTTGTTGGATCCGAGTGGTTCCAAAGATATTCTTCCATTGGTGTCCACCAAAGGCAGTGGTTATCTTGAAATGCGGTTCATGATCCTGATGTAAGAAATTGTTGGAATTGCAATCAACAGAAAGTGTACCAGGAACAGGACTCTTGTAGTCCGAATCTGGGTGCGGCAGCACAATACTATTGCCAGTGTAATTTGAGGCTGTAGATGGATAAGCAAGTCCGGCTACTGCAACATCCACACATGGAGTGCTGGTGAGATGTGGTAAAGGACAGCTGCTGGTCAATTCGTGGAGTGTTGCTGAAGGTAGAGCCGAAAGGACATGTTCAAAATGCATGGTAGAACGAGATGTTGTGACCTACATATATAATTTGACTTAGAGACCAGGATCAAATAAATAAAAATAAAAATGACTTGCCTTGACATCGTTTTCTCCTACTGGGTCAATACGTTCCACACTCTCGTCCAAACGAACTTCCACATTCTCACATTGAGACAAGTAGGCAGACAATCTGTCAGGAAGCGTCTGGACTCCTTGTTTGAAACTGATTCCGGACCATTCATCAGCCTGCCCAAACCACACTGGATCGTCTCTTCTTGCTCTGGCTGCTAGTCCACGTTCCCGGAATCCTTCTCGACGGCGCCCACCGGTTCTGTAGTATCCTATGGTGACACTTCTGTATTCCTGCTCGAGATCGTAGAGTAAGGGCAAAACAGATCTGACCGATAGTGCCTTGATATCTCCTAGAACCATTCCCTGAACATATGGACCCACGATATTTAAGGCAACGTGCTGGTTGAATCGACGGCAAACAAAGTCGTAGATTGTTTCGTCTAATAGTCCTGCGTTCTTGACTACAAAGCATTCCCGCAGGATTGCCCTGAAGACGGACTTTGTGACTGGAGATTTGTCTTTCCACAGAGATGTCAGATGGGTAGGCAGTACATTGACCTGGTCTTTGTAGTAGATAGAACGTCCTTTTTCGATATAGTCTGAAGAATTTATTGTAAGCATCTCTTTTGTAAGACAGACGTCTTTAACCTACAGAAAGCAAAAATATATATATACTCATCATTACTCCCATCTTACTCATTGAATTCAATTTCTTTGTTGTTTTTGTTGTTGTACCATTTCTAGTAGCACGGCTCCACTGGTACCCCTTGGATTCATGATATGAGGACCACTTTCAAATAATACGCCTTTTTCATCTGCCACTGGAGCAGAAGAATGTAATCCCGGAGGTACGCGGTTGCTTTTGAGCCATCCTCCTAGGTTACGGCTGCTTTCGATCAAGACGATTTTTGTGGTTCGTGGTGCAAAGCGAGCGAGATAATAGGCGGCAGATAAACCAGATATACCGCCTCCAAGAACGGCGATAGAAGAAGCCATTAATTAATTAATTAATCGATTGATTGGTATATTTATATTTGTTATTGTTTAGTTGATAAAAAGAAATATCAAAGTTCAAGTCAAATGTATGTAAAAGAGAAATGCACTATTGCTTAGCTATGGCTGTTTATTTTAATACAAGTGATGATATAATAGGAATTGAGTCCAATGCAACCCGGTGAGTCAAGCTTGAAAAAGACGTGAACATTCATCATTCCGTTTCTATTTAATGTCCGGCAGTGATTATATGTAGAACCAAGCATATATAAATAAAATAAAATATACCACTAGTTTAGTATTCAAGATATCAACACACACACACACACACACAGGGACTTTCTTTTTTTGGTTTTTGGTTTTTGGTTTCTTTTAATCGAGCTGGGCATTATGCTATAAGCCCGTGGGAAGTATTGTGTGGCTTAATTATCAAAACAGAACCACCACCTACCAAAAATCACAAGAATCAATATGTGCTATTTGTTTCTTAGTGCTACACACACAAAGGCACACTGACTGTTTTACTATTACAGCCAAGTCAGTAGTGTCGTTTTGATTAGAACCAATTAATAAAGTTAAAAATAATATCATTTCATTGTGTTAATACTCAAGTGGTGAAGAGGGAGTTTAATTTGGTTCATTTTGATTTAAAGGCTATTAATTCACTACACCCTTTGTGAGGTTATGTGTATTAAATATAATTGATTTTCCAGTCTTTATGTCCAATACCAATATAACATTTGTGTGTGTGTGTATGTATGCATGTATGTAGGCTATGTATGTTATGTATGTTATGTGATGTATGGATGCGTAAGAACAAGACAGGAAACATGCCACCACATAGTGTGATCTACGTCACTAGTTATTACGTGCGGTGTCTCAACCATCGCATCAGCTTGTATCAATTCCTCTCAGCTCCTTTACCTCCCCCCTTGCCTTTTTTTTTTCTTTCCTTTTTTTCTCTTCTAATATTCTCTTACATAGAACTCAAGATATTAACCCAACCTCTTTAACCCCCCTTTATTATAATTATTATTTCTGCTCTTATTTAGAAACATACAGACTTAACCCCATCTTCTTTATTTTATTAAGCCAACCTTTCTTTTCTTTCTAGCTATTATTATTAGTATTATTATTATTATTATTATTCTATTAACACATTTTAAACCTACAAACCTACACCCATAAGCACACACACACATATATATATATAAATATAAAAAAAAACACTTTCTTTCTTTGATATAAAGCTATTTATATAGATATCCAAGTATTTCATCCACTTAGCAATGGAACAAAAGGATATCTCTGACTCAAACGAGTCTTTGGTTGTGTGTGAGCAACCAGTTAAACATATAATTCGTTACTCAAAAGAAGATCTTCTTGCTCTCCATGACAGTCCACTCGTAACCAAGCCAGAAAACATGCCAGCCCTCGCGTCCTGGCTTGGGTAATTGTCATTCTGCATCAACAGAATGAATGATTTCTCAGAAACGTTTTTTCTTTCTTTCTCTCTTTCTCCTTCTTTATATACATATACATACATACATACATACATACATACATACATACATACATACATATTTTTTATATATATTTCTTTTTCTTTTTAGTGACTTTGCTAATGCATCTGCACCTAAGAACATCCTAAACGGTACAAGTCCAGCACGTTCATCAGGTAGGATTTAACGCTTTTTTTTTAAAAAAAGAAACATTAAGCTACATTGTGGATCTCGGGAAAAAAAATAACAACAGATACATATGATATGAATGAATAACAAGGGTTGACATTTCTTCTTCTTATTTTATAGACAAGAGTATTGTGCTTGGACCAACAAAAACCAACTTTGCGTCATCACTCTATGGGGGCCTCAAGCGCACCGATGAGAGCCCGAACACACAGTCGAAAGCATTGACATCCCAATCACCGTCTGCATCTCGTCACCGACAAGTAATTGACATGCTGGTGCTGCCTTGCGGGAGCAGCCGCTGAAAAAATGATGTGATTCGCCTCTGCCATGTAGAATGACGAACCAAGGACACGAGAAACGAACAAGGACCATCGGACACGTGGAGCTTTTGTCAACGAAAAGGGGTTCCACCAACGATCCGACAAGAACGAACGACGACCAGGCCACTACGCAACATCTCCGTCCAATAACAACCGACGCCAGCAAGACCGCTATGGGGGAGACCGTCTTACGAACGATAAAACAAGGCGCGAATGTAAGTGCATATTATATATATATACGGAAATCAAAAGTGAGAGGTGGAGTACACATACATACGTACATATGTACGTACGTATATACACACGCACGCACGCACAAATATATACATATACCCATAAAAGGGAGTGCTGTGGTGAACAAGAGGGGGAGGGAGAGAAAGAAAGGGGGGGTTGTGGGTTTGCTGATACGTTTGTAGACACACGTGATCAGAGCCGCCAGCGACACACTCCAGCTCAAGAAGTGGTCTCGGAAAGGGTGCCAGAGTGGATGGACTACAGTCCAGAATCCAAGGAAGGACCTGCAAAAGATCCTGTTGAGTTTGCTAACGACCTCGAGGCGTGGAAATCGAGCATGAAACAGCGTGAACGAGTCCCTGATGAAGTGCCAGTAAAAATGACACAACAACAACACCATAAACACCAACAGCAAGGTTGGGAAAAAAAGAAGGGGCGGGAGAGGGAGGGGGCTTTTCTTTTCTTTATTATAAGATTTTGAATATAGATACAGTTTACATGGTTTGATAATACTTGTGAAAATCGCTTGTAGAAATACCGTCGAAAGATATTCCAGTTGCAGCCCACGATGCCCTCATGGCAACATTCTTTGACGAAAATGTTTCGCCTAGTGTCCCACGAGAGTCTACCAAAGGATCACGTTTTGCTGAATTCTTTGCCAAACGTGAAGAAGCTCCAGTAGAACAATCACAAACTACTATCATTGCCGCTGCCGCTGCCGCTGCCGCCACTACTACTACTGTTAATGCTACTGCTACCAGTAACACTAGTAATAATAGTAACACTAGTCACCCAGCAGGACAGCCGAGAACAATCAGTTTAAGTGATCTTTTCCAGGCCCCACCATCCTCAGAAGGAAAAGATGGAAAGCCAAGCCCAGCAGCTGTACGAATGCTGTCCGAGGCAGAAGTCATGCAGTCTCTTGGTGCTTCCAAGACTGGCGCTGAACCTGTAGTAGAAGATGCTATTGGATTTAGCCGTGTTCTCCAAATCCTATCTCAGCCAAAAGTAAACATTTTATTTTAGTTTTATTATTATTATTATTATTATTATGTTTGTATGTCGCTGCCGTGGTTAACCTTTATTGTTAGCCAACCGTTGGTCAACAGCAGCAAGTACAACAGCAGCAGCAACAGCAACATCAGCAACAACATCTGCAGCAGAACCAACATCAACATCAACAACAACAGCAGCAGCAGCAGCTACAGCAACAACAACAGCAGCAACAATTACAATTGCAGCAGCAAGAAATCAAAAATGTGCAAGTACAACAAGTACAGCCTACGGATGTTCAAGAGATTGAACAGGCTATGACCAACATGTTCCGTAATGAAAAGATGGCGGCCTCGCATGCTCAAAATCAAAATCAAAATCAAAACCTGAACGCGAACCCGAACCCGAACCAAAACATGAACCAAAACATGAATATAAACCAGAACCAGAACCACACTCATTCTTCTCGTGCCGGTCGCCCAGTGGACGGAGAGCGAAAGGCCAAGCCTATGAACGGTCTGTTTGCAGGTAACCTCCCTACATCCGTGCTTCGCCACATGAGCAGTGCGCGCTCTACGGAAGGAAGGTCACCCAAGAGTGCAGTAAGGGTACTAGGCGGTAACAATCTCAACCCAAATATGAATATGAATATGAGTATGAGTATGGCTGGCGGACACCACTCGCCCTCAATGTCTACCCCACCCAAGGCAGTTGCTGTACCGGTGATGCCTTCTTCACCCAACAATAGTGGATATCCTTACGGCGGCGGCGCTGTTGGCGTTGGAGGTGGCGGATTCCAACACCAACGCATGGCCTTGTCAGCAGCCGGATACCCAGTCCCAACTGCCAACCACCCTTCGATTGATCCTTTAGTTTTTGGTGAAGGACGCCCGGGAATGCCATTGATGGTCCCTATACCATTTAATGCTGGTGCTGGCCAATCTTCTGCTCGCCAGGCCCCTCCACCTCCACCTCCCCCTCCACAACCACCAATGGAGCCATTTATGCCCCACATGATGCATCTTCCCATTCCTGGTCCACACCACCTCCATCATCATCCTCTGCCTCCTCATCTTCAATCTCAGGTCCCCCATCGCTACCCTCTTCAACGCGATATGCTTCCTCCAGGAAATGATCCTTTCCGCATCAATCTCCCCAACGGAATGCACGGAATGACTAATGGTAATTAAAAAAAATGACTTCAGTTGTGAAGAAGGAAGGGGGTGGGGTTTGTCTAGTGAGATTTGTAAGCTAATGAATAACAACATTTTATATATATATCTATATATACACGCATCTACTTTTGCTTTTTTCTGCTTGTGCAACAAAAACAACAACAAATAGCAGGTCTTCCTCCCATGTATGCCAAGAATCAAGGCTGGGAACGCCAGTAAAAAAAAAACCAAGACCTATTTGTTCCAATTTTTTTTTAAATTTTTTTTTCCCAAACAAAAAGGAAAAATTGAAAAAAAAAATAATACAAGGAAATTAAAGTGTTAAAGTGTGGACACATTTTTCTTCTTCTTCTATTGTGTGCATTTGATTGTTTGCATGTTTGGTATATAATATTCTTTTCTCTCTACCTCCATTTCTATCTATATTATTATGTTATCACGATGATAATTGTTTCTTTCATATACACCCCTCCAAATTTTCATTTATTTATTGTTTAAGAGGAGAAAATGCGACTGTACAAATCTTGGAACCTGTTTGGCCACCAAAGGAGAATGTGGGATACTTTACATGAGAATGGTATCTAAAGTCTGTGATAATGAAAAGAAGAAGAAGAAGAAGACGAAGAAGAGTTGAATTTAAGTACTATATACATACTTCGATACTATTAGCATTCTATACACGTACATTGTTTGAAAGCTTCCTTGAGTTCTTCCATTGTCCAATTGCAGCTAGTGATCAAGAATACACCGTCGGGCGAAATCATACGGTGGACAGCTTGGATGTAAAGCTCTCTAGGTCCGGCCTTGTTTTCCTTTTTAGCTTCCTCTTCCTCGGGATTGAGTGAGATAGCATCATAAGTGCCCTTGTCCAGGACGACCTGGTACAGCTTGTTGTCCTGACGCCATTCATCCGAGTTGAGGAAGTCAACTGCTTTGTATTCAATCGACTCAAGATCACGGTCCTTGGCAACAGACTTTGCCAGCACAATTGCTGACTCGGAGTAGTCGATACCAGTGAGGTTGCTGAAGCCTTCCTCAGACAGTGCAAGCAATAAATGACCATTTCCACAGCCAAGATCGATTACACTGCTGTTGGTGTCCTCTACATTATCTACTGCCCAGTCCACCATACGCTCTACGCTGTCCTCTCCGAACCTGTGATGGAATTAGGGGCGGGGAAGGACTTTTGATTCGATAGATCAATGTTGAGTGTTGTAAATCACTTGCCAGATCTCTCCAATGTCACCAAGTTCCTTAAAGTTGTCATTTTCACGATCGTACACATTGTCCCAGCTTAAGATATAAAAAAAATTGTTTATGAGTGGCTTTGCAGCTTTATCTATACACCTCAAACTCACTAGGACTTGGTGCCCAGTTTGGATGCTTCAAAATCTTTAGACATTTATGTATATGTATATATATATATATATGTTTGTATCAAGCAAGTAAGAAGTGAATAAGTGTTGATTCCTTTTTTTTTGCTCACGTGATATCGGAGATGTATTATATTGGAGATCTGTGTACCTTACTTTGGTGTAGCAGATAAAATTGTGTTTAATTTGAGGTCCTTATCCTTATCACACAATAGTCTTACATACAAGTTATACAATAAGTTTGATAGATTAGATAGTAATGGCAACTACAGGAGAAGGTGACAATTGGTTTTAGCTACACGGCCAGGAACAATATAAACGGATACTTTTTTTCCCTCTATTTACTAGGGCTATGACTAGGAGTGTGAAAATAAAAGGGTAAAGGGAGATTTTTTATTTTTATATATATAAAAAAAAGAATAAACTCCTGGTGTACAAACACACACCCATATACACATATAGACTATACCGTACAATTCTTATTATTAATGAATTCGCACAGCAATTCCTCTTATTCTGTACAATTAATGGTTTAAAGTACGCTCACAACTTTATTCACCTACAGAATGTGTGTCCGTGAATGTGGAACTCTGGAAAATATGGGTACAAATATTTTCTCAATTGCTTAATACTTGTAGTAAGATCTAAGCTTTATGATCCGGTATAAGGTCACAATATGTATTGGATCTTAATTGCACTGTTATAAAAAGAAAATACAGCCAAGGCCTTATGTAAAACATATTAATATATATAAATATATAGATTTTCGTGTCGGAGATTAAATAATATTTACGTTGGAAAAATAAAATAAAAATAAAAAAAAAGGTACTTTGATTTAGGATGTGTGCTCAGGAACAACTTCAAGTTTCATTTCGTCACTTTTTTTTTTCTTTTTTTTTTCTTTTTTTATTTTATTATTCTTTTACTTTCCTTTAATTTCCTTTCCTTTATTCTACTTTACTTTACTTTCCTTTACTTCCCTTGTAACTTAAATCCAGTTTATGACTGATCTGGTAGAAGCACTCTTGGCAGTCAAACAAGAACCTCAACCTTCTTCAATGGGGGACGAGGATGTGATGACATATTTGAATGCAGATTATCTCTCAGCGGACCCACTCGACCATGGCTCGCCATTTTCAGACATGGCCTCCTCTTCATGCGACACTGACCTCACAATGAACGAAATCAAACCCGATGAGTTACCATACAACCACCATGCATTCGAAGAAGCGCTTTCATTGGAATCCTATCCTTGGACAGCCATGCCAGAGATGGACCCGTGTCTCCCTTCCGACTTTTTTGCCAACCTACCTTTTCTTTTCAACAACCAACAGCCTCACCACAACTATAACCAAAACCTTAACCTCAACCATAATCTCAACCACAACCACAACCACACAGCCTACCCTGTCTCACCGTCATCTTCATCCTCCGATGGTGAGCAACCCAAAAAGAAACGAGGACGAAAGAAGCGGCTGGCAATGATCAGTCCAAGCCCGCACCCTCCTCCGGCTATTGCTATCGCTCCTGCACCCGCAAAGCCGAGCAATCCCGTTCAGATTTTACCCACCCTGCGGGACGCATCACCTTCCTCCTCTTCCTCTTCCTCTTCCTCATTATCATCATCATTGTTGACCCAATCTAATTCTATTCACAATAAATCACAGTCAGCCGCGGCAACGGCGATGGCGACATCAGCAGCAACGGGAGGAGGAACAGCAACAGGACCACCAACCCCAATGCCTCTGGATGCACAGAAAGCTGCAGCCCAGGCCAAGCGACAAGACAGATTGATCAAAAACAGAGCAGCTGCTTTACTGTCCCGCAAACGAAAGAGAGAACATATGAATACACTCGAGGATCAAAATAAGGCCCTCGAGGCAGAAAATGAAATGTTGCGTACCCAGGTCAATCAATTGACCCAACGCGTCAGTCAGCTAGAAAAGGAAAAGGAACTTGACCTTCGTCGACGACCTGCTACACCCAGTAGTAGCCCATCTTCTTCACCAATCCAACACCCTAAAGCAACGACTGGCATGGTTTTTATGGTATTTTATCAGCAAACAGACGGAAAGAAAAATTAAACTATATAAAGTTCCAGAAAATTATTTACATTTCTTCTTCTTATTTATTTATTTTTTTTAAAAAAAATGTAGATTTTGCTCTTTTCATTTGCTGTGTTTAGTCTTCCATCTCATAGCAACAGTCTTTTGACAGTTGGTGGATCTCCTGGTGGGCAAGCTCCTTTACTAGCTCTCACAAGGTAAACCATTTATTTCTTTTTTTTAAAAAAAAAAAACTCCTGGTTTTATAACAAGTATTGATAAAGTTTAAAATTAATATTTATCAAATAGTACATCACCATCGCCATCATCAAGTAGTATTAGTAGTAGTGGTGGTATTATCAGTGGTAGTGGTAGTAGTGGTAGTATTATCAATAGCGGTAGCGGTAGCGGTAGCGGTGGTGGTGGTGATAGTGACACGACAGATTTGATGATTGTGTCGCCTGTATTACCGACAGCAGAAGATTGGGCACTACAGACGCGATCAGATGACCACTTTGTCGACGTGGATTGGCCTGGTCCACACAAACACGTCTACTTTTATGCTGACACACTCACACGTTTTGGTCCAAATGTTCCACTCAGCCAATCGCCTGTCTTGTCACTTTTGTCTCCATTTACTAGTGAAACCAATGATCGTTACCTCCAGATCGATGTCAAGGTGCTTGGTTCTCGCGTCGTTCAAGGGCAATTGGATGCTCTGATGCATTGTCCTGCATCTGCAACTGAATCGCTTTTATCAAACTCAACCACGTTGGGCCGACGTAAGAAAGATGCGCGAAGACGCCATGCAGCACGTCAGTCTAGTCGAATTGTGATTTAAGGAGACTAAATATATTTATATATATAATAACAAACAATAAAAAAAGCCCCTCTCCCAATTGGTTTTATCATATATATACCCTACACACACATACACGTATATATATATATATAAATTCATGTTTATATTTATAAAATAAAATAAAATAAAGAGACCATGTACAAGAGGTTGTTGTTATTTGTTTAAAAGATGAAAGAAGAAGAAGATATGGAAAGAATAATGACTATAATTTTTCTTTGTTTTGCTTTTGCTTGTTTGTTTGCTTGTTTGTTTGATCGGTAGGCTTACTCGCTCTCAAAGACAGCGGCCATACCCATACCAGTACCGATGCACATGGAGGTGACACCGACCTTCTTACCCTGACGCTTCAATTCGGGGAGAAGAGTGGCGATCTGGCGGGCACCAGTGCAGCCGAGAGGGTGACCAAAGGCAATTGCACCACCCTTGGGGTTAACCTTCTCAATGGGAATGGCCAACTTCTCGACAGAGTAGACAGCCTGGGAGGCAAAGGCCTCGTTGATCTCAAAGATATCGACGTCGGACAACTTAAGGCCAGCTCTCTCGACAGCGACGGGGATGGCGTAGGCGGGTCCGACACCCATGATACGAGGGGGTACACCAACAACAGCAGAGGTGATGTACTTGCCGACGATGGGAAGACCGTACTTCTGGGCAGTCTTGCGCTTCATCAACAGGACGGCGGCGGCACCATCGGAAACCTGGGAGGCGTTACCGGCAGTGGTGAAGCCGTTCTCAGAGAAGGCAGGGCGCAGCTTGCCAAGGGTCTCGGGGGTGGTGCCAGGGCGGACACCATCATCTCTGTCGACAACAACGGTGTGCTCAACACCGTCCTTGTCCAAGACAGTAGCCTTGATGGGAACAATCTCGGCCTTGAAGTAACCAGCCTTCTGGGCCTCGACAGCCTTGTTGTGGGAAGAGGCAGCAAAGGCATCCTGCTTGGCACGGGTGACGCCGTACTCGGCAGCAACGTTCTCAGAGGTGATACTATTTTTAAAAAAAAAGAATAAATAAATATATAGATATAAATTTGTGAATTGAATTGAATCGAATCGAATGGTAGATAATAAAAATTTCATGTATTTTATTTTATTTTTATACAAAATAAGCTTTGTATTGAACAAATCAGTTGCAAAAAAACAAACTGATATTTCCAACCCCTCCCCCTTTCTCCCTCTTCTATATACCTTTTCCCCTCCATCCCTTTTTTTTTTTTAAAAAAAAAAGAAAAACTTCCTTGTGACACAAATACTCTCTCTCACACACACACAAACGAATAAAGAAATATTAAAAAAGAAAGAAAAGGTCTTACCCCATGGGCAACAAGCAGTCAGCAGCAGCAGCAGAGCCCTCAGCAATCTTGTCAGAGGTGGGAGACATGGACTGGGGACCGTAGTTCTTGGTCATGGACTCGAAACCGGCACCAATACCGACCTCAATCAAACCAGCCTGGATAGCAGTGGCAATCTGAACAACGGCCTGGAGACCAGAAGAGCACTGACGGTTGACAGTGTTGACAGAGCTAGTTTCGGGGAAACCGGCGTAAAGAGCAGCCATACGGGCGTTGGTGGCAGCACCACCCTGGGCAAGGACAGTTCCGACAGCAATGTCATTGACAATGGAGGGGTCCAACTTGGTCTCAGCAATGACAGCCTTGAAGACCTCGGCAAGAATTTCTGAAAGAATAAAAGAAATAAGTGATATGAATAGTGAGAGAAAGTAAGGTTGTGAATTATTAGTAGTATTATTATTATTTGATGAGTGGTAATGACAGTAATGGCGGTGGTAGTACCTTCAGGGAGAGTGTCCTTGAATCCACCCTTGCGGCTACGGGTAATGGCAGAACGGAGGGCGGAGACAATGACTACGTCCTCAGGAGACTTGACACCGACCTTGTTGGCGATGGAGTCAGTGGGGGCAAGGTGAGCAGAGACTTGTTGAAGACGGGAAGCCATTGTTTGTTGGTAGATTCTTGGATGTTTTTTTTAGGTGAAGAAGAGAAGACTCTGTGCGAAAAGAAGTTGGTTATATATATATTTATATATAAATATATTTTATGCTGTAGACGCGTACAAGGATTTTATATTACTTTATTTTCTTTTTCTTTAACAGCTTAGTCACTAGAATTTCGCACTTTTAAAATTATAATTCTAAAACCATGTATAAGCACTATTCCTCACATGTGAAGGCCGTCCTTGATTAACACATGTCTCCAGCACCGAAATCAACCAATCCCACTTCTGTACAAGGTCTTCCCCACGTAATAGAAGCATTGAATATAAGATAATCACCAACCTACATCTGTACCCCGCATTTTCAAAAATAAAAATAAAGCTAATAATGATCTCCAATCATAATCTACAATTACACCCTGTCTTTCTTTCTTTTTTTCTCATAAACCTATTAGAGATCAACGAGGACAACCTCTTCTTCTTCTTCTTCATCTACTTCTTTATTCTAGCCTTCAAAAAATAAACACAAAAAGAAAGACACTCTGATAGTCATGGTCGATTAAGTGCAAATCAGGCTGATTAATAATAAGAGTACTAATGAAGAAGAATTCTAATTTGTAGTTGTGTTTTCTGTTTCTTTTGTGCACATTAGTCATCTTGTTTAACTGATCAAAGAAGGGAGAGTTCTTTTTGGTTTAAGAAAGATATAATAAACAAATTTCCGCCCAGATCTCCACATTTTTCTCCTTTGATTGAAAGAATAAAATTAAATCTTCTTTGGCTTCTTTGGCTTCTATCTTGAATTGACTGTGATAAATACTCTTAAATACTAATACTAATAATAATAATTGCAGGCAAGATTACGATCAAGATCTCTCCTTTTTCTTTCTATTTTTTTTTATCATCCATCTCATGTAACCAACGGTTGATTTGTCAATTTTATTCTTTTAAAGGCAATTTAGTGATGTCAAAGGCTTTCTTCCTAGCATACTTCCTCTAATCAAATTCACCACTCTACACTTTATTTCTCCTTCTTTCTTTTATTGTATATATATATATATATTAAATCCTACAAAAAAATCATGACCAAACAAAAAAAAAGAGTATTGAAAAAGAGGAAGGGAAGGGAAAAACCAATGAAATGACATTATATTCTTCATAAAAACACAGTTATTTTTTCTATATATATATGACAATTTTACATTAAATCATTAATAATCTTTAGTAAAAATTCACATCTCACAAACCAGTACAGATCTTCCACACTATTACTATTATTAATATGGGGTTTTTTTTTTTTAAAAAAAAAAAAAGAAATCAGGTGTGCACGCAGTAAAAACTACAGAAAGTCACACAATGTGACGCGGTTTGACTTGTTCATCTCTCGTTCACATTTAATTATTCATCTTATTATATTTAATACACACACACACATACTTTATTCAATTCAATTCAATTCAATTCAATTTCATTCACATCATGGCTGACTCGACAACTAAATCTACTGAAGAATCTACAGCTCCTGTTTTCAAAAAAAGGTCAAACAACAAGAATCTCCGTAAACGTACTGTGATTCAACGCCGTGACAGTGACAGTGATGGCGACGAAAGCGATGAAGCTGACAATGTTTCCCATGTTGTCACCAAAGAACGCAAGACAGCCCCGACCCCTTTTGTCCAAAGCACCCGGCGCAAGACAGGACGCCAAGGCCATGATGAAGATGAGAGTAGATTAGGTGTACATTATGCCGCAGATCTGTCGGCAAAGATCCAGGGTAGCGATGCCACACGATATTCTACAGAATGGGAACTTGAGGCCGAGGCAATGGACAAGGTCAGAAAGGCAGTGGCGTCTGGTACGGCTGCCTCCCTGTCCGCAAAAGATATCAAGCCCAAGCAAAAAGAGGTTACGAATTCCAAAATGTCTGTTGGTCCACAAAGAGCACCTGCAAATATTCGTGTCACAGCTCGGTTTGATTACCAACCTGACATTTGCAAGGATTACAAAGGTAAACGCCAACAAGAAATTGTAAAGCAATCGATCAATCAATCAGGACATGTAAATAAAAACAAATAAAAAAAACTATTAATATTATTAGAAACTGGTTTCTGTGGTTATGGCGATTCATGTATTTTCTTGCACGACCGCGGTGACTACAAGAGCGGCTGGCAGATCGAAAAGGAGTGGGAAGAGGCTCAAAAGGGAAACAAACGGTTTGGTGGATCAGAGCCAGGTGAATTTGAGATAAAGGACGGTGACTCTGATGATGATGAGCTTCCGTTTGCTTGTCTTATCTGCCGAGAAGAGTTTGTGAATCCTGTGGTGACAAAGTGTGGGCATTACTTTTGCGAAGAGTGCGCTCTCAAGAACTACAAAAAGTCACTCAAGTGTTTTGCATGTGGATTACCTACACAGGGCGTATTTACAACAGCAAAGAATCTGCTGGCCAAATTGGCAGAGAAGAAGAAGCGGGTGGAAGGAGAAGATGTTGAGGACGATCAAAAAGATGGAGAGACTGCAATTGAAGGACTGACCGAATTATCGGATAGTGATGAAGACAGTAGCGACTAGAAAAGAAAAAAAAAAGAAGAGAGAAATCCCGTGATTTTTGTTTTATTTTACTTTATATATATATATATTTTTGGCTCTTTTTCTCTTTTGCACATAACCATTTTCTTTTAGCTGTCAAATACCTACCTATCTACCTATCTTACCTTATCTAAGCGCATACACATATATCTATAATAAAACTTTACGACTAGAAATAAACTCTGGTAATCAGAATATAAACATGAAGATGTAATTGTCTATAGTTTTCTCAATAGTAACAGAAATGTAGAGTGAAACCACAAACTTGGGCACCTTTTAGCGAGCCTTTTACTTCTTCTTCTTTTTCTTCTTACACTCATAAACACCTAAATATTATCTGCTAAAAATCTTATTTATTTCTAATGAACCGGGCTAGAAGCGGGTTACGGCGAGGATTAAAAGTCTGGGTTAAAGAAAAAATGAGGGAGGGGGTTAATTGAACCAGATTTGATATTTCGTTGGACGCGGTTCACACCTTGGGTTCATTACAATGTTTAATGAGTTTAATACAAAGTGTGGGGAATATGTGGATTCTTGTCAATATAAAATTCTGGTAGTTCAACGAGTGAGATGGGCTGGATATTGGCCAACTTTTTACCACTTTTATTTTAATTTATTTTTCAATGGTGGTCCGTGTCCTTACCACACTGTCGTTTATTTATCTTCATTTACTTCTTCTTCTTCTTTTATTACTTATGAGGCACTTACTAGCCCCTTGATATCTCCTGGATACCTCAGGGTCTCTCTAAGAAAAAATATTATATCAATGATAAACAATATTGAAAATAAAGGAAAATAAAGAAGCTTGGAAAGTATCATCGGCTCTTCTTCTTCTTCTTTTTGTTTTGGTTCTGGCATTCTATATGAAAATTTGAAGGGGTTGGAAAGGCCAAGGGAAAAAAAATGGGGGGGGGGGGGGGACTTTTTTTTTCTTTTTTGTAAGGAATTGTAAGTAGTGAATATGTATGTATATATATGAAAAATTTAGGTAGGGAAAATAGATAAAGTTTTTTTAAGGCGAGGATTTTCTTTGTATACTTATTGTTCTCTGCATATTAATTATTTCGGAATATGGAGCACATGTACCGACCTAGACTCTAAGTCTGCGATGGTTGTTGCTGTTTTGTCTCGATGCAAAATACTGATTTTAGATGACGTGCATAGCATGGCATTTTAAAAATAAAAATAAAGAAGAATGGAGAAAAGGGGGGGAAAGGGACGATATTTTTTCTTTATTTTATTTTTTGGTGTTTAATGTGATGGGGAAAATGGTAGGGGTTTGTATGGAAATGTGTGATTTGTGTGTATTTATGGATTTATAAGTTTCGATTGATGAGCAGATTTTTTGTGTGAATTGATAGAGAAATAGATATAGGGATTTAATTTAATTTTAAGTTACTGGGCTGGTTGGTTGGAAGGGGAGGAAGTTTTGTGATTGATTTGTATAGCTGTCAAAAATATAAAAAATATCAGCTAATATTGCTATTATTGTTCATGCAAGTCAGTGGAAATGGGTGTGTAAAAGGGTTTCGATCCAATGGACCTGGCGATCGAAATGTAAGCCATCAATGCATGCGTGTAGTAATATTATCTTTATCTTTTTTTTGGTGGTATAGGTAATAATAATAATCTTAAATTTAGCTATCGCGCTAATAGAATAAACAATGCTTATATAAATTTATGTGGCCCAGCCCTTGGAGAAGCAATGATCACAAAGAGCCGTTCTTATTTTGGACCTGTTGTGTCTATACTGTGCTTTTTATTTTTATTTCTTTGGGTGTACAATCTTCTTGTTCCTATATGTGACAGTACAAAACAAAATGCGCATTTGTACTTGTAGACAAGAATTTACATATATTTTTGTTGTTGTTGTTCTATTTTAGGCTATAATAAATTAATCCAATAAGATTTAGACTGTCAAATGGGAAGAAGAGTAATGAAAGTGTAGATCGAAATATGGTAATATATAATAATCTAATATGTTTGAGATTTTCATTAATCCTTGAATTGTACTTTATGTGCTGTTATCTAATGGAATTTTCTTTTTTATTTATTTTTTGGTAAATAGGAGAATCCCGTCTTTTTTATGATATAAACTGTGGTTGCCTTGATTATCAGAAAGAAAAACCATCTCGGCTATAAAATCTCGAAATCAGTGAAATGTATTTTATGGGAAAAATAAATAAAAAATAAAAATTCGCCAAAATCACTATCGGAATTCCCACTCATTTTCCATAGTGTTACAAAATCAAAAAGTACTTTCGATTCTAGCTACAGCTCCCAGTCAATCAATCGATCAATCAATCAAGTCAAGTCAAATAAGATATAAAGAAATATAAATATGTGTACATAAAACAAGTCGAATTCCAAACATCCGGTAGTGACACATTTCTATACCTTCAAAAGATCCCTTTTTTAGATATCCGCTACCATTCCCTTGGTCTGGCCAATACTTTTTTTTTTGACTTTGCATCTATATAGATTTATACTTATTTAACAAACAGATAGGGAGGGGCGGTTGAAGGGGGTACAGAGTTCAAGTCAGAAACTGATAAAGATAGAGATGGTAAGGAGAAGGCGAATTTGGGGGGTCAAGAATAATATTCCATAAATATTTACTTTCTGATTTGAATTTTTTTTTTTAAAAAAAAAAATACCTTCATTTCCCATATTAATAGTTGGATATTAAAGCGGAGATAAAACAAACATTTGTTTGTTTGTTTGTTTATATAATTTTTATTTACTTTTTTATTTATATACAAAAATAAGGCAAATAATAATTGTTTTAAAGTTTTTTAATTTGTGAGAGATGGTTGCCAAGACTACAAATAAATTTATATATATATTACTTAAAATAAATAAATAAATAAAAAAAGAGAACTTGCACAATATGAGGGCTTAGCTTGTGAACCCCAAATGTTCTGCCTTTCTGAACATGTGCCTTTTACAGAGAGACCCCATTTGTTACACGTTAATGACGTTGAGTGTGACTGACAAGAAGATACTTGTAAAACATAATATCTTTTGACCGTCGTCATTGTTCTCCATTGTTATTATTTAAATAAATAAATAAATAAATAAATCATCATCTTTTATATATATACAAATAATAATCATCATCATCATTAAAATTATCATTTAAAAAAAAGTTACATATGATAGGATGTATAAAATATAAAGTATATTTCTTTCTTTTGCTGTTAATCTTACTGTTACTGTTTTACATTGTGTGGTAATGTTGCCTGTAGGACGACCAAAGTCGGGTGCTGACCGAAAACATTATTATATACTACAATGTTTTTTTTTTAAAAAGGATTAAGCGCCGAAGTTGCCGTTAAACAAGAGTTTCCGACTCTCTTTTTTTTATATATATATATCTTTTTTTTTGTGCGTGTGTGCGTATATATGTATAGACATACATACATAAAATAACACAACATAATTTACATAGATAGTCTTGGATACATACATTACAATTGTTAATCACTAGTTTTTTGTGTACTTTTTGTTTCAAGATATTCTTTTTCCGATCAAATCAATCAGTCATTTTAAAACACCAAGAATACAAGCCATTTGTAAATGGCCCTGAGAATTAGAAAGAAGGAAAAAATAATCAAATATTAAAGATATATAGATTTAGTATCTATTTTACGTCACTGATCAGCACAGACAAATATACAAATATATATATCTATATACATTCACTCTATTACACCTTAATTCAACTAGATATCTATTCAAATACATATACAATATAAAATACAATACAATATATTGGCTAGACCCAATAGAGGAATAGAATAGATATTAGAAATTATAAAAAGAGATCGACAGGCAACACCAAATATGGCTCAGATATTATTTCTTTATTAGAGTACAAATAAGTATATAATTTTTTATATAAAAAAAATTATATGGTGGAGATGGCTTGTAAATCATTCTTCAAGATGTATATACTGTAATATATAATAAATATAATAAATATATAATTTATTTGTGTTGAGCAAATAAAAATCGTGTTTTTATATTATTTTTCTGGTTTTCTAGAGATCTTCCATTGTACTTTTTTATATATATATATATATATATTTTTTATTGCACGAGAAAAAGTTATTAAATCGGCGTTGCACGATCGCAAGGCCATGACGTGCCGAACCAGGCTTATTCTGTCGATTGGGATCTACAGTCCATATTCGGAGCAGCCTTTATTGGACAGTCTGCTAATTAATGTGTTTCTAAATTATCTTTCAAGCCAACCTTAAAAAGACATTCTTTTTCTTTTATATATATTTTTTTATATTATAAATATATATATAAAATATCAAACACAAATACAAATACAAAACAATTGTACACAAAATTGACTCTCCTACATTTTATTTTGTGTGTGCCTTTTTCCTTTATCTCCTGTATACAATATATACTAATGATATAATACTTTATATATATAAAATATACTCCACTTTACTCCACTCCAAATTCAACTCTCCTCCCCCTCTCCATTACAATACAATACACTACTCTATACTCCTTTTCTGTCCTGTTCTGCCCTGCTTTACCTTGCCCTGTCTTGCCCTGTCTTGTCTTGTCTTGTCTTGTCTTGTCTTGTCTCCCCCCAATTTTTTTTTTATCCCCTTAATTTATTTTATATATTATTTATTATTCTTATTATATTTTTATATATTTTTATTCTACCTCATTTCTGTCAGTCTTATTTTTCCCTCTTACTTACCTTTTTTTCTACCTTTTTTATTATTATTATATATATATCATTTTTCAGACCCTTGCCTTTTTATATATATATTTATTATATTGTATTGTATATAAAAATCTATATAAATCTATATAAAGCTATATAAATCTTTTTTTTTTTTTAAAAAAAAAATCTTTATATCTATATTTTATTTTATTTTTTATTTTTTATATATATATACATTCTTTTTTTTTTATATTTTTTTTATAAAAAAAATGACCTCTCCTACTGCTTTTATGACAACACCAACCATGTCCCGTCCTTCAAACCAACACCGTCAACACCAGGTCAACCAAGCATTCTATTCTGCTTATGACTCAACTGGAACCCTCAACCACCCACCTCACCCAACAACCACTGCTACTGCTACTGCTACTGCTACTGCTACTGCTACTACCACCAACGCTACTTCCAATACTCCTGCTTCCGATATTTACCCTTCTTTCCAGCCCACCATGGGAAAATCTACAAATATCGGACACACTCACCAATCTTTTCTAAACGAACCATTATATAATAATACCAACAACAATATCCAGCAACAACAACAGCAGAGCTTGGTATCAGATACTCAAGATTCTGATGTTTTAGCAGTCGAACCAGGTCTATCCACACCTTCACTACCTCCTCTATCACAGCTCTTGCCTCGTCGCTCGGCCTCTGCCTCATCCCAGACTTCCCACCAGGACAGATCTCAACCTCTCCAAGGCCCTGAGCCTACTCACCCAGCTCTCTATCAAGCCTCACCTGTCACAAAGTCTGATCCGCTCTACCTACCCCAGAACACCATGGCCTCTGTACCTGTACCTGTGCCTGTGTCTGTACCCGTCCCTGTGTCGGTTTCTGCAGCCGTTGCAGCGTCCTCAGTCTACCCAGGCCCAGTCTACTCTGATCTCTCGCTCTCCAGAGACCGTCAGATCCCCCAACAAGACCATCACCAGAGCACCTTTTACCTCTTACCAACCGAACCAATTTCGTCCTATCCATCGAACGCATTCAGCAGTCTCCCTGTTCAGAGCCACCCAGTAGTTCCGTCCACAATAGTTCCTTCCATGTTTGCTGCTCCTCAACCACCAAACCTCACAGCCAATAATATGATCATGCGAAACCCTCATCATCATCTTCAACACCACCACCACCACCATCACCCCCACAATCAGCAACAACAACAACAGCAACAACAGCAAAATCCTCACCATCATCCTCATCATAACCAACACAGCCATCACCACCACCACCTACCATCACCACCACCATCTGTGATCGACAGTATGTCTCCGGCATCTCAACAGGCGCTCGATCAAAGCAAGGTGTTTTCGTTCGTTTCCTTGCCTGGCGTAAACCAAAAGAAGCGCCCAAGACGTAAATACCATGAGGTCGAGCGACTCTACCAATGTAATTTCCCAGATTGCACAAAGGCGTACGGCACCCTAAACCATCTAAATGCCCATGTTTGTATGCAGGGTCATGTAAGTAGTTATCATAATACATTCACACCATAATCAAGATTTGATTTGATTTGATTTGATTTGATCTGCCTTGAATTTATCATATCTATTGATTACTGATTATTTGTAACATCAATCAATAATATATAGGGTCTCAAGCGTCATCCTAATGAATTCAAAGAATTGCGCAAACAATGGAGACGCCAAAAACGCGAAAACCAGGCCCTTGCCAAACGAGAACATAGCCACGATATGGATACCATGAATGGTGTCTTACCCCACCCATCTCAGATGGCTTTACCCGGCCTTTATTCTCCCTGGAAAGACACATCCGTAGGCATGATGCAAACTAAATCCCATGCCCGTCCGCATGTCCTGCAACACCAACATTCGATGACTGCAGACTACCACACTGGACTTCACCTTCACGGATCTCCATATTAACTCTACCAATTCATTCATTCATTCATTCACTCATTCAGTCACTCATTCACCTATTCAGTCAATTATTTGTTGTTTGTCTGTATATATGTCTGCATGTCTTTCTCCTCTCATTTTCTACGCTTGACTTAAAGACAACTCAAACCCAAAAAAAAGACCAAAAAAAAAAGACCCAACAAACGAACGATTGAATCAACGAACGGACGTCCAAACAAACAAACAAACAAACAGACGAACGAACGAACGAAGAAAAAAAAAACCAACAAAAAAACTGCAATTATCACAGTCTTTCTTACCTTATGCCCCCCCCCCTCTCTCTCTCTCTTATTCACACTCACACACAACTTTCTTTTATATTTTTCTTTTTGATTATTATTATTATTATTATCATTATTATTACTAGTATTATTTATTCAATTTTTCATGTACATAGGCCACATTTATCTCTAGTGTGATTTCAGCGTGTTTCTTTTATATTTTCTTATATATATATCTTTTTGCAATAGAATTCTATGGCAATTCAAGCTTTTTTTTTGTAATATGCATCCTCCAATTTCTATACTCTTTTTTTTTTCTTCTTTTTTAAAAAGAAAGAATTTTATTATTATTATTATTATTATTATTATTATTTCCCCGTTTTCTTTCTACTCTATTGTCTCTCTATTGTTGTTGCGTACACCATATGAAGCTACACACGTACAGACGTACACATGTATGCGTGCGTGTGTGCGTATAAACGCATATATACACATACATATATCTTACAAAATAGAGAAACATGTGAAATCTATGGCTATACTAAAAAAAAATATTGAAAAAAAAAAAGACCCAAATAGAGTTCCTTTTTTCTCTTACAAGTATAAAAAGTATAAAAACATTATATGTATGTGTGTGTGTGCACATTGGTGTGTATCAATGTGTACTTGTATTCTATACACATTGACAATGTCGATCTCTCTATTTCTTTCTATGCTTTAAGCTATCTATCTTTGTCTCTTTTAAAGGCAAAGCAAGGCAAAAAAAAAGTATAATTTTTTTTACGCGTTAAAAAAAACAAAAAAAAAGAAGTACAATGATAATGTACAACAGAACAATTATTTACAAGAAGCACAGATTATCGCCACCCCCAGACCACCTAGTTGTCAAATAGGATAATAATGGTTATTATTTGAGTATTAAATAATCAATATAATAACATACATTTCCCATATAAAGGCAGACTACAGAGCGATCAATTCTTCTTTCTTTTGTTTTTTTTTATTGTAATCTTATTTTTATTTGGTTAGAATCAGGACAAGTCTGGCGCCCACAAAATAATCGTAATTTCAAATAGCAATATTATACGTAAATGACAATATACAATTTACCAAGGTTTGTTGGTACTTTACTTTATTATTTTATTTTTTTACAGGTGCAACTTTGCAGAATATAGTCAAGGCTAATTTTACTATTATTATTATCTTTTATTATATTTTTATTAGCGGTGTTGATCTGTACCCTCTCTTTGTCTCTTTCTATCTACTTTATTCTTCTTCGTTCACTCCCCCAAACATTCGACCTGCGATTTAATCATCACCATCATTACCATCACTATAGTAACCATCAAAGTAAATTATTTAAATTATTATAAATTTTTGTAAATTACTGCAATTATTATAATTTTAAAAATCATTACATAAATAATTATATGATTATATAATTATATTTATATATATACATATACATATACATATATTTGTATGTGCACACAGAAAAATAAAAAATAAAAAAAGGGTACTTTTTTGTTGGGATTATTAAATATTATGTATAGTCTTTGAGCGCGTATTTGATATCAAATTATCTTGCCTTTTTTTTTTTCTTGTTGGTTACCATGGTATTATTGTTATTATTATTATTATTATTTTTTTAAAAAAAAAGAGAGAGAGGAACAAATGGATTGTAGTTTAATTAATTGGTTAATTAATTGGTTAATTAATTAATTAAAAAAAAAAACAAAAAAAGCATGGTTCTTCTTTTGTCATATATATATATATCTTTAATGGTGAACTGTACATTCAAGGCAGCATAATATTAGTTTAACCAAAAAGAACCACCCGCATACATACATACATACATACATACATATTCATGTACATATTCATATACACAAGATGACGAGTAACATGGCGTTTCATTAATGTAACCATTCAATATGCATCCTTGCTTCTCACTCGCTCAAATTCCGGCTATTTTTTTCTGCCTTGTATCATTTTTGGTGTAAAAATAATAACAATAATAATAATAATAATAAAAAAAAAAGACTCATAGAAATTACTTTCATCTTGTAGGTCTGTAGGTCTGTCTTACCCTGTTGCCTCTTTCTTTTTCTTTTTTTTCATCTACCGCAGAATTAAACATTCAGAATATTCTCGGGTTTATAGTCTCATTACATACTCACTTGGTATTCCTTGTCATTTGCTTTTTTTTTAAAAAATATATATATATATATATAATTATATGCGCGCACATTAGGATCCGTTATTGGTGAGAATATTTTTACAAAGCTGGTCCGGACTTGATCCAGATTTTGTACGCACTGAGGACGATGTTTCAATCTGTGCCTTGATCAATATATCCCGCCTCCTCTTTATCCTCTTTTCTTTAATCTATATCTATAGATCTCAAACTATACTCATCATGTTCATTACCCAATCACTAAACAATCTAATCTATCTCAAGACTTGAGCTTACATGTTAAAGATTCCATTTTCTTATATTTTAGATCATTTCAAAAACAAATAAATTCATCTCAATAATCTTGTTTGATCAAGTCATCATTGATTCTACTTGATCTGCATTATTCTAAAAGAAGAATAAAAGCCAAGACTGCCCTTTTATTACTATTATTATGTTTATTGTTTTTAAAATACTAAATAAAATATTATTTCCTTATCAATGTTGACAGGTTTGACATTGGGAGTGGGGATTGTGCAGATGTCAGAACAAAGTTGGTTTATTGTTAGTATTCAGAGTATAGTATACTTGCTAAAAAAAATCATTGAAATTGCTTAATGCACATTACATGTAAATAGAATTATGGACCTAGGGCAAGAAATATATTGGCTCAAAATTATTAGCATTATTATCAGTAAGTAATATGATGCTTTTTCTTTTATTTCTCTTCCAAAGTTCCATCTTGACTTTGACTACTTTAAGCACGACTCTCTATAATCATTACCTTCTTCTTTTGGTACATGTGGTTTGTGTTCTTCTACCTTTACGAACCACAAGGCGCCAAAGTACAATTGAGGAATTGTTATGACCTAATATGTGACACAACGATAGTTAATTGTTGGATTTTTCTTTATTTTTCATCATCATCATCTTCTTCTTCTTCTTCTTTACTGTCTATAGATGTGTTCAACTTGAATAATATTCTTACAAGACAGAATTATATATCGCATGTTTTTATATATAAAAATTCAGAGTTCAAACCATTTATTTGGATAAACACAGTGTAAAGAAGAAGAAACAAATGAAACATGTACTACAGAATTCTGTCCACCCCCTCCCCTCCTCCTTTCATTAAATCTTCCCTAAAAATGTTAATTCAATACATACTAACACTAATGATTTACATGTGTATAAATAAAAGTGAATAATTTTTTATTTATTTATTTATTTATTTATTTATTTATTTATTGTACATATACCGATAAACACGCACATATATATATATATATAATTGTGTTTACGATTTACGCTTTTAGATCTACTTGACTCTCAGTACAGCTCGGACATCCATTAGGAACGATAAAAGAGCCTCTCTAAATTTTGGTGCATTCCGACTAGGAGGCAAAGAATACGCCAATTGAGTAGGGGTTGCCTGGTCAAGGGTTTGGAAAGCAAAGAGTAATCTAGACTGAATATCTGCTGGTTGCTGTACAATGATCTGATTCACAATGGCCATGTAATCATCCTACACCATATCATACAAATGTTATTTAATTTGAGTTTCTTTTTTTTTTTTTTTTTTTTTTGGGGGGGGGGGGATTTGATTTGATTTGATTTAATATACACTTACCCTTTGGGAACAAATCAAAACCCACAAGGGTTCGGGGGGCGCATCTACCACCTGTCCATCCAGGGGTTCAAACAAAAAGACCTTGACCAGTTGTGCAAGGAATTTACTGAGCGCCTGCTTTAATAAGTCGAAATTGGCTGATGCTACACGTACACACATAAAAATCTTACAATTAGAATTGGAATTATATATATATATATATATATATAAAAGTGAACCGACCCTGGTTGGATTGTTGTTGCACATGTGCCCACAGGGCAAGGGGTG